CTCGCATCTATCTATATTCCCTCTGGCTGGCTGGCTGATGCTAAAATCGTAGGTACCTAGACTCGTGTGAAGGAAAGGGGGTATCTCCGACCCGCGAACGCCCTTGATGCCCCTGGTCTATCCAACTGTGAAGTGCCGTACTCCTTCCTAGCGCGCCCTTTTTGTGTCCCCTTCGCGCCTGTGTTGCTCCTGGTTGTGGCTTGGGATGATGGGTAGAGTATGCGAATGCAGATGCGGATGCAGCAGATGTGAGAACTTTGGGGGCCCGCAATATACGCAAAATGTGCCCCAGATTGCTCCTCCACTATTTCAGAAAGTAGCGGCCTCTGACCTTGTTGTTGGTTCTGTTGCTCAGTTCTCGTTCCAGTTGAGGTTGAAGCGGCCTGGTGCGACCTTGTACTCCCGCAAGCAGTCAATGACCTCGTTGGCGTTGAGCGCTTCGACGAGAATGCCGGCGTTGGTGGGCGCGATGAAGCCGCTGGTAATGGCCTTCTGGATCCACTGGATCAGGCCGTCCCAGTAGCCCTCGATGTTGTAGATGACGATGCCGCGGTTGTGGATGCCCAGCTGGTTCCAGGTGGTGACCTCCATGAGCTCCTCGAGGGTGCCGTAGCCGCCGCTGAGGGCGACGAAGCCGCCGCCAGGCCCGCCGGCAATGACCTCCTGGGCCATCATCTGCTTGCGCGTGTGCATGTCGTTGACGACGGTGGTGCGGCCGTATATCTCCTCGTTGATGACGTTGCGCGGGCCAGACGCGCTGGGCGGCAGCCCGCTCTTGGCTTCCTGGAGCGCGGCTTCCTCGTAGTTTTGCTCGAGCTTGACGAGCGCGGCGGGAATGATGCCGTGCACGGCAGACGGCCCTGACAGAGACACCAGCGTGCGCGCCACCTCGCCCATCAGGCCGACAGTGCCGCCACCGTACACCAGCTTCATGTTGTTGGCGTGCATGACGTGGGCGAGGGCGCGCGCGGCGGCGAGATGAGCGGGCGAGGTGCCGCTGGAGGCGCCGCAGAAGACGCAGACGACGGGGCGGTTGTCGGCCGAGGGGGTTGCTTCGGCAGTCATGGTGGCGGACTCGGTGGCGGGAGGAGGGTTGGCGTTGGTGCGCTCTTCGGTGGTGTAGAGGGTCATGGTGGACGAGGGGCAATTGGAATGGCTACGGAGGGGCTTAAGAAGGTCACGGAAGCGGAAGCGAGCAGGCGACGAGGCAATCAAGGGCGCCAAAGGAGCGTGGTACACAGGTGGAGGTGGATGTATCCACAGCCTTCGAGTCCAGCTTGCATCATACCGGAAAGGCCCGTGTTTGCCGTGCCCAACCAATCGGAGCGCGCCTTCGCCGACACGCCCGCGCAGGCATCTGGCCTCTGCTGCTGCCACTCTTTGCGACTCCATCTGTCTTGTCAGCCTGACCCAGACAGACAGTTTCCCGCCCACTCAACGCGCGCCATGCCCGAGGAACGGAGGGAAGAAGGCGGCCAGAGCGTAAGCACGTCCCAGACCACCTCAGTCTTCCCGCCCCTTTCTGCCTACCACGTATTTGTACCGCTGCTGACTGACGATCGCCAGTTCCTGCGCACTGCCGCCCAGAGCGTAGGCATCTTCCTGCTCATTCAATTCGGAGCAAAGCAGATATTTGGCGGCTCTCAGCCCACCACCGCCCGTCCTGCCAGCGTCCCCGGCGCCAGTGCCCCCATTCCCGCCTTCGCAGACCGTCCCGCGGGTCTCAGTCCAGAGGGTGTCTACAACGATGTGCCGCAGGCCATCTCGCCCATGTGGCCGCCTCAGGTCGACGTGGACCTCAGCATCTATGTCTCGCCGTCCATGATTATGCCATCGCTGAAGAGTTTGCCTGCCGACTCGCTGGTGCTGGAGGAGAAGAGCTTCCACCTCGGCGACTGGAAGGACAAGCGCGAGATTGATACCACGTTCAAGGTGCCGAAAGAGGTGCAGGAGGGTGGTCCTCTCTGGGCGCATTTCTTCGTCGCGCAGTCTGGACGGCCCATTGACCCTTCGCGCGCGGACTATGACATGTCCAAGTCGTACCACTTCGCGCGTCCTCTGACGCAGTACCTGCCCAAGAAGAAGGTCAAGAAGACTCGAAACTTGCTTTCTGGCGACGACGAGTCTGAGCATGTCGAGCCGGAGGCAGAGTCCGGGCCTCGTTTCACCAACTTCTACCACCCGAACTTTACCATGTCCTTCATTCCGGACTCTGGCATTATGAAATACCCCCAGTTGCACCCGGCTCTGCGCTCTTACGTTCAGCTGGAGCTGTCTGGCGCGCGTGATGCCTCGGGACAGAACGGGTGGTACTACCCCATTCTCTTCGTCAACACCTTCTGGCAGTTGAGGGACCACATGATGGAGCTGAACTCGACCGTCAAGGAAGTTCCTCTGCACATTGACCTCAACCAGTTGGCCAATTGGAAATTCAGCATCATCGCCAGCATCGATGCCAATGTCAAGGCCAATGCTGCCAACGCTGCTTCCAACCCGGGTCAGATGACAGCTGGTGGAGACGGCAACGAGTTTGAGGAGTTTAAGCGTATTCTCATCGACAGCAACGCCTACCTTCTCGGTACTACCGCAGTTGTCTCTGTCCTGCACATGATCTTCGAAATGCTGGCCTTCAAGAACGACGTCTCCCATTGGCGCAACAAGAAGGACAATGTCGGTACTTCCGTTCGCACCATTCTTGCCAACGTCTTCATGCAGACCGTCATTTTCCTGTACTTGATGGACAACAACGAGAACACGTCCTGGATGATCCTTTTCGGGCAGGGCATGGGCATTCTCATTGAAGCATGGAAGATCACGAAGACGGTCAACGTCCGCGTGCGCGAAAACCCCGCGGGCTCCCTGATCCCTTACTCCATCAAGTTTGAGGACAAACACCAGCTGTCCGAGACGGAAAAGAAGACGCAAGAGTACGACGAGATTGCGTTCAAGTACCTGTACATCGTGGCGGTGCCTCTGCTGCTCGCGTACGCGGGCTACTCGCTCGTGTACGAGACGCACAAGTCATGGTACTCGTTCATCATCGCGACGCTGGTGGGTAGCGTGTACGCGTACGGCTTCCTGATGATGGTGCCCTCGTTGTACATCAACTACCGCCTCAAGTCGGTGGCGCACATGCCCGCCAAGGCGATGATGTACAAGTTCCTGAACACGTTCATCGACGATCTGTTTGCGTTCACGATCAAGATGCCCACGCTGCACCGCCTGGCCACGCTCCGCGACGACGTCATCTTCTTCATCTACCTCTACCAGAGCTGGAAGTACCGCGTCGACTACTCGCGCGTCAACGAGTTCGGCCAGGGCGGCGACGACGAGGACGACAAGGACAAGCTGGCCGCGAAGCCGCTTACGAGCCAGCCGGACGCGGACGACTCGGTCAAGGAGGCCGCCGAGGCGATCAAGGAGGGCGAGGCCGAGGTGAAGGCTTCGGGATCGGCGAAGAAGCAGGGCGGCAGGAAGAGGAAGTAGAGCGGTGTGCTGGACGGCTTTGGGCCGTGGTTGGAGGCGTTGGAGGATGCAGGCGCGCGCTGTTTTGCGCTATGCTCGGGCTGAAAATGGGGGTATAAAGTAGGATATGCAGATGCCGTATATGGTAGATCGTAACTAAGAAGCCGTGATCTGTCCCGGCTCTTTGTGCACCTTTCTGTCTCTCCTCTGCCGTCTCTGTTTGGTGTTTCTAGTCGCCTCGCTATCATAGCAAATGAAGGACTCCTTCGTGGGGTGTATGTATGTGCTTGTTATAGACTCACGGCTGAGTGGTTTCTTGTTTGCTTGTTTGTCCCTCCAAACACACACATAACCCCGCTCCAACTACCACAAACACTTTCATGCCTCTATCTTCGCAACAAACAAGCCCCCCAAAAAAAAGTCTTCTTGTTGTTGTTCCCGAGGTTGGACGTAACGTGCCCGACTCGGCAACTCTCCAGCTCGACGATCGACGCGCCTGACTCATGCTAGCGCCAAAATTTCACGACCTTTGAGATTCGCATCGCCGCTCACCACCTACGGCAACTACCCAGTTGTAGAACACGAACAACCTCCGCAACCTCGCAGATTCGACCCCAACTAGCCCGCCATGTCGTCAATGCGCAATGCGGTGCAGCGGCGCGTAAGGCTGTTCCCCTCCGCCCCGAAACCCCCAGCAGCAAGAGCAGCAGCACTAACACGGCCCACGACCAGAACCACCGGGAGCGCGCGCAGCCCCTGGAGCGGCAGAAATGGGGGCTGCTCGAAAAGCACAAGGACTACTCGCTGCGGGCCAAAGACCACAACGACAAGCGCCGGCGGCTGAAGATCCTGAAGGAGAAGGCCGCCGAGCGCAACCCGGACGAGTTCAGCTTCGGCATGCTCTCCAGCGGCGTCAGCAAGAAGACGGGCACCAAGGTCGGCGACCGCGGCAACCGCGCCCTCTCTGACGACGTGGTCAAGCTGCTGAAGACGCAGGATGTCGGCTACGTGCGCACCATGCTGCAGAAGGTGCGCAAGGAGCGGGCGAAGGCGCAGGAGGGCTTCGTGCTGGAGGATGATGGCGAGGTCGAGGCGCTGACGGGGGGCGCGAGCTCGAATGCTCGCCGTGGTGCCGGCCACACGGTGTTTGTCGAGGACAGGGAGGCGCAGCGCGCGTTCGCGCCCGCGGCGTTCTTCGGCGTCGAGGACGAAGAGGACCTAGAGCGGACGTGGAACCGGCCGCGGAAGCAAGCCTCTGCGTCAGACGAGAACGACGAGGACATGGACGACGACAACGACAACGACGCCGACGGCTGGCAACTCGTGCAGAGCAAAAAGGCCAAGCAGCAGCACAGCAGCAACAACGACGACGCGGAGCTGCAACAGCGCCGCAAGGAACGCGCGCAGCGCAAGACGCGCGAAAAGGCGCACGAGGCGCGGCGGCTGCGGGTCGAGGCGCTGGCGCGCAAGGAGCAGGACCTGGCGGCCGCGGTCGAGGAGCTCGAGGCCCAGCGCGCGCGCATGGGCAATGCCGTTGGCGGCGTCAATAAGAATGGCGTCAAGTTCAAGGTGCGCGAGCGGAAGCGCTGAGGGCTGGCTTTGCCCTGATCTTCCTTTTATGCCGCCTCCTCCGCCTCCTCCGCCACCTTCCTCCGCTGAAGGCTCTCCTCCCGAACCGAATGACTACCCACTACCTCCTACCTCGTCCCATCCGCACCACAGCCTCAGCCGCAGACGAAAGGGAGGCACGCTCACCGTACACGTACAATACAATACCCGCTCTCACCCACCAACCACCACCGCCGCCGCCGCCGCCGCCGCCGCCGTCGCCACCAGAGGCCTAGACAGACAGATAGACAGACAGACACACAAACAGACAGACCTCCAGCCTACCTCCTCCACCTCACACACACACCAGGTGGCACCCCCCGGGGCTCCACGCAGCAGCCACGCGCCAAACCCGCTCTCTCTGTGCGTGTTCACATAGACAGAAGCCAGCTGGCACTGAGACCACGACAGCAATAGCAATAGCAATGGCACGTGTATAACCAGCATCTTCTTTCTTCTTCGTTTCTGCTCCTCCTCAGTCGCGCGTAAGCTTTGGCATCTCGACACACTGCGTGTTTCGTAGCTGCTTGTTAGGTCTGGAGGTCCGTGACGATGTGCGCGTGGGTGCAGCGCGCTGTGGTACCCCTCGTCTCGCGTGCTACGTGTGCTCGTGGTTGCCTCGTCTCGGGTTTTGGAGGAGTTTGTACTGGCACGGGATGGGTTGCAAAGGGCTTGGACAAACAACCTGCAACTATATCTGTAATGCAAAAGCGTGCTCCTGCTGGAGAATCTGACAGTGCCGTAGTGGACATTTATGGACATGTGTGCAACGAGTACGACTTAATACTGAGCCTCCTTGGCCAAAGCAATGCTCTCCGTGCGGACACAAACAACCGAACAGACTCAACATCGAGCCAACACTCAAGATAATCACAGCTCAAATGCGAACACCAAGACCTAAAGTGCACCCATGTGTTCATTGCTAGCTACTTATCGTAAGGGCTGCCCAGAGACTGCGCCAGATTAAGCCAGTATGGACATGAAGCTACTGATCAACAGAAGAAAGTGGCTCTCGTTGAAGTAAAACAAGCAAAGCAGTGAGAAGAGAGAAAATGGCCGCCACAAAAGAAACCGCCCATAAGATCCATGATCCTTAAAGGGAGTGTATCGGTAGCCGAGTAGTTGACGATTGTGCTCAGTAGTCAGTGGTGTCGCCGAAGTCCACCTCCACCGTAGGGTCGCCACGAGAGCGATTGAGGTTTGCAGAGTAGAGACCGGGGATGTTACCTAGACATTCATCAGAAATAATCAACTAGACGAGGAGAACCAACCACTTACCAGCGCTAAAGAGCACTGGGCGAAGAGGTGGGTGGAGGAGTTGGCGAATGCGAGTCAATCCAAGTCTGAGGACCAGCGGTAACATTAGGTGAGGGCTCAATTGCCCACTCCGGCTCTCTGGGGGCAATGTATGGTAGATCGCCACGAGTTCGAAGGACGTTCTTATCGGCGGAGCCTACAATGTTACCTGAAGATGGATCAGCTACTAGCAGTCAGATGAGAAAAAAGGATTACTTGCCTCCAGGGAAGTGGTGGCAAACGGTCCACCACGTGTTCTGGAAAGGATTGAGATAACAGTCTTTAGCGCCATCATGAGGCGTGCAAGTCATGTTATAGCAGAGCACAGTAGCGCAGCCGACAGTGATGGAATCCTTCCAGACCATAGCGGTGAGGTGACTAAGTGGCGCGTTGGGATTACCATAGTCCTCATCCTTGAGCTGGCCAAACTCTCCGTTGTAGATATCTGAGAGACCCCACTCGATATTGGCCGGCTTGAACCCGGACACAAGATTCTGGCTAACCCATGGACCGCCGTCACCAAAGTTGGCATCCCTATCAACAGGTTAGTTTCAAATTCGGCTGCAACAGCTCATCAGGGGAACTTACTGATGGCTGAAGTTGCAGGTGTTAGCGATGGTCAAGGCCTTATCATAGAGCGTCTGGTTCCAGTGCATCTCAGGGACGGTGTGGTTGCGACGATGACGGTTGTAAGCATCCTCGACACCATGGCAGTACTTGGGGTCCTCGGGGTGGAGTTCCTCACAGGTGCCAGGGACGGAGGAAGGAGTGGCAGTCTCCGTGTGGGAAGAGGTCATGGTCGTAGTCGGCGTTCCGGAAGTAGTGGTGGGCCTGGTCAGCGACGAGGATGGACGGGGAGCACTGTAACCGTAACTGGACGTGGTGCTGGGGGAATGATAACCGTAACCAGACGACAACTGAGTGACAGAAGACCAGACAGAGGTATGGTAGCCGTAACTGAAAGAGGAGCTATGATGACCGAAGAAAGAAGTCCAGTCCCAAGACATGTCGGAGGGAAGGCTCCAGTGAGGCTTGGACATGGCCCTAGTCCTAGTCGCAGTCGTGGTCGCAGTCATGGTCTCGGTGACGTTGGCAATGGTTGTAGACAAGTCGAGAGGCGTGGTCATAGTCATGTCGGAAGGCGTAGTAGTCGCAGTCATGTCGCCAGGCAAGGTCGAGGTCTGGTTGACGATTACAGTGACGGTCAGAGTGGTCAGGGCAGGAATGGCCATGGCGCTGGCAGCCATGCCAACTGCAAGTAGGCCGGAGAGACGCATGTTGACTTGAGGGAGCGAACGAAGGTTGAACAGGGAAGGAAAGAAGTGAACGAAGGAAAGGTAAGGCCGAGTAAAAGAACGGGGGGTCGACGGAGAGAAAAAGAGAGGAGAGGTGGGGGGTGGGTGGGATATTTATGTATTGCAGGCAAGCGCTAGAGGTGCTAAGCGAGAGAAGGTTCCTGCTGCTTCAGACTGCTATGGTGAATTGAATGGGTAACTGCATGATAGGACTAGCGTGGTCACCTGGGGGGTTGAGGAAGGCGCGCAGCGGCCAGTAACACGGGCAGTGACTGACTTCGGACAACGCTCAGCCACTCACCCCTCCCGAACCGCCACACACATCCCACAGAGCCGCAGGTGGTTTGATTGCGCTTAAATTGACCGCTGCGTCAGAAAAGGAATCAGTAGATGTGGCGCATAAGCTGAGAACCCATCACTGAGCTAGGAAAAGACTAGATTGCCAACCACATCCCGCAAAAGCTTTCTCACCATTCTTCGGTGCAACTGACAAATAAAAGGCTAACAGACTTGTGTGATAGCACCACACGTCCCTTCTCCAATACGGATATTGCATCTACGGACGCGCACTGCAACACGCCCTCACGTCTGAAGAAGTAGGAGGCCTAATTAGCCATGACCCCACAAACAGTCTCCAATCACGATAGATACACCCTGGCATGTTCAAATAAGACATCGAGCCATAACAAAAAGACTATGTTAGCTGAAAGGTATTGTTTACCACGCCCCCGATATCATATCAGCACCACACATGCGCTTCACCGAGGTACAAGCTGTCGATAATGATAAAGAACACCCAGCGGAGAGGTTAAGAGAAGCTACCGGAGCCGAGGTTGCCGATATACGACACCACGTAGGTAGCGGGCCTGCCCCCTTTCGCAGGAAGCTACTGCCCACATGGCATAAAAGACTGGGCTTCGCAGTCCGCTATCCTAAAAACCGCTAGAGATCGATCCCAGTACAGTTGTGTCGTGGAAACGGCTCAGTCAATTTCGCTGGGTCAGTACTGCTCGTTGATCGTCACACTTGCTTCCCGGCGGCGTGCTGTCTCAGATCACCGTACGATGTTAGCACGCTGAGCCACACAGTCAGAAGTAGGTCCCGAGGAATCGGTAAAGCACGTCCCGTTTGACTCACAAAAATAAGGGTCCATTGTCGTTGAGCGATGCACACTAGTAGCGCCCGCCACAGCCGTATCCTTTGGCGTCCAACTTTTCCATAGGGTATCTCAGAACCCTAGTGCAGTCATTTCAGTCTCCATGAATGCATTTTGACAGGATGCTGTGAAAATCCCGAGAAACATAGTTCTTTTCAGGACCACCGTTGAAAATCTGACTAACATGAGCTGATAGACACTGATTGATTGCGAAGCCGGCGTAAGTAAGCCTCAATTTTCTCATTTTCTACCTTAAGCCTCTCAGCAGCCTCTTATTGGAGAGGCCGGAAGATTGTTAATCTTCGTAAAGAGTCTCGTCGTCTTGACCCTCAGCCTCATGCCACTGTGGCCGCGCCACGCGGCACCGAGTCACTGTTGTGTGACTGTACGTGTTTTGGCAAATGTCTTACTGAGATTGAACCGCTGCGGTAGATGCCGAATACCTTGTATGTTTTCAGCTTACCTGGATCTGAGATGTTTTTGTGATGTCGTCGATAATGGTTGTTCTCGTTGCTGTCGCTTCAGAGTCAGTGATAAATGGCAAGGGATTAAAGCATGAACATCATTTCAAGGACCATATAAAAAGGCCACTAAACGTCTATTATGGTACGACGTCAGTATAGAACGTGTTGTGCAATATTTACAGCCCTATTGTGTATGATCTGTGACCTTCAAGAGCATCAAAAGCCTAAAGGTACTTGCACTGCACCTAACTTAAATTGCCTCAGCCGACATAGTTGATGGTTGTTCCTGATCAAAGTTAGAATCATCGGAACTTCATGTCAATGTGGTATAAATTATTCTTAGATGCTTTTACCCAATTACCACAGCCATGTCACGTGGTACAGCCTCGTCGGAATAGCAGGGGCATCTGCATGTAAGCCAAGCCTCATAAATACAAGATATTCCAGGCAGCTGAGGTGGCAGCCTGCACTACCCATCCTATCTTTCTCCTGGCAAGTGTCTTTGCGAAATTCGGATCCCCCTGAATAGACCAGGCTCGCGGTTAGACATGTCCAGTTGCAGAATTCTGAATTGCACATCTCCTAGTTGCTGGTCTTCCAAAGACGAGTGTGAGCCATTCAAAGCAAATCCAGACATCGCTGGTCCTGGTGTAAGTAGAGTTGATTTGTAGCATCACTAGAGTTGGGCTCGGCTTTGATGAACCCCGGCTGATATATTTCTGTAGTCAATAGCTGCTTCTCTTGGATTGGCCTTCCTCGCCACCGCGACGTTAGTAATCGGTTATGTCTCTGATTCATTACCCGATTTGTACCTCTCGGAATTGGACGGTGCGGTCATAAAAGGATACCAAAACTCAACCTTTTCGATGAAGGTAATACCACTGATCCACAGATGGTGGGTTACTTTGAAGAGCAGGATATCAAGAATGCCTTTGGATGAAAACTCCGATACTGTAAAAAATCGCGTACTTTCAGAAGAACAGAAAATGCAGCGTGTTGAAGGTTTCACACGCTTCGTACTGGCTATGAGCGATCAGCAATTGGCAACTGGTCTCGCGGCCCTTGTGGCAGCTCTTGCAAACACTTGCACATTGTCTAACTTCGACTTCCAAATGGTAGTTGCTCTTGCATGGTTCTCCTCGAGAACACACCTAGCAACCCTCATGGTTCTCAAGAAATACTTTATAACCCATCCTGTCGTCCGGAATTTGCGCCTAATAGGGATTATTACTATGGTTATTCTATTACTCCTGGGACTTGCAACTACCGTTGGAGCCACTCAAATATATTACGGGATCCCCCTGCACTGTATCCTTTCACGACAGTATAAAGGTTACGTTACACCTGGAATTGCAGTTGTGATGGTCTTCAATATGCTTGAAGTCTTATTGACATACTGCACCTTCATCATACCTCTATTCCCACAGCTAGAGGAATGGTCATCAGCTACACTTGGAAATATAAACAAGAATATCAATGAGCGTAGTAGGGCATTAATGTCCCTACTCAGAGGAACAAGTCAAGAAGACCGTAGTTTTTTGCTTGAAGGACTTTACGACGAATCTTCGGCTTCCTTGCGGAAGAAACGATTATCGAGTCTAAAAAATTCAATGGAGGAAGATAAGACCACAATACGCATGATACTTCGTCGCTTCACGCACGTATATCTGGTGTATAGGGATTCTTTCCTTTGCAATTTTCCAGTGTTGGCTTTCGGGCTATCCAATGGCATAGCCCAGGTAGTATACATACGTCAAGGCTACGTTGGGACTCGACTCGAAGGCTTGGATGAAATGGGCTACGGGCAAATAGTACCACTATTCCTTCTCATAATCCCATTATTCGCGGCTGTGGAGGCATCCTACGGTGAGTAATATACGGTACGACGGTGGAAGAACTATATTGACAACGAATAACATAGAAAGTCATGCCGGGACTGAAGATGGCCGAACAACCTTGCAGTTACAGAACTCTGCAGTTATGGCTCAAACAACTAGCGTCGATGACCTTTTATTATCTTCTCCGCCAGCATTGCAGCGAGCTTCAAGGCCATCACTCAATTTGTCAGCTGATGGTATCACTGCCATAAATTCCGTCTCATCAGAATTCGAGGCCAAACGATGCAAACTTGAGCTTCTTTTTCTGAAAGAGTTAAACAACCTTTCAAAATTTGAGCGTGACATTGATCTAAAAGATGGAGACAAACACTTTATTGTTATTCAGCGAAAGGTCAAAATCTTGGACGAATATGAACAACTTCGTAAAGTCGAATGCGAAATGATGAGTAAAACATGGATGACTTTATCCATAGTTGGCATCTCAACCATGGTCTACGCCTTACTTGGATATGTTACCTGGTACGATATTACCCTCGCGCTTGTATTTTGGGGCGATCTTTACAGTTTTTTTCTATTTCGGTGGAGCGTGGAATCCCGAGAGTTGCTTAAAGAGATGAAAATTGGCCTCAAAGAAAGGATAGAGGCGCGTGACCGCATACTGGAGAACAACACCGGAAACCAAGTTGCTCACAGCCCAGGAACTGGACCAAGGCCGTTTGTACAAGCCAGCCCGCAACGGAGTTCCGAGACATCCCTAAGCCGTGAGACACTGAATCGCAACAGCAACCCAGACAACACAACAACTGCATCATCACCGTCAGTTGCGGAAGAAGTCCTGCCAGAAGATGACGGCCGCTCATTCCAGCTTCCGGGAAGGATGGACACCGAAGCCGACCTCGGCGTCCAAGATGTGCGTGTCAGGAGGAGAGCAACTTGGACGCAGTGATGGCACTGATCTTTCAGTTTGTTAATCCCCACTCTCGTTATGCGGAATGTTGTTGGTATGGACTATCATTATGTACGGAAACAATGAGGCTCTCGCATTCTTTCAATTCCGTTATGCTATTATGTGGAGCAAGGTCATTTCGGACGTAGTGCGTTAAGTTCCAACGTCTACCTACTTTTTCTCATACAAGTCTAGTCCCACCCTCTTCTTGTCAGCACGACAATTATACACTGCCTCTCCACACGCCCAACCATAACAAACAAACCAAGTAGCTCAATCCAAACTTTATAACCCAGCCAGTTCGGACTGCACACACATAGGCATTCCAGCACCCAACACCCCATCTCACATGCAACCCCCATGCCCCACATCCTCGCCACCTACTAACCACTACCCACCACTGACTCCGCAACCAGGGCACCATGCCACACCTTCTAAAACCCTCTTACGCCGCCACCGGCAGAGTGATGGTTTACTTCGCGGCAACGCCGGAAGCTCAAGCTCGCAGCTCCATAAATAGCTTATAGAAGGGGCATGAAGCATAGCACCGTACGTCCATGGAGTAAGGGAGGAGATGCGCAAATTAGATTACTCGCTCCAGGCGCTTTGGAGCCCTGGGTATCTAGAATACATGCATGTGCCTCCTGGTTCTGGTTCAACCAGGTCGACTTCAAAGAACTACAATCCCTCTTGCCCCTCCACCTACGAAGTACTGTGATGAGCCTCGTCCTCTGCCTCCATCTTCGCCGCCATTCTCTTCTCTCTTTCTTCTTTCTCCCCCGCCTTTATCTTCTCCCACTGCTCTTCCCTGTTCACCGGATTTCGGCTCCGGATCTTGATTTTTGACGACGGCTTCCACAACCCCTCCCTGCATTCCCTAATTCTGTGGATCTCCTCTGCGTCCTCAAGGTCTGCGCAAAGACATTCATAGGGGATTTCGATGGTAGTGGCCTCGATGAGGGTGCGCGTTGCTTGGGGGAAGGTATCGAGTTCCAAGATGACTTGGGACACGAAGTCTGTAAGTGGGAGGGTGAGGATACCAGGAAGGTGCTGGCCGGTTTCGCTGCGGAAGGCCTAGGATTGCGTTGGTTATGGCAGTAGATAGGGTGCGGTGGGAGGCTTACTTCATTCTTGACCCTTTTGATAAGTTGGTAGGTCTCCTCTTTGCCGCGAGAGTCTTTATCGGTCACTTCGACTGCGCGCCATACGGCAGCGCGGGCCTTTTTAGAAGGGTGGGTCTCCTTCCCCTTCTTGATTACTCGAAACTGTCGCCGAGTAAGAGGGCTGGAATCAAGGTCGAAGCCGAGCACGGTGCGAATATTGCCGCCCGTGTTGTAGATATAGTCATGGGCAATATTGGGCACGTCAAGGAGCTTCTGGCCATAGGAAATCTCAATAACGATGGAAGGCCAATGGCCCTCTAGATGCCGGAATTGGCTGTCTGGAGACTTTTGGTCTGGGTTATCCTCGTCGGTGTTGGAATCGGTCGTCCAAAAAATATTGGACCTGTACTCGCAACACACCTTTTCAAGAACGGGGCCCAGTTCCGTAGGGTGTTTGGCCTTTAGTTCATCCAGCTTCGCCTGTATCCGGCGATCAAGATTGTGGCGGAGGAGTTCGTGGAGAGCATTCGGGAACATACGGAGAATAAGTTCCTCGTCGTTACTGCTGTAGTCAAACCGAACCTTGTCCATGAAATAACCCCAGACGTCACTGTCATCGATGCATTGCTTCAGCTCGTGATACTCCTCCACCGGCAGCCGATATTTCGCCCACTCGGGCCTGGGATGCCTCACAATCCCCATTGTCATCTCCTTGAACACGCGAATGAGGCCCGGAATGTCGAGGTACTCAAGCTCTTCTGATTCGTTGCCATCGTTATCGTCAGACGGGTTGGTCGGCGCAGTCAACGGAAGCGACAGAGGAGCTTGAGCTTGGTCAGGAAGGGAAGAGCCCGAGGGCATAGGCGCGGCCATGGTTGAGCTGATGGAGAAGACGCAGTTGGCCGTCGCGCTCACTTGAGTGCACGTGAAGATGAACGATAGAGGTGACGGGCCTGAGCTGCTGGCAGTGACTGTATCGAAAGTGAGTTGACCGAATGGAAGAGAGAGAAGAAGCTGTGAAGGACCTAGGCAGCTGAGATGAGTAAACCTTCCAGCGGCCACGGGCTGTTGACGCTCTTAACAGCTGCTCTAGGCGAGAGATCGCTGGAAGCTTAGCGGAGGTTACACAAAGGTGCTTGTGTGACGTGTTGACTTCTGAATACAACAGTCAGAATGTACAAACGACCACGCAAAACCCAGACTTATATATACCAATGACCTCTCTTTAACAGTTTGGTGTTGCTGATTAACTCAGACGTTTGTCGCCAGCTTGACTGCGCGCAGATAATATGGGAAATCGTCGGGTCGAGCAGGGGCATGCGGGGTACCTAGCTCGCGGTAGGTGCCTGGCGGGACGGAAGGCGGGACGGAAGGCAAGACGGAGCGGAGCGGAGAGCGAGCGGTTATCGCCTACCTGGTAGTGGACGCCTCCCTTATGCAGGCACGCAAGCAAAGAAGACGCACATACGTGGTGTAAGCGCCCAAGTATGCACATCATATTGACAATCAAATCCCATCAAACTCAATTTACATGCACGCCCTCACGCTATCAATGCCACACTAGAGATACGCAATCCCCAGCTTCTTGCTCCTGAAAGCGTCGCGCCTACGCATCGGCCTAGCACCGCTGGCACCAGCACTAGCACGTCCCAGCACCGGCGCATGCCACTGCACGCCCCTGCGCGCGACAGCCGCCTCCTGCCCCAGACTCGCAAAACTGTCCGCGTACGTCGCAACCGCATGCGCGACCGCCTGCGCCGAGACCGTATACGCCGTCGCGTTCAGCTTGTCCAGCGTGTCTTCCACGCTGTGGTAGTACGCATCGTACGAGACGCCAGCCGTGCCACCGAACTGCTCGACCTCCTCCGGCGTCTTGATGCCCTCGGCGCCCGTGTCGATGCCACCGGCCGCGATGCCCGCCTCCAGGAAGGGCCCGTAGTCGGAGCGGCCGTTGAAGGCCGTGGCCGTGTGGTTGAGGCCGCGCGACTCAAAGTATTCTTGGAAGAGGTGTTCGGCCTCGGCGGAACCGGCCGGGCCCGTTGTGTTGAAAGTGTCGCCATCGCCGTCGTAGATGGCGTAGACGAAGTTGTGGGAGGCGAGCATGTCGAAGTTGAGGTTGAGGCGGAGCTTGGCTAGTTCGGCGGCTGATAGCTGCTCCACGTAGTAGGTGCTGCCAAGCAGGCCTTCTTCTTCGCCCGACCAGAACCCGAAGCGTACGGAGTTGGTCGTGGTAAAGTTGGAAAGCTGGATGGCGACTTCGAGAGTGGCGGACGTGCCGCTGCCGTTGTCATTGATGCCTGGTCCGGCAGCGACGGAGTCACTGTGCGCACCGATGATGAGCGTGTTGTTGGGGTCACCGCCTTTGGTCTGCGCGAGGACATTGAACCTGCGATTGAGTGGTCAATTACTCACTTTTCCTCTTTCGACGCTGGTTCAGTGGCAGGACTTACGTGGTCGTGTCAGTGATCACGACATTAGTGTAGAGGGCTGCAGTGATGGTCTCGCCGGCCGCAATGGCATCGACCCAACCAGTCCCTATCTCTTGTGAAACGGCGACGGTCGGGACATAGGGGCCCTCTTCACGAGGTGTACCCAGCGTGCCGCTCAGAGCGCCGGGAACATTGTTGTACTCGACCGCGCCGAGGGCGCCAGCCAGCCCGGCATAAACCGACTTGAGGCCAAACTCGCACTCGCCGCGAGAGATGAGGGCAATGTTGCCTTCGACCTCGGCTGGGTAATCGGACTGAGCAATGTGAGTCTGTGTTTGGTGCATAGCTGGCCGGGATAAGAGTGACCTACCTGGTCGCAGCCAAGGTTGCTCACGACGATCAAAGGAGCCGTGACATTGCCGCTGGCCGAGTACTCCATCACGGAGGCATTCACGGGACTGCCGTCGACGGACAGAGAGGCATCGGCACTTGTTTGGACCACAGCGTTCCACGGTTGGAGAGTGACGTCGTAATAGTCCAGGGCCGAGAGCTTGTCGTAGATATAGGTCACCGTATCGTTGTGGGCTTGGCTACCCATAAGACGGTTACGTTCAGGATAAGAATAGGCAAGGTCCTGGAGCTGCTCCGCATGAGCAAGGAGAGCCTCCTCCGTAACGGCGGCCTGGAGAGCTTTCTGTGTCTAGTTAGTAAAACGAAGCACAAAAAGGCCACGCTTCATACGTACAGATTCGACGGCAGGACGCCAGACGTCGCGTGGCTTCGGCTTCGGCTTCCAGCCATACGGATTCGGGGTGGCCGAGGCCGTGATAGTCAATGCCCCAAGGGCAGCGCCGTACTGGAGAGAACGCATGGTAGGGGAAAAGAAGGGACAGCTGGGCGATTCTCACGCTGCTGGCCGCAAGAGTGCAGGCGGCACCTTACAGCGGTTTAAATAGCCGGCAGAGCATGGTGGCGGTCTCGAGCATACAGAGGCTGTCGCGATAGGCCGGGATCCTGGCATCATGGCATCTAGCTGGAAGGAGCAGGAGGAAGCACCCCGCCACGATGGCCAAGCGCGGCCAAGAGTGAGGAGAGAGATAGGCCTGCTTGGCGGTGAAACGAGAGTCCATCGACCTTCCGCATTGATACAGGCGGCATGCGAGTGTAAAGTGTCTTGCGACTGCACTCCCGGCTCGCACGCGTTGATAGCTACTGCACTGCTAGTGGCGAGGCACCGCATGAGCGGCATGTGGCGGCAACATCGACCATTCCCGAGCTCTTTCTACTCCGTACCTGGCCATCATTGCCATCTCGGCCTTTTAATGCTCCAACATGTCGTCGACGACCCGTCCTCTCGGTCCCAGATTCCTCCGTAATCCGACGCATCAGCGTGCCTCGGTACCTGCACTGGCGTCGCGTCGGCCCGCACCCTGACGCGCCATGTCCACTGCTCACGCTGCTTAGCCTACTTTCTTTTCTCTTTCTCATTCTTCCACCATGTCAGGCACCGCGCGCCTCCCGCTCGTCGCCGCCATCGCCGTGGCGGGCATCTCGCTCGCCGCCGCGGCCTCGTCGCCCTCCTTCCGAGAGCGCGCCTGCAACCTGCTGGGCATTGGCGTGCCGGGCGGCTTATGGCGCTTACTGGCCATACTTCTGGTGCTGGTGAACCTGAAAAACCTGCCGTTTATGTGGCATGTCCGTCTCCCTTGTGTCTATTTGACTTGTCACAAAAGAGTGTACATATTATAATATATGTATTTATATTTATATAGCAGAGTGAGTGGCTGACACCGCACCACCAACAGATCCGCCTCTTCCACACCATGGCATACCACCTCTACCTGCAACCTACGCCGCTCCCGCCGCGCTCCCTCTTCCGCCCCATCATCACGCCCATTGCGCGCAGCCCGATCGCCGAAACCGACTATAACCTGCACAAGTCGAACAGCACGTACTTCAGCGACCTCGACATCGCGCGCACAGCGCTCGTGAGCGCGCTCCTGCGCAACGGGATCCAGAAGCGGAACACGGACGCGGCGTTGTCGCCGCCCAACGGCGCGGGCGGCGGCTTCGCCATCGCCCTCGGCGCCGTGTCCTGCCACTTCCGCCGCGAGATCGCGCCGTACGCCGGCTTTGAGATATGGACGCGCCTGCTGGCGTGGGATCGCAAGTGGCTGTATCTGGTCTCGCATATTGTGCGGCCGGGCAAGGCTAGGCCGGCACAGTACGCGCTGCAGCCGTGGAAGAAGGGAAAGGCGCAGAGGGAGGAGACCGAGGAGCAGCGCATCAAGCGCCTTGGTGGCGCGGTCTACGCTACCAGCATCGCCAAGTACGTCGTCAAGAAGGGCCGCTGGACTGTGCCGCCTGAGACAATGCTGCGCAGCTCGGGGCTGCTGCCGGCGGCGCCGGAGGAGAGCGAGCAGGGCGAGACGAATGGGCACGCCGAGCAGAACGGTCACGCCGAGCAAAACGGTCACGCCGAGCAAAACGGTCACGCCGAGCAAAACGGCCACGCCGGCCCGAACGGCAAACCCACCACCACCGCCGCCGCCGACGCCTCGACTCCCCTAACCTGGGCTGCTATCGAAGCCACCCGCCAGCAGGGCCTGCGCTTCGCGGAGAAGTTCGCCGACCTAGACGGCCTGCACGAGCTGTTCGACGGCGGCGAGGCCGAGGGCGTGCTCGGCGAGTTTGGGGACCTGGTGTGGTGAATGAGCTTGTTGTGCGTGGTTGCTCGTGTAGGTTAGTGTGTATGTATGATGGTGTGTAGATAAGGCTAGATGTGTAGATATAGATGTATAGATAGATATAGATAAATAGATAGCTGGATGGATGGGTTATGTATGGGGCTGGATGGCTAGATAGATGGATGGATGGATGCCTTGTAGGCTGGGGAATACCTGTAAAGATAGCTAAAGGAAAAGAGTCAGGACTTCAGGCCCAGGCACGCAAGCCTGAGGCAGCAAGCGTGAACGAGAGCGAGCGAGCGAGCAAGTGACGCGCTCCTCTCACCCATAGGTTCGTTCGTCTCCAGAGCCCTCCACCGCACCGCAAGCAACCCAAGCGCGCAACAGCAAGGAAGCCACGCAGCTCAACCCAACCCATTCCCCCCTCATGCAGCCAGTCCATACGTAGGTTTCAGATCTTTCATTCCATTCTCCATCCGTCCGTTCTCATCCACGTCCACCACCACATCCAACCACTCACTCACCCAACCAACACGACCCCGAAACGAAAACGAAACTCAACTAAACTCACGCAACTGAACGCAAAAGCGCCAACCCAACCCAACCCATCCCATCCCATCATCCCCAATCAATCCCATCCATCCATTCATCCCAGCGCATCGTGTCGCCACTCTAGACGCCCCTCAACACATACCATAAAGCATACAAACCCCCCGCAATCCCCGCAGCCCGAAAGAAAACTGGGTTGGACCGGACCGGACCGGACCGGACCGGACCCTATACCTATACCTTTACCTATATAACCCCTAGAAAACCTGGAAACCTGGAAACGCCTAACGCTCCCGTAATTGACGACCGAAAGCAAAGAGGAAAGAAAACAACGACGACGACTATAAAGAGGAAAGGAGGTAGTCGACGAGAAACGGTGAAGCTCATCTCTCAACGAGCGAGCAGCGAGTAGGCAAGGCAATGAGTATAAACGATCGATTGCGACTCATCACCACCAGCACCACAGTAGCAATCTCACGAATACCGGCCGCCCGACTCGCCAAACAGCTCACCGGCCTCGGGGCAATACCTCGAGGCGCCCTGGCCCTTGCTGCCGACCTCGCTGCCCCAGCACACGATGAGCGCGTCGAGGATGCCGCCCAGCACGCCCTCCATGGCGCCCAGCACGCCCCAGCCAATCGTCGCCGCCAGCATGCCCACTACGTACGCGTACAGGCTGCCCTTGTGCCCGGACACGGCGAGCACGCGCGCCGTGCTCACCCAGCCCCCGAACCCCAGCGCCAGCGCCATGACGAAGCGCGTCGCGTGCAGCAGCAGCTTCGCCAGCCGGTACGGCACCAGCTCATGGCCCGAGGGGCTCGAGAAGGACCGTGGCGTCAGCGTCGTCGTCGGGCTGCTTTTCGACACAAACGACAGCTGCGCCAGCCCATGCGCCGCCCGCGAGAGGTCCATGCTGTGGATGCTGGCGTACGTCAGCGTGAGCGGGTTCGTCAACGTCATGATGCTCGTCGGGATGAGTTGGTAGACGCAGATGCTGATGAGCGAGGCGAAGCGGCGCGGGAGCAGGATTAGCGGGAGCCGCAGCGCCAGTGAGAGGAAAGTGCTCAGGCACACGGTGCCGAACATTGGGCCTGTGGCGTGGAAGAACGAGGCCGTTGCGACTTGTCGGCTAGTCGGCTTGGGCATCGCGTGCCGGTGGAAGTACCACTGACTGACGGTCGCGGAGGTGAGGGAGCGCTGGATGCCGGCGATGACGCCAAGCGTCCACAGATAGAAAAGGACGTAGAAGACGCCCAGCCACCATGTGCTGAAGTCGATGATCCAGAGCGTCACCGTGCCGTCCAATCGCTTAAAGTGGCCTTCCAGGAAGAGACGCGTAAACACGGCGATCCAAATCCAGGTCCAGCAAACTGTGGCCGCAAGCACAATGATACCAACCATAAGCAGTGCCGGGCTAGCCGTAAGCACACGGCTGGCCAGCTCGAGAATCCGCGATGCCCGATGCAGCGAGCGACGCCCCTGGTAAACGGTGTACACCCAGACGACCGCACAAACGCCTGGCAACAGTGACAGCCAGCGCATCGCCCTGTCCTGGACGCTAGCGCCGTGCCAAAATCCCTTGAAGCTGGAGACAAACGGATAAAATGTGAAGGATATCAAAATAACGGGAACTCCGAGCATCATCAGCCTGATCAGTGGCCGCATGAAGTAGTGCAAAACGGCGAGCCAGAGTCCTGCCACGATCATTGAAACGAGCGTGTACACCGACAGCAGGTGGAAAGAAGAATGGAGCGTGGTATAGATGGTGTCGCCCAGCGGGTACTTCTTTTCCGGCGCCGCGGTGTGGAAGTAGACCAAGAACGCCGTCCCAAAGTACGCCGCTGCAGCGATTGCAAACGCAAAGGACCAGAAAGTGTCATGCTTGAACTCGGTTTCGTCGGGTTGAGGCGAGACTATCGTCTCGCGGTCGGGGCTTATGGGTCGTGCAGGGTTTGAGAGGAGCATCTCCTCGTCCGTCTCCTGAGGTATGGGGAGAGCCGTGTGCAAGGGGATACGGGGCGGTTTGATGCCCGGCGGCCGCCGGAACTGCTGCAACGATGGAGGCGAGTCGTCGTTGGCATGGTCGGAAATGTCTTCGTTGAAGTCGTCGAGGCTGTCCTTCTCCGTCGAAGTCAACTCCACATCAACCAGCCTGCCCTTTCCCTTGCTGCTGGGAGCGCTCGCTTCCGACATCCCGACGCTTTGCTCCCTTCCATCCCCTTCCTTGATCGGTGGTACCGTAGGTTCTCGCCCTCTCGCGGTAAAACGGCTCCCCTTCCACGAGCTGCGAATGCCCCTGCTGAAGGTCGGTCCGTCGTCATCGTCGTCGTCTTCCTCGCCCGGGCCGTGGTCCGACACCAACCTGTCTTCCTCGGCCTCGTCGAGATCGGAGGATTCGGTCAAATGACTGCCGCCAAACTGCTTTCGCGACCGCTGCAGGGCGTAAAAGTCGGCGACCTCGCGTTCGCGCTCCTCGTTGTCGTCCTCTTCCCGGAAGTCGTCCGTGGCACTGTAGAAGAGCGGAGCGGGCGCGGCCGAGGTCCTCGAGGCGAAAGGAAAGCGGGATATTTGCGATGCACTGGGCTGGTAGGGGTTTGGCATGTTGGACGGGCGCTGCAGATAGGAACGTGAGGTCTGGTAGCGGGAGTGCCCTGGGTGATGATGGCGGCTGGAGCGGCGGTCGTGGTGGCCCCGGTGGTCCGCGTTCTCCTGTGCGCCGAGCAGACGCGACTGCGACTGTGCGAGGAAGCGGGAGGCATCTGTTGATAGCTCAAAGGATCAGTGCTTGTCACGCGGGCAGCTGAGACAGCCCCGATCAGCTGGGGGAGCGATAAGAGGCTGGGTGACGTACATTCGGAGAACATGGTGAGCTAATGGGCCAGCGGGGGAGGAGCGCGTGGGGCCCAGAGCAGGTGGTGTTTTTTGAGAGTGGTGCGAGGGGGAGAAGGGTCGCGGGCGGAGGATGGGGCGGAGGATAGGCGGCAGCGATGGAGGTGAGTCGAGGGTGCGGCAGTCGGTGAAGTGAGGCTGCCTGCTCGCACCAGCTCCGGGGCGCTATCAGCAACCTGCGGGCGGCCGAGCCAGGTATAGTGAGAAGCAGGTATAACTAGGGTGCAGCCGGGAGAGACTGATCACCACGGCACATGTATAGTGTAATATGTAGGTAGTAGAGAAAGGTGGTTGGGCTATTGCTGGCGGAGCTCCCACGGACGAAAACGTCATTCGCCCTCGCGCCGCCGGTCCTCGACGCCGTCAAAGAACTGCCTGGACACACGTACACGTACACTTGTACATACTTTCCTACTTACCTACCACCTTTGTCAGCATCCCCAGAGACACGGCATAAAGCTAGTCTTTCTTCCTTTCCCCACCGCTGCTTTTTTCCTGCCCTAAACCTCTCGTCATGGCGCAACCGTGGGATTACATTGCCAAGATCGTCTCTCTGGGAGACTCCGCATGCGGCAAGTCGAGTGTATGCGCGCCCTCGACTCCAATTGTTTCTCTCCTTCGCCCTCGCTGACGAGAAGCAGCTAACCATCCGGCTGTGCGAAGGCCGCTTCTCCCCGCACCACGACGTGACCATCGGCGTCGAGTTCGGCTCGCGCATCGTGCCCGTCGGCCCGCCCGCGTCGTATGCGCTGAACATCAACAACCCGCTGTCGCCTGCAAAGCCCGACGATGCCGACCCGCCGCCGCAGCAGAAGCACATGAAGCTCTCGCTGTGGGACACGGCCGGCCAGGAAACGTACAAGTCCATCACGCGCTCCTACTTCCGCGGGGCCAGCGGGGCCCTGCTCGTCTTCGACATCACCCGGCGCAACACCTTTGCCAGCGTGACGGCGTGGCTGCACGACCTGCGGCAAATCGCCGAGGAGGGCATCGTCGTGGTGCTGGTGGGCAATAAGGCGGATCTGGCGCCGTCGTCGACAGTGGCAGGGTCGTCTGAAGAAGAGCACCCACACGCCGACGGCGACAACAAGCGCCAAGTGACGCGCGAGGAGGCCGAGGAGTGGTGCCGCGAGAACAAGGTCATGGAGTACGTCGAGACGTCGGCCAAGAGCGGCGAGAACGTCGAGCGCGCCTTCCTCGAGGTCGCCGAGCGCATCTACCAGAACATCGAGGCCGGCAGGTACGACCTCAACGACCGTCGCTCCGGCGTCAAGGGCCCCGGCGCCGGCGGCCTCAACACCGCCCGCACCATCAACTTGGGCATGAACGACGTGGCCGCCGCCAGCCGAGGCGCTTCCGCCGGAGGATGCTGTTGATGACGAGTCACGACCGCGACTGTGTATAATAATCTTCTTCTTCGTCCTTTCTACTTCTTCCCTTTTCTTTTCATCTCGCAATTACGCATTGGGCATATCACGGGCGTTTCAATGGGTAGTAGGTACGTAGGTACTGTAGAGTCAGTCAGTGGGCTTTGGGGGGAAAGGGAGCACGCACGCACACGAAGCTAGTACAGTCGGCGCTATCATCACCATCCAAGAGGCCTGCGCGTCGATCCTATAATCATTACTACTAGAAGCCAAACAAACACACAGACCCGCGCGGGTCGGTCCCGATACGCGACTCCACCCGTCCCTCCCGGGACGTCTGCTCGTCAGCCGTGCCGTGCCGTGCCATGCCTTACCACTCGCTCTGCACCATCCCCATCCACCCTATACCCGTATCCACACCCACACCCATACCCGTATCACAACGCCCCAAAGTCAGTCAGCCCGACGACGACGACGCCGACGCGGGCGTTTCCCTCTCCCATACCTTCCCTTCCACTCCCGCTCCCTCTGACCGGTGTCAACTCGCGCAACACAACGCAGACGCAAAGCAGACGCAAGCCCTGCAGCCCGGCTGCACGACGACGTGGCGCGCGCGCGCGGCAACCGCCGCCCTGCCGCAGATGCGGTACATAAGGTAAGGCGGCACCAATAGAAGGCAGCCGCGCAGGTAGGCGGCGCGCGCGCGCGCAACGCTGTGCGACCCTCTTTGTCCGGACGGCGGAGCGTTTATTCGCGCGTGGCTGCGTAGGTTTTGTAGTGTTGATTTGGTATTTGCATGCAAGGGCTATGGACTTGTACGTACGGGTGGGGTATCTAAGTATGCTAAGTGCTAAGTGGGAGAAGGAGTGGCTGTAGGAAAGGAAGCCGTGGAGAGCAGAGGTAAGGTTAGACCATCATTCGGCCGATGGAAAAGAAGAAAGCAATCAATCATCCTGCGCCGCTTGCAGCCTCCGCACCCTTACGACTTGACTGCGCCCTTTTGTTAACGGGAAGGATCTCCCTTAGAGCCATGTCCGAGTCCATGAACCTGATGTTCTGATGGTCTTCGGGACATTTAGGCTCCCAGCCAGGCCCGTGAACGACGACGAACTTGCGGTGCTTGTCCGCGTTGAACGAGGTCCAGACTGCAAATTGGACGACCAACCAGTCCGTAGCCTCTGTCGGGTCCCGTTTCCAGTGCTCGGCGTGGTCACCAACCGCCTCAATCTCGACAATCTGAGCATCTTTGCTAGGCTTGCCGTGCTTGTACTTTATCTCTGGCTGTATGAAAAAGGAGACTCTGTCGAAGGTCTTTAGGCGAATGTTTAAGTTTTTTCCCTTGTCCTTATCCGCAAGTTCCAAGCACCAGGCCTTAAGGTCTGGTCGGGCGGCAATCTTGTTGTATTGCCGTCTCCATTTAGGGAGTGCATTTTGGGTCTGTAAGAAAGCCTCGATAATCGAAAAGGCGTCAGCCGGGTGGTCTTCGAATAGGTCGTCAGTAACCATAATGGCTGCTCCTGTCAAAAACAAATGCCTATAGGTGATGTGGGGTGGAATGCCACCGCTTGAGGAACTGAAATTTGGTGAGAAAATATCCCTGCCGATCTCGATAAAGTTTATCTTCTTGGTGGCGGAAAGAAGCAAGTCGGCGAGCTTTGGGATTCTGTGGTATTTCCACTGGGCCGGGTGGAGCACAACGCAACCAGACTCGACGTATCGGAGCCAATAGTCCCATGACGTCGGTAATCCAACGTGGAAACATCTGGCCCCTAGGGCGTGGAAATAACGGGACATCAAGTCCAAGTCCTTTTTGAGCCGTTCATTAGAGTCGTCTAAATCGACCATCACGAAGACGTTCTTGTCAAGCAACTCTCCAGTATACCACTTGAAAAAAATCATGTGGTCTTCGATCTTGAACAGCTTGGACAACAAATCCGCGACTTTCTTTTCGGGGGCCGTGACACCCTCGGGATAGTTGATTAGAGGCATGTGAAACATAATCGGGTCCCGGAAATGGCATCCCAGTGCTGCATGTGACGTTGCAAGCGAGGGAGATGCAAAGCTTTTCCACTCTCTTTGGCTCAAAGGAAAGATTGCCAATGCAAAAGAATCCTGAAGAACCAGAGCAGCACATGAGTTCCGCCTGAGGTACTTTGCTAAACCCTCTAAGGTGGCCACTGACGCTGTTGAGGTGGGGATGATCTCGCACATATCACTCAGCTTGGAGGTGAGGTGCTTCTCCCGATATTCAGACCCCGGACAGGTGATTTTGATGCTGAGACACTTTCCTGTGCTCGTGTCAATGTTGAGGGACTTAGCACATTCCTCTGCAGTGCTGCTAAAGACTGGTCTGTTGGAAAAGGGTATTCCACTGATAGCAACCTCGCAGGTTTGTCCGTCATTTTCAGTTCCCGATATGTCTAAAAGCAGACGAATGGCGTTAAAGGGAACTTCGGGGAGGCGTGGGTCGTGTGAAGCACCCGAATCATTCCTCAGCTGTTTGTTTAACTGCGCAAGCGACTCAGGGCCCGAAGGAGGGTTGAAGTGAGGGTCTTTCGGCGGCTGGACAAGTGGCAACGCCGGCGTATCCATCGGGACACGCATTGATTTCTTCGTGAGAGGATTTCCGACCAAACCCGTGTTCCTGTGGAAGAATCTACACGTCTCTTCTGTGAAACGGCATCCTTCTCCTTTACCGATGTGGCCTTGGTACCAGTAGAAACATGTGAGAGCTTCTGGTTTAGGATGATTGGGACGGACATCCAGTGAAGGATCATAATTTGGCGGTGGTGCTGCAATATTGCCTGTGTCCTCGTGTAAATACTTGCAGTCAGCTCCCTTGAGGCATCCAAAACCCCTACCACGTTGTTGCTCCGCCCAAAAGAAGCATGTCACTGGTCCTCCAATTGGCATAGGAGGAGGAGACGGGCTTGGCGGCGGGCGTGCTGACGGATGAACAGGGTTGTCTGGACGAACTGCGCCGAATATGTTTGACAATGCCGCCGGCGCGTTGAAAGAGCCGACAGTCTGATGTTGATTGCTACCTTCAAGTCCACCTTGAAGAGGCGGACGGTGGAGGGTACGGCCCCGGTCATACCTCTCTTGATTTGACGGACGGCTGTGGGGACGACTCTGGTCATACCCTTCTTGGTCTGACGGACGGCGGTAGGGACGATCCGGTTCATGCTCTTCAGGGTCCTGTTGTGGGCCATGGGGACGGGTGCTTTCATGGGGTTGCCTAGGGCGGTATTCTGGAGCATCATGAATGGATTTGCGGCGGTTATAGAACTCTCTGACCCGAGGCTCCTCGGCGCCGCTTCGTGGGTCTATGAAGTCCATTTGCGAAAGGTCAGGAGGGCGTTCAGATCGCGGAGCGTTGAGGTTGCGAATAGCATCAGTCGCTGTTGCGAATGACCTGACATTCGGGTCAGGTTTCTTTTTACCCATAGTTTCTTCTTGGTCGCGCGGCCGGCGTGGCCTGCCGGGCCCTGATACTTGTTAGTGAGGGGATACACAAAAGGCTGACGTAGGCGTACCTTTATCTTCAGAGAAGAGCGCGGAAGTTGTTGTTGTTGTTGGGGGAGCGCTTTTATCTTGGTCTGCGAGCGCGAGCTTGCGACGCTTGGTCCTTCTCAGGGCCTTCCTGCGCTGGGATTCTTCTGCAAGCTGCCTTTGACCTTTCTCCCATTCCTCTACGTTGAATGGTTCCTTCAGTCCTTTTGCAATCTCCGTTTGGCTGAATTCCCAATTGTCTAACGGTGTGCGGCCATTGAAACTAGTAAGGCCTTCCCACGTGTTTCTTAATATAGTTAGATATGTATGTTAGCCTACAATAACCCGGTAGCAAGGGTAGCTGCTTACCTATGGTGATCATAACCCTGCCACTTGACGAGATACCGTTTGTCGCCGTCATCAGTCACCGTTTCCGCCACAATGCAATCTACGTCATATTCATCCTGCGGCTCGCTTTGCACCGTCGAGGTAAGGGAGATGTCAGAGTCGGAGAGCGAGCCTTCGAGCTCGTCGTCGTCGGGCGCCAGCGCAGCCATTGTGTCAGTGAGTGTCTGTGTTTGGTGTCACGGGGTTGGGTGACTGTTAAGCGTTGTCCTCAAAAAGGGCGATCCTCGTGACTGGCCAAGTTGCGAACAGAAGTGTTAGGCATAGACTAGGTGAATTGCTCAAGGCAGCAGCAGTCACCAAAGCGCCTGTTGATGTATGTTACGGGTACTTGCTGTGGGATTGACCAAGGATCTGGGCCAGCGACCAAATCCAGTCACGGCAGTGGCACAGTCCAATTGGGGAAGCCGGTCACAGGAGTGTTTGCTGTGTCGTGAGCATTCACTGTTGTTGCTGCATGTACCTATTGTAGTCCGGGCGTTTATCGTGGTTGATCAGGACCCGTTTGACAGTGGCCCGTGCGCAGCAAGTGGGATGGAGCAGAGGCGCGCACAGCTAGCTTAGCAGCTCAAGCAGCAAGCCGAAGCGCCACCTGGTAAATGGGGATTCGGTCGCCCGTTGCAGCCCTGGGTGAGTAGATGGTAGTTTAGTGTGTCAATGCCAGGCGCGCCGTTCAATGTACCCCGCCGCTGCTAGCGAGTCAGGAGGGCGGCGTCACGTGTAATTACCGCGCCTTGCTCGTCGGGAGGCCACCCATGGTTTGGAAACACCTATCCACGCACTCACCGTCACCGCCCTGACAACGTTTCCGTCCAGCGTAGCTTGTCTCCTCCTCCTTTCTCCCTAATCTTTTCCTGCCCTCTACACCACCACTGATACCCTGCCCAACCCTTCTCAACGCCACCCCCAGACTACCCCGCGCGCTACTCCCGGCTTACTCCCTGCAACAATGGCCAACGACGAATATGATGTGAGCTCTCTTTGACCTCATCCACCGCTTGCGCGGGCCCCGACCCAGCTAACCGTTTTCGCCTGCAGTTCCTCTTCAAAGGTGCCCAACCCTCGCTGCTTGACCTGCCAACGCGTGCGCTCACCGCTACCCCACAGTCGTTCTCATCGGAGACTCTGGCGTTGGTAAATCCAACCTTTTGAGTCGTTTCACGCGCAACGAGTTCAACCTGGACTCCAAGTCCACCATCGGCGTCGAGTTCGCCACCCGTTCCATCCAGGTCGATGCCAAGACCATCAAGGCCCAGATCTGGGATACCGCCGGTCAGGAGCGTTACCGCGCCATCACCTCCGCATACTACAGAGGCGCCGTTGGAGCACTGCTCGTCTACGACATCAGCAAGCATCAGACCTACGAGAACGTGACCAGGTGGTTGAAAGAGCTGCGGGACCATGCCGACTCGAACATTGTCATCATGCTGGTGGGTAACAAGAGCGATCTGCGGCACTTGAGAGCGGTGCCCACGGAGGAAGCCAAGCAGTTTGCCAGTAAGCATCCCCCCGCCATTAGACGCAGACTATATCCCACCGGGGCTAACGTGAATACTTGCAGGTGAGAACAACCTGTCCTTCATCGAGACGTCCGCCTTGGACGCCAGCAACGTCGAGCTTGCTTTCCAGAACATCTTGACAGGTATGTTATTCCTCTTCGCCTACATAAGAGCTCTCGCGATGCCTTCAATCCATTGCACGACACATGCGCAGGCCCGGCGATTGTGCGGGCCTAACAAGATTACATCCACTCTGCGCGCCTTCGTTTCTGAAGCGCATCAAAGTCCGTATCACAAAAACATTAGCTGATAACACGTCATTTCAGAGATCTACCGCATCGTCTCCCAGAAGGCCTTGGACCAGGGCGAGTCCACCCAAAACCCCATCGGCGGCGAGCGCAGGACCCTCGAAATCACGAACTCTGCAGACACCGAAGCCAAGCAAGGGAAATGCTGCTAGAGGTCCTCCAACTTCTCACGTTCGCTTCATACCCACACTTGCTGGAATTTTGATGAGGGGTCTGAAGGGGCCTGAAGGGGCGACCTGGCTTCATGACGAGGCGAATCTAGTTACGGTCTGGCGTCCGATTGCCCACGGAGGAAGGCTGCTTGCTATCTGCCGGTTCTGTCCTTTTTTGCTTTTCATAATTCATGCCGGGCAGCATGGGGGGTTTTCTTTGCTGTTGACGATAAGCCTTATGGTCGTATGCTTGTTCACGAGAGAATGACTACGACTTTAGAACGACTTTCGAACGCTGTATTCCATGAGTTCCTAGCCAGCAGTTGGACAGACGCCTTTCCACAATCCTCTAATTTACGTGAACTGTTCGAAGCTTCCAGCTCCAGTCTGACGAGGTAACATGTTAAGCTGGCCAATTGCAAACAACGAATTACAATTTGTCCATTTTTACACTTCATCACTGTGAAATATAAGCAGATACCACGGACCGAGTTAGGCGTGGTCTTGAGTTATATTTATTGCGAAAGCCTATCTCTTAAATATGGCAATCGGAATAACTAAACCTTGTAAGAAGGCCTGCCTTTCCGGCTGAGACAAAGATCCCCAGTCATGTATTCAATTGCGTCCGCGTATCCTACTTCTCGATATCTCAGTGGACCAGAGGCATTCGCCTGTAGGATTATGATGACTCAACCCATGCCAATCACCGCACTCTGATGAAAGCTGAGGATCTGGGGTTGCAAGCAGCGCCAATGACCTTAGCGCGCGGGAGACAATTATACTCGTTGGCCTACGTGATCGAATGGTTATGCATCAGAGCGGTAGTTGATATATGCGTTCATCTGTATTTTTGTCTTCACGCATAGCAGCGAAATGAATTGGAAGCCACCTCGCTGGCAAGCTTTGTGCAGTATGGACATGCATTTTATTTACAATGAAAGGATCCTACAAGGCGAAATATCAGTGACATGACGGTCTAAGCAGTATCATGGTGCAACAGTTTTTGCTGCATCAACTGCTCGCGAGTTTGTTGCTAGCAGCATACGCACCCGGAAAATGAAAGACCATTAAAAAAAAGAGAATAGAATAGATAGTAGCTGTAAAGAGAAAGGTTGCTCCCACGTCCGTGTTGCAGGTGGACTACAGAAAGCTAAGCTGTGTACGGCTTCTTTATACTTTGTCGAAACCGGGGATCGAAACTTAGACTCTGCTGTAACCTTTACACTAGACTGGGATACTTTTTACCGCATGGTAATCCCAGACCTAGTGCTTGGGTCACCCAACGCCTATACTGGTCAACTGAACTGGCACCCACATAAACAAAGGTTCCCCTTCACCGCCGGTCACTTGTTGACAGCATCTCAGTACCTCAGGTTGGCAACGGCTTAGTGTTGCACCCAGCACCTCCACCTTCACCTTACATGAACCGACGCCACGCTGGGGCGCAATCTTGTAGCAAGACGCGCGTTTGCACCCACGTCAGCAGCCATACGCCGATACAGGGAGAAAGAAAGAATGCAGAACTCTAATAATGGCATGGAGTACCGACGGGATAATGGAATCACCAGGGTATAACGCTCCATATGGTTTGCTGGAACTGTGTTCCTTGCGGCACTCTATCGTGCCTCCCAAGCTCTTTCAAGACACTGTAGTTCTCACACGGAACATGTACAAATTTACCCTCGCACAGTCAATATACTCTCCTTTTTTCTTTTTTCTCCTTTGTTGCTGTGGCTAAACGCCCAAACCATACGATGTCTGACACCGTACCACCATCTTTGCAGATTTTCCGTCTATAATAACCCCAAGAAGGTAAGGCAGCATAACGGGTAGCATCCGAATTAAATGAAAAGTCATGGACAAGCTTTGAGATGAGCAATCCAAGAATTCATCGAGGGCTTCGCATCATTCAGTCATCAGCCCTGCACAACAGCATGAAGCATACAATGAGCAAGCCGCGCCAGCTTGTTGATGCCGAAGGACCGAGGCAAGATGCTTCTTCTCGATGAGCTGACGTTGGGTAAAGATTCGGGATGTCTTCGGACAGGCATCAGAGCTGCAGGGTCCCCGACGAGCTCCGCTGCGCCTTGACCACTCCACCAATGCTTGCTTTATCATTGACGGAATTAATCGAGTTAAGCAAATTTATAGGTTAGCAGACTTGCGCGAATAGACGGGACAACACAGCAGTTGTACAAAGTGTAGCTGCATTGGGTGGAATTCAGTGTCTAGGTCTGAGCTTCTGAGTCGTAATTCGCTATCTTCGCAAGTACAGAAACCTGAGTCTCTTGCGACAGACATTTCTTAACTTCACAACAACCCCCGTTTCACCCGGATATGCCTACACCTTGTAAACAGTGGACATTGATTGAGGACCACTGGGGTGTACTGCTGTGAATAGAGAGACCATTCGATCCATCGGGGAAGGTTTGAAAGCAGCTGCGCGATGATGGGAATCTATTCAAACAATTCGATATAAGTGTTCACTATAAACAAATGCGCGAACATGTCAGAGAACATCGTCTGTCAATTGACATTCCGAGCGTGCCTACCCTGTAGCTCGTATCGCCCTGAACGTGGGGTCGCGCAGCGCGCTAGCACGTGCTGATAGGGAATCAGGGATCGACAAGCCGTCTCCAGAAAAGTTCCCGCCGACTTCACGAGAATCCAAAGATCAACACACAACTCAACATGGTTTTGTCGCGCACGCTCGGTCGCTCCTTGCGCGCTCGTGAGGACGATGACGACTCGGAGCCTTATTCCGACGAGCTAGAAGGCAGCTCGCCATCTGTTCTCGCTACTGGTGAGGGCGGAGACATTGGAACTCCGGATCCAGAATCTGCTTCTGAAGATGACGAGATGGAAGTTTTTCAGGGCGAAGAAGAGGTATTTTGGAGTTGCTGTAGCAGCCTTTTTAGCGCGCTAACTAAACGTTCCAAGGAAGACAACGGCGATGAAGTGAAGGAGCAACTCAGCAAAGTATCTTTCGGTGCGCTAGCCAAAGCGCAAGATGCTCTCTCGAAACAAAACACCGCAACCAAAAAGCGCAAACGAGGTTCAGACAATACTGCGGATCAAGAAGACAAGTTACAGGCATTGCGCGAGCGATTGCGTGAGCTTAAGAAGACCAAGCAGAGCGGAGACGGTGCTGCTAGGAAATCTTCGGCAAAGAAGTCGAAGGCTGCGGCTAAGGAAGAGTCGGCTGGGGAAGAAACTTCTGCGAGCGAACCAGAGTCTGATTCTGAAGATGAGGCATCAGCCAAACCGAAGTCACGGTCGTCCAAGCATGCGCCGGCCGTTCAGTCCAGCAAGAAGCCAGTCGGTCGTAAGAGGCAAATTCTCGAGACATCCAAACGGCAGGCACGGGATCCGCGTTTCGATGCTTTATCAGGGCCCGTCAACGAACAAAAGCTGAAGAGCAACTATGCTTTCCTGAATGACTATCGCGAGTCCGAGATGGCAGAACTCAAGGCCACGATCAAGAAGTCAAAGAACGAGGCAGACAAGGAGATACTGAAGAAAAAGCTCTTGAGTATGGAAAGCCAAAAGAAGGCCAGGGAAACGAAGGAGCGGCAAGAGAAGGTTCAAAGAGAGCACAAGATGAAGGAGAAGGAAGCAGTGAAGGAGGGCAAGACTCCGTTCTACCTCAAGAAATGTAAGTTTTTCACAGACCATTATGTGGTACGAACTTTACAAGTATATACACTAACATTTAATGCTACAGCCGACGCGAAGAAGCTTGCACTTGTCGATAAATTCGACAGCATGAAGGGTAAGCAAAGGGACAAGTTGATGGAAAGGAGGCGCAAGAAGGTTGCTTCCAAGGAACGGAAGAACATGCCCGCAGCCAGAAGGATGGCTGGCTAATAGCGCGGCTTGTCAACCGTGGCTTTTCAGCTACGCGGCCATGTTGCTTTGAGGCTGTTGTGAGAAATAATGGCATTATCAGCACGCAGGAGTATAGGCCCCTGCTATGCTCCCGTCCCGTCACACGGTACTTCTAGCTTTCCATGAGTTCGTCAGTCTCCTTTCGTTTGACTCGGCATCTTTCGCCACGGACCCAGGTTCCAGCCACAATTTTTACCATGCAACGACAACAACCCTGTGTCTCCATTCCGAACGCAACACACATCTGTTCAGAGAACCACCAGGAGAACAACCAAAGAAACGAAGCAAGACTGATGAGGAAGCATTAACTACTGACGATGATCGAACAATCGGAAAGGCTAGATGTCAGCTGATGAAAGGCAATGAAGTGCCACACCCATGCCAAGCGGTTGTGGCTTGAAGTGCGCCTGAATTGCCCGTTGACATATCAGCTTTGTTTGGCGCTCTCTATAGAAGCCGGTGTGTCTTGGCAACAGGTCTTCCCGAGACAGGCGCAAGTCATGCCATGTATGAGCCTTGCTAAGCCCTATGTAAGTATCTTGACAAGCCTAGGCGCGTTCGGTGGCGTCGGAACAACACCTCTTAGCTTTCCTTTTCAGCAATCCGTCAGCCGCAAAGAAGCAGACGTCAGAGACACTACCTATGTGTAATGACAGGGTCGCGGTCCGAATGCCAGCCCTGCGGTGCACCAGGCAGTCATACTCCTCTACTGTATGGCCTTAGCGGTAGCTATATATATGTTGAGGGGCTGTACTCACAAGATCGTCATAGCTCCTTCGTGTGTTCTAATGTTAGCCGGGCTGTCAGACATGATATTTCATACCAAGCATTACTAGCAGAATTGTGATCTATGTCACAACAAGGTAAGTCTTTCTTTCATATAAACTTTCGCTGTCGCCCTCAAGAAGTAATATTTGCAACCACCTCGCTCCAATCTCCACTTGTCCTCTTTCCTCGTTGTGCCGAGGCTCATGTTGTGAGACTCTGCTCAGCTTTGTCGCACGCGACGGCCAAACGGAACCAAGAACACAAAGAACTCTCGATCCCAACCGACGGGGCGCTGCTGTGGCACATTCTGTGGCTTTCGGCGAGGCAGTTCGAGGCCTGGTCGAGCTCGTGGTCACTGACGTCTACTGGTGCTTGTTTGCTCTCTTTCCTTTCTTCTCATATCACCAGGCTGTCCCGTACTTCTCTTCCCTCCAAAGTCATATCATCTTCTTCCGTCTTCACTACAGTTTTGGATCTACACCATGTTTCGAATCAACCAAATAGCGCTTGTCGCCGCTTTAGGCTTCTCGTCTATCAGAAGCGTTACTTGTCAAAAGACTACCGAGGCGGTTTCCTCTATTGCAGTCTACTCAACTACATCATCATCTACTACTAGCAGCAGTGTACCGACTCATACTGTTCTCATCGGGAAGGCCGATCACAAAGTTCAGCCAGATGTTGTTCAAGCCGCAGTGGGCGACATGGTCCAGTTCAACTTCTATCCTGCCAACCATTCTGTGGTCCGCGCCGAATACCTATACCCATGTATCCCGTATGAGATGACGGGAGCCGACAAAGTTGAATTCTTCTCTGGATTTCAGCCCGTAGATGCTATCCTTGACGATGTAAGTGTCCTTTCTATTTGCGCTAAAGACTGCACTGACAACGACAACAGCCTCCTACATACACCATACGGATCAACGATAGTCTTCCGATTTTCTTCTATTGTTCTGCTCCAGGTTCATGCATCAACTATCAAATGGTAGGGGTGATCAATCCGGTAAGTTTCGTGGCCGCGCTTTCATTCGCACTGTTACTGAGTCTAGGAAGAACAAATCGGTTTCACTTGATGCTCATAAACAGCGAGCTGCGAAGAGTTCTTTTATGCTGAACCCAGGGGAGAAATTCCCTGATGAGGCCGCTTCGTCATCTGCACTAGCACCGCAGTCCTCTGTAACTTCGCCCACTACAAGCGCCTTGCCTGGCAGTGAGCATGAAGACAAAGGACTCTCAGGAGGGGCTATAGCTGGGATCGTCATTGGAGCGGTTGCTGCAATTGCAGTGCTTGCTGCACTGTTCTTTTTTGTTGGCCGGAACAAGTCGCTCAAAGAACGGGTTGGTGGCAATTCTGACAACGTCAACCCGCAAGGCCCGCAGATGTACCAATCCCCATATCAATCACCAGGAGGGGCGTTCTCTCGGGTACCGCAGCACGACCCGTACTTTGGCAATGGTGGCAACGAATATAGGCCTGCAATGGTTCCTCCCCAGACAGGCGGCCCTCCTTTGTACTCACCATCCAACGAGTCGGGGCACCGCGGGTATTTCACGGAAGTCGGGGTGCATCCCTCGACATTGGCAGACGGGTATGTCAAAGCGCTGGCGACACCCCAGGCATATCATGCCAGGCTAATGCAGAGCCGCAGGATGGCGCGAACGTCGGAAGCAGGCAGTCCGCCGCCGCAGCAAGCGCAGCGGGAAAAGGTGCACGAGATGGCTGGGTGATGTGGGGGGTGGGTCTGGGGGAGTTAATGGAGCATATGGCGTTTTTTGGAAGGACCTCGATCGTAGCTACTTTCTTTGTTGGCCATGGACGCGGACTGGCCTGTCCATAGGTAGCAATATACCCCCTGACGACGTGGATGAGGTGCGATGGAGATACCCCGCCGGGCTTGGGCTGCCAGCCAATTGATGCCCACGTGTGCGCGCCCATGGAGGAGCTATAAGACGGGCTGCGGCTCCTGACTAACGCGCTTTTGTCTTTGTCTGACGGCGAGACGGCATCATGCCTGGGTGACGAGTTGACTTGAGAGAAACCCGCACACGCAGCGAAAAACACTTCACGCCGGCCATGCTAGCGAATTCGCCCTCGCCCTCGCCAACCTTCTCCGCCTCCACCTCCCCGGCGTCCGCCTTCCGCCCGCCCCGGCCATACAATGCCTCCTGCCGGTCGTCGTCGTCCAGCGCAGTCTCTCCCCGCTCCTACGCAGCTCCGTCATCGCGGCAGCGCCTAGATGCGTCTTCCCCAGCCGCCGCCGCGCTCGCGCCCACAACTGCCCGTTCCCCCGTCGTAAGGCGTCAGACCTCTGATGCTGGCACCCAGTACACGCCTCCCGACTTCCCGCCCACCTACCGGCCAACGACGCAGACCAAGAGGCAGTTCAGCGCCAGCCGCCCCGACCCTGAGCAAGCCAGCCGGGCCAAGCGGAGGGAGACCTTCGCCGGCGACCACACGGACACCACCACGGCGGACCCACCAGAGCCGCAGCCGCGGGTGACCCCGCAACCGCCCGCTGCCCAAGATGCCTCGAAACACGCCTCCATGGCGCCTGGCCACGCCGATGCACCCCCGGCGCAGCCTGCCCCGGCCTCCAGCTGCAAGCTCATGCCCCTCAAGTACGAGACGTGCGACGTCAAGGACCTGGGTGTCTTGATCTCCGACATGCTCATGGAACTCGTGCGACTGAACGATGGCCTTCCGTTGCAGGACGGCCAATTGACGCGTTTCCACTCGAGGTGAGTGTCGATGTGGACACATGGGCCGCGCTGCCTCGATCTAACTCCATCTCCAGGGCACCTCCCAGCATCTCCGTCAAGGATTACTTGAACCGTCTAATCGTACACGCGACGCTCTCCCCGCCCATATTGCTTTCCATGGTTTATTACATCGACCGCCTGTGCCTATTGTACCCAGCCTTCACCATCAGCAGCCTCACCGTTCATCGTTTCCTCATCGCAGCAGCCACGGTAGCCTCCAAAGGGCTCAGCGACAGCTTCTGGACCAACAACACGTACGCTCGAGTCGGTGGTGTCAGCACGAGAGAATTGGCATTGCTAGAAATGGAGTTCCTCGTGCGGTTAGAGTGGAAGATCGTACCGAAGCCCGAAGTGCTGGTGGACTACTATAGGAGCCTGGTCGAAAGAAGCGAAGGATACGTTCTAGAAGCCGACACGCCTGCATGAGCTCCCTCCCTAGCTGACGGTCCGCTCGGAGCGGCACCGCGAGATCAAGGATGCCCCGGGCCGCGCCCATTGGGCGTGAGCAAGCCGGGAGAAGGCCATGTGCAAGTGTTGCGAGACGATGGCTCCAACCGAAGAAAGGCTCGGGCCGGGGTTGCAGGGGTGTTGTTTGGAGACACGAGTGGAGGAAGGCATATTCTCGGGGCGGCGTTTAGGGATAGCATTGCATTGCATTGCATAGCGGATACCATGCTGGATGTCAAGTCGCGAGTTTGCCGCCGGAGCTTTTGCCAGGCGTTTTGATAGAAGAAAGCAGGCATCGACAGGAGCACATGGACGTGAGAGTGATGCGACAGACGAGCAAGGGCCGTTGCTGCGTTGGTCCAATGGGCTTGCTGGCGGGCATCCCCGCAGCCCTGTCGTCCGCTAACAGCCTTACGAGCAGTCAAAATGTGTGCATGACCATTGCGCGATCTGTCCTGACGCCATTCGAGGAAGCCGTATCAGTTAGTCTCGACTTCGAATCCTCCTTCCAGCCGCCCTCCTGCCCCAGCGACGCGGACGGCTCTGCTTGGCCAGCCATTTCCCGGTCCGCGAGAGTGAAATGAGCGTGAGTACCTCGTACACGCGCGTAGAGGAGCCGCCGTCTCTTCCTTCGAGGCCCGTCCCGCACCATGGCGCGCACCATTTGACATGCTGTCCGCAATGACTCAACCGCTGACGACGACGCCCAGCTGCTCGTGCAGACCGCCAGATGCTTTTGGGGCCCGATATGAAGATATCATGAATGGTGACTTAGACCACTGGGGACCCCGCTATGGATCTCCAGCTGCGCAATGGGCCGCACCTCACTACGCGCCGGTACCAAGCCCTCCAATCCTCCACCCTCGCAAACAAGAGCTAACACCCTCGCTCTCGCCAGCCCACGGCCGTCGACCGAGCACGCACACAGCCACCCGCCAAGCGCAACTTTTCCGACCCAACGTCCCTCATGAATCCGGACGAGTGGGCGCTGCCCGTCCGCCACAAACAGAACGGCTCGCTGCCCTACGCGACGCCCTCGCTCCCGCCCGAAGGCTCCGTTGACTCGTTTGAGGGAGAGAAAGAATGGCCCCCGGACGATTACACCCTGGACTCGGCGATGGACCTCGCCGAAGCCGAAGACATTGTGTGCGCCGGAGCTTCCACCTTCAAGGGCTTTTTAGACGACGCGCCGGCCGCGCCGCCAGGTCACTATCGATTCTACGCCGTCATGGAGAACGAACACTCGGGGAGGAACGATCGGTGCCTGCATCAGCACGAGGCCTTCAAGGACAGCTCATTGACCTTGACCGGGCCGGCGGACAGCGCATACCCGTGGGTCGCGCTAGAACAGCCTTGCATGGCATACTGCTTCGGGAGGCGACCGGGGACGACGACTTTGAATTATCGCGTGAGCAAGTCGGGCAGCATCCAGCCGACGTTGAAGTATGGAGCTGAGGTCAAGCCACGGAAGATTAAGCTGCTGCATATACTGGACCGGCTGCGGGATTTGGAGAGAGGCTTTGAGGACGATGTTGGTCACACCCGTCCTCTCCAGAGTAGGTTTGGCTAGGTTCTCTAACGGAGACTCACAGGCACCTGAGGAGCTCTATATCTATCTATACAACAACCTGCTGGACGACCCTGACATGAACGATGAGCCCCATATCGGAATAGAGAGGCAGATGACAGACCTCATCATCATCCTTACGAGTCCGGACTGGGTCGATTTCAGTCAGCCAAAAAACCAGGTCGTGGCCAAGTTTTTCGAGACGAACGACCACGTGAGGAAACAAAACTTCTTCCATCAGCTGCTTCTCTCCGTCGAGCTCTATCTGAGAGTCCACCTTGACATTCATGGCGAGAAGGCGAAGAGGCAACTCCTGCAGAAGCTGCCACCCAAGGTCCTTTGGGATCTGGCTGTGGCGCAGAAGTGGCTCGAGAACATGTCAATTATGAAATCAAGAACATCTTCGAATCAGAGTGTTTTCAGCTTCGAGCTCAGGAAAAAGAAGCGGCAAAAGGAGGCTCTAAAAGTCTTTGCGCAGGTCCTGAAATGGCCTAATCTGGCAGAGGTCAACTACATTTTGGAAGAAAAGAGCAGATACGAAAAAGCAGTCGAGGACCGTTCTGCGGATGCCATGTCTTGGTTTACTGGCGTCGTTCTTCCTGGACCGACTCTGCCTTGGCTGCTGATGAATTCGCTGATCGACTGCGACAAGGATACCGGCCCCTCGCTCAAATATCTTACGCACGTTGTACCGTCATCGGGCTTCCAGTACAAAGCTAACACTTACTGGTCCCACCGGTGCATAGTGGGTAAAGTTCTGGGGGCTTCAAAGGGCGTCAACCAAGTAGCTGGTTGGATTGGGCCGTGCAACTACAGCCCAGATCTCAAACGGACAGAATGCGTCAAGATCAGGCAAATTAAGACGCCAGGGTACAAACTGACAGCGTTAGACGTGGAGACTATGAAGGAACGAACGCATCCTTTGGGGCCCGAGGAGGCAGATTATCCCGTCAACGACTACGAATTGTTGGTTCCGGATATGGAGGATGTTACCAATGACATCCGTGTAGAGAAGCTGAGCTTCGCGCCTGTTAAGGACCAGCAGCCCTCAAAGCATGGTTCCGAAGCGCCTCTGCTGTTTGATGCCGCGATTGTTTTCGCTTGCGGTGGGGATAGCTGGCCGATGAGATTGAAGTACGACGTTGATTTCATCTCGGCCTATCCCTGTCAAGGGGGACCACACGGTAGGCACCGATCCATTTACTAGAATTACCGCGGGGACTTTTAGACTAATACGTTTTACAATCAGTCCTATTTTTCGACTACCGTTATAAGAGCATACGCGTCGATGATGGACTCGTCGACATCCACGAATGGGGCCCGCGACCACCACGCCAATCTTCGTCTAATCGCTCATCGCCCACATCGTCCCGGACGCTCTCTCAAACGTCGATAGCGGCAGATGCGGCGCACGCGCATATAGACCGCGTGCTGGCAATTGAGGCGTTGGGCGTCAGCGACAACGAGGTGTTTGCCCGGGCATGGTGCGCGCACAACGGGCACAGCGCCGTCGTGGCCAACATCAAAGAGACGTGCATGGCGTGTGCGATCAGGGAGGCGTATGCAGCGTGCGTGAGTGTAGTCATAGTGACGGAGGGAGGGGTGCCGGGAGAAAGGGACGAAGACTAGCGAAAGGAAAGAAAGGCAGGCTTCTGGCGCAAATGAGGACTGGGCCAATAATACCCCGGGCGGTTGATGTCTTTGTGTGTCTTTGGGGGAGTTTGAGCGTATGTAGGTAGTTCATGACCGGGGGAGAATGGAAAGCTGGATATTTGTAGGTGTAGAGTAATATTCTGACCGAGTGATATTTCGAATGGACGTTTATATGTACAAAATAGCTGGATTGGCGCTTTCTCGGCGGCTCTCGAGAGGCAACAACGTCACGTCTCCAAGAGAGAGAACAGTGAGAGCTCCCACGCACCTTCCTCCCAACAACCCGTCGCATCAAGCACGCAGCGTCAAGAGGCCGTGCAGCTGCCTGGAGCTCTAATCCACCGTCGTCCGATGGCCTGTTAATCTTTTTTCAGCGTATCCGCCTGAGAGCTGCCCACCCTCCTCCGCAACTCCGCACCGACTATCCCGCCAGACACGCCCTAGCCTCGAGTCCTTCCCGACCAGACCCCGCCTCAATCCGCCGCTTCCCGCTGCCCCTCCACCGCCCCCCGACCCTCGCACAATGACGCGCGCCCCTTCGCCTGCGGGGCTCGACGAGCTCCGCAACCCTACCTCCGCCGACGCCCAGGTCGCCGCCCTGAAGCAGCTGAAAAACTTCATAGTCGGCCACGACCAGAGGAAAGAGCTGGCCGTCCGCCGCGGTATTGTAGCGCACCTGGCGCGCGTCCTGCAGGCAAATGTGAAGGCGTCGGGCAAGAGGCGTCAGCGCCAGTCGAACGGCGGTGCCGCTGCGGCGCAGAATGCGGAACAGGCGCAGGAGGACGATATGCGCTTGCAGGCTACCTTCATCGTGGAGAGCTTGGCCCACGGTATGTTACTGACTGCTTGGCCCTAGTGCGTCGCGTCAGACTGGCTTGGCTGACAATTTGCGTGTGTCTGATGCAGGCGGAGCACCGTTCGTGACGCCCATCCTTGCCGGAGGCCTTCTCCAACCGCTTCTGGGCGCCTTGTCTCCCGCTGAAGCGCCCCCAAAGCTTCTGACAGCCACCCTACGTACCCTCATAGCGCTGAGCAGCGCCACCAGTACAGACCCATTCCCCAACTCCACGTCGGCGAGGATAGCAAGGGAACTGTACTATAAGCCGGAAGGGGACAGCCTCTTGGAGATTATCGCTCAGCGATCGAATTCGTGGATTACGCTGGAGCAGGTGGGGTTGGCGGCTTCACTCATATCCAAGACCTGTCGGGAAGAGAGCCACAAGTCTTTCTTGGTCAAGTCTGGAGTTTTGGACAGTCTCGCAGCGCGCTTTGCATCTTATGCTGTATCAGAGGGCTATGTCAGGCCAGGTTCAGATGCTTCGTATATTGCCAGCCTTCCACCTGCTCCGAGGCAAAAAGAATTTTTGGCGGTCGTCGAAGCCATATCTACCATCATATCTCCCTCGAATTACAGGATAGCCGTGTTCCTCTCCTCTCCGGCAATAGTGGCGGTGTTCCCTGGCCTTCGACTTTTGGGCCCCGATGAGAAGCAGGCCATGTTGACGAGCCCTCGGCGTCCGCACGCTGTCCATGCTGCTGAGATGTTACTCCCTCAGCTACAGCCAGCCCAAGGAAAGGAAAGTAACTTTTCGAGAGCCTTCCCCGCCCTTGGATCTTTGTCAGCTCCCAGCGAAATGTCCCGGATATCGAGTTTCGCCGACATTCAGTCACAGGCAAACGCGCAATACATCACGGGCGAGGAGTACGAGAGTCCGATATACGCCTGGCTCATACGCAAGACAAGGGAGGCACATGGAAAAGAGCAACTGACTTTCATGCGCTTGTTGGAGATACTCATGGCGGACGCGGAAAACCACATCAGTGAACGCCCGTCAGAACATTCGAGAGAGGGACAATACCGGTTACTCTCCATCCTCATTGTGCCTTTATTGGCAAAAATGGTCGACGAGGCCAGCTCTGGAGACGGAAATGGCAGCTCCAACGGCAAGCCGGATTTACAGGGCTCGGACTTGCTGCCAGACGCGCTGCGGCAATTAGCCAAGTTCCTCGAGCACAGCCCGATTCTTCAAAAGTCTGCAAATGACGCTAATGTAATCAAAAAGGTCTGCCAGATCCTCAAGAAGACGTTCGAAGCCGTGCCGCAGCCGTCGCGGCAGAAGCGATGGTCGCCTACACCTTTGAGCGCGGAAGCCGTCGATGAGAGCCTCGAAGGCGAGGAGAGATCCGATATGCTTGGCAGCGCAGGTGTGCCCATGGAGATGTTGAACGTGTTGAAGTGCAGGGAGGCCTCACTGTTGGCACTGGCGGCCGTGGCTCACAAGGAGGATTCTCACCGGAAGATCATCATCGAGGCGGGGGCTGTTGCGTGCATAGCCGACTCGCTCGTGGCATACGAGCAAAAAGACGAAGATGTATTTGCGCGTGGTAATGTCTCTAATGGCACAAAAGACGGCAACCCGGTCGTGGTGCTCAGGGCCGCCTGCCGAGCTGCAAGGTCCATGTCGAGGTCTGTCAGCGTGCTGCGAACGAGCATGATGGATTATGGCATCGGAAAGCCCATCTACAAACTCCTCAAGCACCCTAATCTTGAGGTTTGCAAGGCGGCGACTGATGTGCTTTGCAATCTGCTGCTACAGTTTAGCCCCATGAGAGAGGTGAGTTTGTCTACGATCTGGACTTGGATACATTGATTTAACACAGCGTCTTCTCGTCCTTAGGACCTTATCGAGGCCGGAGCTTTAAAGACTTTATGCGAACACGCGTCGTCAGCGGACACCGAGCTCCGTTTGACGTCTATGTGGGCACTGAAGCATCTTGTTCTTCAGGCGGATAACGAAATCAAGATGACTGCATTGGAAGAGCTTGGGACGGGATGGCTGATCCAGACTGTAAGTAACTTGGCTTGCTCACCTCCGCCGAAGCGGATGGGAGTTCAATTAAAGTCCAACCCTTTAACCCTTGCCTTAGGTCTCTGGGCCGGCAACGCCCCTCGGCATGAGCACTCCTAATGCCGCACACGAGCAGGTCGATATCTTGAACGCAGTAGAAGAACCAAGCATGGACATCGACAACGGGTCTGGTATCTCCGGAGACGAGGACGACGTCATGGCCGACAGCATAGGGCTTTTACGGCCACGAAGCACGCAGGAGACAGCAGCTGCGCGGATGAAAGCACGACTGCGGACCATCAGGGAAGCGGAGACGAACCCGGCCATCAAGGCACAACAAGACGAGCTGCGCATCCAAGAGCAAGCCCTCGACTTCATCCGCAACCTCATCATGGCCGAGCCCGGCACCGACCCTGGCGTCATGATCGACCACGTCCTGCAAGCCTTCGGCCGCGACCGCTTCTTCGAGATCCTAACCGCGAAACTGCGACCACGCAACCCCGGCCCAACCGCCGCCTCACGGGACGCAGCGCTGCTGCGCGCCTCGGCCTCGTCCTCGCCCGACCCGACATCGACCAGCTCCGCGGGCGCCGGCGCCACCACGGCCACCAACACCACCTCCTCAAACGCATACACGTACCTCGCGCCGCCCGAAATCCTCCTCGGCACCGCCTTCATCGCCGTGCACGTGGCCAACGGGCCCCCGGCGCACCGCCAGCTCATCCTCAGTCAAACGCCGCTGATGCAGCACCTGGTGCCGCTGTTCGGGCACCCGGACCGCCGCATCCGCGTCGCCTGCGTCTGGCTCATCAACAACCTCACCTGGATCGAGGACGACAGCGACCGCGCGGGCGCGCGGCTGCGCGCCCAGGAGCTGCGCAAGCTGGGCATTGAGGAGCGCGTGCGCGCGTGCTTGGGCGACGCCGAGCTCGATGTCCGCGAGCGCGCTAAGACGGCTGTCGAGCAGCTGGCTAAGTTGCTCGATGGGCTGCCGCCGCCTCCTGCTGCAGCTGCTGCTATGGGGTTGGGGCAGCAGTCTGCTAGTGGTGGTGCGGGCGTGGGCCAGGGCCAGGGTGCCGAACAGCATGCTGCTGGTGGTGGCGCGGGGACGCCCGGCGCGTTTCCGGGCGCGGCTGGTGGGGGCGTGGCGGGCTTGGGCGCGAGTAGTGGGTCGCAGAGGCCGTGGGATCGGTGAGTTGGGTGGGAGCTGGGAGCTGGGAGCTGGACTGGGGTGGTTGGTGTGGGCGAGTGGGCGGATACTCTCTGTTTTGATGGAGCATTGCAGCATGGCAGCATGGCAGCATGGCAGCATGGCAGCATGGCATTGTTGGCAAGGAAGGCGAGGCAGTCGGGTAGTCAGACAGGCAGGCAGGCGCGAAGGGGGTGGATGGATGGATGGATGGGCGGATGGATGGGGGACTTGGCTCATCGGCGCGGTTGGCGTTCTTCTTCACTCTTTCTTAAAATTCCTCTTACTCTTACTCCTTTCTACCTACCTTACTTACCTCTTTCCTTTTTCTTCCCCGGATTTTCTCACACTCACACTCACACTCACACTCATACTCACATTCACACATTATATATACGTACGGCATCATGTTGCATGCATGTTCGCTTGATTGCTTCCTTACTTGCTTGCCTACTTTGTTTGTTTGTTTGTTTGTTCGCTTACTTTGCTTGCTTGCTAGCTAGCAATCCGTCCGTCCGCTGGGAAGAAGATTCAGTCGTGCTCACTCTCGCACAGTAGTAGTAGCTTTGTGGGGTCAGTGTGAGGGAAGGGAACGAAAGGACGCCGGATGGTACCATGCATGGAGAGAAAGATTACCGCCGCCGCCGGGTTGACGCCCTGCCATGTGCACTCCGCTACGTATTAAAAAATCCAGAAGTTTGTTTGGGGTATTGTTGCTGTTGGTGTTGTTTGTTGTTTTTTTAGTTGCTGGGGGTGGGGTATGGTATGATGAAAGACGAAAAGCATCCGGGGTATCGTGGGTCTGTCTTGTTTGCAGTGGTTAATTGTGCTGAAGGGCTGGAGGAATGAAATGTTGGAATACTCATGGCAGCCAGCGAAGGCGAGGGCACAGAACGAGTGACTGAAGACGGCTGCTCAAACCGCAGGCAGCTTGGAGACATCGAGGCCCTTCTCCTTGGCCCAGTCGTCCTCGATGAGCAGGGTTTCGCGGAAGTTGTAGAGCAGCTTGTAAGCAGTGCGGATGGTGCCGTCGCTCACGCCCGCCACCGGCGCAATGTCTCTGGGCGAGAGGGGCTGGCCGATCAAGTGGCTGAGCATGAAGATGCACGCCGCGCAGGCGGACAAAGGCGAGCGGCCGGCCAAGCAGCCGCGCTGGACCATGCGCTCGGCGAGGCTCTGGGCCAGCATGACGGGGCGGGCGCGCATGCCCAGCGCGTTGCAGTAGCGCCTGCAGAGCTCCGGGGCCGACGTCGCTTCGCGCGACTTGTACGCGTCGCCGGGGATGACCTGGCCGCCGGTGATGAGGGCGTTGCCGGTGCGGTTCTGCTTGTTGAAGAAGCTGTCGAGCTGCTTGAAGACGCGGCCGATGTCCTTCTTGGGCACGCCCGTCAGGTGGTGCAGCTCGCGGAAGGAGCGCGGGTTGTTGTTCTGCCGGCAGGAGAGGAAGATGCAGCCGGCGACGATGGCGTCGACGGATTTGCTCTTGAAGGCGCGCGAGTCGTCGGCCATTTTGAACATGTGCTTGGCCGTGTCGGTGATGGAGCTAGACAGCTGCCACTGGTCGCACTTTTCGCCGATGAGCCGGTACGCCTGCAGCAGCGTCTTGTTGCTCTTGTCGGCGGTGGACTTGGTCTGCGCGGCGCGCAGCTCCTTGTTGCGCGCGTTGTTGCCGTCCGCAAACGAGATGTTGGTCTCGAGCTGCGGGCCGTGGAGCAGCGGGTTCGCCGCGTCGCCCACGCGCGACGGGTCGTCGCCGTTCTGGTCGTCGTTGCTGAATGTCCGCCATTCGGAGCGCGTGTCGACGACGCGCGCCGACAGCACCAGCCCGCATGTCCCGCACACCGTGTCGCCGCTCGAGAACTCCTCCACCAGGTTCGGCGGCATCTCGCGGCAGTCTTCGCAGATCAGGTGGATGCTGAAGTTGTCTTGGTATTCGACGTCTTCTGGCTTGATGGGCGCTGCTACGTCGGGGCGCACCTCGCCTGGAGAGAGAACCGCCGGTGCTACCATGCTGACTGTGTTGAGTGCGTGTGCTCTGCCTGTTGGTGAGGTGCGCGCGCTTTGAGTGAGAAGGAGCGGTGGTGGTGAGTTGGTTGGGTGGAAGAGTTATGGGACCCTTGATAAAGGCAGGCTTGGTACCGGGTAGGGCTGACACGTGACCTGGTGTTAAGCATGTGCATGTGAAAACCAGTGAGCTCCCACGTGTTGGATTCTTGGTGCATGAGCGTGAAAGAGTGTGTGCAACATATGTGTAGCCTGTGTAATTGTCTCGCGGAAACACCTTTGACCGTGATACAGCGGCGGGCTCCTATTGAGGTTTGTCTCTTATGCTATCCATGCCTTTGTTCAAACAAATCTCCTTGTGTATAACCACCCGGATCATGACTCTCTCAGAAAAACGGTTACTTCATGCCACCAATTTCACCCCCATAAAGCTGCTAACTACACCGAAGCCCGCATCGCCCAAGCCGTCACTACTTTATGCTCTGCCTGTTCAGACCAGACCTATGGCCAGGGATAAAATGTGCTTCTATAAAAAGGAAGCGTTTGTCGAACAAGCCATTTTGGGAACCGAGTAGGTTCCCGTTCCATGAGAAAGGCCCCCCGTTTGTGCCGCAGTATATCGAGACGCCGAACCGTGTCATTAGCGCCCTCAGCCGCCCCAGGGGGTAGGGGCAAACCCCATTGATGCCGGGGCATGTTAACATTCCCACTAAAATATTCGCTCAGGTTGCGCAGGCGGCGAACTTGACGGTAAAAACCATCCTCGGTGTCCACAATTATGTCGAAATAGTTATATCCAGGGGAATAGGCCTTGTAGTCCGGCACGCGGGATCGAACATAGTGCTCCTCTTCAAGGAACTTATCGAGCATACCTGCCCAGTTGAAGGAGAAATCCATCTTGTCGAAGTCGAACTCTAGTTCCGGAAGCTCCGTGTCGTTGAGCGCCAAGCCAAATGTGATGATATAAGGCGCAGGCATGTGGTGGCTGTCTTTGGGTTGTTTAAGTGCGGAAAGGTACTGGCGCAGATGGTTTTTCCACTCGTTCATAGTCAGGTTCGCCCAATCTTCCATCCACCCCTTTCTTTCTTCCTCGGCGGTGTTGCCGAATACACCCGTAGTGAGCCCTTCGGGAGCCACGCAGCGGAGTACCACACGGGTTTGGTCCTCAGAGAACCCAACAAACTCAGAGCCTAATTCCGTGTTGTTATTAAGTGGCCAGGTAGGATGGTACAGGTACTGCGGACTCAGCATGTCGAATTTGACCTTGAACTCCTTGCGAACCATCCTCATGAAAACCGTTTGGGTGGCCGCACGAATGTTTTCTACCATAGAGAGATTCTTCAGGTTGATATAAGCCTGGCATAATTCCCTTGGGTTGGCCGACTCCGTGGCGAACTCCACGATCATGAGCCACAATTCTACGGGCAGCTCCGGGATCTTGGGTTGTTTTCTCTCCTGTGCTGGTCGCGAGGTGGACTTTGTTCGACGAACGGGTATGTATTTGTTGTATGCTATCAAGCCACGCTTGGCGGGAGGGGAGAGCTGTAGGTCTGAGGGACGCTTGTTGCTCGAAGAAGCCTTGTGCTGTCCACTAGGCGCACGCTGATCTCTTGTCGTCGTGCCATCACTGAGGTCGGGGCGAGAGAATGGTGATGCGTTTGGCGGGGGCGCGGGCCATAAGTTGGATGATTCTCTGAGGCTCTCCATGGCGATCGGTTTGATGAAAAGAGGGAGAGAAAGAGAAAGAGAGTTCGTGTTATCTTTTTAACTGTGCGATTGCGGTAATAGGATGGGTAACCATGGTTCTTTGCGGAGCGCACACAGAAAACCAGAACAATCAAACTGGCCACGATGTTTGAGCTGGCAGCAACTTCTGACCAATCCTAACTTAGCATTGACTGTACAAACTTATCCGGGTATACTGACGAACGCCTTCCAAAGGTCAGGATTTGCTGACCAGCTCAAACATTCCAACCAGTCTTGACTGTAAAGCGACCATTTTTTCGTAGTTAAGGATTGATGTAAAGTTTGCCATGGTGATTTGCTCGCTTTACTGCTGTGAAAGAATTTGAGTTCTGCGCTTCTGTAAGTGGAGTTCTAAAGGGGGATACACAGTCAAAGAAAATAACTTGACTAAAGGCACCATCACTCACCTCAATGACCACATTCAAACAACTAAAACGATATACATATCATAGAACCGATACCTGTACATAAAACTAGACTGGAAAACGGCATTGTCAATGAATAAAAAATAATAGAGACGTAGAAGAAAAACAATACTACTCGCACAACTGCGATAAATCTCACAACAAATTGGTATCTTATGCCTCCCAAATACTCATCCTCTTTCATTTCCATACGAACCCATTTTCTCAAAAACTTACACTTCAAACCTATAGCACTTCCAAGCCACCTCGCCTACAGGCACGCCTCTCAAGTCGAATAGCCCGTCGCCTGCGGGCAGGAGACATCATCGCAGCTATCCGCATACAGAGCGTTAGGGACGAACGTCTGCAGAACCGACGACTTGCCCAAGCTCTTGCCATCCGCATCCAGCGCCTCAGCATAAACATACGCACTGAAGCCGTCGGTCTGGAAGCCGGTCTCGAAGCCCCCCTTGTCCGTCTCACCGATCTGCTTCTCGACGGCAGCGGCGCTGTCGCCGCCGAAGAAGCGCCAGGTGCGGACTTCGGTGGCGCCGTTCCAGGAGACGTAGAGCGCGGTGGGGGCGGTGGCGTTCTTGGCGTAGGCGTAGAGAGCCGGAGTGGTTGTTGGCGCGGCCGTCCAGTTGAAGCTGAAAGCGCGGTAGTTCATGACCGGGTAGTTGCCGAAGGTTGCGTGCAGGACGGGCGTGCCATCGGCGGCGTACTCCGTGATGGCGTTGTTGGAGCCCCAGCCGTTGAAGGCGCCGCCGTTGGGCAGCGTCTGCATGTTGCCCTGCGAGCTGCTGAGCAGACCGCCGTCGACGGGCGCCTTGAACTGAGACACGAGCGTGGCCGTCTTCTCGTCGTGGTTGATGGAGATGACCATGCCGGAAGATTCGTCGCTGGTCTGGTTGTAGTTGTTGGAGGCGTTGTCGAATAGAGAAATGACAGTGTGAGTCGTGTTCTCAGAAACATAGCGCACATCGTGCTGGTAAGAGAAAGCGAAGTTGGTGCAATCGAAGTCGGTGAGTCCACCGGCCGAGAGCTTCCAGATGATGCTGCCATCAGTGGAGTTGAGCTGGTAGATGGAAGAAGTGTGGCGCGAAGAGATCAGGTAAGTGTTCGAGTACGAAGACTTGTCAATGGCGTTGATGTGGAAATAATCCCAAGCCACAGAGGGAGACAAGCCAGTGCCGGCAGTGTCAGAGCTGTTAGGCAGGACGTAAGAGTAGTTCAGAGGAATGTGGTCGGACGAGTGCCAGTCGAAAAGAACCTTGCCAGTGTCGACCTCGATCTCCTGGAAAATACCCTCCAGGACGTAGCCAACACCACCAGTGATGTTGTACTCGCTCAAATCATAAGGGTACTGGCGGTAAGAAGTGACCAAAGCGCTCTTGCCCTCGTCGATCAGGTTGAACTCGTGCATATCCACGGCAGGGGCGTTGCCGCCAGTACCAACGGACTTGACGATAGTGTAGGTGTTGTCCAGGATCGTGCCATGGCCACGAGCATAACCGTGCAGCTGGTTACCCTGCATGAAGCAGAGGTGGTCGGCACCATTGTAGCTGCAGACTTGGAGGTTGTGGGAGGCTTCGACGCCGCCAATGCCATAGCCGCTCCAAACAAGGTTCTGCTAGCTGTTAACCGTTTGACAAGAAAACACTCAGACCAGCAGCAACTGACGCAAGACTTATCATAGATGTACGGGGCGGATTGGCTTGCGCCATATGGCGCAATGAAGATGTAGCCTTGAAGACTGGTTAGCACAGACCATCAACTCAAAAAGGAAGGTATCTGTACCAGGTGAGACAGAGTCAGTCTTCTGAAGAGAACAGTCCAGAGCCGGTGCGTTCAAGTCTGCGCGCTGAAACAGTTTCTGTCAGTACCCTGCAACACAGTGAGACACAACTGCACTTACAGAATAGAAAGTAGACAAGGGCTCGGTGGCATTGTCAGCAGCCGCGGCCAAAGAGGAAAAAGCGAATGCTGCGGCGAGAAGGCGCGGAGCGGCCCGCAAGGAAAAGAAAGCCATAGTAGAGATAGTAATGAGTGTATGGAAGGAATAGAGGCCAGAACAATCACGCAAGACCAGCTGATGAGGGGAAATGCTTTTGTATCGAGGACAGTACGCTAGCTTACCGCACCAAAGGGTGGTCTACAGGGACCATCATTAAATGAGGATCCGCGGCCTCATATAGGAAACCTATGCGCCGACAGAGAGTAAGGCCCTGCTGATTTGCGCATGACCCTACGGCCATCAAGCAAAAAAGGCGGCCGCCAAACCTGGCCGTGTCGTCGTCACCAGTCAAAGCGGATTGCCCGCCACTTCCGTGCATCTCCACACAATTGGCTTACCGGCAGGCATGTGGCTGCGAGGCAGAAGCGTTTAGAGAGCAGAATGGCGTGTTTCGTGGACGCCAGGAGGAGCCTCAGTGACGATGATGAGCGGAGATCCGGCACCTGGACCCTGCCACTCCACGCGGCACGTCCAAGAAAACGTTCAACGCGCTCGTTTCGCTACGGACAAGCACAGCGGGGCTCCCACACAGATGCGGCATCTGTCAACGTCCATCCTCCCCTGGAGAGCGACGGGCGACTCATGCTCGTTCTTTGGCGTCCAAGGCCGGCCGTGTTTCGTCTTTATGCACGACGCGAAACACGCTCCCAAGGCCTGAAGCATAAGCTCAAAAGAACCTTAACAACGGCGGCAATCTGAGGACCGCCGGCCCGCCCGCAGAAAAAGCAAACTTGGCCTTGGTTCCAGGTTCAGGTTGGGCTGACTGTGACGAACGGCCTCCGAAGCCGCTTCAACCGGCGGGGCTGGCGGCGGTGAAAAGGAGAGAGTCTGCGAGAGAAAATCCATTTTCAGAGCAGCGGCAACGTCATCATCGTCGTCCCCATGGTCCTTCCGTCTCGTCAAAATCCCGCGCTGTTGACCGTTTAGTCGCGCGTGTCGCACCATCCACACCCTGATAATGCTAATCCTAAAGCCAAGCAAAAAGCCTAACGACAACTAAACTCCCCAAGCCCTGCGTTCCTGCATCTTCACACCTGTGCTCTTGCGACACAGCAGACAAGCCGCGTCAAATCTCGATGTGGCGCTTTCTAGCACTCAGCCATCCATGGTCCCGCAGCGCACGCGCGGCTTACGGCAACGAAGACCCTGGTTCGTAGGAACGGCTGATGAAGGATCAGAATCGGGAAGCCCTCCATTCTTGCTCACTTGGCGTCGGAAGAATGTATCAAGATGGGTTGTGTTTGACATTGACGTGTTCCGGACGCTGTCATCTTACCATGTGCTATCCGGCTGAGCGAAGCTGCTAGAAGCCATCACGGCTGTTTGTTGGCTTGCTTAGATGTTTCTTGATTAGCGGTTTGCTGGGGTACCGAGTAGCGTCAAGTCAGCACACTAGGTCAGGGTCGAAAGTGTCCGTCACTGTGATGGTTGCGTGCCCCGATGCCGCTCTGTCGAGCCAATGAAGGAAATCAAAGCATGATTTGATCCGATGGCGAACGAACAGCTATTTGTTTCCAAATTCCAGACCTATGATGTTTGTCGAACGCGTAAAAGGCGCTCCAGAAGTCTGGCTACCATCAAGGTAGTCCCTTCTAGCGCGATGTCGACACCAAGGTGCGGCTTTTCTCATCCATATGGCCGAACCCATTTAAAGAGGCTGAACCCCTCCGCATTCGAGCTCGTCCCATCTCACGAGGTCTGCCCGCCCAGTGCATGCTCAGCAGCACACCATCTTCTCTCACAATTTCACGTCACACGATACAATCTTCTTTTGTTTAAAGTCAACTTTTTTGTTCCTATCGTTGTAGGTGTCCCTGCCAATTTTTTTCCCCGATCCGAAAGGCCCAGCAATGGGCAAATCCGCTTTGGCAGAATGCAAGCACGCAAAAGCAGCAGCTCGTGCGGATTCAGGAAAAGAACCCAGCACCCGATATCTGAGCTGGAGAGCCAAAGATCATACAAGAAGATGATGTAAGAAAAAGGAGGTCGTAATCATGAGTAGCAGGACTTTTCGTCGTCCAAGTCGCTGCTTCCACCAAAAACCGTTTTCCTCTCGTTGCACGCCACCATCTCAAGCGTCCGCCAGCCTCGTCATCAGTAGGCGGATAGCTTAGTTGGGGCAGGCAGCCTGGACGTGGCCGGGCTGCTTGCACTTGTAGCAGACGCGCTCGGCAGAGGTCTCAGAAGGGCAGTCCCTGCTCAGGTGACCAACCTCACCGCCTGTCGTATGTCAGCGGTTGATACTCGACAACCAAGTTGCAAAGGACGCTTACAGTTGTAGCACTTCTGGCCCTGGGTGCAGTCACGGCTCATGTGGCCGTAACCGCCGCAGCTGTAGCAGGTCTGGCCGCGGGGAGCGCCGTAGGCACCGCCGGCACCGCCGTAGCCGCCACCGTATCCGCCACCGTATCCGCCACCCTGGGAGCAGTTGCGGGCGATGTGGCCAACCTTACCGCACTTGTAGCACTCCTGGCCGCCGCCCATGCCGGCAGCGGGGTTCTCAGGGCACTCGCGAGAAAGGTGGCCGACCTTGCCGCAGCGGTAGCAGGGCTTCTCCTGCTGGGGCTGGGTGCATTCACGGCTCAAGTGGCCCTGTCCGCCGCAGTTGTAGCAAGTGGGGTTACCCTTGGTAGGGCAGTCACGGGCCTGGTGAGTGGTGTCGCCGCCTTCATCCTCGATTAGCTTTACGTCCTCGCGGGTTTCCAACCAGAGATACGGAAGGGAAGTCTTTGGTGGAGGCGACCCAGACCTCATATGGTACAATGTGGCAACGGGCAATTCTGGGCTGGGAGACGCAGAATTGCGAGTATTGGAGGTGTTTCTTCACAAAAGGTCACATCGGAGAATTGATGGTCTCGGTCGGTTCCCGTGCGCTCGCGCCTAGACGCTTGCGCCCGGTGCGCGATCAAGACCCCTCGTCCAGGTACATCTGGACGACTCCACACGGATCTACAGCTCAACGAACCGTCCCCGCTGTATGTGAGAGCTTAATGCGAAATTTTTCGTGCGGCTTTTGTGCGACAGGCGAAGTGTGTAGGGTACACCGCAGAGGGTGTACTTGGGAAAGGTTTGACGTACAGTTGTAGCAGCCACGAGCGGGAGGAGCGGAGTAGTCCATTGTGAGGTGTTTGGAGGTGGGTAAGAGTCTTCAGTCGCGGTGTTAGTGAGAGGTCCAAACTGTTGAGAGCCAAGGTCGCGCGAGCTCTGGCAGAGAGTGGGATTCAGCTTACAAAGAAGAGTGGTGGTGGTGGTGTTGGGATGTGAAGTGTGTCGAGAGTTCGAAGTTGAGGTGGAGTCTTGGGAGAAGTGGAGTGGGAACGGCGAGTTTTATAAATGGGACGGGAGACCGGCGGAGGCGAAATCGAGGGTGGTGGGTGTGAAGGCGCGCTAGGTCGAAAACCGGTGCGGCGTGCCCTGGATTTTAGCGAAGTGTCAACCTGTCGGCTTCTCGACCCAAAGGGACCACGCGTACCGTGGGTGAAAAAAGGAGCAAAGTGTTTTGGGTAGATGGGCTGCCGGATGCTGACCTGCTTGTTGGTGGATCACCCGAGCTGCAAGATCTGTCTGGGTCACGGTCGCGCCTCGATGCTCTGGCTGAGAGTGGAGCTGGATCCGCAACGTCGATGCGTGTGAAGACGATGAGGCTCGTGACGGTGCAACGGTTACGAGCGCCCGTCGCACCGCAGCTGTCAATTCCAACGCTGCACGTGTTGGAATGAAACCACCTTGAAACTGCGCGTAGACGAGAGAATCCACGTGCTGCTGGAAGCGCTGGTGGCGAATTGTCCAAGAGAGGAATGCGAGGTGTTTTCCCGCCTGAGTCCTGGAGCACATCCGAAGTTGCAAAGGCTCCAATGCATCTCGACCTTGTCTCGCCGTACTCCTACAGCAAGTAGGTAGGGTCTGAAAACCAAACGTGGAATCTCCTCATTGATGGGGAGAAAGACGACCCCTGAGAAACACATGCACCTGGTCCAGCAGCAGCTCGTATCGTAGACGTCGACAGTAGTCCAAGGATTACTCTTCGGCTCTGGGCCTGGTTTTGATGCCAGGAAAAGGGAGCTCTTCAAAGTGTCTCCGGGCACCTCGTACATCAACTTCTCGCTCTGAAATCTTTGGTCTCGAGGATGGCTGCTTCGACGTGCCACTGAATCATCAAACATTCTCGTCTGCCCAACTGTGACCTCTAGGTAAAATCGTACACAACCAACGCTTGACTCCCCTCACTACGCTCTCGCAACACAATCACATTTTCCTCGTCAAAGCCCACCCAGCCTTTGGTAACAGCCAGGTCATCCAATGACTGTCGCAAAGCCGTGCCGAGGCCGGATCTTTCGGAATAGAAGGCGCCAGATGCATCTAGATCGGGTTCGGAAGATGCTTTGTTCTCGGGTCGTATACGTATGCTTAGATCTTCTATTGGCTGACGTCGCCTAGATGAAGTCATGCCTCCTTCCAGCTCCCAGACACGGAGCTCATCACCCCTGGAGCTAACAGAGACGGCTTTGCCTCTGCCACCAACATGGGCTCCAGATACGGACGAGGTATGTCCCCAAAGCCTGCTTCCTGGGCCTATAGTAAGTGAAGAGCTTGTAGATGTTACCAGATACAGGGACAAAGTGTTGTCCGGATGGGAACAAAGCAGGTAAGGATGTGAATAGGAAAGTGATGTCGGTTTAGAGTAGGAGGGCAAAGAGGTCACAAGAGACGACGGATCTGAGCTCGCGCCAGGAGAGCTAGATCGAGTGGATGGTGATGAGTATATCGCACGGCTGGCTAAGGAATGGAAACTTTCATGCGTGGCTGAAGCCAGTCGTGAATCAATCAGTTTCCCTTCGGAGGTAATGCGCATCTCCTGTATGCCGACCGACCAGCCTGAAAAGTACGTCGGCAATGCATAGGCTATTGAAGCCACAACGTTCTGCGCAGATGGCCGGATCGACAGTGACAGAGGTGGCCATACGGTATGTGACTTTAAAGAATAGAGTAACCGAGGTGGATCAAGGATCTCTTGCGCACGTTTTTTCCTCGGCTGCTCTGGAAACTTGTAAAGGGACATGAGTTGCATGCCAGTCATCGTCAGTAAATACGGCGATGCATATGCCAAAGCCGACAGCATGCCGTTTGAAGAGGCAGGGTGTGTGTACAGATGTACTAGCTGTTTATCGTCCATGAGTAAGGTGAAGACAGAGAACCGCCCGTCTTCAAAGCCGACGATCATCTTCTGCGAGCGTGCATCCTGGTCTTCAGTGTCGACGGCCAGAGACGTAGGCGGGCTATCGCCCCCGATTGTATCTTCCCGCAAACCAGTGCTTGCGATTAGGGCGCGATCATCTTTGGTGGACCATGCTCGGAGACCAGCGCTCGAGTCTACGGTATATACGACGCCCTCGTGGAGACGAACCAATATATCCGGTACAACGGGCTCTTCCGTAAGTGGTATCTCTCCGACGTCGCAACTACCCCTCGACCAGTTGTGCCGCAACTTGTATTGCCGTTTCCAGTTTGTCTCTTTGCCTCGTTTGACCAGATTGGCTTCGTCTAGCCACTTGGAAAGCTTCGAAGAATAAAACAGGTGATCGGAAGAAGCACTGGAGTCTTTTATGCCGGGGAGTCGCGATGCGCGGGGTCGGACGAAGCGGTTATAATATGCGGCTTTCCACAGTTGCGAGTCACCGGCGATGGTGTGGAACTTTTTGGATATTCTGGACCAGGTTAGAACCCTCATTGCAGCGAATCACCTATGACTTACCTCTGACACATGTTCAGCGTGGATGTCGAGACGTAGGACAATATGCGCAAAAGCAGCTCATCGCTCAGGCGCGAAAGCCTGTCAGGGTGCGATTCCCTGATCCGCTTGCTGGAGGGCAGTACATCACAGTCTCCATCGGCAACGGCAGCGGTACGGTTACGCTTAGCCATCCTCTTCGGCGCCTCAGCCTCAGCACAAGATGGAAGAGCGATGGATGGTCAGTCGTGGTAAGCAGAGTGTCATATTGCGTGCTTATCGATTGCCACCCCCGGATTCGCATGCACGTGACACGCGTCATGTTGGTGCATCAACGCGTCGCGCTTTGCAGCCTGGCCGTAATGGCAATTGCACACATCGGCGCCTCGAACGCCACAACTCCTGCCAAACAACCCAAAGAAACCTGAGCTGGCCATATCCTCATCCTGTCGCACGCGCCGAATAAAACCCTGGATTGTTACTTTCGCGGAAGACCATACCTGTACCACTCCTACTCAACAAATCCAGTACCCCGCTGTCTGCTGCTATCAAACACGCGAATCTATCTTTAATCTGCCTTCGTTCAAACGCAACGCTGCGGCTACCGGACCGAGCCGAGACGCCTCAGACTGAAGCAGTACCAGACATCGAGCATACGGATGCAAGTGGCGCGTTGAAACCGCATAATATCAAAACGACATTATGGGAGAAAAGGGGTGGCAAGAGGAAGACCTGTTGAAGCAGGGTGCTGATGACCCGCTGGAAGCTCTACTGCTCCGTGGCGATCAGTACCAGCATGAAATACGCGTTATCTTAAACCAACGTACGTGCACCTATCCCTCAATCACTGAGCGAAGGGATTCTAACTTGTTGACAGACCGGAAGACTATTGCGAACCTTGCGATTGAAGCGAACAAAGTTGGTGAGCTCGAGAAAGAAAACAAGCTTCTCAGGTCACAACTTGAAGCCAAATTAGAGCAAACCTCTAGCTCTACGATGCAAACCGTTCCAGAAGTTAAAGACTCATCGGAGCAGGAGTTTCAAAGCTCAAGCACGGTTTCAACTCAACCACTCACAGTCCCCTACGTTGACTATAAGGCACTTGTGGAGAAGTACAACACCCTGAGTATTGAGCTTAAAGCGTCCAGAGAGGCATTTGACCTCATGTACACGAAATGTAAGGACGCAAAGAAAAATGTGCGCAGGTGGGACATTTACCTCAAGCGGCACAATCTCTATGACCTCGAAAAACGACGGCATATGGCACCCGACGCTCCTCCGCCATTGCCCCAAGCACTGTTGGACTCGGATACTCCGCGCCCCGATCACTTCTTAGACCGCACAACTGCGATTGTTCAGCCCGAAAAGGCAGAACTCCCCGGTATGGTGGAAGAGGAGATGCCTTCATCCCCTCCAGGGAAGCCTCTTTCTTTTCGCCAGACTGAGCATGATCAAACGGAGGTGAACGATTTCGCCCGGGTCGGACAAGTAGCTGAAGAACTACCTAGTAGAATAAGTTCCAGCCAAACCACGCAGGATGATGGCCCATCCCAAATTGAGAACCCCCAGCCTGCGGCCAAACCACAAAACGACGACAATGACGATACTCCTGTCGTCATTTCAGCTCGGTCTCTGGGACGCAAACCACACAGTGCTGCAGGGAAAGACACTTTTGCTGTTTACGAGGACGCCCGAGTCAAACAGGAGCCTTGTAGCAGCCCCAGGACACAGCGACCTTTGACTCGGAAAGACACGCTCGATCTCGATGACATGGGAGCCGAAATCGATACACCAAGGAAACGTCGCCGCTTCGAAATGTACAGAAACTCGCAGATCCGGCTGTCACAAATACCGCCGTTAAACCATGAGAAATCACAAAGTTTTCCTGTGGGGTTTGAGAATATTCAAGAAACTGGTAATGACGAAGGACAGCAGCTTGAGGGTGGCAATGCTTCTCCTGAGGTTACCGACTCCGATCCGATTATAGAAGAAATCGAGAGGACGGATACGGCGACAACATCAAAACGGAAGCGTTCCATAATACAACGCAGCCCCGAGAACCCCCGCAAAGCTCAGATCTTGCACACCCTTAGTACGAATGCTAAAGTGGCTTCATCCAACACCGGTTCCCGCTCTCGGCGCAGGAAACGGCATTCTGAAGAAGATAGAGGAGCGAAACATATTAATCTACTTGCAGAAGATGGAGAAGGGTCGAGTAAATCTGGGCCTGGTTCACCAGCGTTGACAATGGAATCACGTCGTCGTTTGCAGAATCTCCTTGATGCCCCGACACCCGAAAAACCTGATAATCTTCCCGTTTTAGCGCCAACAACACCAGTTACCAGCAAAAGCCTACGGACGTTTAATAAAAATGCTGAAAGGCCGTCTGATGAGACTCCCGTGGCGAGACCGAAGAGTTCCACGCGTTCGAAAGCGTCGAAAACACCTGATCAGCTGCCAACCCCTCAGTCTGCTCCTCAAACGGCATTTAAACGGCCTCGACTCGAAGCAGGAACAGCATCCAGAGCTCGTTCGCCGCTCCGCTCCCGACCCCTCGAGCGCCTCAGTCTTTCCGATTTCAAGGTCAATCCACGATCCAACCAAGGCATCAACGAAGTCTTCAATGAGGTGGTGCGCAACCGCGAAGCTCGACGTTGTCTTCCAGGTTGTACCGATCCTACCTGCTGTGGGAAATATTTCCGCGCTTTGGTCGAAGGCGGCATGGAGCCGACGGTTCCGCGCTCTTTATTTGAGGAGTCGCAAGGCGAGACCGACGAAGACCGCCTCCTCAGGTACTTCCTTGGCAACGGATACAACAAGGAGCGCGTGGCGGTCATGCCGGATGTGCAGCGACAAGAACTTTTGCTGGACGCGAAGACGAAGTTGTTGGCGGATCAGCATGGGAGACATCGCCAAGCATACGAGAGACAGAAGAGCCCGCCTGGCTTTTGGCGCACGGATATGCCTAGCACGCAGGAGATTGAGAAAGACAGGGAGGAGGCGAGGAAGTTGGAGAGGAAGGCCGTGGAAGATAGGTGGAGAGAAGCGATGAAGGGGAACGGTCAGTGGTTGTTCAAAGATGAGTGATTTGGGGTGTGCTAGCGGTGGTGGCGGCTTGATTGTTACGCGGCAAACTTTAGGATGTATGGGTTGTTTAGCAAGGGTGTCTGTCCTTAGAGTGCTTTCTCGGTATTGTCACAGCCCAATTCTTTTTGCTGCTTGGTTTCGCGCAACAGTACTGTCGAATATCGGTCAGACGGCATCTGCTTTTTACATTCGCAATTGTTTACGCAGCAGCCAGTCAGGAGGTATGCCTCTAAGAATTTAAACTTTGAGTTTATTATCATGAATATTTCTCTGTAACCTACCTACATCGATACCATACCAAACCTACACGAAAAGACAAAGTATGCTCCAGGTACCATGCCACATGCCAGACTCAGTGTTCAATCCTGCGCTGATTCATTTTCATCATCTGCATCCGCTGATTCACTCTCATCATCCGCATCGTCCTCGTCTAAAGTCACAACACGGTCGTCAATTTTACGGCTGTCCTTCTGACCTTCCGTCCAGGCCTTCATATCAAATTTAGCGGTTAGGCGTTTGGACTCCTTTGTTGATATCTCTTTCCGCATCATGTACTCCACCGCAATATCCTCGGCTACCTCGCAGAACCGAGTTAGCTGTTGTAGCGACTCCCACTTCATCTCTTCGACCTCTTCCTCTTCCTCCAGCTGGGTCTGCTGCGTATCTGGCCCCATGTCTGGCTGGGTGTTTTCAACAGGCTGTTCAAATGTATGAGCAAACAGCGCCGCCTGTCGTTCATCGTTCGAACGTGTAGTACAACTCTGTAGAATGTAATCGATTTCGTCATCGATGTGGATGAACTTGCGCGTACCGTCGTATCCAGCTTGATGGGTGCCATCCTCGGCGCCAGGGGCCATAATTCCAGTCAACGGAGCCTCATTTGGAAGGGGATCCGACAGTCCTCCACTAGTGTCTTCAATGTCGATTGGGGGATCATAAAGATGCTCCGAATCAGCCTCCGACGGTATGGAGATTATGTCAACACCGTCCCTATTCTCGTAACGTATACCTTCGCGATCGGGAGACTGCTGCAGCTCTTCGGGTTCGGTGTCTGATGATATCGAAATAATTTCAACGCCGTTCCTGTTCTCGTAACGGATATTGTGGCGAGGACCGGGCATTCCATCTTCGCTGTCATCGAGATCAATGACCGCACCAAAAAGAACCAGTTCGTCTCGCCTCATAGCGTCAAACTCTCTTCGGTTCAATTCTACTAGTTCGCTCTGGTCAGACCTGCATTGGTCCTCTTCTTCGCATTGGTCCTGTTCTTCGCGTTGTGCTGGTTCTTTGCGTTGGACTGGCTTTAAAGCCTCTACCCTGCCTTGATATTCAGCTTGTTCGAGCCGCAGAAGCTCATCATGGTACTCTTTTTTAGCCATGCGCTTCAAGTTTTCTGCATGCCCTTTGCAGTAACTGTTCTTTTGAGATATGGTCTTTTGTGTTCTCGCCAACTCGGAGAGAACGTTGAATAGCATCGCATAAGTCATTGCAGCAGCGATAGCATTCGGTCTGATGCCGTAAAACTTCCGTTCCATGGACTTGCTTCTAGAAGTCCAAGTTGACTTCACGTTAAAATGTGTCGTCACAGCGAATGCCAGGTCCTGGAAGTACTCTATTCTTTTGACGGTTTGCTCGCGCTTGTGAACGTACTTGATAAGTACAGCGCATTCTCCAGCAGAACCCATTTCTTCGGCTCTGGTGCTGCAGCATAGGGTGTCAACCCGTTTTATATTGTATATAGCCATGATTCTGATGGCTCGACGAAAGGCGTCTCCGACTTCGGCTTCAGACATGTTCTGTGGGTTTGTGCATTGTCTGACCTTCTCAATAACCTCTCGGTCTGCCGGCTTAGAAGAAGAGGGTTCTTCGGGTTCTTCGGGTTCTTGTACAATGGCTTCGTATAAAGCGGGAGGGAGTTCCTTAGGAGTTATGCGAGGTTTCTTATTAGGACGAGAGTCGCCGTCAGGCTCCGTTTGCGGATTTGCACCGCTCATTTTCGTACACGACAAACTCGACTCAAGTACACGGAAAACCTAAGCGGAGGTTAGCGCAAGCGACAAAGGGCAGGAGGATAGGCAGAGGGAGCCAAAGCTGACTACAAACCAGTTGACGACAAACAGCGGAGCGACAAACAACGGAGGGACCAACAGAGCCAGCCCTCTTCCACCTCCAAGATGTCTTCCGTAGACAGACAGACAGCACCAATAGCGAACGACGTGAAATCAGCCCTCAAGAGTGAAGGTCAGAGAAAGACAACGAGCGAATGCCAAGGGGATAGCGAGGGTAAAAGTCAGAGAGAGAGAGAGAGGAGTGAGAGGAGAGGGGGAAAGTGATTGGACGGCCGGAAGGGAAGTCGTTTGTCAACATTCGCTGTTTCCGAAACGGGCGTTTGCCTGTCTCACGCAACTCATGACACGCCAGACGCGGATGCCCGCAGTCGAACTTCAAGAGCGTAGGCGCTATGTTCAATTATGAAATGATTTATTTGGAATATAGGGAGCGTCTAAGTCCACTTACTATATGGGTATGATTGCAGTATCTTCAATAACTAAATTCGTAGCGCCTTGACTCCCGCCTTGACAAAGTACCTCTCACTGTGGGGACATGAAACAACATCATTCACCCCTGCGACCATAGGACAAACAAAACACAGCCAAGCAACCTGACAGCTGCAGCAAGCCGACAGCCTCAAATCAAGTTTCCGCGCAACTCCTGCTCGCGCTCAATAGCCTCAAACAAGCTCTTGAAGTTCCCGGCGCCAAACCCATCAAAGTTATTCCGCTGGATGATCTCGATGAACACCGTCGGCCGGTCCATGAGGTGTTTCGTGAAAAGCTGCAGCAAGTACCCGCCCTCGTCGAAATCAATCAGAATGTCTAGGCTCTTGAGCACCTCAAAGTCCTCGTTGAGCTTCATGCCGGATGTCTTCAGCCGCGCTTCCATCGCCGTGTAGTACGTCTCGGGCACTTTGATGAACTCGACGCCGCGCGCCTTCATGTTCGTGATCGTCGTGATGATGTCCGCTGTGCGGAGCGCGATGTGCTGCACGCCGGCGCCGCCGTAGAAGGAAATGTACTCTTCGATCTGGGATTGCTTCTTGCCGTGTGCGGGCTCGTTGATGGGCATCTTTACGACATCGTTGGGCGAGGCCATAACGATTGATTTGAGCGCAGAGTATTCACTGGTGGTGAGTTTAGTACACATGCAAAACTTTGCGCAACGATGCCGTTTGTACTTACGTGCAGATGTCCTTGTCGTCCACTGACCAAAAGCGGTGGAAGCCGAGAACATTCTCATAGTACTCGCACGCCGCTTCCATGTCGTCCCAGTCCTGGTTGCCGACGCAGTGGTCGATGGATTCGAGGTCAATCTGTGGTAGGAATTTTGAAAGCGGGTCCCGGCCAGTCTCTGCACGGTAACCAGGCAGGAAGCATCCGTTGTAATTTAACTTTTCGACGAGCGTGTGAGTGGTGTCACCATACGTCCGGATGGTAGCCAGCCTGACGGATCCGTTGACATCCTTGATCGTGTGCGGGCTAGCGACGCTGACCGCGCCATTCGCCACAGCCTGCTCGTATACAGCGTCCACGGAGTCGACCTCAAATGCCACATCTGCATAAATTAGCAACCAATAAGGCACAGAACTCAGGGTGTCATGTACCTTTCACTGCATCACCATGTTTCGCCTGATGCGCGTGGATCTCCTCCAACAGCTCCTGCTCTTCCTCGCTAAACTGCTCCTTTTGCTCCAGACACCGCAACGGCGATGTCAACACAAACGTGACATTGGCGTTCCGTACGACATGCGATGCTACTGCTCGTGATTTCGTTTCCAGGCCTTTGTACGCTACCCGCTCGAAGCCCATGCGCGACACATAGTACGTGGCTGCCTGCTTTGCGTTGCCAACATACCACTGAACGTGGTGGTAGCCCCGATATCCCTGTAGCTCTTCATGTGTCGTCGGCGGTGAGTGGGGAGGCGAGACAGCAATAGGCGCCATGGTGTTACAGAATGCAAACAGTAGGAGTATTCAGAGAAGATATCAATGTTATGGTGGGTTGCTGTTCAAAGTATAGATTGGAGTTTTCGCTGAATCAAACTGATGATGAAAGAAAGAAAGAAAGTGCTTTGCGGGAACTTAAGTACAAGTAGATATATTTCGCCACGGACATAGTTGAATGATTATATGACAGCTCATTCGCTGACGGCATAACCTGGGGAACCGCGCGGTCAAGGCCGTTTTGGACCGGGTCGTGCCGTCATAAGCTTCGTGATCCAGGAGGTATGAGGAGGCACGGGACCGCGGATATCGCGGGATGGCGCATGTGGCGGCACGGATATTTCAGGCCTTGGCCGGCGGAACGTCACGTGTATCGGCTTGTCGCGGGTCAACACCATCGGTTGTTCACGACATGCGGTCTGAACGGGAGGCTGATCGACGGATTAGCTTCAGGCCGGATATCGCTGGACAAAGAATAAGGATGACGATGAAAAAGGACGGACCCCGCATTCCTGCGAAGAACAGAGCCGTATCTTCTGAATATCTGACCAGTTGCGTCTTTCTCTTCTCTTACATTCCCTCCATCTTTCAAGATAATGGCTGCAACAACTCTTACCTCCAACGACGCGAAGGTGCTCAGTGCACTTTTCGACCCTGAATCCTCGCCCTCCGCCTCTGTCAAGATCACACCCTTGCCACAAAGCCTTCCGCGCACCTCCGAAGCCGAATTGTCTTCGCTGCAGGGCATCGAACGCGCAGCAATACGGCCCCTCAACACTACCCAGCCCTCGCCCGAAAGCGCCGACGCTGCTATTGCAGCATTAAGCAATCTCATAGCTTCTCACCCTGACTACGCCTCCGCCTATGCAAACCGAGCACAAGCAATTCGGTTAAAGATTGCCGACGATGCAATCTTCTCGCGTGAGAGTTCAAACTTGACCGAGGACCTATTCGCGAATCTCGCAAACACGATCGCCCTGGCGACTCCCACCTCACCACAAGACGCCATGTCTCCTCTTCAAGCGCGGCTCTTAGCAACAACTCACACACACCGAGGCTATCTGCTGCTCAAGGCGGCGAAGGCGGCGCGAGAGGGGAAACTAGAAGGTGGACCAGCTGAGGTTCGCGGAGCCGGTCAAGACCAGTTGGAGGAGATGGCGAGTCGAGATTTCTTCTTCGGTGGTAGATACGGCGATAAAGTGGCGCAGCAGTTGGCTGTCAAGACGAACCCATATGCAAAAATGTGCGGGGCTATCGTGAAGGAGGCTATGAGAAAGGAAATTGCGGAGGCTATGCCAAGGATAGAAATCCCAAACAAGGCAGAGTAATCGCCGTAAATGCCGAAATGTTGCAACATTACATCGCTTGCCTCAATCGAAATGCGAGTCGACGTGACGAGAAACCGCAGCCTCATCACCTTCAAAGCTGCATACCGGGCAAGTTGCGGTGGCAGACGTCATGTTGGGCGTTGGTCCATCTTGCTGCAACGGATGATCCGGAGGTAGGAAATCTCCAAGGCTATACCCCGAAGGGGGCTCGTTCATCTCTTCTTCTTCGCGGACATCGCGGTATCGGATGTTGAACTGTGACGGCCTCGCCGGTCGTGTCGTGACGCTCTGATTGCCCACGGGCTCACCGTTCCTGCCCAGATTACTCAGGCCCTCAGATCCAGCTCTTGCTTCATTTTCGCTGACCATCCGCTGGACTCTGCCCACTCTCCCATCCACGAGCCGCACTTTGATGCCACGCGGGTGGTTGCCGTTCGTCAAGACTTCGGATACAACACCTTGCACTTCACGACCAATCGGCTGGTCCACCTTGAGGACAATGGAGACGGGAGCGCCAGACACGACCTGGTTTATGTTTGGCACGTTCTGCGAGGGGCCGGACTGAAAGCGCCCACCACCGCGTCCGCCGCGCCCGCCGCCCCTACCCCCGCCCCTACCCCCGCCTCTGCCACGGCCTCTGCCTCTGTCGTTGGACTGCTGCGGACGGCCCTGGCCATTGCGATGCCTTTGCATCGAGCTTTCAGTCATGCCGACGGCGGTCGGTGGTCGATGTCGGGATTTGGGATAGACAGGTGATGACGCTGCAAAAGTTCCCAACTTCCAAGTCGATTGCGGCGGGGGAATTTCGTGCCGACTTTCCCCCACTGGTCGGAAGGCAGACGCCGAAGTCAGACGCCGACGGGACGGGACGTGCAGGGTTAACGGAAGCTATATCCCACTCTTGCCTTCTCCGCAAAGGCGGAGAGGCCAATCCGCTTCATGGCTTTGTCGTCAGCCTCGAGCTCTCCATCCCCAACCACCTATATCTTTATTTCCCCGTAACTGCAGCGCTCTGTTTGTCGCGTCAAATCACGAGAGCTTTCGTCCAGTTTCTACGCGTTTATACCCCATTGACCAGCCCTACACTTAGACAGAATGGCCAAAGTCTTTAGCTATGACGAAGGTAAGTGGGTGAGCTCGCTTCCTTGACCAAGCTGCGTCCTGACGCCAATTCACAGTGTCGAAGCACAACACCCCAGAAAGTTGTTGGGTGGTCCTCTACGGCCATGTATACGACGTCTCTTCCTTTCTGTCTGAGCACCCTGGCGGTTCGAAGATAATACTACAGCTCGCCGGCACGGACGCGACCGAGGAATACGACCCCATCCACCCGCCGGGAATACTGGAGGAGTCGCTGCCAGCAGAAGCCAAGCTCGGCAAAATCGACGAGGCGACGTTGCCCGCAGCGGAGAAGGCACCTGCAGAAGACGCGGCCGAGCCGGAGGGTCCTCCGCCGCTGGAAGACATGCTGAACCTCGACGATTTAGAAGACGCGGCGACCAAGCAGATCAGTCGCAAGGCATGGGCATACTATTTCTCCGCCAGCGACGACCTGGTGTCCAAGTCGCTAAACAATACCGTCTACCGCAATATCCTTTTGCGCCCGCGCGTCTTCGTTGACTGCACGAACTGCGACACCTCAACGACGCTCCTCGGTCACAAGGTTAATGTGCCCTTCTACGTTTCTCCGGCAGCAATGGCGCGCCTCGCACACCCTGACGGCGAGTGGGGCATTGCGCAAGCATGCGCCCAGTACGGCGGGATGCAAGTTGTCAGTAACAACGCATCAATGACCCCCGAGCAGATCATTGCGGACGCGAAACCAGACCAAATGTTTGGGTGGCAGCTGTATGTGCAAACGGAGCGAAAGAAGAGCGAAGCCATGCTAGCGCGCATCAACAAACTTAAGGCCTTTAAGTTTATCTGCTTGACGCTGGACGCGCCGGTGCCGGGCAAACGCGAGCACGACGAAAAGAACAAGAATGTCGGCTCAAACCTTCCCGTCCGTTCCGGTGTCCAACAAGGCTCCGCCTCCACCACCGGAACGGATCCGAAGGCTGCCTCGGCAGGCGACGCAAAGGAGGGAGGATCGAGCGGCGGTGTCGGAAAGAGCTTGTTTGTTGGCACGGCGCCAGATCTCACTTGGAAGACGACACTGCCTTGGCTGGCGAAGCACACGGAGCTGCCGATTGTGCTGAAGGGTGTCCAGACACACGAAGACGCATACTTGGCTTCGCTGCATGCGCCTCAGATCAAGGCCATCATCCTTTCAAACCACGGTGGGCGGGCAATGGACACGGCACCGCCGGCTGTGCACACGCTGCTTGAGATTCGGAAGTACTGCCCTGAGGTATTTGACCGTATTGAGGTATGGGTAGACGGCGGAATCAAGCGTGGTACAGACGTTGTGAAGGCGCTCTGCCTTGGTGCGAAGGCTGTGGGCCTTGGCAGAGCGGCACTGTACGGACTCGGTGCGGGGGGCAAAGAGGGCGTTGCGAGGACGCTTGAGAGTAAGTGTGCTTGACAAGTTTTTAAAAGAGCACGTGCTAACCATTGGCAGTTCTCAAGGCAGAAGTTGAAACGGCAATGCGGTTGTTGGGAGTGGAGAAAGTCGAGGATCTGGGCTTGCAACACGTGGGTGCTAGCCCTTCTGCCATTGGAGCTGCTGTTGCTAACTATGGACTCCAGATCAATGCGCGGCAGGTAGAGCGGGACATATACGACGGCCCCGACCATTCGGCGAGGCCGGCACTGTGGGCCAAGGTGAAGGCCAGGTTGTAGGTGACGGATATAGCATTTGTCATCTCTCTCGGAAGCAGCGTCGTCATATGATGGAGATAGCTAGTAAAAACCCACCGTTGTACATCCGAAGCGTCCGTGATGCGCACACCCATGGGCGAGCGTTGGCCGTGAGCCGCAGATCGTGAAGATTGGCGCGTCGTCAGCGGTAGGGCTGAGGGCGGGAAGGTGCAGTCACCGCCCAGAGCTCGTCGCGGAGTGATGTCAGGCATAGCGGCCAGAAGCCAGAAGAGAGAGAAAGGGGAAGGACAATGATGGAACGGAGCACTGAGCGGTGAAACCGGCGGGCTTGTTGAGACCCTGGTGCGGCGTAGAGGGAAGGCGCGCTCAGGCCCAGTGCCAGCGCGACGGACGAACACCCGCATCCCTGTCAGCCATCCCCCGGCGATCTGCACCGCCTCATCATTGGCCGCTTCGCCTTTGCCGGCCGCGTGACATGATCCTCGACAGGGGCCGTCCTTCTTCTAACCACCACCACCCGCAAGGTTGCTCCCTCGACCTCGGGCAGTGCCTTTTGCACGACTGCGCCTTGGGCCTCCTCTGCCTGCTCGCCGTACGCCCGTCGCTGCGAGCTAGCTGCGGGAGTGCCTGATGAATCCAGTGCCCGAGCTGCCCTGCGCCTTTCCCGCTGTCGCTACCGCCCGCCGGCGCATGACCATCAGGCCCGCTTCGCCGCCGGTACACGTCGCTGGCAATGTTGGTGGGAAAAAATTCAAGGCCATGGCTGTGGCTCTCGCGCCATCTTCCCTGCCCTGTGTCGGGCATACTCATATAGACATGTCTGCCGTCTCGCTCCCGCCCGACGCTGTTTGCCGTCTTTCTCGTTGTCGTTTTTTGTTTATTGATGATACCCCTTTCCCCCCTGCCACGAGATACGATACGATACGATACCCAAGAGCTCGTCTGAGCATTTCACCCACGACTAACTAATAATTCACGAATCATCACGGCCGCTACTGACATGTCGGCCGCTCCTATACAGGTGCTGGACGACGCGTCGAATGAGAACTTCTACCACGGACATCAGCGCTCGTGGTCCGACGATCCCCCAAGCTTTCGAGGGAAGGGCGGAGTCACGCACGAGCGGTCAAAGTCGCTCACCGCCAGCGTCACGCCCAAAAGGGAAGCGCTGATGGAATTGCCGGGTTCCAAGACGAATGAGCCGTTTCCGCCTTTCGACCCGCTGATGCAAGACTGGGATTTGCAAGAGGAGGTGCAATGGGGCATGGAGGCGGAGGCGGAAGTGGCGTCAGTGATGAAAATCCATTCAGTCGAGCAAACGCAGACCGAGTCTGGATTGGAATACGCAGCTGAAATGCAGTCTCAGACCGAGTATGACGGGCTTGGAGTGGTGATACCTTCGGGCACTTGGAAGAAATCCCCATACCCTACCCTCGCTGCCCATGTATTGTCACCGACGACATTTTCACCAGCACAATTTATCACAGCGGGCCAAGTTGGCCGCAGCCAGTCGGTGGCATCCATTGCGTCAGGGAATGGCGTATTGGAGGAAGGTTTCACCGGCATGTATTCAGAGCTACAAGACGGGCCCAGACGCCACTCGACCAGTACGGTAGGATCATTTGTGGACGCTGCCGGAGTACAAAGCTTCTTCTCACCACCTTTGGGCCGGTCGTCTCGAAGCACTTATACTTCAGAGCACGGGTCCACCGTCAGATCCGTGCAAATAGCTGAAGGTCATCGGCCAATCTCCCGCGGCACCTTTAGATCCTCCGCATCCTCTGAGACGCTTGCCACCCGAGACCATGGGGACCGCACATCCTACTGCAGCAACTGGACTCTCTGGCCCCGCAACGGCAACTCGACTCGCCCATCATCCATTGACACTCGCACTCCATCTCCTTTCGGTTTGGCCAGTCCTCGAGAATCTCTCCACGGACCACGCACCCAGATGAGTCCCAGCCAGCCAAGAAGGTCCAAGCAGCGCCCTATTTCCACCTTGGGGAACCCATTGGGCATGTTCCTCGCCGATGAGCCCGGTTCGCGGCCGGGATCCGCGAGCGCATCGCATATGCTGTTTGGTCCGCGACTCCAACAAACCTATAGTCCCGAGGGTATGGGCGCCTATATGGTGCAACCTGTAGACTCCCGCCCTAGCTCCGCCGGCTCCTACGAATCCGCCCGAGGTACCACGCCACCGCTGCCGCTTAATATGCCGAAGCGCCCCTATCGGCACGACCTCCCGCCCTGCCAACCCTGGAGCATGCAGCTCCCGTCCATCGCCTCGCAGTCGGATGCCTCGACGCGAATCGACTCGAACCCCAGACAGATGCGCTCCTTCCCTAGCGCCGAGCTTCACTTTACCGCGTATGGCAGCCTGGATCCGCAGAATGCGTCGCGGCCATCCATTGTCTACGAAGCGTCGGAGTGCCCGTCGCCGACGCAGCCGACCCTGCCGGAGCCAGCGTTGACGCGGACGCCGCAGCAGACGTCATGGCTCCGCAACCCTTGGCAGAGCGTCGAGTCGATGGGCTTCTTCGGCTTCGGCGCTGCCGACAGCGAGAGACGGAACTCCGAGGCGCTGCTGCCGCCGCCGCCGCCGGTACTGGCGGACAGCAGGCCAAACAGCGGCCGCAGCGGCAGCAATGCCAGCACTGTGATCCACTATTTTGCGCGGAGCCTGCCGGCGTGGGCACGGTACGTTTGCCCTTTCCCCTACCATGTTCACAAGAGAGGTGTGTTTCTAACATCAAACAGGGCCTACTACGCTGCCGGCGAGCCATCCTGCTCGACGGGCTCCCCCTCGCCCGCCTCATCCCGCCCAGGCACAAGGGCGCGCAAAACCTCGAGCCCACGCTCGGCGGCGACGTCGCGCTCGCGCAAGCAGTCGGTTCCGCGGTCACGGCCGACGACATCGAACACGGCACCGACCGGCTCGCCCGCCTCATCTGAGTTCAGCATTGCATCGGTGCGTCGGCCGCGCAACCGGCCGCTGCATTACAGCGAGGAGCTCGAGGACGCCGACGATGACGACAACTTCCTCTACGTGCATGGTCGGAGCCGGGGGAACAGTAGCTATCGGCGCAGCTTTGAGCAGGGCAGCTACACTTACAGCCACCATGCCAATGTTCAGGGCCACGGCCAGCACTTCCCGCGCTCCCGTTCCGTGAGCGTGTACTCTCGCGCCGAGTACGGGCACGGCCGCGCCAGCTTCGCCAGCGAGGTCTCCAGCGCGCTATCTGAGGACCGGCCGCCGCCGCCGCCGATGCCGTGGTCGCCCTCCCCGCCCGCGTCGCTGAGTCTGTGGGAAGAGGGGCTTGACGCAGGAATCGTGCGGGGGACGCCCTCGCCCGAGTTCGTACGGGGACGGCACCTGTACCAGCAGCAGCAGCAGTCTCAGGACGGGTCGCTACCCGCCGGCGCCGGGGGCGAGCCCGAAAGCGACAAAGCGCGCAAGAAGCGCGAGAAGCGCGAGAAGAAGGCGGAGAAGAAGGCGGAGAAGAAGGCGGAAAAGGCGAATAAAGAGCACAAGCCGCCCATGCACGCTCGCACGAAACGCCAGGTCTGGCTGTTTGCGCTCGGGTGGCTGCTGCCGCTGCTGTGGGTGGTGGGGGGCATGCTGGGGCTGCCGCCGAGCGAGGACGAGGCCGACGCGGCGAGCGAGGACGAGCAGGGCGATTTGGAAAAGGCGATTCGGGCGCGGGGAGAGGAGGCTAGGCAGGTGGAGAGGAAGAGGGCACGGTTTTGGCGGAATTTGAATCGCACGATGGGCGGGTTTGCGCTTGTGGGGGTGGTTGTGGCCGTGGCGGTTGTGGTCGCTGTGTTGAGGTCTAGGTGATGTGTGTGTGTGTGCTGGGAGGAGGGGGATGGTTTAGGATGGCTTGGTTTGGGTTTTTGAGTTTTTCTTGCGGCATTTGCTGGTGTTTTGTTGTTGGTTGGACTTGGGATGGAGACGCGATGACGATTTTATGCCGATATGACGGGGCTGTTTTTTGTTCTGTATGGAAGTGGTGTTTTGTAGTAGAAGAGTAAGGTTGTGTTATATCCGTTACTTAGCTCAACCAGTAGTATTTACAAAGGAAGAAAGAAAAACTATGTATACTCTCAAGCGCAGGACACTTCGGCGACCCGGCGCTGATCCCCGCCGCGCCAACACCGATCCGATAAGGTTGTTTGTTTGCCCCCAGAGCGCCAGAGCTCCCACACCAAGCACCAAGCACCATGCAGCCCGACGACGACGACGCCCTCGCCGCCCTCAACGCCCGCTTCCCATGCCGCGCGCTGCAGATCCAGCAGCTCGCTGCCATCTACCAGCCCTCTCTCCCGAGCCCCCAAACCACCGTCGTCCACGGCCTCGCCGCAACCGGCAAAAGCTCCATCGTCAACGCCGTGCTGAGCGCGCATAACATCACCCACGCTACGGTCCAGGTCCGCGAATGCGTCACCGGAAGACACTTGCTTGAGCGCGCGCTGCTGGCTTGTTTGGACGCCCTTGATCTGGATGGTACATTGGATCGAAAGCCGTTCGCGCGCTGCGAGAATGTCGCCGCATTGGTGGCGCATCTGCAGCGCCTGCTCGCATCGCAAGCGCCCACCCGCCTCGTCCTCGTCTTCGACGACGTCGACCGCGCCCGCGACGTCCCCGCCACGCTGCTGCCAGCGCTGGCACGGCTGAGCGAAGCCGTCGCCCTCCCAGGCGCACTCAGCACCATTCTCATCACCGCGGCGCCACTGGGGCCGGCAACCCTGCGCGCCTCGGGCGTCCCGCACGTTGCGTTCCCGGCGTACGCGCGCGACGAGGTGCTCGCGATCGTGGGGCGCGATCCCCCCGCCATCTTTGCAACGCCCCCCTCGCCCAGCAAGGGCTACACGGCGGCGCTGGCGGCCGAGGACGACGCGTGGGTGTGGGGCCGCTTTTTGGGCGTGCTGTGGGATAGTGCGGGCAGGAGCGCGGCGCGCGACGTGCTGGGCTTTGCGGGGCTGGCGAGACGGCTGTGGCGCCCGTTTGTTGCGCCGATTGAGGAGGGCGCGTTTGGGACGAGGGATTTTGCGCGCTTGTTGGTTAATCGCCGCAGTTTGTTCCAGGGCGAGGAGGGCCTCGTTGAGGGCGTTGTTGTTGCGCCGGCTAGGGGCGCGAAGACCGCGACGGGTGAGTGTGCCGTTTTGGAGTGGATTGGATTGGATTGGATTGGATTGTCTTTTTCTACTTTCGCTAACCGCGACATAGTAACGCACGCCCTCCCCCTCTTCACCAAATATCTGCTCCTGGCCGCGTACCTGGCGTCCTACGTGCCCGCGCGGCACGACACGCGCTTCTTCAGCCAGCACAGCGCCGCCAGCGCCGCCAGCAAGCGCAAACAACAACGCACCACCAAGTCCGCGCGCAACGCGCACAAAGCCCGCCGCAGCATCCCGCGGCAGCACCTGCTGCCGTCGCCTTTCCCACTCGACAGGCTCCTCGCTATCGCGGCCGCGCTCATGGGCCCTGACGACGCGGCGCTCGCGGCTGCTGGGCAGGCGGACGTGCTGGCGCAGTTGGCGACGCTGGTGAAGCTGCGCTTGTTGTTGAGGGTGGGTGCCGCTGCTGCCGGGGGGGATGCGTTGGATGCGGGCGCGCGGTGGAGGGCTAATGTTTCGTGGGAGGTTGTGGTGGCGTTGGGGAGGAGTGTCGGGGTGGAGATGGCGGAGTGGGGCGTTGGTGGGGCGTAGGGGGTTTGTCTTTTGGTGTTTGGGCGGCGTTGTGAGCGCGGTATGGGTGTTGAGGGCGTTTTTACCTAGGGATAGAGGCATAGGCACAGGCATAGGCTGCGTTGCCTGAGCGGGCGTACTGTAGGAGTTTAAATACTTGCGTCAAAGAAGTCGGTCCACAAGAGAGATAGATGGCAGGCGTACAACCCAGTTAGTCCCCATAATGAATTTTCAGAGCATGAGTATGAGCGAGAGCGCGAGGGTCTTGTGCAGCACATCTATGTACATCATTCTCAACACCTAAAACTCCATCTCCCCACAGCGAGCGAGGAACCGCGCTCGTAGTCATGTATGCTAGGTAGCTAACTCACGAGAAGGCAGAACAACCACTGGTGGTGCTAAAGATAACTCTCTGGCTCCTGGCTCGGCCCCGCGCACGCACGTCCATGGCACAGGAAATAACTAAAGCGAGCGAGCCCCCACGCGCTTGTTGTTGCTCGCTACGTGCCCGGTACCTGCCTACTCCTATGCAGTCGGACCAACTGGCTATTCTTGGAACTTGGTATCTATCGGGGTGGCTGGATGGGGAAGGCAGGCCCATGGGACGCTGAGAGGTGGGCGGTGGCAGTTGGTCTCGGGAACGGATGCCGGCTTTGTGGAGAGGTAGGTTGCAGTTTGGATGGACATGGACGAGGGTTTGATACCTAGTAGTGAAGTCGAAATAGAGTCGGTGGGGCTATGCTGGATCAAAGCTAGGAGCGTTTCACAGCTGAAACCCAGGCGTCGCCAAGGCTGTTGCGTGTCCCTTTCATCGAAGCAGCGAGCGAGCGAGCGAGGCAGCTAGCTCTCTCTCCCACCTCTCACCCGCAGCGGCCCCGGCCTGGCAGCAACAACAACAACAACAACGTTCGTTTTACCTTCACCACCACATCACGACCCATCGTCGCAGCCATCGCTCTGCGCATCTCGCCCACTCCCGCTCCTCGTCCAACGCCGTCATCGCGCGCGGAGCCCCGAAGATGAATCTCTTCCGGTTGCTGGGTACGTGCTTGGCATCGCCGCAGCTGTAGCTTGCAAGCTTGCTCAGAAGAGAGCGAAGCTTGCAGCGAGCTCCCCCCCCCCCACCTCGTGCCAAAGCGCTGTATGCTGATGATGGCCTGCTTGTAGGGGACTTGTCCCACCTGATCTCGATCCTGATCCTGCTGCACAAGATGAAGACGACCAACGTGCGTTGCGCCCTTCCCGCCGACGACCCCAATGGGGCATCCCCCAACCCATGCATCCATCCATCCATCCATCAGTCAAGCAGTCCAGACACAATCCCGCCAGACAAACACACACACCCAACCATACAGACAAACAGCAAGACTGACGCGGCATTGGCCCCCCGCCTTATAGAGCGCCAACGGCATCTCGTTCAAGTCGCAGTTCCTCTACCTCGTCGTCTACGTGACGCGCTACATCGACCTGCTCTGGACCTTCTACGACCCGGGCTTCCTCTACAACACCGTCTTCAAGGTCATCTTCATCGCTTCGTCCGCCTACACCGTCTACCTCATGCTCAACGACTACCGCCCCACGCACGACCCCAACCTCGACACCTTCAAGGTCCACTACCTGCTCGGCGCCTCGGCCGTCCTGGCCGTCTTGTTCCCCTACAAGTACACTATGACTGAGGTGCGTGCGCAATGCCCTGGGGGACAAGAGAGCAGCAGAAGCACAAAAACAAGGAGGAAATAAAACGCAGACCGAAGAACAAAAGGCCCCCAATCCCCTCCGCTCACCAAGCTGACATCCCCCGCCAACAGATCCTCTGGGCCTTCTCCATCTGGCTCGAGTCCGTCGCCATCCTGCCCCAGCTCTTCATGCTGCAGCGCACGGGCGAGGCCGAGACCATCACGACGCACTACCTGTTCGCGCTGGGCGCCTACCGCGCCCTCTACATCCCCAACTGGCTGTACCGCTACTTCGCCGAGGGCTACGTCGACCCCATTGCCCAGATCGCCGGCATCATCCAGACCATCCTCTACTCCGACTTCTTCTGGATCTACTACACAAAGTGAGTGGTTTTTTGCTCTTTTGCTTTTTTGCTCTTTTGCTTTTTTGCTCTTTTGCGCCGTTCGCGGCCGGATGAACCGCCAATGCGGTGGGCGAGACAAGGGGAGCTGTGGTGGTGGCGGGCTTGGAGCAAGCGGCAAGCGACAAGCGGGCAAGCGGGCAAGCAAGCGCGGGTCTCGTGCTCGTGCTCATGCTCGTGCTCATGCTCGTGCTCATGCTCGTGCTCGTGCCCGTGCCGGCAAGACGCGGACCACCGCGCATCAGGTCTGGGCTGCATCTCCAAAAGCGACAGCAACCCCCTGACGTCAGCGCCAAAGCCGCGATGCCACCAGTCCAGCCATATACAAAGCCACGCCCCGCGCCCCTTGCCCCCTCCCATCCTCTCCCAGACAGACAGGCAGACAGACAGGCAGACAGACAGGCAGACAAACGCCTCCCCACAAACCCACCCCAAACGCATGCATGCTAACACCGCGCGCCACCCCCAGGGTTCTGCAGGGCAAGAAGTTCAACCTGCCCGTCTAAGCCCCCTCCCAGCACCACCGCAGCACGTGTACAGCACAGCGCAGCACGCACGCACGCACGCACAGCCAGGCAGCCACTTCCACACCCACGAACACACAACAACAGCAGCAACGAAATTGGTGGCAGCGGCGATGGCAGTGGCACGAAACACGAACGAAGCGAAGCTAAGCTGCATGCACGCACGGCACGGGCACACACGGCGAAGAGGATAAATAGCGGGAGCAAGAAAAGGAAAAAGCAAAAGCGAAAAGCGAAAGCGAAAATGGAAGTGAAAGTGAAAGAAAGAGAAAAACCGGTCGCAGCGTTTTTGTGCGCCACACCCTTTGTAGCAATTTTTCGTCAAGGCCGAGACGGAGCGAGAAAGATGGACGGACGGACGGGCAAGGCAGGCTTCTCTTGCGATGGGATGGGATGGGAGGGCCGGGCAGGGCCGGGCAGGGATGGCTGGCTGGAGGGGAATATGGAAAAAGAAAAGAAAAGAAAAGAAAAGATAACCGTCGTTCCCGTCGTCTCTGCTACTGCTACCGCACCCACACAACCTTCCAAATGGCTGGCTTTTTGGGCTCCGTGGCGTAGGAGTATGCGGGTGGGTGTGGGTGGTAGAGAGTGTAATTGTCGGCCTGCCTGCACACTTGCCTACCTGTCTGCTTGTTGCACTGCTCTGCTCTGTTCTGCTCTACTCTGGCTCGGCTCTGCTCAGCTCTGCACCACCTAGTTACTGTACTATACATAGCGATCGAATCTGCTTCTACCTACCTACCCTACCCTAACCTAACCTAACCTACCCAATCGCTGGCTGATGCGGCCCTGGGCTTTTTTTTTGGGGGCATTGTACTGTGACTTCCTCGTGCGGGGGTGCGGTCGTGACTTGTCTGTATGCATGTGATATGGGAAGGGGGTGGGTGTGAGGTTCCGCTCCGCTCCGCCCCGCTCCACCCCTTTCCCGGGGTAGGCCGTGTGTGCGCTTGGAGGTTTGCCTGCCTGGTTGGCTGGCTGGCTGGTGGTGTTTTGTCGGCAGCCTGCAGGTGCTTGACTGGTCATTTCGTAGAGGTGGGTTTTGTCTGTTGTTCATATGCTTTTCTTTTTTTCCTTTTACATGTCGACTTTGGACTTCCGTTTTTCTCTTCTTGCTTTCTCTCTCTCTCTCTAACTCTTTTTTCCTTTCTCTCTTTGTTCTATTTCCAGTCAGTCTGGCATGGATGCAAATGCCTTCTCGACGATGAGTAGACAGGCATACCGTGCCCTCCTGCTTCATCCCGGCAAGGAGGACCGAGCCACCGGACAATGGATACGCCCCTAAATGGAGGTTGCTACGTCCGAAAGCAGGACGGACGAGCCTGAACGTGTACGAAGGACAACCGATCTGGACTGAGGAGAGGGACGCACGTGCCGACAGCCGGACTGACTAGCAAATTGGTGACTTGGAGTCGCGATGCTGTCGCTGGCGGTTATTAGCCGTTACCCCAGGGTCCAAAGCCTGTTCACGTCAGTGATGCTGTCAACGCGGATGCTGCCGCTGTCAGTTTCAACGGCGTCCTGCCAAAGGCATAACCCAACCACACCTTATCACAACATACCACTCCGATGTACCTAGGCCGAATCGACGCGCTCGATTGTGCGCAACCGCCTCTGACCATGCGCCGCATGGAGGAACAGGAGCGCGGCACGCGCATGTCCCGCTGCTGCTGCTGTCGTTACGCCACGAGCCAGAGCCATCAATGTGGATATCGCTGTTGCCGTCGCTGTCACTGTCACTGTCAGAACCAATGTGGGTCTGCTATACAGCCCGACCACACCTTATCGCAACATACCACTTCGGTGTACCTAGGCCAAATCGACGCGCCCCGTTATGCGCAACTCTCCCATGCGCTCCATGCTCTTCTCCAGGATAGTGTATACCTGTGTCATCGCTGCTGCCGTCGCTGCTGCTGTAGCTGGGCTATCGCTGCTACCACCGTCGCTGGCGGCAGAGAAGAGTCGTCAACGTTGATGTCGCTGTCGCTCACACTGTCGCTGTCAACGTCATCCTGGCACAGGCTCCAACTACACACCATCTCGACATACCCTCTTAAAGTACCACGGCCATATGGATGCGCTCCGCCATCGCATTGGGTCCCTCCATTATGCGTTCCGCCCTCGTACGTCAGTGTAACGCGAGAGGTACATGAGTGCATGCGCCTGCATTACTGCCGTCGCTTTGTGGGATGAGAGAGTGGAGCTGCGCTGCTTGCCTGCTTGTGTCTGATGCCAGGGGCCAGACTGTTCGAAAACTCGGTGGTTGTGGTTATGTTGGTGTTGGTGTTGCAACGGACAACAGCACAAATAGTGCCGATACAACACCCGAGCGGAAATAAGGGGAGGCGTTGACGCTGCTGCTGCTGCTCGTATCCAGGGCAAGAGAGCAAGGGCGTGATGACGTTCTCTTCCAGCGAATAGGTATTTGTGTTCTCGCGTCCGCCGGCTCGCCTGGCCGACTCAGAAAGGCATCATGACGTCGTCGTTGCCAATTGAGGACACTGGAACACAGAGCGCAACAGACACGGCCAGCCTCGTGCCGACACCCCCTCAGAGACACGTATAACACTCTCTTCAAGAGCGGAACGAGCCATACACCCCGGTTCCAACCAAGCAAAACAAAGCGCTCTCAATGATTCCGCTCTCGCTCTCGCTCAGGAGCCCCGTCGTTCATACACTGCAACAAGAAACAAGCCACCTAACCCCCTACCCCCCGTCTCTGTGCATAGTGCATAATGCAGCAGCTCACATGAATCTAGCCATCGCAAGACCTTGGATCCATATGCTTGACCACTGTCTACAGACATGACTCCCTACTGCACGTCCCAACTATGGTACGGCAAGAATCTTCCAGACGCCATGCCATTCCTGCCACCCCAATGTCCTGCTGTCCGCTCGCACGCCATATCCCGCAAGGAGGCAGCGAAGAGAGTGACGCGGGTTTTGTTGCGTCCCAGAGAGGATTGGAAAGGAGAGAGGGCATGGGTGAGGAAGAGCAAGAGCAAGAGGCAGAGGGCGAAACAACGAAGCTGCTGCGTCCGTTCGGCCGTTTGGAGAGGAGAAAGACGGTACAGTACGGTAAGGCATCCTTTCGTCGTCCTCAAACAACCATGCCGGCTTCCCCATCCGCCGGTTCAGCCATCGTGAGCTTCCCGAATAGGAGACTAGAACAAGCAATCCGTGGAACGAGCCCCGTTCCCAGACATATGCCCTTCTGAGTCTACCCCTCCGCTACCAGACATTGCAAGATCGTGACCCTATAAGAAGTTGCTTGTGCTCGCCCTGTAGACTTTTTCCTCCACGATCTCTACACTCCACACGCGCAGCCCACTCAGTGAATACTCACCAGCCAAGCTTTCAGCTCACGCTCTCCTGACTTCACTCACGACTGCGCTCAGAGATCCCACACGCACCCACCCACTCTCTCTCTCTCGTCCAGCCACCAACAAGGCGGACGCAACATCTCCACTCACCACCACCACCACCACCACCACCACCACCACCTCGACATCTCCATCCCTGCTCCTCACGGCCCATCATGGCCCGCAAGCAGGTCCCGATCCCCCAATACCCCTGCTCCCACAACGACGACGCTCTCCACTGTCCCACATGCACGCAAGCCCGTGCCATGAGAGCGCGTGAGATCCACCGCGACAACGTCCCGGCGCAGCGCACCGGGCCGGTCCAGCGCGTCCAGGCCGGGCACGAGGCGCAGGGCTTCCCGGCCGCCACCCTCGCCGAGTATCTCACCTACTTGAGCGAGTTCGACAAAAGCACCCGCGGCGAGCCCCACGACGCCGACGTTCTCGCAAGGGGCACAGCGCAGCATCGGTACTGGCTGCGTGCCAACTTCGCCCTATCCCACCTGTCCCCCCTCGGCCTCTCGTGGAAGAAGGGCAGCCTGGCCGTCGTCCCCATCGAGCAGTGGGGTGAATATCTCCGTCGCGCCCATATCTGCGACAACCCCCTCGACCCCCACTCGCCGGCCACGGGCGCCCATCGCGGCAGAGACGCCATGCAGACCGCTCTCCGCCAAATGGGCGTCCACGCCATGGCGAAGGGCATCCTCCTCGCGTTCGGGGATACATGTCCCCACTGCCATGTGACAAAGAAGCCTGTTCCCCGGCGCGCAGGCGACTCCAGCGCCTGTGACAATCGCGTCTCCAAGCCCAGACCACGGGCACGGCGCACCACTGCTCCTGCCACCTTCGCCGCGGTGGCACAACTCGCCGAGGAGGCTCAGCTCGTCACCCCGGCTGCTGTCCCTGATCCCATCATAGAGGAATTCAAGGGCTACACCCAAGCGGACTGGGATAAACTCTTCAAGCCGGACAACTTTATCCAGCCGCTGGACTACCCAGTTCAGCCGCAGGGCTGCCCCGTCCCTGCCCAGTCGCAGGCCGGCTGGGGAGACTATCCGGGTCCGGGGCAACCCTTCCTCGACCCCGCCCCTCCCCCCGGCGTGTCCCCCGACATCGACAGCGTATCCTACGCCATCTGGGGACCTGCCAATAATCCTATCAAGGAGCCCAGTCCCGGTCTTGACCCCGGCCTCATCCCTTGCGAGGGCTACGAGAACGCCCCGAATGACGGGTTGTTCTTCCAGAACTTGTACAACACGCTCACTAACGAGTTAAGAGCTAACCCATAAAATCCCGGGTTGGATTGCCAGGGTCCGTCTGTTGCTTACTCCTGACTGCTGCGGTGATAGGCGTCGACTAAACGTAATCATCGTGGCGGGATGGCGGAGGCGCAGACTGCTTTCCTAGTTGTGCTTGGCTTGTGTTCTGTTCTTGCGATCCTTCTCTTGTGTGCTTTTTTGTAGCTCTCTCTTGTACTCTTTCGCGTACCAGTTTCCTTGCTCTTTTTTGACTGCATACCACCACGACTCACGACTGCACGATACCCCTCTTCATAGCATAACATGGCGTTTTTGTTGCAATTTGGGCTAGAACGGGTTTCTAGAGCATGGACTTACGGAATGGACTTACGACACTACGACTGCATGATAGATGGATACCCCTCATGTTAATGATGGCATAGCATGGTGTTTTCTTTGGATGGAATAGACGGTGTTTCTTTGTGCGAACCTTGTGTGCTGTTTCCGTAGACGTTCAGTATGTTCGACTTATAGGCATGAGCCTGTCAATCCGACTTGGGTTTTCTTTCAACTTCGGCTTTTATAGCTGGCTGCATGAGCTCTGTGACCGTGTTCACCGTGCATGATCGGCTTGCGCCATCCAACTGCAACTTCGTTCGCCGTCGAGACTGAAACTGTGCCGTGGGCCCAGGCGATGGCCCTACAGTGAACCCGCGTCGTCGCGGCCTCACCAGTATGACCAGCCTGCACTGTTAGCTAGCAAGTTCGGCGCGTGAACTCCCTTTGTCGATCCGGGTTCCAAGTGTAGCTCACGCGCGGGGGTCAAAACAGTGTTCCATTGCGTCGGTCAGATAGCAGAGCGACACTCGGTGGTTCGGTCGGCGGTTGTTGTTGTTACTGTGAACTTCCATGGAAGACGACGACAGACATGAGAGTGGAAGGCGTCGTCGCTACTGCCAGTCTGGGCAAGGCAGCAGGCATGCTAGGCAGGCCGTTCGTGATTGCCACTTCCTTTTCTGCGATGCGGGAGCCTGCCACTTCACAACCATCGGCCAGCTCGCTTACCTATGGCACAGGAGAAGCGACATGTCGAACACACAGCCCAGCAGACAAATCTCTTATATCCACTGCTGGTTTCCTCCCCTCTGTCATTTCTCAGGCACGGGCTAATCTCACTCACAGTTTCAGTGATAGCGCGGATCTCGCTCTTTGTGTTCAGTTGGACGACGCGCCCGCGCTGGGACACAATGGCCGGTTCCTTGCCGTGGAGTGTGCATACCATTGTACGTGGCGCGTGGTGGGAAGGTTCGTGGGGTGAGGTGTCGTGGTGTTTGCTGCTGTGTCAAACGGGTGCGTGTGGTGCACGGACTGAGGGCGGGTGAGCGGCGGATGTCGTGGCCAGATTTCCGGGTGATGGAGTTGAAGTTGGAATTAGGGCGAAGGGGAGTTTTCAAGCACTGGTGTAGGATGCTTCTGCTTGGAATTTCCTATGATCTGTATGATTCTATTATAATAGGTAACCAAGTCGACTTTGTTCCTCCACCAGAAAGATCGAAATGACAAGCTCACTGATAAAACGAACACATTCATGCGCGCTACGCTGCGATATCACGCTAACAACGCAGACATCTACTCTTTCTCGCTTCTATCGCCACTCGAGTCTACGAGCTGCAGCTGCACTGCATAGCGCGACCTAACCTCGGCACATCGCCGCAGAAGCGGTCTTCATCCTCAGCGTTAACGCCCCATTGTTCCTCGAAGGGATTTAGTGCCATGTTCATGACCGTCCTGAGCACGTTACGCTCCTCCTTGTGCTCGACGCGCTGGATCAGCTCGTCCAGCACCCAACCTCTGGGCACGAACTGTTGGGAATAGGCGTCAGTATGTGTGGAAAAGAAAGAGGGGGTAAATAGCTGCTTACCTTGGGGTTTACGCTCTTCATCGCAGCAATGCGCGCGTCGTCGCTCCCTTCGCCCCAGTCCTCGAGCACGCGCACGCGCCATTGCGCGAGCCAGTTGCTAATGCGCTCCTTGGCCTTTTCCTCATCGCCGGCGACGCCTTCATGGTGGAAGAACCGCGGCGCAACCTCTTTGCGCTTTTTTTCCGTCTCGGTCTCCGCCAACGTGATATTGCTCAGTGTGCGGAAGGTGTGGTTGAAGTCCAGCTCGTGCGCCTCCATTGTGTCGAGCAACTCGGAGAACAACACCTCGAAATCAGTCTCCTTGGACGTCTTCAGGCCCAGCCGCGCCGACATCAGCCGTTTGTACTCAGTCATGAACACTGCCTTATACTCCCCGCCCGTCTCCGTAATGAGGTGCTCAGCGCGCTCAACTAGCTCGTCGGCCCACGCCTTGCTGACGCCGTCTTCGACGAACTCCGCTTCGTCGCACCGGGCGCCGGAGCCGATCAGCTCGCCCAATGCTTCGCCTAGCCGTACCAGATTCCACCAGATGATGGTGGGTTGGTTGCGGTAGCTGTACCGCAGCATGTGGTCGTCGTGGTTGGGCGTGTAGCTGGGGTCGAAGTTGTCCATGAAGGCAAAGGGGCCATAGTCCATGCTGAGGCCGAAGATGGACGTGTTATCAGTGTTGAGCACGCCGTTCATGAAGCCGTAGGCTTGCCATGCGGCGACAGTCTTCGCGTTACGTCGTGCGATCTCGCGGTAGAGACGGGTGTAGCGGTTCTCGGCTTCCTTACCAGTACCTTGAATCTCGTCTTTCGCCACGCCGCGCGCGACTTTGTCGTGTTCTTCCACTGAAGGGATCTTGCTTGGCAATGACTCCCATCCGGGAAAGACCTCCTCAGCTACATAGTCGGAAAGCTGGCGCAACAGCTTCCTGTCGCCGCGCGAACGGGGGAGGTCAAACGTTCCGAAACGGATCCAGGACTGTGCAAAACGGGCCACTATGGCACCGGGCTCCATGCGCTCACGGAGGACCTTGCTTTTGGGGCAGAGAACGAGCGAGAGGGCGCGGGTCGTGGGAATCTTTAGCGCGTTAAGGTATTCCGAAACGACAAACTCTCGGATACTAGACCGCAGCACGGCCTTACCATCCGCAAAGCGCGAGTACGGTGTCTTGCCTGCGCCCTTGAGCTGTAGCTCATAGCGAACGTTTGTTGTTGGGTTTGTCGTCTCAAAGAGAGAAATCGCGCGCCCGTCACCGAGCTGGCCCGCCCACTGTCCGAACTGGAAGCCTCCGTAACATTGCGCCCAGGGGTATATGCCTTCGCCAGTGTTTTCGTCCCATGTATCGAAGGTATTGCCCGCAAGTGCTTGCAAAAATTCTTGCGATTTCGCGTCTTCCGGTTGAATGCCCAGATCTTTCATGGCAGTATCACTGACGGCCAGCAGCTCCGGCCCAAGAACACACTCAGGGCGAACATAAGTATATAAGGCACCCTTGACCATGCGGGGACCAAGGGTCTCTCGAGGCGCATTGTGGGAATCGCGAGGTGTGGCGAAGGCAGGGTCCGGAGGCAGTTTTGAGGTAAAGTTGTTGGACTTCGGAAGGTCTCTCAAGGCGTGGCCGGACGTACCAGCAGTCCCATTACTACCATTGCTTATATGGTTGGCCATTTGGGCAAGTCGTACGCGAGGAGCTTGGGGGCGGCGGAGAATGCGGGATAGCATATACGGTGGCGAGTATGCTGAAAGGATGAGAAGATGGTAACGGGGCGAGAGCCGTGGTAGAAAAAGGTCCAGGGAAGAGAGAGAATTTAGGATAAATAGAAATCCTACCTAGAGAGTAGGGGGTATCTTTGGTGTCGCCATGATTGTCCATTCGCCTTCGTGCTGCGTCATCATGCGAACAGAAGCTCGGCTTTGAGCTCCGCCGTATCGATAAGCCCGCTGCCGCGGTGTCGCGTCTCAACCGAACCTCTCACATCTCCCGTCTCTTTGACCTCAAAGGGTTTGCCAGATGGAAGTAACCGCCCGCACGTTCAGGTTCTCTCGGCTTACATGCAGCATCGTACTCGTAAGGGCAGACTGAACCAGACAGCCTCCCTCGTATGTGCACGATTTGCTTCATAGTTGTGGCGTCAGTGATTTTCATTGCTGGATCATCACTACCTATTGTCCGGGATCTGTTCCACTCTATTCTTTGCAGAACGCTGTTGGTCCATTTCTCACGCTGTAAGCCTGCCAGCGTTGGCCACCAGAAAAGGAACAACCATTCGCTCATACCGCAAGATGATTACCGCCATAGCCTTAGACTTCCCGTTAAGCTATTTTGAGCTTCTAGCCACTACTGAGCTCCTCTATCCTTCTCGCTTCAAAGCCTGTTTTTGAAATCTTTTCTCTTGCGCGCTGCGTGGAAACGCCTGTCAGTCTACTTTTTCACACTCAGGTCACGTGCTAGGCCCTATTTGATCTTAGCGCGTCTTCCAGCATTCACAAGTGGCTGGCTGCTCTTCTCTAGCGTTTCTCAGCAAGTCGCCACCTGCAGACATACGCGGCGGTGCATCAACCATGGCACCGCCTCCGAAAAGATTGGAAATCCCGGGCATGTACTACGGTATGTTTATTCTTTTCTTTTGTCATCCATAGTAAGATATTAATGTAAACAGATGAGGAAAAGAACCGATACTTCAAGCTAGAGAAACACCACCACCTTACTCCTAGTATCAAACACTCTATCCAAAGCCATGAAGTAGCCAAGAGGGAGAAAAAGGTAAACTTCCTCCCACTGGTTATAAGCTTGAAGATTGTTAATTTTCCGTCACAATAGAGGCAGAAGCGGATCGAGGCCAAACAAGCAGCGGTCAAGAAGCATCGCATCACACGCTCGCGCCTGATTCAGAGCCCGTGGTCATGGAGCTTAAAGACGGAAGTCAATGGGCCTAAAGCCGACCCTAGCGCTCATGCGAAAGGCCTCGCCAGCGTATTAAGTAACCCAAGTCAAAAGCTTCTGAATCCTAGCACCGTATGGTCCGAGATCCCGTCCACAGCCAAGGTCACCCACTTTGACTACGACACGGAGACACGAACGATCATCGCAAGCGTCGAATGCGGTATGAACTTTGTTATCAGTGCATCTTTGGATGATATGTATCCTAGAGCTGGTCGAGGTTTTCCCATCTCCCGTCGATTTATTGAAACTCAGAGCACAGCAGTCAGCTCGCTCCACATCAATTCTAACAGAAACCTGATCACGACGACCAGAGGAGAATCTGCGGCGTCGACGATCCAGATAACCCCTCTCCGATCTCCACAGGAAGCGGCGGCTGGCGATGAACGAATTTATGGAGATGTAAAAGAGAACTTAAGCCCTTACGGATTCACCACTATCTGGTCAAGTGCCTCGAATCCGTTCCCTAATGCCACAGAAATAGCGGTCGTTGGCACCTCAGAACATAGTAAGCACTTCATTTCATAATTCTCCTGATCTGCTAACTAACGAAATCTAGTTATTCGTCTCGAACGCGACCTCGTAGTCGGGACTTGGGATGCAAAGAACGCTTTCAAAACAAGGAAGAGTGATCCCTTGGCTATGGACTGGCTTAGTCCTCAGACCGTCGCAGTAGGCTTCCGAAATGGCTTTGTGGCTCTTTACGACCCAAGAACCTCCGACCACGTAATGCGGATGCGCCATTCCAGAAGCGTGATCGGCCTCAAGCGCGCGGATAACGAGCATCGACTCATCGTGACGGGGTTCAAGAGTAAAATGGACATGTACGATCTCCGCATGTCCGCAGACGGCAAGGGCCATCATCGGCCGAATAAGCAACACAAGTAAGTGGAAGCTCATGTACACGATTTAAAAGAGCCATATTGACATGTGTAAAACACTTTAAAGCACAAAACCATACTTGTCTTTTGACTACCAGAACGACTGGCACTATCCGCTCGGCTTCGACGTCCATTATGGAGCTGGTCTTGTCGCAGCAGCCCATAACGATGGAATCGTACAACTGTATTCGATGAGAAGTGGCGCGAAGGTTCGGCAACTGAGGCAACCGGTCAGCGCCCAGAAGAAGGAAGTGACTTGTCTGAAATTTGTCGAGGAGGTTGCCGGAGTGGATGAGGGCCGCACGAAGTTGCTTGGTAGCGCGGGCTGCTGCATCATGCAATGGGTGTAGGGGTAGTGGCTGGAATCTTCATGCAATATGCGGGCTTGGACAGAAGAGTGATAGAGCAATAATTCTATTTATCAAACAGTCAATGAGCTGAGGTGAGGTCCAAGAGCGGCGTTGTGATAATGCGCCGGTTCGGGTAAAGTAAGGCGCCTAGCGCAAACGAACGGCGAAGAGCTTCCATCATAGCTGCAGCACCTTCGCAATTGCCACACACAGATCGCTACTCCAACACCAATTCACCCTCGCTCAAGCATTGTCGAGGCACGGCGCCATGGCCGACCTGCAGGAGCTCTTCGCTCGGCTGAAAAGCCCTTCGAACTCTGCATCCTCCCCCGGCGCGTCGCAGACGGGCGCCAGCACCGCCAACCAAGGTTATCTCCAGCCATCTGTCTCGTCTCCCATTTTCTCCCCCCAACCTGGCGGCCCTCAGCCCCATCATCCATCCGCAATCATGAGCCCGAACAGCTCTACTGCGCACACTCCGGCGCCTGAGACCAGCAACTCGGATCGCACAACAAGCCTTCTGAACCTGCTGAAATTCAACCAGCCCAGCGCCACGCCGACCTCACTCCCGGATACCGCGGCCGACCGTCGCCCTCCATCGAGCCTATACCAGGACATGCAGGGAGGACAACAGGGTGTTCCGGGTCGCGCAACCTCTGCTTCGGATCTTGTTGCTTCGTTCATGCGCAAGCCTCCTTCGTCTGCCGCCGTCCAGTCTCCAACTATTGCTTCGCCTGCACCCAACAGGCCTGACATGGGCGCTGCCTCTTCCAACGCGAACCCGCAGGACCTCCTGCTGAGGCTCCTCAACCACCCCAAGCCTCCGCAGACCGACACTCCTTTGCAGCCTCAGGCCGTTGAAACAAACGTGCCGCAGGCTAACATTGACGACCTCACTCAGGATCTTGCCGACGCCAGGCTCGAGCCTAGTAACGCTTCTGCGGCTATGCCGTCTACTAGCTCGCCGCTCCACATCTTCGGTGGCAGCAGTGTTTCTCAGCCCGCTCCTTTCGAGCCTGCCACTGCCGCCCCCAAGAATCCGCTCTTTACCTACGTCAACCCATTTGAGCAGCTCTCGGCTTCTTCTCCTCGCAACCGCACTCCGAAGCCCGAGGCCCGTTCCGGTACCTCTACACCGAAGGTTGAGATTTTGAAGCACGGCCGAGAGACGCCGTCCGCTATCAGTGGCGCTGCTCCAGCTTTCAAGTCTAGGAAGCTGTCCGCCACCGGTTCGCCTAGCCCTGTCTATGAGTCACGCGAGCCAGGTACTGTGGCTGAAGCCCTCAACGAAGTTGGACAAATTGTCGATAAGCAGGTAGAGGAAGCCGTTGCCGACTTGAACAAGGAATCCAAAGCGACTGATGGCCGTGAACCACTCCAGGAAACCGATCTCAACAAGGCTGTCCATGAAGTTGCTGTCGAGGCCAAGGAGCAGCTAGACGACAAGGAAATTCGCCGCGAATTCGAGAAGGAAATACCCAAGGAGCTCGCTAAGGCGATCGAAGATGTCGTTGACGACGTCGCCCAGGAGAAGGTTGCCGATAGCTGGGAGAGTGCTGAAGACAGTCCTGGAAAGGAAGACGGCAACGCCGTCATTGTCTACAACTTCCCCATGAAGCCCTTCGTTTCTATTGATATCAAAAAGCTTCAGGATCCTCCGATCCCCATTCGTCAGGACAACATTATGGATATTGCTCGGTTGAAGAAGGACTTCGATCAGATTGACCGCAACCTGGTCACTGTTTCCAAGACTTTCATTGCATACGCTCTGTCCAAGCATGGAGGTTTCCGCCTCATCCGCCAAGACACGGGCAAGTATAAGCAAGTCTTCAACGCAACCAAGGAGCGCATCTTCAACCTCCAGGTCTGCACGAGCTCTATTAGCACGCCCAGCTCGCCCACTCACGAGGTTGAGACTGTTCTTGCCACTGGCGTCGATGGTTCTGTTTTCTGGACCACGATCGTTGGCTCTCACGGTGACACCTTCGGGGAAGACAACCTCGAAGAGCAGGGTTTTATCTTCCCGCCCGTCCCTGCCCAGGATGATAACACATCCGGTGGTCAGCTCAAGACGCGTGCGAAGAAGAGCTCACGTCACCCAGACTTCTTTGGTGTTGGTAGAGGAAAGTCAATCTTCATTGTCTGGCCTCATATTGCTCGCTCTTCCGAGTACACCGACGCCAAGACTCGCATCTGTGACAGCGACAGGTATCTCAGCGAGCGCTGCCTCCGCATCGTCACTGGTAAGGCGGGCAAGGATTTTGCCTTCAGCGAGGATGATACCGTCATCGCTTCCCTGGACAAGGCTGGAAGGCTGAGGTTCTGGGATATTCGCGATTTGGTGACTGAGTCTCTCAATGGGCAGGCCGTCGGTCGTATGCCACCTCGGGAGGTGCGCACACCTATGCTTCAGTTGAACACCGTTGCGCCTGGTGATAAGTCTTGGCCTACTTCGGTCTTCTTCCTCGACAAGGAGCGCCCTTGCGCGAAGGGTATCGCTCTTCGGTACCTCATCGTCGGTCTCAAGCAGAATCACACTCTGCAGTTGTGGGATCTTGGCCTGGGCAAGCCTGTTCAGGAAATCAACTTCCCTCACGAGAACGAGTCGGACGCCATCTGCAGCATTGCTTATCACCCGAAGACTGGCCTTCTTGCTGTCGGCCACCCGACCAGGAACTCCATCTACTTCATCCATCTGTCCGCTCCTCGATACAACCTCCCTGCTATGTCTCAAGCCAAGTACTTCACTCGCTTGGCTGAGCGGGATCCCGATCTGCCCAGACCTGAAAGCACTGCCATCATGAGCGGTATCCGCGAGTACTCTTTCGCCTCCAAGGGCCAGCTGCGTAGCTTGGAAATGCTTAACGAGCCTGCGGCTTCTCCGGAAAGCTATGCTCCGGATGATGCACCTTTGTTCGAGCTGTACATCATGCACTCCAAGGGCGTTACCTGCTTGGGCATTAGGAAGGACGACCTTGGCTGGAGCCAAGAGAACAAGGTCTTGCATCCCGTTGATGCTGAGGCTGGCGGTCACATTGCTCTCAACAACATCCGCGTCCTCTCCGCTCTTGAAGTTGCTCCTAGCACGACCGAATCGTCGGCCAACGGCGAAGCAGCAGCCCAAAATGCGTCCAACACTCGTTCCTCTCGCGCTCCTGTTAAGGAGGCCCCGAGGAAGGAGCCTGCTCCTCGCTCTCGCGCCACTTCGCAGGCTCCTGAGACTGCTTCCATGATCGCTTCGACGCTGCAGAGGGTGGAGAACCAGCAAGATGCCGATCGTGCTGCCATCATCAACGGAGGTGACAAGAGCGAAAAGAAGAAGAAGAAGAAGGCTGCTGCCGCTGCTGCCTCGGAGACTGCGTCTCAGGTCTCGACCGCACCTAAGGCAACCGCTCCTGCCGCAGCTCCGCCTTCTTACGCGAACATTGCTCAGCGTGCCAAGACGCCTCCGTCTTTCGAGCAGCCGAAGGCTGTTGAAGAGAAACCCATTGCTAAGGCTCCAGAAACTGAGGTTCCTGAGTGGGCTACCAAGCTTCTCGGTCAGCTCCAACCTGCTGCTCCTGCGCCATCTGCCCCTGCCGCCTTCGATCCTGAAATGCTCAGGAAGCTTGAGGAGGGCATCTCTGTTGAGTTCAACAAGAGCTTGGGCAATGGGTTGGAGACTCTCTATCATCGTTTCGATGAGGACAAACGTGTTCAGGACGCTGCTGGCGCTGCTAAGATGGATGCTGTCCTGCGGCTGGTGTCCAGCACCCTCACCGAGAATGTCGAGAAGACCTTGTCTCGCATTGTGACGCAGAACATCCAGAAGACTATCCTTCCATCTTTGAGCGACCTGGTCACTACTACGATCGAGCGTCGTCTTGCCGAAACCTTGGGCCAGACCGTCTCTGCGAGCATTCCTCGTGAGGTCAAGGCGACCCTTCCGTCTGCTGTCAACACTTCCATGCGCGACCCCGAAACGCTCCGTCTTATCTCGGATTTGGTCTCTCACAAGGTTACTCAGCACATGGATTCGAACATGGCGACTAGTTTGCGCAACAGTATTGGCAACACTTTCTCGACTGTCGCCGTCAATGCTGCTCAGCAGTTGTCTGGAGACATGGAGCGTCGCATGGGCGAGCAGCTTCGCCAGGCTGAGATTCAGCGCCAGCACGATGCTGCAAAGATTGATCGTCTGACTAACTTGGTCACTGGTTTGGCTGAGGCTGTCCACGCCATGTCTGCTTCTCAGTCTAGCTTTCAGGAGGAAATCCTAAAGCTGCAGAGGCAGGTTGCTCAGACTGAAGGCTCCGTTAGGTCTGCCCCTTCTACCGGTCGCTCCACCGCCCCGCCTGCCAAGGGCCCGGAAGAGATTGAGCAGGACGAGATTACGAGGTTGATGAGCGATGGTAGCTACGAAGAGGGAACCATCATGGTAAGTTGAAGCACAGCATATTTATCGCAGATTTCAGGGAGCTAACGTTTTGCAGTGGCTCCAATCGCCTCGCCAGGCTGAGCTCTTCGACCAGCTCTTCGTGCGCTGTAACCCAGCCTACATCCAATCTCTGTCTCCTCTCGTCGCGCTGTCCGTGTCGGCTGCTGTGACTGCGTCTTTGGAGACCAACATTGCGGAGCGCATGATGTGGCTCGATGCCGTCTTCAGCACCATCAACCCCAAGGACGCAGACATTCTCGAGGTTGCCCCCAAGATTATGGATGTGCTCTCTACTCGCCTCCAGGGCGCGTACATGCAGATTGCCGAGACGACCCCGAACAACCCGGTGCTCCGCAAGATCTCGAATCTTAGCCGCCGTGCTAAGGAGTTGAAGGCTTTGGCGGGTGTCAGCTGAATGCGAGTTTAGCTGGCTTACCCAGCTTTCCGACGCCTACCCATTAAAGCTCTGATACTCAATTGCGATCTTTTTCCACTCTAGGAAATGAAGCGATTGGCATGTCAGCGTGTTGAGATGCCGATGCTGCGAACGACGCTGGAGATGCTGGAATATGCTCTTCGGCCATGTCTTGCGGTTTCATCGAACTCTCGTGATGACCTGTTCAAAAATACAAATTGCTTTTTGCACTTGATTTGCGTTCTTGATTTCCTAATGCTGCTTTTCTACCCTACATGCTTCTACCCCTTGCACTGCTAGCGTACCATGCGATGGTTCGCGTGCATCTCTTCGACCGCGACGATACCTCGGGGGGCGTCTTGATGATGAGATCAAGGAATGAATGGCTTGGACGGATCGGCTCTGAAAAAAAGTTCCCTTTTTTTGCTTTTCCTGCTTCCCTTCTCCTAAATCTTTTTCCCTTCCTCTCTCCAATCTCGATCCGTGGGATGGCTTCCGGTGGCGCTGGAATAGTGCGCCCATCAGGTAGCTCTCGTTTTTTTGCTTGTCTGTTCGGCTGGTGGACCTTTCAGTAGGTGCGGTAGACGACGGATGTGGCTTTGGATCGCGAAACGGATCTTAGGGGCAGTGGAACGGGGATGTGTAGATGGGGGGTTGGTGGGCCTTGTTTTCTTCCTCTTCTTCTCCCTACTTCTCCTCGTTCCGTCTTGCTTGCTCTTGCTAGATGCGGCGGAGAGTGGTTATGGAATCGATTAGCTGCTCGCTTCTTTGTGTGTCCTTGTTCAGTGATGTCGAGTGATCATGTATACATTGCTAAGATGAGCGTGAAGGATGTGGTTTGTGGAGTTCACCACTTTTGCAATCGAGCATGTTTCCATACAGGTAAGGCTAGTTAGCTGCAGCCATCACAGCTACTTCACGATTGGACACGATGCCGTTTGGACGTAGGACCGGTCAGCTAGCTAGCTCTTCTCTCGTCCCTACGGATCCGTAGTCGATCTCGAAAGCGCCAGCATCTGCTGCGCCTCACTCGCCGCCTCACCCACACGCGCCAAGCACGCCGCCACGGGCGCGTCGCCCAGCCAAGCAAGTACGGATGGATACAAACCTAGGCGCCAGCTCAGCAGCAGAGTCCAGACATATCGACGAGACGAGACGAACGAGCTCAACGCAGCCGCTCTGCCGCTGCACGCACCAGTCTAGTGGCCGGGCAAAGGGCAAAGGGCAGGAAGCGCACAGCCACGCACGCGCCCCCGCAGCCGGCGTGCCGCGTATCCGCAGCGTAGCGCAGGCGGGCAGCGAATCAGGGCGCGCGCTTCGCCGCCCGCCAGGCCGCGACACGTCGCGCTGAAACACGGGGCCGACGGCGGCGCGCTGTCGTCGAATCGAGGGCGAGGTGCGCCGGGCGTTGGAAACGCTGTGTCTGCTGAGCTGTGGGGTGTTTCGGGTTTTTGTGAGGGTTTAGCATTGTTTGGAAGGGTTTGGGAGGGTTGTGGGGTTGAGGTGGCTGTAGGTATAAAGATGGCGGGTTGGAAGTGCTTGGCTGGCAGTATTCTTCTTGTCTGTCTTCTGCATCATCATCGTCATCATCGTCTGGCTTTTTTGTTTCTTGCTTGCTCTTGCGCAGTAACCAACCTCAGTCGTCACGCGGATTCCTTGGTGTGACGCGAATACCGGTTTTTTTGGCTTCTTCGTTTTTGCCTGCTGCGCCTCGTCTGCTACGGTAGCCGGCTTTCTTTGTCCCTTATCTTCTTATTCATCGCTGCGAGAGCTCTGGAAGCTTGCTTTATTTTCCCGCAAACTACTGCGTCTACGTCTACGACTACGCCTACGACTACGACGACGACTATCACGACGACTATCACGACGACGGTTATCGCTGCTATTACCACTTCCTAAAGTGCTGGTCACTGAGAAGACAACCGAATCATCAACGCCGACGACGACAAACGATATCGAAAGACTTAAGACGATAAAGCGTGCCTTTTTACGCCTCCGATCCTATTCCAAGCCTTCGTCCCACGTCCTTCTATCTATCTAAACCACCCCCCCCCGGCGCATCTTCCTCAACCTAACCCACGACACCACAATGGCCTTCAACTACACGCTCCCGCTACGGATCGCGCAATCCATCTTCGCGATTCTCGTGCTCGCACTCAGCTCCTACGGTACTTTCCCCTCCCAAACCCCCCCAAACCCAAACCCAAAAACGCAAACCTCAAGCCCCAAACCCCCGACTAACGCCCAACAGTGACATCCTGGTGGAGCAACGCGTGGACGCACTGGACGCCGGCCTCGATCAACTTCCTCATCTTCTGCGGCGCGTGGTCCATACTCGCGCTCGCCTACCTCCTCGTCGCGCCCGCCGCCTTCCCCAAAGCCGCGCACAAGCACGCCGTCCTCGCCGTCGAGGCGCTGACGACGCTGTTCTGGTTCGCGGGCTTCATTGCGCTGGCCGTGTGGCTGTCGGAGCGGGGGTGCTGGGGTGGGGGCGTGTGCGCGGCGGCGCAGGCCGCCGAGGTGTTTGCTGCTTTTGAGTGGTGAGTTTGCCTCTTCTTTTCCCTCCCTTGCTCGCCGTTCTTTAGCATGGCGTTTTAATGTTCTTTTTGTGTCACGAGTGCGTGTGCTGATGTGGATGTGATTTGACAGGGCCCTCTTCATGGCCACCTGCGTCATGGCTGCCCTGCACGCCTGGCGTACCCGCGGCACCAACAACACGCGCTCCGCGCCCGAGATGCGCGTCCACGTGCACGCTGGCGCCGTCTAAGTCTAAACCGCCCGACTACTCCTGTAAAAATCTGCCGTTTTTCTTTTTTGGTCTTGTTGGTGGTGGTGATGGTGGTTTTCTGGAGGCGTGCACGGGGAAAGAGTGAGAGTCGTGGAGCGATGGCGGCTGTGTTGGTGTTGTGTTAAGTGTGTGTTGTTGATACCCCCTCCTTGAGGTCTGCGCAATTGTATGAGTATGAGTATGAGTACCTATGAGTATGCATGCTGCTGTTTGATGTGCTGATGCGTGTGTGCTTGTGTTGGTGCTTGGCGAGGCATTTGCGCTTGCGCATTAGGTGGTGTGCTTGTTTGTTGCGCCACTGACTGTTTCTGTCCTGACGTTGGTGAGCGCGAATGCTGCTTGCTTGTGGTGATGAACCATCTTGATTATACATGCATACAGTTTTGTCGATAGAAGACTTGATAGGCAAAGAACGTGGAATCTGCAGACTACATACGTAGGCGGAAATGTTGCCATGATCATGTTTACAATTGCGGGCAACTATTCCCTCATATTGGGACAGTGAGTGATAGATAAGCCCTGCAGCTCCGTTGAGCCTCAAGCTTATACATAGCTCTATAGGTATAATAGGCTTGTGGCCACTGCCCCACTTACAACATATAGACAGCCACGTACAGTCAATAAAAGGGGAACGGCAGACGAGGCAGTCATCATCTCAATCATATTCGCTATCTAGCGTACGTAAGGTCGGCACCACAAGAGCGGCATTGATCACGTCCAAAGAGCAACATACCTACGCACCATGACTCTGCGTACCGTACCTATGCGCTCGCTAATACCCCTGCCACTGCTCGCCCATCATGCCGGGGACGTTTCCAACGCCCACATTCTGGCCCTCCCACTCGCCATCATCCGGCACCCCCGCACCAGCCGCAAAATCCTCGCCCCAGCCCATCTTCTCGAGCTCCATGCGGAAGAAGTCGCGGTCGCGGTCGAGGGCGCCCCTGTCCGCGCCGAGGCGCTCGGGGTAGTGCTTGAGGTTGAACCAGTGCGTGAGGGCGCGCAGGGCCTGCTCCAGCGGTACGCTCTCGTCGACGTCGGCGTCCACGTCCGAGCCTGCGAGCCAGTCGTCGCGCAGTTCGGGCCGACAGTGCAGGTACACGGCTGTGATGACGCGCATGTTGGACTGCCGCCACTTGCGCCCGCAGTACGGCACTTGGTTCTTGAATAGCTTGAGCGTATACAGTCGCAATTGGGGCTGCGGGATGCGCAGGCTCTTGCGCAGGTATTGCGACGACTTGTATTGCACTAGCATCAAGTTGCGGTGCGCTTTGTTCTTGCACAGCTTTTGCATGATCCGCAGTAAGTTGATGTTGGTGAAGAAGTTGCGCCACGAAAAGGACGTTATGGGCGCGGTTGGTAGATCGCTTAGTGGGATTCCAAGCTCATCTACTTCTGGTGGTGCCGGGAGCGCGCTGGTGGGTGGCTCTGGGGCTTCTGGGAGGTTGTCTGAAGACGCCCGCCGCTTGATGGGTGGTGGAACTGCTTCGTCGACTTCATCCTCTTCCATCGGGTTTTCGTTGGCTGCCTCCTCATTGCTGCCCTCGCGGGAATGCGTGCGACAGAAAGAAAAGAAGCTAACATAATTAGCATTGTAATTGAAGAAGGGGAAGGAGTGCTTACTTCAGATCGTCTCTGTCGCACTTGTAGTTGATCGCCTTTTCGATTTCTTGCAGTTGAAGGAGCTTCAGTGTCAACGGAATGTAATTAGAATCGACCAACAATTGCGTCAGGTACTCGAACTTCAGAATGTCTAAATATTACGGTCAGTAATCATGCCACAATAGTTGGTGTAAGGGTAATTTACGGGATACTTTGAACCACTTGAGCAGAAGTATGAGTATACCGGAGGCGGCCTTGTCTTGAATCTCTTCTGTCCTGGTCCTGTCCAGTTCCTCGACTGGAACCTTCGAAACATCCGGCATCGAACCAGCGATGCCGTTTCCTTCAGGCCTTCCGGCTTGAGTTCCATTTTGAGTGTCAGGGAACGCGGAAGTGGGCGCATTGTTCTGCAGCGCCAGAGTAGCTAAGTGGGACAAGAAAGTCCTCAAGAGAACAATGACCAGTGACTGCAGATGGGGAAGGATGACTCTCTAAGAGAACGTTAGCATATTCTTTGGCATAGTGTTCATCCTTACTCACATAGAAATCCTCGACCTGTTGCAATTTTGCTGCAACCCTTGCCTCGGGAGTATCTTCTATCTTTTGATCGTGGGCCTGATCCTTTTTGTCTTGCTCCTTTTCTAGCTTCGAGCTTAGGTCCAAGGGATCAACATCCTTATCCTCGGAGCCCAGCCAGCCCCGTTCATACTTCATGAAGAGAACACGCTCTTCCCACAACTGCTTCATAGCCCGCGTGGCCCTCATTCTCTTCGAAAAGAGCTCCGCTGCTTCTTGAATCGAGGTCGGAATATCACTTCCTTTCCACTTACGCCCGACAAGTATATCTTGCAAGTCAGTAGAGCCCTTACCGCCCAAGTTGTTACTCGATTCGTCCAACGGAGGATACAAGAACGGGAAAAGCTGGTTGGTTTGGTAGTTTTGCTTTTTCCCGCCCTTACCGCCAGGTCCGGCAGGCGAAGGAGGCGGCGAAGGAGCAGGCGTAGCAATATGCACTGGCTGGTTGAGGATAGAAGTGCCGTTGCTGTTCACATTGGCCATGCTAGGTCCAAAAGCATTGGTCTCTCCTGGTTTGGGCTGGTTCTTCAAGGGCGGTAATATCGAATTGTTTTCCGGTTCAAGCGGGAAAAGCGGAGGCGGTGGGTTGTAGGCGGGATACTTGGAGCTGATTTCTTGGCGGAAGAGATGGTAGTCGAGCGGTGATGCTGTTATGATGGGCTGTCCTCGATTGTCCAGAGTCTCTTCCATAGGGTCGTCGAGAGATGCTTTAACCTCATCCACCTCTTCTAGGCCTCCAAAGGCGACTAGTATAGTCTTCCATGTAAGAAGAAGGATCTAGATGCAAGTCAGCGAGCGTGCTCGACAAATGCGCACGTGATCCTACCTTTTGCAGAGGAGGCCCAATGGAATCGTCCCATCGCAAACTGGTAATAATCTCAATCAAGAACACTACAATGCTCGGATTGAGTTGTGCTACAATGAACCATTTAGCAAGGCGTTTCCAACATCAGAAAAGTCGGGACCTACAAAGTTTCCGGCGAAGAGCTGTCCATTGAAGCTCCGTCCGTGCCGCTTCGTGGAACATGTACATAAGGGTGAGGGAGCACCACAGCTCTTGTTTGTCGGCATCCCGATCTTCCTGCGGAGCAATCTCCTGCTCCACCACATCGGTCGCACTTGGCTGCCGGTCAGTCATCGGAAGTACTGAAGGTGGAACATCTGTCAACTCACAACTCGCGCAAAGAAGCCGCGCGCATGACGTCAAAGATGGGTTGAACGCCGTCACACTCAAAGATCATCTGAATGTTTCTTCGAATCCATTCTATCTGCAGCTCTGACTTGACGTAGTTGGAATTTGCGCCAGCGCTATCGGTTGACGATGCAGACTCGCGCTCAGCAGTCTCGCCGGTTTGAGATGCCAGGCCAGCCGTCTCATGCCAGCATCCCAAGGCAATATACAGCAGAGCCTCCATGCTCCGTAACCTCGGATCCTTGTCGGGCTGCTGAATAATGTCAAGCAGCTTCCGTACGAGCTCTTCTCGGCGCGGAGCCTCGGCTTTGCACCAGTCCATTTCGCCCTGCTCGTATGCCGCCAGATTCGAAAGGGTGCCGTCTTCGAGCGCGACCCATTCCTCGACAAAGGAGGACTGTGCCTTGAGCAGCATGGCCTGCTCCTCGACGCTATACGAGAACCACTCTTCCACCTCGGCAGCAAACGACGCAGCATCCTCGTACTCAAACGCGTAGGGAGTCGGCTCTGCCTTGGGCATGTCGGTGACGAGCTTCTTCAGCTGCATGAGCGACAGCGAGTCGGTGGGCTGGTGACCGGCCTCAAAGGCAGGCGCAGGCGGGGCCGGAGGCGGCAGACGCTGCGGTGCGGGGACGGACTTCTCGCGCTTGAGCGGAGGCCTGGCGGGCAGAGTGACACCCTCGCCCGGCAGAGCAGATTTTGCGCCATCGAGGGCAATGTTCTGCTGGTCAGCAGCGTCGAAGTCAGGCTGGACAACTTCCTCGCCGCCGAGGTTCTGGTCTGGGTCGGCGGGGATGGCCATCATGTCGGCCTCGTCAACGACGACGGGCGCGGCATCGGGGGCGTCGGGGGCGTCGGCGGCATCGGGGGCCTCAGCAACGGGCGGGTCTTCCATGGTGGTACTAGGGGGCCAGGGTGGAGGCCGGCATTGACCGTCGTCAGGCAGCAGACATGAGTTAGGTAGGTGCCTCTCTGGAGTTTGTTGGTCGCGCTGGCCAACCGTGACACAAGGCGGGCGCGCATCGGGGAAGCCTCGTCCCGATGTCACTCCGATCCACCTCTCTCATCTCTCAACACCAACGACCAACGGCAAACCAGTTGCACCCGTCGCCCACCCCGTCCTGTCGCATGTGGCCATGTGCGCTGTCTCTCTTTTTTTTTCCCCCCATCGTCCTGTGTGGTCCGCCGCCGTACCCGATGTCATCATGATCGCCACGGCAAGACTTGGCCGTCAGACGTGTGGTGGCATGGGTGAGGCAGAGCATCGTTGCACCGCCCCGGATCCTTGGGTCGCAACACTGGAACGCTCAGAATCGACAGCCGTGCCCGATGCGACGCATAGGCAAGCATTGCACGGGTGCGGCTTATTTGCTTTGGGGTCGCTTTTCGCGCAATCTCCACTGGACGGGGTGGTGCTCCAGTGTTTCTCTGCGTCGAATTAGGGTTTCCCAGCAGCGCGAGAGTATCACCGGATAGGCAAGGCATACGAGGGTGCCAGCGCGTGCAAAACCTGGGCCCCTGCCCCGCAGATCGGCAACTTTGTCTGCTTACGGCTTTGGGTCTCAGCCCTGCACGGCAGAGCTGACACATGATCTTCCTACTAAGCCAGTCCACAGAAAATAAGCTGTTATACCGGCCAAGAAGTCCTTCTCAAGCTCACCTGCAGCCGCGCCCGAGTGGGCTGCTCCGCGTGCCACATTGGCACATGGCTTCGTGGCGGAAGATCCGACGCCTCTCCCCCCGCGCCTTTGCCGTCATCCGTCACCCAGAGCCTCAGGGTCTTGAAGCAAATGGGCGGAGAGCACGCTCCACCCTCACCGCAATATGCATCCCAGAACAAGCTTGCATCCATGCACGCTGTGGTCATTCCCCAATCAGTTCCTATATGCTCCAACATGCCGGACATTGCCAGCAATCCTAAAAGACGCTTCCAGGTGGGGTTCCGCAATCTTACTAAGAGCCACCTTAGCCTCAGATCGTGGTTGTTGTTTTACTGGTGCTCGGCAGTCATGGTTCACAGAGCAGCTTGACATCACTGCCACATGGCTGCGGTTTGTAGGATCTGACAACCAACACGGGCCGAACATACCTACGCCGCAAATGTCCCGCTTTTCGGGCCAAGCCCAAATCACTGTGAACCACAGCCTTAGCGGGTCGACCCATGGGCCCGTTGCGGGTCACCTTGGCTCAGATCACCCCGTTGCCATAGTCCCATGATCTATTTTCGTGCTTCTCAAGATCTATCACAAGCTACCCAGCAGTTCCAAACATAAGCAAGAGTCATTGAAAGAACTCTGTGTGTTTATAAGATGCAGGCGTTTCCTCAGCCATCCCATTCCCTCTCTCACAGTGCCTTGGTCTTTATCCCTACCTGAGCTTTCTGGCCGGTCTTCCTTTAATTCTCAATCTTCCTTGCACCTTAATCCCGTCCTACTATACACCATGGTGCACTTCTCCGCTGCCCCGGCTGCGGTGCTGGCCTTTTTGATGTACTTTTCGCTTCATGCATTGGCCGTACCTATAGTCAAGCGTTCCGTGAATGGACCGGTCATCTCCTCGGACTTCCCCGACCCCTCGATACGCAGGGTTGGAGACACGTGGTATGCATTCGGCACGACCGTCAACAACGGAGCCATCCATGTGCAGATTGCCAAATCGTCAGACTTTCAATCTTGGACAGTGACGGGCAAGGATGCGTTACCGAACTTACCTTCCTGGGTGTACAAGGACAAGCCTCTCGTATGGGCGCCCGACGTTATACAAAATGTGAGTAAGCATCCAACCGCATGTAAGCTCCCGCTTACAGAGAGCAAAAGGACGCCGGCAAATGGGTGTTGTACTTCAGTGCATCCAAAGACGCCAAGTACCACTGCATTGGCACCGCGACCTCCGACGTCATCGAGGGCCCGTACACTCCTCAGGACGCGGCTTGGGCATGCCCTCTCGACCAAGGCGGCGCCATTGACGCCTCGAGCTTCGTGGACTCTGATGGTTCTCGCTACGTGACGTACAAGATCGATGTAAGCCATCACAGTGTTTTCCCACAATTTGTTCAGAAACCGTGGTTCTGACGCCAAGGCAATACAGGGCAACGCCAAAGGCAACGGTGGAGTGTGTAATAACGGGGTCGCTCCAATCCAGTCGACGCCCATTATGCAGCAAAAGGTGGCCGGCAACGGTATCGACAAGATCGGCGGGGCGTACCAGCTTCTGGACCGGTCCGACGGCGACGGCCCGCTCATCGAAGCGCCCAGTATTGGCAAACTTGCCGACGGACGCTACGTGTTGTTCTTCAGCTCGAACTGCTATTCGACAATCAACTATGACGTAACGTACGCGCTGGCGGACAGTAAGTCTCACAACCCCATATCGAGCTCGGCGGTCTCAGCCCCGTCTCTCTCTGATCCTGTTTCGTCGACGACACAAAAAAACGCAAACGCAAGAAATTGGCAATGGGAGGCTGACCAGGTTTTATCGAAACAGGCGTATCCGGCCCCTACACTAAGCACGGCCCGCTCCTCGTCTCGCAGGGCAAGTACGGCCTGTGGTCGCCCGGCGGAGCTAGCGTCACGGCCGACGCCACAAAGATCGTCTTCCACGCCTATCTTAACGCCGGCAGCAGCATCCGCGGCATGTACACGGCTGACATTACGTTCGATGGCACCACGGGCATAGCTTGAGGCGCGGCCCTTGCGTGAGAGGCTAGCTTTCCGCCGCCAAGTTTTACGGCCTTCTTTGTTTAATTTCTCGTGGCGCGGTTTGGGAGCTCGACTCTCCACAACCACCACCCTTGCGTGGGCGCGTTGACTGTGTGTTTCATTGCGAGCGAAAGAGCGTGGAGGGCGCGCGCGCATGGCACGGAGTCTGTCCTTCTTGTCATTTCTTCTTGTCATTTTTTATTTTATTTTTTTATTTTTTACCTTTTTTACCTTTTTTACCCTTTTTTATTCTGGCTCGATACCCTTGTTTCTTTGGCCATTGCTTGTAGTTAGTTATTCCCAGCGTCTGGGGGCCCGGCGCGCGTACAGTACCCTTCTGCTTCTCTTCGTTCATCACGGTCTTTGCTGCTACTGCGCTTTAGCTCGCATGCAGGCGTGTTTCCTATAGTTAATTAGTTGGTTGGTTGGTTAGTTGGTTTGGTGGCTGCATGCCTATACCTACTCCTACTGCTAGGTGTGTAGGCGGTGTACGTGTGAATGTACACTTTACAGCGCACGCAGCGCACAGCATACGGCTTCAATAAAGCAGACTTTACTATCCATACACCATACATCCACACATCTCTACACCGCACCCAAGGCAGTGCACGCGACGCGATGCGATGCAAAGCAAAGCAACGCAACGCAACGTGCCCAAGCCTCGCCCACCTCATCCATCAAACCTCACAACGCAGCTTTCTTACACATACATGCGTATATGCGTCTGCGTCTGCGTCTGCATGGTCGGGGTCCTGGGTCAGGGTAGCTGAGAGCCCCACTCCAATGGCATCCCTGTCCTGCACACGCACGGGAACCGCTGCACACGTGCATGCGTGCTTGTTGCTTGCTGCTTGCTGCTTGCGCGCTCGGCTCGGGGTGGGTTTGGGGGTCTGCCTGGTTTGGTCGGCTTGGTGCGGGTGCGGGCGGGTGCGGGCAGGCACGCGGATCGCGCGGCTTGGTTGGTTGGTTGGTTGCTGGGTGTGTATGTCGGGTAGGTGGGGAGGTGGTGCTGAGTGATGGTGCTGAGTAAACGCGTACATACTCCGTACATGCCGTGATTACGTGTGCGGGTAGGCATGGCATGTGAAGTAAGTAGCATGTACTCCGTACGAACAAGAACAAGAACAAGCTGGTTGTTTGGTTGTTTGTGATAGTGATGGCGATGTAGTCTAGAACACGGGTTGTGCGCTGGTGGGTGAGACTTGGTGGGTTGGTTTGAAACATACTTAGCTATCTTTGTGCGGGGTGGGTGAGTGGGTGTTTGGCTGGTTTGGGTAGGTGGGCTGTGTGTGCGTGCGGGCGTGTTTGAGACTGTCTGTCTGCCTTGATTTGGATTTGGGTTTGTTGTTGGGCTGTTTTTGGTCTGTTTCTTGGACTTGGCTCGGAACGTTGGATTGGATTGGGCATGTGCTGGCTGTGGCCCGGTTCCGCGGCTGGCTGGATTGATGGACGGATGGGGTATGCGTTGGGTGTACGAATACATGCCTGGGTACGGAGTACGGGGTACGGGTAGTGTCTACCCATCCAGCATCCAGGTAGCTAGTACATCGGCACGCACCCGCGACGCCGCGAGACAAGACATGGACATGGAATCGAAGCCAGACGACGATATCCATCTCCCGACCTTCCGACCCGAGCTCCGCTCCCGATTCACCGCACGAGTGTGTGTGTAGTGTACATCCCACACTCCACATACACATCCCAACAAAGCATTCCTTCTCTTCCCTTTTTCTTTTCCTTCACTCCCCGCACTCCGCACACGCACATCCCAGCCAGGCACAAGCACCACACAGCACTTAACGCAGGCCCCGCAGTTTCCCAGCAAAAAAATTGCGCCAGCATACACTGCCTGTTGCCAAAAACAAAAACCAAAAAAAAAAAAAAAAAAAGCCATCGCAGTGGTAAATATAGCCTCACGGCCTGCCTATACCAGACGCGCATACATCCATGCGGGACCGGCCCCGGCCCCGGCCCCGCCCGCCCGCGCTCCAACCTGCTTGCCTGGGACTCGGGTACATAAGTACTCCATAATCCGTCCCCGCTGCCATAATTACGTACATAGTACATACCTAGCACATATGTACAAGGCTCCGCGCCGCCGCAGACGACCCGCTCGCATGCGTCCGCTGGTCCGGCGCGGTCTTGGTTCGGCTCTGCGGCGTATGCGGCTGAGGGCTGAGGGTACGTACTGTGGGTACGGCCGGATTATACATACATATCTGATATGTATATGTATATGTATATGTATATGTATATGTATATGTATGTGTGCAAGTACGGCCGGGTCCTGGGCCCGCGGCACAGTCGCCCGGATCGGGTTGCTCCTGCCGTAGCACGCGTAGGTAGATACTTACGCCGTTTGGCTTGGCTGCGCTTTGTAAGTAGGTAAGTCGGTGATTGCGATGTGCGGGTGCCAGGCTGCCAGCGAAGTCGGGACAAGACGCGGAGACAGAGGACAGGCTCGCCGCAAGCCCGCTAGGCTGTTGCCCGTCCCCACTCCCGCCTAGGTGGTTTCGTCTTCCCGTCTTCTTCTGGCCGAGGCGGCGCGCGGTGCTAGGTAGGCGTACTCTACGCACGTCCACTCCTAGGTAAACCTAACCTATACGATCCCTAACCCTATCCTTCCGCCCCCATCACTACTCGTATGTACAACTCGTCCTTCATCAACGCACCAACTCCTACGCCTCGCCACCCCTTCGCCCCTCGCCCCTCGCCCCAAATTTGTCACCAACACCATCGTCGTCGCCGCAGACAACACGAACCGAAGCACCAACGCGCCTGGACCGTGAACAGCAGCCAGCAGCAGAGCGCCTAACGAGTAAAAAAACAAAATAAAAACAAAAAAGGCCAGTAAAGTGAGGGCCTGCTGTGTTAACACAGCAGTTATTTTTTTTTTGTTTTTTGTTTTTTTTTTCTTTTTTTTTTTTTTTTATTAAAAAAAAAAACGAGTAAAAAAAAAAAAAAAAAAGCAAACAAACAATCAAGTTGAAAAAACACTTCTGACTCTAACCGCGCCGCCCCCGCCCCACCGCCTCGCGCACCGCCCCAGCCCCAGCCATAGTCGCAGCCGCTGCCCCAACCCAAGCTAAGCGCTTAACCACGCCAAGACGCACACGCGCGCACTGCCTCCTTCCTTCCTTTCGTTGTCGCCATCGGCCCCCACGTGCGCTGGCTGTCTGGCTTGCCAGTTGCCACAGGCCCAGAGAGGAATGAGAGGAGCGAGGCCGTGCGTGCGGAGAGCGAGCGCGGAGATGAGGATGGGTGGGTTTGTGGCAGGGTGCTGTTGTTGCGGTGGTGTGGTTTGAGGGGCTGAGGACTGAGGACTGAGGGCTGAGTGGACGAAGGAGAGAGGTAGGAGGTAGCGAGTGACTACAGCCACAGCCACTGTCACTGTCGTCGTCGGTCATTGCCATAGCAAGGTACCTAGGTAGGCAGGCCTGCCCGAAGAAATGCCTTGGTGCCGAAACAGTAAGTAGGAGTACCTAGAGACAAGGCACGGTCGACCAGATAAGCGTGCGGAAGGATGGGTGTGCATACATACTGTGCCTGCGTAGATAGATAGAGTTCTTACCACATGCCGCCCGCTCACTAGGTACCTAGGTAGGTACCTAGGTACTGGGTGCTTACCTTCCTGCGGGCTCCTCGTGACGGTTATCGCCGCCGCTGGCGCCGCCACCACCACCATACCATGCGTCTCAGCCAGCACCTTGGACTGTCTGTCGCTGGGTAGGTGGGTAGGTACTACTTGCGTCAAGAGCCGCATCGCTACCTAGGTAATACACCACTTACGCCTCCCCTTTCTGTCACTATCATCACAACAACAACAACAACAACAGCAACAACTAGCACCAAATCAGCCACGCACGTGCTGCACCTTCACTCCCACCCCCAACCTACCTTCATCATCACCACCACAGCCTCAGAGCCAGCCATCCTCACGCGCCTCGTATACACGTATACACGTGCCCGTCGCCACCATCACCACCACCACATACCCACCCACTGAAACATGTACAGCCAAGGCCAAGTAACCAAGCAGCAAGACACGGAGGGAGGAAGCTGAACTGAGTCAAACCAAACCAAACCAGCGACCACCCCCCTTCCCCCCAACAAGCCCAAGAGCAGCGCAGCGCAAGCCACCCAGCGCACGCACGTACTAGCTGAAGAGACCCGTAGACAGCACGGAGTCGTTCTCCGCAACGCCGACGCCGACATCAAGTGACCACTAGCTCGCAACCGCATCGCAATCGCCATCGCAATCACAGGCGCCATCATACCATCTAATCACCGAACAAGAGAGGGAAGAACAAGAACCAGAACAAGAACTAGAAAAGACAAAGGGAAAAAGGCAAACAAGGCGCCAAGGAGGCGTGCGCGCGCGCACACACACACACACACACACAACACTTACACACACGTAGGTACACAGAGAGAGAAAGAGAGCGAGACACACACACAGCGCGAGGGATCCATCTAAGCCTTGGCGCCAATAGCGTCGTGATACGTACGTACCTTAGCCTAGGGGAGGAGCCCGAGTCGCAGTCGCAGCGAGCACTCCACCCACCCAGCGGAAGGAGGGAGGAGCCTAAGGCCGAGCGAGGAAGCGAGGGAGGAGAGGAGGGGAGGAGGGGGAAGGGCTCAGGCAGGCAGGACTCGGGACTCGGGACGCAGGACCCGGGACTCGGGACGCAGGACCTAGGTAGGGCAAGAAGCAAGCAAGCAAAGCTGACGAACCGCCTCCCTCCCTCAAATCCCATCGCAGCCGTCTGCCGCCGTCAAACAAGAACTCCACGATTTACCAGCAGCAGCAACAGCAGCCAGCCCACCAGCTTCCTAAACTGCATTTGTGAACTACTAGTAGCAAACACTTTGTTTCGTATGTGCAAAAGAGGCGCAGATTATACCGCCGCCGTCCCCGCCACCGCCGTCACCATTCCCATCCATAACTCCGGTTAGTAGAGAGAAGAGAAGAGGAATAACTAAAAAAAAAAAAAAAAAAAAAAAAAAGAAGCACGCCTATGATTCCCGTGTCTGTGTGTTTGTGTGCCTTGGGCCGACATGTGACCCGACCAGACGTGCCTTGCGGCTGAACTTACAAGTGTAGGCCCTACAAAGGGGACGAAGAAAAGAAACACAAGGGGCCCACACGCCCGAAAAGGGGGAAAAGGAAGGGCTGAGGATCAGAAAAGCATGTAACATCCAGCAGACTAGTCATGAGAAAAAATGAATCCAATCATGCCATCGTTCCGGTCTTGAGTAAGCCGCCGATCCTGAAGAGGATTAAGCTGACATGTAGGAAGACGAAAACCCGCCGACTCTTCTATGTGTTGCGTTCAACAATCAGAAAGGCGACTACCTCAGCTGTCACCATTCTGATCAGCCTTCTCGCCCTGGTTCTGGTATTCCTCTGGTACGATGCCTGAATTTTGGCAGGCCTTCTTCCAGATTTCAACCTCCTGCCATGCACGCTGGCACTCTGTTTTGAACTTGTCGCAGCTCGCGCTGAGCTCAGTAATGGCCTGCTCCGTCAAGAGCTTCTCCAGGGTCCATTTTTCAATGTTCTGGGACTCGTTCTCCTTGAGCTGCGTGATAAACTGAACAGCGCGCTGGAGGATGGAGCCCTTGTTTTTCTCGCAACCCGGAACGATCTTTGCAAGCTCGTTGATACCTTCGTTGATGGTCTCACGACGGCGTCGCTCCACTGGACATTTAGGTCAACAGACGTTTCGTGTGAACGAGGGGAAGTGCATAACAAACCTTCTTTGTGGTTATCCCGCCGCACCTTGTGCCATTCCTCCGAGCCAACGGCGGGCTTCTGACCAGTGCTGCTCGGTGGCGACTCGTTCGACGGCGCATTCTGTGTGTTCGACTTGCTCAGGGCATCCAGACCATAGTCCGACATGCCGTGCGGCGTTTGATGCATGTTGTGCTCGCCCATGCCGAACGAAGAGCCAAGGCCTCGGTCGTTGTCACCGCCAGTCGACTGGTTCTGGAAGATGTTCTCGGTCGACTGCGGTACAGTCATTTGGAAGTGATGCGACAAGGCTGCGGCGGCTGTGTCGCTTGCATTCGCCGGGTTGCCACCGCCATTCTGATGTAGGCTGTGGTCAGTCGCGTGTTGCGCGAGTTGCGCGGTGAAGTCTAGGTCGGCGTTCGCGTGGTGATGCATCTCGTCCTCGCCTGCGCCAGTCGCGTGATGCGCGGCAAGAAAGGCAGTGCCTGGCTGGTCGTTCAGACCCGTCGTACCAGAAGCGTTGTTAGCCGAGCCAGGTGATACACGTTGGTAGGCTGCTGAGCGTGCGGAGTCGCCAGGTGCTGCCCTCGAGGTTGTTGCGCCGTGGTCGAGCGAGTTGCGTTTTCGCTTGTTGTTGTGAACAAGGTTGGCGTCGCCAACCTCAGGCTTTGCGTCAGAGTCCCCGTAATTGGCTACGTCGGCCATCGCAAGTGGCAGTAGGATTTCGGCCGTTGCAATCCCGCGGGCGTTTGAACGAGTCTATGACAGTATGGCAGCGGATAGCAGCTTCAACACCAAGTCTGCACTCCCGTTGCGCGTCGTGACTTCAAAGGTCAATGGGGAATTATAAGCTGGTGCTATTCAAGTAGCACAGCAGAGAAATGCGGCCAACCGGGGGCGCAAGCAGTAAAAGCTGATAGGACTGGGCGGCGTAGCGGGTCTTCTTTCCTACCGAGACGAGGCTGGATACACGAGGACCTGCTCCGAGGCGCAATTATGGGGGAGAGACGAAATAGACGGAGGCTGCGCTCGCGATGGCGATCGCACAACCTAGTTTGGCTGCCGGTCTCCGAAACGACGAACAAGCGTCGATCAATCACTTGACGCAGAGTGAAGGCACTGCTCTCACTTCCTGATGAAGGCCAGAGGTCAGCACGTGTCCTACAGCAAGTAATCCTCAGTGCGACAAAGGTGCAGAACCAGGGCCCGATTGGCGCAGATCGAGTCGTGAGACCAAGCTGTCAATTGCTCGGACAAGTCGCACCGCTGCTGGCAGCTGCACAGAGGATGGGGCAGCAGTTTGAAGCATGGCGGGGCGCGGCCTGGGGGCGCGATCCAAAGGCGTGACGCGTGATGGAGACGCGCCATGGGCGAGGTGGAATGCGCCCGAAGGACAACGCGTCGAGGACTGGTTTGGGGCGCCAGACGACTCGAGGTGCACGCCAGACGGCGCGGTGGACGGGCGGGACGTGTGCTGGGGGAGCTTGGGACTTGCCTGATGGTGTTTGTGAGGCACGAATCTCGTGACCTGCTTGGTCCCGACGCTGGATGGTCGCGGAGGCCTGGACGGCAGCGGCACGCGTCGACGGCGCGGGTGGATTTTTGGAGATTCGGCGCAGAGGGAATCGCAGAAGCGAGCGGGCGGCAGAGCGACGAGCGAGATGCGAGCCGCAGCAGCAATATTTCTGGGAGGTCGCGCCGATATGGGGATGTTTATTCAGGACGGTCGTGGTAAGTCAGGTGAGGAGGTGGGAGGGAGATCACGAGGGAAGGGGCGGGCGAGTGGGCAATTTAGCTCTCCTGCGCTTGTCGGCTGTGGCCGGAACCTCGACACCTTCCAGGGCACGCAATGAGACTGCGAACCACGACGACGAACCGCTCACGCGCTGCCTCTGCATTACTTTTGCCTCTGCCCTGGGTCGCGCCAAAAGAATACTGCTCTCATCTGCAATCCCAATGCATCCCTTGGTCTCGTGGCCACCCTCACAGCACCCCGTGACCCGCCGCGACGCACACACACTGCTCTCTCTCTGCCTGCTCTGCCTCGCGCTAGCCTCCATCCATCCTCACGTGCTCGCCATTTGAGTCGTGATTGCTGTGTTACTGGCATGCACAACCTATCGTGCCTATCCAGCCTCTCCCTTGGGTGGCTAGTGATGCGGAGAAACTGTGCCCCCGGCCGCCTAGTCTTGCCTGTTCGGCCGCTTCGTTCATGCATCGTCTCACCACGGCTGACTTGTCTGACCGTGCGACGATATATTCCTCCCCATAGGTCATCCCACTACTGACCATTATCGTAATATCACTACTCTTACTCCTACTATCATAGGTGCACGTTGTACATACGCACACAAAATTCATTGACTCCTGATAACGCTAGCCAACCTAATCTACTGGCTAGGAATGGGAATGGGGATTCGTCGCTGCCTCTTAGCACAAACAATCACCAACTCTATCAGTTCCCGCAATCCCATTCGCCTACTGTGGCGTCATTCTTTCCTTTTCGGTTCCGCTAGCGCCCACCACCCACCATCTTTTTAAATTTCTCAACTGTACATAAGCTCGCCGTCCTCACCCTCTCTTTCGAAAACCGACCAACTCCCTTGTCGCTCTTTCAGCCTGCTCTAAGGCCTCACACTCATTCAACTTTCTTCCTTCTTGCCTAGCAGGCCATTATTGTTCTCTCCCTTGTTCTGTTGAACTCCACGGTCGTTATCCACGATGGCGCGCTTCCTGTTACCCTTCTTTGCCATTCTAGTGGGATTCGTCGGCACGCTTCTTGCCTATCCGACCAGCACGTCCGGCGAAGTCGCGTCCCCTTACCTTCGCGGTGTCAACCTTGGTGGCTGGCTGGTCCTCGAGTCGTATCTCACTCCGGAACTCTTCGAGGACGATGGAGTCGTCGATCAGTGGACTTTCGATGAGCAGCCCGGCTCGTTCGACAAGCTGAAGACTCACTGGGACACGTACTGCACCGAAGCAGACATCAAGAAGCTCGCTTCGTATGGCATTAATGCGTGAGTTTAACGAAAGCCCAAGCCAAACTACCTCATTTTTAGCATTTAACTCTACACTGATGTTCTCTCCCAAGCGTTCGTATCCCCATCGGCTTCTGGGCCTACGACAACGATGACACCCCATACCACAAGGGCTCTGACAAGTACCTTCGCAAGGCCATCAAATGGGCACGCGATGCTGGTATGGTCGTCATCATTGACTTGCATGCCACCCCCGGGTCTCAGAACGGCGACATCGGCTCTGGACACATTCAGGATGGTTCCGAGTGGCAAACTGGAGCTGGCAACATGGAACGCACGACTACCATACTCGAGACTATTGCGGAGAAGTACGGCAACGACGAGTTTGCCAATGTTGTTGTCGCGATCGAACTTGTCAATGAACCTTCCAACAATGCCCCGAACACACTGGAAAAGACTAAGAAGTGGACCAAGTCCACGTTCGCCGACGTTCGTAATGCTGCTACAAACAAGAATCTTCGCATCGCCATGCACGACCAATGGGTCACTCCCAAAAACTGGCTTGATGTCAACTCTGACCTTAGTGCTGCTAATCCGGGCATGTTCGTCATGGACGTTCATCAGTACCAGATTTTCACCGACGAGGACAAGCACCTTGACCAGCAAGAGCACATCCAGAAAGTCTGCAAATTCGCAGAAGAGCAGCTGAAGCTCGCCAAGGACAACGATATGTTACTTACTGTGGGAGAGTTCAGCGGCAACACGTTCATATGTGTTAATTCTAACGGTACAACTTTTGCGGATCCCAATGGTGAAGGAAAGGCTTGCAATGAGGACGGTTGCCAATGCGAGCTTTATGGCGGCATCAGTGTCGATGATTGGAGCGACCAATTGGTCGAGCAGGTCCGCCGCTACATTGAAGTCCAGCTCGACATATTCGAAGAATACGCCGAGTCCTGGTTCTTCTGGAACTTCAAGGGACCCGGTTCCTGGGGCTTCATGACCGGTGTCGAGAAGGTTAGTTGCTCAACAATTAAGTCCTTACACTATACTGACAATACATTAGGGCTTCATTCCCCAACCACTGACCAGCAGACGTTACCCCAACCCTTGTAATTGAGCGGCATTGAGTGTGAATTTCCATGCTAACAACACGAACGAGTGGAGTGTTGCATGGATGAGGCTTTGCTGCGTCGACGCGGAAACTGACTGGAATGCTTTGAGCGCCTAACAGCAATCGAGTTTGACGGATGACTTTGTGTGTATTAGGAGTAGATAGTCAATGAGCATAGGTCTTAGGTGGTTTGCCCACCCAAAGTGATACCACTCCCAAACAGGGAAATGAACTACTTTTGCACTCTTTCACCTTCGCACCATCGTAAACTTAAGGAGTACGTACGTACCCTCGCACCTTCACATGCTTGTACATTCGTACACCACCGAGTGCAGTATTACAGCTACTTTAGGGCTATTAAAACAGTACTCAGAAGATACGACATTGTACCAGCCCCTCGGCCCTTCCGGGTCGTTGCCCGATACAACACTCGACCCCGAGCTGCCCGCCGTCCGTGCGCGCCAAGACGTCACCCGAGCCGCAGCGGAATTTGCCGCGGCGCGTCTTTGCTCACATCTGGAGCTCCCGCACCATCTGCTCCGATCCACAACGCACACCCAGCACTTTGCCCTTTGAATCACACACGGAGCTCCGTTTTGATTCCTCGCACTTCTGGATCGTTACGCATACCAAATCTACCTCTGACACACACATCCATCATGTCTACTGGCGCGATCAGCAACCCTCCCGCCGCAGCTCCAGCCGAGTCGAAGAGCGCGCGCAAGAAGAAGGCCAAGGCTGACGCCGCTGCTGCAGCTGCAGCTGCTGCTTCCCCATCCACTCCTACCGCTGAGCCTCAGACCCCTCTTGATGGTCCCGCGAATGGATCTGAGGACTCCGAGAATGCATTCATCAGAGAGTGTCAGAAGTGAGTACCCACAGAGCTACCCCTCACTTGAGCTTCAAATCAACTGACCCCTTTCGCTATAGGTCTCTCCGTAATGTGAACAAGAAGCTTGTAAGTTCCTCAATACATCTATATAGATCTAACATGAGAGCTTGAGGCTGACATCAAACTAGAACGCTATGGAGAAGCTCAACAACGTGGTCAAGGAGAACCCTGGTATCTCCCTTGATGACCTTGTCGCATCTCGCAAGATCAACAACGACCAGAAGAACCAGGCTCTCAAGAAGCCGGAGCTTGAGAAGCAGAAGCAACAGCTGGAGGAGCAACTCGCACAGTACAAGAAGTTCAGTGAGGACTTCCAGCAGAAGTTCGCCCGCGAGAAGGAGCAGATCGAGGCCGGACACACCGAGAAGCTCAAGGAGCTGGAGCAGACAATCAGGGCGGACGAAGAAGCTAAGGCTCAGAAGATTCAGAAGCAGCGTCTGCTGACCTTCTCCCGCTTCCTGAGGGCTGCGGCCGCCAGGCGTCAGCAAGAGGAGGAGGCTGAATCCGAGCTGTCCAAGGCTTTTGAGGGTGCGCTGTTGCTGGTGTATGGTGGTGATGCCAACGCTGTCAACGCCGCTGAGAAGCTGATCGATGGTTCCGACGAAAAGGTGTTCTCTACCGAGGGTGTCCAGCTGGAGGTGACCTGTAAGTCATGAGGTCATAACTGTTATTATTTCTCAGCCGCTAATCACTAAAATAGATGCCCAAGTGAAGCAAACGGCTCTCGAGGACGCGCCGTTCGCCACGGAGGAAGCTTGGGTCGATGATGTCGCTCAGGCTGAGCCTGCCCCGCCTGAGGTCCAGTCTGATGCGATCCCAGCCACGGACCCAACGATTGCCAACGCTGGCATGACGGAGCTTGATGCTACTGCCCCTGCGGCTACTGGTGGAGCCGAAGAGACAGAGACCTCCGCCGCACCCCCCGCTGCTAGCGTTGACGATGCTGCTGCTAACGCTGCCGCTGCGGAGCAGTGGGATACGAAGGCTCCTGGTGCGGAAGACCCTCTCACTGAGAGCTTCGAGATGGTCCCTCGTGACCCTGCTGAGACTGAGGCCGTCCACGAGCCTGCTCCTGCTGCCAGCACCCAGAGCTGGGCTGAGGAGCCTTCCACTGCTCCTGCTGCCACTGAGTCAACCCCTGCCCCCAACGGTGATGGCTTCCAGGAAGTTCCCTCTAACCGCGGTGGCCGTGGTAGGGGCGGTTTCCAGGGCGAACGTAGGGGCGGTTACCGTGGTCGTGGCCGCGGTGATGGCAGAGGTCGTGGCGGTTTCCGCGGCGACCGTGGCAGGGGTGGAAGAGGCGGTCGCGGTCCCCGCACTGACTCGCAGGGACACGGTCAGCCTCAAGCTCAAGCCCAGTAAATCCCAACACAACTCAACCGCTTTGCTTTCTAGGGGACGTGCTGCGATGGTTTGAGCAGATGGTGGGAGATCACAGGTGGCTTTTTCACCCTTGTCTTTTTCCAATGTCTTGATGTAGCGACTTTCTTTCTCGAGCATTTGAGCGATCTGCGTACGGTGTTGCACGGATCCGGTAAAAAATCCACACGAGAAGTCTTTTCATGGTGAACACTTGCATAGCATTGGGTCTACGGATAATGGATGGTGAACGAAAACGGGACCTGCGCATCTGGGGACGGGGGAAGCATGTCGGTTGCATTTCTCTTTCCTTTCCCTCTGCTGGCCTTCTCTTCCTATGATACAAAGATGTAGCTTGGGCGTGCAAGCACCGCGCCGTCACCACTTCATTCGCCAAGCCAGAGGCGCTTCTCCCTAGGTAGAACAAACTGGTCTGAACGCACAAGCTCGCCGGTGTCTCGTCTGCAGGATCTCGCGTGTCAGCAAATAGCCGGACAGGGAGAAGCTCAGCCCAGGCCGCCCGCCGGTGCCACGGGCCAGCGGCCGGGGGAAGCAGGCAGGCGTCAAGCACGTGGGGCACCTTGATGGGTAGGGCTGACGGGTCGGCTCAGGCCGAAATGTGGAGGTGGAGGTGCAAGATTGGGTTCCGCGACGCCGACGCTCCCCCCTTGATGCAGGTACGATCTCGTATCTCGCACCTGCCTGCTATCTGTGTTTGATGTGTCGCTCCTAGTGCAGCCCTTGCCAACCAGCCGTCTGCACTGTAGGACGTCGACAGCCGAGGGCCCCCCTATGTTTCGGAGGACATGAGGCAGTCTATTGATGGGCCTGTGCGATGATATAATGATCCTCCCGCGCGTCGCCTGGGCTTGAGCTTGAGCCGCGACGCGATTGACGGCATTCGCGTCCCGCCCCCGCATGATCTACCGTACTTAGCTAGTGGGTGGTGACGGCGTCGATGGCGGAGGATGGCGCGGAGGAGCGATGGTCGACACGGCCATAGCGGGTTCAACGGACTCCGAATGCGAGGGCCGGCGGGGACGCCCATGGGCCTTGGGCAGTGACGACGTTTTTTTCTTTTTTTTTTCTTTTTTTTTCTTGCGGGCAAGGCTGAGAGCGGTAGGGTGGCGTGAGAGAAGGACCACTTCGGCAACGGGGTTAGCGGCTTCTTGGCGAGCCGAAAGCACCTCGCACCTCTCCGCTCCTTGAATCAACACGGCTGCCATCGTGACACACTCTGTGCGCTTGCATTTCGACTCGCAGCACGCTCTCCATGCGACGCCCTTAGTGGTGCTGTTTGGCACTTTCGTCGCTCCTTTTGCGCCCCCGAAGACGACCGCTCGTCTCTCGCGACCTGGTGCATTTCCCCGATCGATACCGCACCTCGACGTCCGACCGCCCGTCCACCACCTCGCTCAACGGCGCCTGCCATCGCGCGCACCCGCGCCTCCACCGTCGCCATGGATGTCCTTCCCACCACCGAAATCCCCCACGCCCCCGACAACGCCGCCGACGCCTCGAAGCTGGCCGACCAGAAGGCCGCTCTTACGCCTCCCACCAGCGAAGATATGAACAAGCGCGAGGGCTCTTCGTCTGAACTGTCGGAGCTGGAGCTCGACGACGATGATGAGGATATTGGAGAGATAGAGCCTGACCACTACTGGGACGGCGGGAAGATACCTGTCTTCAAGCCGGTACGTCATAACACACTTTTGGCAAATCTATCGCGTGAATGCGGACGTGAATGATTGTTGCGCATGATCGCCGTCGCATTGTTGGTTGAGCTCCAGGGCTAACGGCTGTTTGAATTGTTGTAGACCATGGACCAGTTCCGCAGCTTCAAAAAGTTCGTTGATAAAATAGACAAGTTTGGGATGAAATCGGGCATTGTCAAAGTCATCCCGCCGAAGGAATGGTAAGCTCCGGATTTAATATATTGAGCTGCATGGTTCTGACGTTAGCCGATGATAGGCGCGACTCCCTTCCCGACCTTACCGAGGCCGTCAAGAGCATCAAGATCAACCGCCCCATCTCCCAGGATTTCCAAGGCCGCCAGGGCCAGTACACTCAGCAGAACATCGAGAAGCAGCGCTCATACAATCTGCCACAATGGAAGGCCTTGACCGAGGAGCTGGACCACCAACCGCCAGCGAAACGCGGAGCAAGGCGGGGAGATCAGCCCGCACCCCCGAAGACCAGGACAACTCGCTCTCAAGCCTCCTCGACCCCGGCGGAACCCGCCACAAAGCGCCCTAGAGGACGACCACGAAAGCAACGGAAAGATGAAGCCCAGGAGCAGTCGCCCGAAAGAGAGACCGGTGGATCGAGACGGGCCAGCCAGTCACAGGTGCCTCCGACACCCACTTCCCCGTCGGCTGATGCTGGTGCTGTTGACAAGAAGGTCGCCGCGCTCAAGAAAGATGCTACGGAGGAATCACCTTCAAGGCCCCGGGGTCGTCAGCCTAAGTCTATCTCGTCACGCCGTAAGAACAACCGCAGCGAGGCCGCAGACGAAGTTGATGAGGAATCATTCCAAGACTTCGACTACCACCTTAAAGGCCTTGAGGAGTTTACTCCCGAACGCTGTGCAGAGCTTGAGCAAAACTACTGGAAGACGATCAACTTTGGACAGCCCATGTATGGTGCAGACATGCCCGGATCGCTCTTTGACGAGTCCACTACTAGTTGGAACGTTGCCAAGTTGGAGAACTTGCTCGACGTTCTAGGAACCAAGGTCCCGGGTGTCAACACTGCATACCTCTATCTGGGAATGTGGAAAGCAACGTTCGCTTGGCATCTTGAGGACGTTGATCTCTACAGTATCAACTACATCCACTTTGGGGCGCCGAAGCAGTGGTACAGCATTTCTCAAGAGGACGCACGGCGTTTCGAGAATGCCATGAAAAGTATACAAACACCTTTTAACTTTCCGTGAGAGTCAGCTAACGGCGTTAAGGCATCTGGCCTAACGACGCCAAAAATTGCAGTCAATTCCTGCGCCACAAAACCTACCTCGTCTCGCCGCAGCGTTTAGAGAGCGAATTCGGTATCAAAGTCAACAAACTCGTCCACTACGAAGGCGAATTTGTCCTCACGTATCCTTATGGTTATCATTCTGGGTACAACATCGGTTACAACTGTGCCGAGTCCGTCAACTTCGCTACTGAGCAGTGGTTGGAGTATGGCAGGATTGCTAAGAAATGCGACTGCGAATCCGACAGTGTCTGGGTTGACGTGGCAGAAATCGAGCGCAAGTTGCGTGGCGAACCGACCCCGGAATATTACGAAGAGACGGATGATGAGGATGACGAAGAAATGGAGGGCATCGCTCATGACCTTCCAAGCCCTCCAGCTAGTGTCAAGGGCAAAGCCCGGATCGTTTCGAAGAAGCGGAAGAGGGACGCCGACGGCAAAGAGCCTGAAGGGAAGGTCAAGCGCGTCAAGCTTCGCCTCAGAGTGCCTCACAAAGAGCCTTGCGTCCTGTGCCCCAACGATGTCCAGTATGACGTCCTGCTCCCGGCCGACAACGGTCAGAAGGCTCATCGCATCTGTGCCTTGTACACGCCTGAGACGTACATCATCGAAGAGGACGGCGTGGAGCGCGTCTGTAATGTTTCAGGCATCGACAAAGCTCGTCTGGATCTCAAGTGCAACTATTGCCGTTCGAAGAAGGGCGCTTGCTTCCAGTGCGCAGCCAAGAAATGCACCCGCGCCTTCCACGCTACTTGTGCCGCCGCAGCTGGTGTTCAGATCGACGACGGTCCTGTTCCTACCTTTGACGAGGATGGCACAGAGTATTTCTGCGAAGGCTTCGATCTTCGATGCCGCTTCCACCGGCCTAAGCGCGCAAAGATCACGGACATTGATACGCTGGAAAACAACAAGCTCGTTCCAGAATACGCCAAAGATCTTAAGCCTCAACAGGTTATCCAGGCACAGTATCTTGGTGGGGAAATTTTCGCAGGTATGGTTGTGGAGTGCAAACCGAGCGAGCTCAGTGTTATCATTGATGTTCTGCCGGACTGGTAAGTCGTTTCCCTCCACAGCTAATCAATGGATATACTAACGAACTATGCAGCAAGGAGCGCGTCGAGGTTGAATGGAAATATCTCCTGGTACTTGATCCGAAGGACTCGCTCCGGCCCAAACCTTCAGCAAATGCCAAGCCACTTCCAGATCACCTCAACACCAGCTCTTCAAACCTCAACTCCAGAAACCAGAAGGATGGACCTCCAGAGACGGATGATCCGTTCTGCGATCCAAATGCCGGACAGAAATGGGCGGAATTCCATACGGCCAGTGCAGCGGAGGTCCGCAATCCGTTTCAAGTCAAGGTCAACTTCGACAAGTCTGATCAGATATGGCATTACCTGGGGAAGACTTCCACAGAGGCGCGGGCACAGTTCACCAATGATCACAAAAGACACCAACACAACCCCAAGAGCAACTTCCTGGAGACGGTCAAGCCCCCACCACGCCCTCCGCAATCTACTGACCGCCGTTCACTGGCTGCAACGTATCCTACTGGAGCCAACATCAACGCGCTCAACGGCGCGATGGCTGCGCAAAGGCAGTCTTTGCAGCCTCAGTACGCGTCAGCGAAACCGTACGACTACAAACCAAAAGCTTCATATGCGCAGTCGCCGTATGCAAACGTTCCGCTGGCACAGCACGGGTCTCCAATGCAACAGTCGTCGTACAACTACGGGGCCCAGCCAGCGAGCAGAAACGCAATCCCTCCGTACCCCTACCACCAATATGGGACCCAGTCCTATTCTTCGGGCTCAAGCAGACCATCTTTCTCAACCCCGACTTACACACAGGCATCGCCGACCCCGCCATACCACCAGACCCACCCGCACTCTCCGTACGCAAACTACTACGACATAAATTCAGGGAGGGCAGTGCAGTACCCAGGCTTCAATCGCTCGGAAACATATTCCAACTCACCGTACGCGCAACGCGTAGCCCCAGTTGCCCCTATGATGGGATCGTCATCGGCGTCTATGTCTCCACCGGCCCAGTCGCCATCAATCCGCTCCGAGTCGGTAAGCTCTAGCGGCGCTGGCCAACCAGACATTGAGTACCTGCAATTCCTACAGCGGTTCCCGTACCTGCGCAATGCTTACCTTCGGCGACCAAAGGTGTACGAATCACCATACCCGGGTAATAGTGGCTTCTCTGCTGCGTACGACCCGCGAAGACGCTCCATGTCCCAGTCGTCCTACATGGCAAACGGCTACGGCAGCTACGGTGGCGGACACGCATACGGCCCAGGATATACGGGTCACAACGGCCGACCGAGCCTGACATTCCAGAGTCCGCAAGATTTCCAAGCCGACGTCAACAAGCAACAAAGCCAAGCCCCGCAGATGAACGGCATGCCCAAGTTCGAAATGCTGCTCAAGCAGCTCTCGCACGCCAATGAGAACGCGGCAAAGCGTTTCGCGCAGACGCAGGCGAGCTTACAGCAGACCCAGCAGCAGCAGCCGCCACAGGCACCACAGGCGCCGCAAGCGCAAGCGCAACAGCCGCAAGCGCAGGCTCAGAGCGCATCGCCACCGGCAGCTGCGTCAACAGCATCGACGCCAAACGGCGCAACGAGCACGCAGATCCCGACAGCCATGGGCTTGAGCGCCTACACCGGTCCGTCGAACACGCGCGGCTACAGGCCCGGCTACGGGTACGACAGCGGGGCGTTCGGGCCTGCGACGCAGACGCGCACGCCCTCGCTGGACGATACCAATGCTGCTGGAATCGTTGCTACTACCACGACTACCAACGACAACAATAACGGCGGCGGCGGTAATGGCAACGGTGGCGGTGCTGCTGTAGTCGACCCGGCTCTCGGGGGCCCGCCGGCCACTCCTATTAATAAGGTGGGCGGCGATGCGACAGCGGGTGCGGGCAAGGTACCGACGCCGCAACCGCCGGCTGTCAGCCCTATTAGCGACGTTGGAGCTGAAGCGGCAGCGGCGGCAGCAGCAGCAGCAGCGTCGGCGACGCAGGCAATGGGGCTGGGGTTCGGGGGCGAGACGTGGCGATATACGACTTAGTAGGCTGGGTTAGGATTGACTGAAATGAATGCGGCGAATGGGGGATTAATGGATTTGGGATTGTTTTCACCTCGTTTTTTCTTTTTACTCGAGGATTACGAGTCTTTTTTTCTACTTTCTCTTCTTTTCTTTTTCTTTCTTACTATACACACTTCTTTCACACTTCATAGCATTGGCGCGTGTGGTGGGGGGCTTGAGGTTTGAGGCTTGAGGCCGGGGAGGCGGGAGTTTGGGTTGGGCGATTGACTGATTGACTGATTGACTGATTGACTGGCTAGGTGGGTGGCGGCTTGCGTTGCGTTGCGTTGCGCTGCGTGCGTGGGTTGCTTGTTTGCTTTGCTTTGCTTTGCTTTGCTTTGCTTTGCTTTGCTTTGCTTTGCTTTGCTTTGCTTTGCTTTGCTTTGCTTTGCTTTATTTGCATGCATGGATGGATGTATGGATGAGGATTCAATGCCCTTGCCGTAGAGCGGGGGCGAGGCGGAGAAATGGATACATGGTTTTTGTCCTTCTTTTTCGTTTGAGCTTTCTTCCGTTTTTGCGACTCCTGGACTTGAGTCGTTTGTTGTCTATCGCTTTCTCTCTATCTCACTCACTGTCTTTCGTGATGCTGTTGGGGGCGATGGTGGAGATGGTGAGATGGTGAGTAAAAGTGAGAGCGGGTGGAACGGGCATGCGTGATTTGCGGGTGCACGTTGAGTAGGTAGGTACAGGTAAATATAAGCTTGAAGGATGGGGGTAGGGCATGAATGCAACAGTTGATTAGCTGATTGGTTGGTATGCTATAGACATGTGGGCTTGGGTGTGTGTGCTATTTATTGTTGTTAGGTTAGTCCACAGCGTCTTCGCCGTGGTATGTCACAGCACAACAACCAAATCCCACGCCCAAAGAAACCCACCTACAAACAGCTATAGCAATAACGAAAAAGACACAGGAGCAAACCCCAGAAAACTGGCCTCATTAAGGTCATTAAAGCTAGGTAGCTACACTCTCAGCAGCACACTACTGGTTCTTATTACTAACAACCACAGCCAGCCTCGGACTAACGTAAAAAACACCCCCAATCAGATCCGTGCCCTGCAATACGCACAGCTGCTGGATCTCGTTCGCAAAGCGCGCCATATCGGCGCAATCGAGCGTCTCTTTGAACTCGCCACAGACGCTGATGGTGGCGCTGCCGGCCCGCGCCCACGTCGTGCAGTCGCTGCCCATGCTGTTGTTCACGCGGCACGCTTGGCCGCTGTGGCCGCGTGCGCGGTTGATCGCGCCCGTCACGTCCTGGGTTTTGGGACTGCCCTTTCCGGCGTCGCAGGTTGCGCCGTAGTGGAAGTTGGGGAACGTTTTGGGTAGTGCGATGGGTGAGGGTGAGGGCAGGGGCAGGGGGGAGGGGTAGGGTAGGGGGCTGCTGCTTGTTAGGGCCGCGGCTAGGGCCAGGAGGAGCGCGGTTGGGAGGTGCATTTTCGGGGTGGTGCTGGGTTTGGGTTTAATGGTGTGGTGGTGGTTTGGTTTGGTTTGGTATGGTTCTGGTAGGTTCGGGGAGGGGGGTGCTTGGGTGTTTATAAGCTTCTTTTTCTTTTTCTTCCCCTCTTTCTTCTTCTTTACCCTTGCTGTTATTCTCTGCTCCATTGTCGGAACGCATACTTTATGTCGCGGCACCTGCTTCTGTGCCTCAGGGACCTGTGGCTTTGTGGTCTCTAGCCACCATCACTGAATCCTTTATCTCGCCCGGCTAAAAACAAAAAAAAAACCTCTTTGTTCCGCTACATCAATATCTTTGTCTAGCCTCTGATCCTCAAGTGGCCAGTCTGACGTAACTGTAAATACTGGCTTGGCTTGTGTGCGAAAGAGTTTCGTGGACTGGTATTCCGTGGTTGATTGCAATGTGAGATATGACACGCATCCTGGATTGTACAGTCTACTCTTCTAAAGTGTACAAAACTGATAAAGGCCGATGCTGTTACTTGTGCCGCTAAGATCATCACTGCCAATAAGATCCTATTTAGCTTTATCAGATCGTGCTGTGGCGAGGATCATGCTAAAAAAATTCCCCGATGGACGGAGCAGACCGCCCATGGAAGATCAAGGTGAAATTGTTTGTCTATCTTGGTGAGAAAACCGATAGTCAAGGATTGGTACGGTGCGGCCAAAATATGATTACCACTTGAATGAGGGGTGTTTGGGGAGTGTAGCAGGTCTCGACCGAAAGCGGACATGACTCGGGAAGCAGGGTTAACGATGTCATGCCTCCGCCCAAACGCCAACGCGGCAGCTGACCTATCACCATCCACATCACCACCAACGACGACCGATCCTCCAACCACACACACAGCCAGGCAACAACAACTACAACAACAACACCACCACACGCTCGGCACCCACGCATCACCGCCAGTCACTACCGACCAGCAACAGCAGCAAGCATGTCCTTCGAAGACTCGTCAGCACTAGAGTCGCAGCCGACGAACTGGCGGCGCGAAGACGACCCCCAGTACGCCGACGACCCGGACTACAAGCGCTTCACATCGCAGCTATCGGACCAGCTGTTCTCGCTGACGTCGAATGTCACGCGCCTGTCGAACCAGATCGGGCTGCTGGGCACCAAGCGCGAGACGGAGCGGGTGCGCGAGCGGGTGCGCGACCTCATTGACGAGACGACCAGCGGCTTCAAGGACATTGGCGAAGGCTTGAAGAAAGTCCAGGCTTGGCCGGACCTCGGCGTACGTGGTTCAGTCCATACCCCTTTGAGCAGCGACATTGCTACGAGATACGAGACCGTGTGCTGACGCTCATGCCCGTGCGTGCATGCAGCCCTCCCAGAAATTCACCCAGGGCAAACTAAACCGCGAGTTCAAAGCCTCGCTCACCGAGTTCCAAGTGCTGCAACGGCGAGCCATCGAAAAAGAGCGCAGCAGCAACGCAGCCGCGCGCGCAGCACTCGACGACGCCTCGTCGCCGTCGCACGAGCGGACGCAGTTCCTCGGCCCAGGCGGCCAGCAGCAGCAGCAGCAGCAATCGCAGCAGCAGAACCAGGTCCTCGAGGACCAGCTGCGCCTGGCGCCGCAGGACGAGGTCGACTTCCAGGAATCCCTCATCATCGAGCGCGAGTCCGAGATCCGCAATATCGAGCAGAGCGTCGGCGAGCTGAACGAGCTGTTCCGCGACGTCGCGCACATGGTCCACGAGCAGGGCGAGCAGCTCGACATTATCAGCGAGAATGTCGAGGGCGTTCGCACTGATACCCGTGGCGCTAATACCGAGCTGAATTCTGCGTCGAGGCATCAGAAGGCCGCAAGGAATAAGGCGTGTTGCTTGTTGCTGATTTTGGCCGTTGTCTTGACTATTGTTATTTTGGCTGTTGTGTTGGGTTGAGCGGGGAGCGAGCGAGTGGGCGACCCAGCGAGCCAGCGGGGGAGCCAGAGAGGAAATGGGGTAGGGAGGGGAGGGGAGGAGGGAGAAGGGGGGGCCAAGCCTGCTCTCCCATCATAAGCTGTACAGTCGTTCTTGTTCTTATACCCGGTGTTGGAGAGTCTCAGAGTCGTTACCATGCAGGCGTTTTTGATGGGCTTCCCTGTCTCCTACAGCACAGCACAGCACAGCACCTAAGCCGCGCAGGCTTTTCTCGTGTCGTTCTTTCCTGCATTTTCTTGCTGTATCAATCAGATGTAGACTTGCTTTCGTGTCTCTTGATATGTGTTACGGCGTTTAGTTATATCATATCTGCAACAGACGTTCGACAAATTCCATCCTTTCTCAGCGCACGCACGCACGCACGAGCATTTCTTAATCGAAAAGATTTTGACATTGTTTGTTTTTGGCTTCATAATCTACATAGATACACCCACCCCATAGCCGGGGTGAGGAGACACCGTCTCAGAGACAGAAGAGAGCCACGGCAAAACGCCTCGTCGCTCTACTATACTCGTCTACTCGTCTACTCGACGGTGACGGGATTGCTGGTGTCGAGCTCGTTGAAGCGGCGCAGGTCCATGTCCTTGTCGAGCAGGGGGATGACGTACGGGTCGAACGTCTTCCAGTACGGGTTCTCGAGGTGGTATTTTTGGGACTGGGGTTGTGGGGTGGGCGGTTAGTTTTGTGGTTCAATGGGGATTGGGGGGGGAGGGTTGTGTGGTTTTGTGGGGGAGAGAACAGAAGGATTGGGATGCGTCATGTGATACGCGTGTTTTTATTTTTTGCGGACGGGAACGGACAGCGCGAGTCTGCGTCTTCTGCTCTTTGGAGACCAAGAAGGGAAAAGGAAACAGAACAAGGCGAGCCCCAAAAACCAAACAATGGCGGTCTTGAAAATAGAGGGGATAAAAGAGGAAAAACTCACGCTCTCGTGCTCGTATCTCTCGACAATGCACCACGCGCGCGGGTCCTTGTGGTCCTGCATGACGAACCAGGAGAGCGTCTCCTTGTCCTTGGAGTAGACCTGCGAGGCCTCGATGAGCTTGTTGCGCAGCTTCTCCTCGACCTCCTTGCCCTCCTTGGCGTAGAGGTGGACCACGATCGTGTAGACCATTGTTGCTGGGGCGGGCGTTAGCGGTGGTTTGGTTATGCTGGAGGTGGGGGTGTTTTGTTGTTGTTGTTTTTGTTGAAGACGGTGAAGGAAGAGAGAGGGAGATGGAATGGAATGGTGAAGAAGCTGCTGATGGTGGTGGTAGTGCTGAAGACGATGAGAACAGAAGCTGCTGCCACGGAAGCAGCGTAGGTATACAGCACCAGCACACCCTCCTCCGCCATATGCGTACGTACCTTGTGTGTAGCTGTCTCAAAAACGTGACAGAGAAAAAAAAGGCTTCAAGAACTCAAAAACACGAGCTACAAAAAACCCACAGATCAGATCAGCCACAGCGCACGCGAATCCCCCACTACCCCGCCCCCACCAGCCAGCCGGCAGGGCAGCAGTACAGTAGCAGCAGTAGCACTCACCTCAGACGATGACGGTTGTTGTAGTTGACGATAAGGTTGAAGCAAGAACGATGGCCGCAAGAACGCGAGGGGTCCTTAGGTCCCTATAAAAGCACCTCCCCTCCCGCCCTGCCCGCCCAATCCCGTCGTGTGATGTGGTGGCCCAGACCCGCATTTCCGGCGGACCCCATATGTCATCGCTGCCCTGCGGCGAGCCTGGTGGTGCTGAGCCTGTGCTAACGCCCGCATCGCGCCGCGGTTGCGCCGAGTTGCGCGCGCGCCGGTTTGGTGGGGTTTAATGTTTACGGGCTTTGGTGCTGCTGCTGGGCTAGCATTGCTGGGTACTACTGTCGTGGTGATGATGGTGATGGGGCAGCCCAGCTTGTGGAGCTTGCGTTGGGTGCGTTGCGCTCGGTTTGTGCGGGTTGCCAGGAGCGTTGCGTATTGACGAGGCGTGCTTGTGATTGGTGCTGAGGTTGACCTCCGGGTGTTGGTGGATTGCGTGCCTGACATCCGTATTGGAAGCCTTATAATCAGGGCAGCGGATGGTTCGCCGTCCTCTTCAACTCTTTTGTCCGCCTTTAACTATATATTGTATAGGTTTACTATATCTTTTGAGTACTTCAGAGGTAGCTATAATAAGCTAGAACGCTACTATCAGTGGTCGATACGTATCTATGAAAATAAAAAGATGCAAGGGTACGATAATGCTTACAAGGATACGAGTATGTTTCACAAATGGATAACAAGAAAGAGACACGACAATATGAAAGTATTCGAAAGGGCACGAAGATAAGGATACATAAGAGCGCGAGGATATACCACAAGGGTACGACGGTACGAAGGTAACAGAGCAAGAAGGTAAGTCATATACCTATACCTAAATGTGAATCACAGAGACGGGCAGACCCGGAGCCCATTACCAGGCCCCTCACGTCACCAAATCTCAAGCACCACCCCATTCCGTAGAGCATTTTCCAAATCTACAGCTACCTAGTCCGCAGCCCATACTTCCCCGCCTCGTCCAACGTCATGAAAGAAGACGCTACTAGTACAGGTACATGGGGCGATAGGTACGTCAAAGCCCGGCTGGTCATTCATATCGGAAGAGGGGGAAGAGAGAGAGAGAGAAAGATAGATAGAAAGAAAGAGAGAGAGGGAAGAATAGTCATGACCTTCTTCCCCTGTTCTAAACCAGCTCCCAAGGTAGGTGCGCTCTCGCTATGCAAACCACAAGCCTCGCAGAACAGGCATAACGAACGCCCAAGCATCGGTCTTTCTGTAAAAGCCCCTTTCCCTAAACACACACGAGACGAATCGAAGCATTTTTGAAGCTGCACGTCGCGTTCCGGACGATAGATCCCGGAAGAGGCGCTCATTGCTGACCGTAATTTGAAAAGACATCGACTTGGTAGAAAGACGTAACTCATATCAAAAGGCGTGTATGAAGAGGTTAGTTCCTCTACATCATCATCGACTGGAGCCCGTTCGAGGCATAAGCCATGGGCTTGATGTCCGGGTGCGGCACAGCCTCGAACTTGTGGAAGTCGAGCTTGAGCTCCGGTCCGATGTTGATGTAGGCGCCCTTGTTCTCGGTGCTGTCGCAGTACTTGGGTGCCGAGAAGACAGTGATGCAACGACCGTCATGTTCAACCTGGCAATGGTCAGTTTTTTGGGGACTTTATAGCAGCGCGTTTATGGGTCGCTCATGACTTACCTCGTAGCCTTCCATTCTGACTTCGTGACTCCTGATGACAGCTTCCAGTCCGTTCTTCTCGCAGAACCTCTTCGTGATGTCCGGGCCGAACTGTAGGCCAACACCCCTCTTGCTTGGACCACGACCGGGCGCGGGCTGAGGGTCGGTCCAGAGCATTTCCATCATGAGACCACTCTGGCCAGGCTGCCTCTGCTTGTGCCTGTTCAACTTCCGCACGTCATCCAAGCTGATGTCATCGTTGGAGAAGAGACCACCATGCAGGACGAAGAACTTGCGGCCAATAAGCGTTGCCAGAGGCAAGGCGGAGAAGGACTCGGAGAAGAGCTTGAAGATGCGCTCGTTGTACTTGGCGCGGCATTCGCCCTCAAAGCCGTACATCCGGTTCATGTCGTCGGTCTCGTGGTTACCGCGGTTCAGGAAGAAGGTCTTGGGGTAGAGCCACTTGTAAGCGTAGAGAGTGAGAGCGACTTCCGTAGACCAGGAACCGCGGTCGACGAAGTCTCCGTTAAACAGATACGAGTGAGTGGCAGAAGGGAAACCGTTCAAACGGAAGATTTCGAGAAGATCGAAGAACTGGCCTGGACTTACAGTTAGCTCTGAGCATAAAGTATGGAATTGGAAATCTTACCGTGCGTGTCACCGCAAACGGTGATCTTCTGGTCCTCCGGCACCTCGTACTCGACCATGGTCGGCTCGTTGTAAACAAGCTCCTTGACCGCAAGAACGATCTGGTAAACGTACTTGCGGTGAATCTTCTTGCCATCCTTGAACCGCTTGATCATGTCCTCGATGAACTCAGGCGTCATCTCCTTCTCTAACCGCACGCCATCGTAGGAATCCTCTACGGCCATATTCTCCACGTCCAAACCCTCTGCCGCAGACGGCGCATCGCCGATCTCGATGGCCTTGAGGAAGGCATCGCGTTTCACAATCTTCTCGCACTCGGCAAATTGGAGCTTCGCGTTCTTGTCGTTGGGGTTTTTCTTGACGACGACTTTCCAGTCGCGTATCGCTTCGTTGTGCTTGAGGATGGCGGTGTTGGCGACGGCGCGACGGTAATAGGCCTAGGTGAAGCTCGGGTCTCAGCTACATTCAAGTCGGTGGGAGGGAGGAGGGTGGTGGCGAATACCTTGACATTGCCAGCGTCAAGCTCTATCGCCTTGGTGGCGTCCGCAACGGCGAAACCATAGGCCTCTAGTTTGATGTTTGCCTGCGCGCGCCCCATCAGCCCTTGTCGCGTGCCAATTGTCGGTGGCGTGCTCAACGCACCTGGGCCCGGTTTGTGTAGAAGGCGGGCTGGTTAGGATCGGCCTCGATGGCCTTGGAGTAGTAGTCGACAGCGGTGGGCCAGTCGTGCTCCTTGAAGGCCTTGTTGCCCTTCTCTTTAAGTTCAATTGCCTCTTCGGCGCCCATGGTGAAGCGGATGGATAGTGAGAGCGGGCTTGCGGAGAGAGTACTGCAGGCAAAGGAAGGGCAGTCGGCGACTGTTACAGGCCACGAAGTTTGCCGGGGGTTGCAGGAAAGAACTAGTCGGAAGCTCTGCGCATGCGGGACAAAATCGTAGATTGCGCGGGATGACGGCGAAGGGAATGGAAGACCGAGGCGCGGTCCGAGCTTCCTTGAGGTCCAACTCCGGCCTGAATCCAGACCTACGCTGTCTATCGCGCTTTCAACTCCGCCATCCCACCGCCCTCGTGCTCGACAACATGCCTCCCACAGCCTACGTCCCGCCCGGCCAACAGCGCTCCCTGCGCGCCTGCATGGTGTGCAGCATCGTACAGCTCGAGTACCTTTTCAAGCGCAATGGCTGCCCCAACTGCGACTTCCTCGAGCTCGCCGGCAACACCGACGCCATCCAGGACTGCACCAGCCAGGTCTTCGAGGGCCTGATCCACCTCGCCGACCCCCAGGGCAGCTGGGTCGCCCGGTGGCAGCGCCTCGACAGCTACACCTCCGGCATGTACGCGACAAAAGTTTCCGGCGTGGTAAGCTCCCCCGGCCTGAACCCATGAGCGCGCCATACTGATAGCTTCGCGAACAGTTGCCCGAGGACTATGTCGCAATGGTCGAAGCGGCGGGCGTCAAGTACATCCCGTAAGTCTCTTCGCGCCCGGCGGTGTGGCGGACACGAACTCACTCTCTCCAGACGCGACGGCAGTGCCCAGGAGGCAAGCGGCGAAGCATGAAAGACAACGCGGCTTCACGGATTCATCTTGCATTTTGAGCGGGCGGCGTTGGTATGGACGGCAGAGTCTTGGCGTCAAAAGCCCTCTGTGACTTCTTGGGTCAATCACGAGTGGCTACGGGAGGCTTCGTGGCATGAAAGAAAAGAGGCTGGGATTTATTGATTTTCTGAATGCGGAGAAAACTATCGAGCAGCAGTTACTGCAATTTAAGGCTATGAAGGTTTTATATGGAGACGTCGGTCACAATTTCGAAATACAAGGAGGATGAGAATACGAATCCCCAGAAAACACGCGAATCGGGGGCGACGTCTGGAAACTTGGTGGCCTAAACTTCATAAGACGGTACGTGTGGATGGATACGGGACCATTAGCACCTGAAGAGCATTGGTGTGAACGGCATGTAGTCTTGAAGTGGTAGGTATTGCGATGGACTAGGCAATCTGATTGCCAGAATCCGAGAAATAAACGGTGCTATCCACCTTGAGTCTATACTGGTAGTTTACATCTAGCCGCTGCTCCAATGATATCTTTGAAAAAGAAAATAATGCAACCCAAACGCCATCCGTGCCATGCAGGATATCCCAAATGCTAATCGCTGAATGTTCATGTCTCGTAGCAACAAGTAGTGACAGGGGGACGCGCGATATTTACAGCGCGAACAACAGTCCGGCACCCGCAGCCGCGGCAAACGCCATCTTGGGCATGGCTGTCATGACGGGAACTGCAGCGGCCTCACTGTCTGAGATCTTAGGACTACCAACGCGAGCTCCGCCGGTAGAACCAGCAACTGTAGAAACGGCATCCGCGACTACAGTCGCGTTTGGCACGGCGTTGTCGCCGGTCCCGATTTCCACAACGTTGGAGCTGGTTGAGTTGAAGTTTGTGGCGGCCAGCGAGATCTCATTGTTCTCGAGGTCGTAAACGACATAGGCCGAACGCAGGAAAGTGTCGCCCAGGACGGAAGAGGACGAACCAGCCTTGGCGACGCCAAAGAAACAGACTGGCTCGCCATTGTTGTAGCCGGCGACAATAACGAGCTCATTCATGGGTACGCTGATTGTCGGGCTGCTGAACTTGAATTCTAGCGTGTCGTCCTTGTTCGCCGCAGCGCAGTCGATGAAGGCTGCACCCTGTTCTTCGCTGTACTCGGCGCCAACCTCGTCGTAAATGCTTTCTGCAACGTCATCTGGAAGATACATCAGACTGCTACCGGAGTCGAGAAGAACTGACGCGGCGCCGTCATAGAAGGTGTCAGACTCGCCATTGTAGCCGACGCCTGTCAGCGCAATGACAAACTCCCGGTACTTGCCATTCTCCTGGAGGATCGGCAGGGTCTGAAGGGTTCCGTGGTATTTTTCTGTGTCAACCCCACCAAACAAAATGCTTCCAGTGCTTGCGTCCAAGTCGTTGAGCCAAAGGCTGTATGCGCTCGATTGGATAAGATCCTTATTGACCAGCAGCTGGGGCAGGTTGGGATAGGGGTCGAGTTGCGCTCGGTTGACAGCGACCTCGTTTATCGCGAACCCGATCCCCAGAACCCCCTCTCCCGAACTTGACGTGTAACCGACGCCAAATTGCATGTCGGTTAGGTTTTGGCTGCCGAACCAAAAGGTATCCGTCACATAGTCTCCCGCGGCTCCGGATCCGTCGACATAGGAAATATTGAACTTGCTGTTAACATACTCATACGTCGAAGAGTCGTTTGCGGAGTATGTCCCTGAGACCTTGCAGGGGTCGGTTCGCGAGGAGCATAACGAAGACGATGCCGAGTTTACCCAAAGATCGCTGGATCCGGTATCAATGTGTAGTCTCATTGTTTGCTTTGGCGTTCCCAGGCTGGCGTTCGCAAAGTAAAGCGTTTCGAGGTTATCCAGGCTCTCCTTTACCACGGCCGACCTTTTCCACCTCCTCTCCTGATCGCGCTTAACAAGATCCGAGATATCATTTCTTCTTTCAATGTCCAGACCTAGTACTTTTGGCGCAGTGGAAGGCTTTACTTGCGCATTAGGAAAAATTGCGGTGTTGGTCGTTCAATGCCAGGCGACTTACATCTCGTTTGGCCAATTGTATCGCGTTGGTGAGTGGCAGCAGGTTTGCCGCCAGTGTCAGTGCGGCGGTGCATTTCATGGTCCTAGCGCCGGGAATAATACAAGGAAGAATTTCAAGGGGATAAAAAAGAACAGGCGGCGACGTTCAAAAGGATAAGAAATAGTAGGAATGGAGCAGTAGAGTAATAAGGGAACAATAGGCAAGGCGGACCAAAAATTTGGAGCGACAAGGTTTCTTTATGAGCTCGGGGTTTGAGTACGTACGACCTGAGGGTGATGACGACGACGCTCCAAAATAGTGGCGGCCGGGTCGCGGCGGAGTCAGCCCAGCCTCACAGAAGGCGCTCTGTTAACCAACAAGGAAAATGAATGTCAAAGGCCACGACAGAGGACAGCCACAGGGTAAGCATGACCACAAAGATGCGCGATTCCAACTTGAAATACATCACCTGCCACTGCCGGCATCCGGCCGCCCCCCGTTCTTTGGCGCTCTTTCCGCAAGGCTGTGGAGGTTCCGCATTGCTTGGCCCTGACGATCATCTCAGGATGAGAGCGAGTGCTGTTCAACTAACGAACAGATTGCCCCACGGAAGGACATATCGGCAGCGCTATGGATGCTGTCTCTGTAAGCGCCCGGTCCTGGCGAAGGATGCAAGGCAACAACTCCACACTCCGCCTTTGACCCAAGGGGATCAAGAGGCAATACCTGCATCAGATCAAGCCAACGGTCTGACCATCGCGACAGAAACCGTTGCACCTGTCAGCTTCCAGGGCGCAAGGCGCAGCATTCTTTTTTTTTTGACGGGTCCTCGCAACACTTCATTCATTTAGGTATGTCTTATGTGCTGGCTGGTTAGGGCCCTGGGGCCGAGATGAGACTTTTTGCCGTGACGCGTCAGGCTTTCGCCGAGGGGGGCTGTGATGGGGCCGACAAAACCGAGAGCCCCATGGCGAAATCTCTTGTCGACAAAGCGCGGTATCAGCTGTGGTACGACGATGGCTTTCCGTGAGAGCCGAGGACAAAAGACCAGGTGCCAGGCTGCCAGCAGATCGCTAGGCGGAACCCTTGGCACGACTGGAGGCCGGAGGGTGCGGGGAGGTTGGCAGGCCTATAATTAGAAGAGTAACGATCTGCTGGCCGCCTCAGCACTTAGTGTGCACGTGACTTGCGCGGTCGCGTCCAGAGTCGCGTTGCGCGTGTCTGAACGTGCTGGAGACTAGATTATTATCGCAACCGAGACATCATCACCGACACCCACCGCAATACACCTATACCCACGCCCAACAAATCGACATTCACCGCACCAATGGTGCAAGCAGAGTCCTCCAAAGCCGCCGCAGGCAATGGCCTCAAGACGCAGCCGAACGGTGCCAACTACGAGCTGCCATGGGTGGAAAAGTACCGTCCGGTCTTCCTCGACGACATCGTCGGCAACACGGAAACAATCGAGCGGCTGAAAATTATCGCCAAAGATGGCAACATGCCTCACGTCATCATTTCCGGCATGCCTGGTATCGGCAAAACGACATCCATTCTCTGCCTGGCGCGCCAGCTGCTGGGCGATGCGTACAAGGAGGCTGTACTCGAGCTTAATGCCAGTGATGAGCGCGGAATCGATGTTGTGAGAAACAGAATAAAAGGCTTTGCGCAAAAGAAGGTTACGCTTCCGGCAGGCCGGCAAAAGATCGTCATCCTGGACGAGGCAGACAGGTGAGCATGATCATTCTTTCAGGTGGGCTTCGAAATGGTTGGTCCCTGCAGGCGATTTCTCAGAGAATCTTCTCAGCCTGGAGGGACCATCTAAGCAAAACTCACCTGTTTGGAATGATGACTTCAAGCTGAGCACCAGCTGACTGTATGCAGCATGACCTCAGGCGCTCAACAGGCTCTCCGACGGACCATGGAAATCTACTCGTCTACAACCCGCTTCGCCTTCGCCTGCAACCAGTCCAATAAGATTATCGAGCCACTTCAGTCTCGCTGCGCCATCTTGCGCTATGCCCGCCTTACTGATGGGCAGGTGGTCAGACGGTTAATGCAAATCTGCGAAGCTGAGAAAGTAGAATTCTCGGAAGATGGCATTGCCGCCCTCGTGTTCTCTGCGGAAGGCGATATGCGGCAAGCCATAAACAACTTACAAAGTACTTATGCGGGCTTCGGTTTCGTCAACGGCGACAATGTCTTCAAGGTCGTTGACAGTCCGCACCCAATCAAGGTCCAGGCTATGATCAAGGCCTGCTACGAGACCAAGGTCGATACCGCGCTGGATACGCTCAAGGAGTTGTGGGATCTGGGATATTCTTGCCATGATATCATAAGCACCATGTTCAAGGTTACGAAAACCATCCCGACGCTTTCCGAACATGCAAAGCTTGAGTTCATCAAGGAAATTGGGTTTACGCACATGCGCATTCTGGAGGGAGTTCAGACGTATCTCCAACTCTCAGGTTGCGTGGCTCGGCTCTGTAAGATCAACATGAAGCCCAGCCTCTTCTCCATCCCTCGCTCATAACCCTTGGGCGCCATATTTAATTTTCGAGACCTTGGGCTTTGCATGTAGCATGGCGTTACGGAGCAGTGATGGAAAACAAGGAGCTTGTGTCAGATTTTAGGTTTTCGACATGAATCAAGACGTCCCCGTGTGGGGCAATATCTACATGTTCGTTACAGGAGCAACGGCGCCTCTTCTAGCGCGGTACGTTGTCATGCAAGTGCTCGAAGATCTTGACCGGCAAGATGATGCATTTGCAGCATCTGCACCGTGTGAGATGCCGGATAGAGCTCGATCATTGGCCAATCGACGTCTAGGCATGAACTACCTAGCGATCACGAAATCAAAGTTGGTGGAGCCTTGCAAATCCGAGGACCAAGGTTGAAGGTTAACGGCGATCATACTGGAGATGTGTGGAGGGAGCATCCTCCCCGATCTCAGATATGCCGAGGTCGCCGATAAGGATATGTACCCCGCAACGCGCCCGCTGAACCCTGCACGCAACTTTCCCGCAGCAGTCATCAGCATCATTGATCATACGAGCCAGACAGATTGTCCCAAAGCTAAGAACAGAATCTCCTCGGAAGACGCACAAAGACAACGCATTTCAAAGAGATTAGCCGCAATTGGCTCCGATTTCGGACGCGCTGCCGTTAAACTGCGCAAGCGGGGATCAGCTCTCTCCATGTGGCGGTCGCAAAAAAATGGCGTGCTTGACGCGATGGAGAGAGACTCCGCTGATCAATCCGTTGTGACTCCCGACCTCGCTGTTTATCTTTCTTTTTCTTTACACTTGCCTCGGCCGTTCAATTACTTCACAACCACAGCCGCATAACTCAATCGTCAGAGCTCCCCGATACTCGTCTTTTGCTCAATTCCCCCATCACAGGCACAATGAGCGGCGAACAGCTTCCGCAGAGGTTCGAGACGTTGCAGCTTCATGCTGGGTAAGCTTCGCGACGCAATTGAGGACGTCCTGGCTGACGAACTTGCGCAGTCACAACCCGGATTCTGAGACCAACTCCCGCGCCGTTCCCATCTATGCGACTACTGTGCGTTAAGAGAGCAGCTGTCGGTTGGAATTGTGAAGCTGAACAGCATAGTCATACGTCTTTAAAGACTCCGCCCATGGCGCGAGGCTTTTCGGTCTCAAGGAGTTTGGCAACATCTACTCCCGTATCATGAACGTAAGTGGCAAACTTAATCCCACGAAGCACCAGCGCTGGTCAGGAGCTTACTTGCCTTTCCCGCTAGCCCACGGTCGACGTGTTTGAGAAGCGCATTGCCGCGTTGGAGGGTGGTGTCGCCGCTGTCGCTACGGCTTCCGGTCAGGCCGCGCAGTTCATGGCCATCGCGGCTCTCTGTGCTGCAGGCGACAACATCGTGTCCACCTCCAACTTGTACGGCGGCACCTACAACCAGTTCAAGGTCGCATTCCCGCGGTTGGGTATCAACACGAAATTCGTCAACGGAGACAACCCGGAGGATATTAAGGCGGTTATCGATGACAAGACCAAGGCCGTCTATCTGGAGAGCATTGGAAACCCGAAGTACAACGTGCCAGACTTTGAGGCTATCTCGAAGGTCGCACATGAAGCTGGTGTCCCGGTCATTGTAAGTGGAGACGCATTGTCAGGAAGGCATGTCTTTGCTAACGTCCATTCGCCATCTAGGTCGACAACACCTTCGGCGCTGGCGGCTTCTTCTGCCGTCCCATCGACCACGGTGTAGACATTGTCGTTCACTCTGCAACCAAGTGGATTGGTGGTCACGGCACGACTGTGGGTGGTATTGTCGTTGACGCTGGTAGATTTGACTGGGGCAAGCACGGGAAGCGCTTCCCGCAGATGGTCGAGCCCTCCGACGGTTATCATGGCCTGAAATTCTGGGAGACCTTTGGGCCTTTGACTTTCGCGATCCGCGCGCGCGTTGAGATTCTGCGCGATCTTGGCGCCGCCATGAACCCCTTCGCCGCCCAGCAGCTACTGCTTGGTGTTGAGACCCTAAGTTTGCGTTGCGAGAGGCACGCGGAGAACGCGTTGAAGCTGGCGAAGTGGTTGGAGGCGAACGAGAACGTCTCTTGGGTGTCTTACCCGGGTCTGGAACACCACCAGAGCCACCAGCTGGCGAAGAAGTACCTGCCTCGGGGCTTTGGCGGTGTCTTGTCTGTCGGTGTCAAGGGCGATGCTGAGGCCGGTAGCCAGGTCGTGGACAACTTCAAGTTGATCTCCAACCTGGCTAACGTCGGCGATTCGAAGACGCTGGCGATCCATCCCTGGTCCACCACCCACGAGCAGTTGTCCGACGAGGAGAAGATCAGCAGCGGTGTCACCGAGGTAAGACAAGCATATTGTATAAAGCAGATGCTCGAGCACTTGTCGCTAACTCTATTTTCCCAGGACCTGATCCGCATCTCGGTCGGCACCGAGCACATTGACGATATTATTGCCGATTTCGAGCAGGCCTTTGCGGCTGCGTCGACCAAGCCCAGCGCAGCGGGCCACACCGAGAACGCCGAGAAGACCGGGGATACCAAGAGCGACGCGGCCATCAGTGGTTCCACCTAGATTTGCGAGATACATAGAGCGATACCTGTTTGTTTATGATACCTGGGTTTTGGGGGCTGCAGGGGCGATGCAGTTTGGATTAAGCATAAGCGTAAGCATGATGACGACAAGAAAAAAAGAAACGGCGGACTCGGCGATCAGATGGGCCTCGGTAGCACACGAATCTCATACATGTTCCTTTTGCCAGCGCTCACATGGACAGGTGGTTGCTTTTTTCTTTGCCGAAACATGTGAAAGCTGGGGATGATGAACAGCGAAGGATTTTGTGCCGTGTGGCTTGCGACGAAAGCTGGGGTATGGAAGGATGAGTGGGAGGTCCATGGGGGCACGGGGGTCAACATCATCACGACGGCACATCACATGGGGCCCGCAGCAAAGGCGCTAGGCCGTGTCGCGCGCACGCCGACACAGCATCGCGCAGAAGTATCGTGAGATGGAGCACAGCGTGCTCGGGAAGGCAACCAAAGCCGCGCGCTAGCGGGGCGCCAGGGCAGAGATGCCGAGGCTTGCGGCCTCGGCGGCCGGCAACCACGCAGCTTTCGTACGGGAGCGTCCCAAGATCATCGCCGCCGACACCACTTCTGTCCCTGTGATTCCCCTTTCCTTCTCTCTCGACATCTTATCGTCTTTTTCCCGTGCATTTAGAGATAGACGTAGACTTTCCTCGTCTTTATTGTTGTGCATTCCCTCCCACTCAGCATCCCGCATCGTGGCGCTTTCACCGTGAGTCCTAGCTTCGGAATCGCCGACACTGCTCTGCTGACGTCGTGCGCGCAGTTCTGCAAGCATTCAGTTGACTTGTAGACCTTAATCCCCATCTCTTCCCGCCACGTCGCCGCAACAATGGCTCCTCTTCTCGCTGTCCAGCGTGCCGTCGAGCTGCAACCTCCGCCAGCGCCGGGGAAGCCGCACAGCGTGCCTGTTCCAGGAACCGAGAAAGCCGGCAGGACACCCATATACAGGCATTGGCGCTTTGCGGATGGCCCGCTGCAGACGTTGGACCCGAATCTTCGGACCATGCACGAGGTCTTCGAGGCCTCCGCTAACAACAATCCCGGCAGCCGTTGCCTCGGCTCCCGTCCGTACGACCCGGTAACAAAGTCGTGGGGCCCATACTTGTGGGAGGACTACCAGACGGTTCATAGGAGGAGGGCCAACCTGGGTGCGGGTTTGGTGCAGCTGCACAAAGAGGCTGGTGTGCCGGAGGGAGAGAAGTACGGCATTGGTCTTTGGTGCCAGAACAGGCCTGAGTGGCAGATAACTGGTATGTGAAAGGATACACCGAGTCGTACGGACAAGCGTTGACGCGGTTTAGATCTGGCGGCCATGTCCCAGAGCCTGTTTACCGTCTCAATCTACGACACTCTTGGACCCGACACCACCGAGTACATCATTAACCACTCTGAGCTGAAGTGTGTCGTCACTTCCCTGAATCATGTCTCGACTCTCTTAAAGCTCAAGCCCCGCCTTCCGTCTTTGAAGATCATCGTCTCTTTGGATCCTTTGGACGCGGGAGAGCTGCCGGGTTACTCGAAGAGGGCGCTCCTGAATGCCATCGCTAGCGATATGGGTGTCAAGGTTGTCTATGTCAAGGACGTTGAGGCGCTCGGAGAGCAGAACCCGCGTCCGTACAACCCGCCGACACCAGATGATATCATTACCATCAACTATACCTCTGGCACGACCGGCAACCCCAAGGGTGTTGTCCTGACTCACGCGAACGCTGTCGCCGCGACTAGCTCCAGCTTGATCATCACAGAGCAGTCGAATGGTGATGTCATCTGCTCTTTCTTGCCTCTCGCGCACATCTACCAGCGTGTCGGTGAGCACACGGCTCTCTGGGGCGGCGCCGCTATTGGTTACTTCCACGGCAACATCGCGGAACTTGTGGATGATATGAAGCTGTTGAAACCCACCGCTTTTAGCGGTGTTCCCCGCCTGTACAACCGGTTTGGTGGTGCGATCAAGGCGGCGACACTCGAGCAGTCGGGAGTCAAAGGCGCCCTGTCGCGGCGCGTCATCAACACTAAGATGGCCAAGATCCAGGATCCCACTCCCGGCGCTGCTACCAACAAGCACTTCCTGTACGACCGCATCTGGTCAAGGAAGGCATCGGCCGCGCTTGGTCTCGAGCGCACCAAGACCATGGTTTCCGGATCTGCACCCATTGACCCCTCCCTGCATCAATTTTTGCGTGCCGTTTTCGCCAACAACTTTGTCCAGGGCTATGGCCTTACCGAGACTTATGCTGTCTCGTCAGTTCAAATCAAGGGCGATATGACGGCCGGAAACTGCGGTGCCAGCGCGCCTTCTGGCGAGTTCTGCCTGATTGATGTCCCCGATATGGAGTACATGACTTCTGATCAGCCCCGTGCGCGCGGTGAGGTCTTGCTTCGTGGGCCTACCCGCTTCCGCGAATACTTCCGTAACCCGGAGGAGACGGCGAAGTCGGTGGATGAGGAGGGCTGGTTCCATACCGGCGACATTGGCGAGATCGATGAGTTGGGCCGTCTGAAGATTATTGACCGGAGAAAGAACGTCCTCAAGCTTGCTCAGGGCGAGTACATCTCTCCCGAGCGTATCGAGAACGTTTACCTGGCAAGCTGCGGATGGTTGGGAACGGCGTATGTGCACGGCGACAGCCACCAGGCCTTCCTGGTCGGTTTGTTTGGTATCATGCCCGACCAGTTTGCGCCCTTCGCTAGCAAGATCCTCGGCAAACAGGTCAGCGCGACGGATGTGGCTGCGCTCAAGCAGGCCGCGGAGAACTCGAAGGTGCGGCAGGCAGCGTTGAAGGAGCTGGACAAGGTCGGCAAGAAGAACAAGTTCAACTCCTACGAGAAGATTAGGAGCTTGAGGTTGCTCATTGACCCGTTCACGATTGAGAACGAGCTATTGACGCCAACGTAAGTTTCCCCGGAGGTTTTTTTATGGTTTCTTTTTTGCCGCAGACGGGTGCTGACAGTAATGGTGTGTAGTCTCAAGCTCAAGCGTCCGCAGGCGGCTAAGAAGTACCGCGACTTGCTCGACCAGTGCTACGAGGAGGCGCTCGCTGCGCCAGCAAAGGCCAAGTTGTAGAGTATCGATATAGGGGGCGGCATCTTGCACGATTCGTATTTAGAGGGGCTGATGATGTACGGCGGTGTGGATAGTCGGCATGGATACGGGCCGGCTCGGATGTAGAGCCGATGATGTGAGGGGGTTTAGACGGATTTCTTGACGCGCGACGCCGGAACGCTGTACAGATTGGGGGATTTTTGGGCTTGGGATGAGAAAGAGAAGGGTCGGGTACTAGTGGTGCTATATATACCGTCAAGGAGCCGGCGTTTTGCGTTTCACGCCAACAAACTCGTCCTCGTGCTTCCTTCGTTGCTGCAGGGCTGGCTTGGCACCAAAGGACCCTGGCTCGCCTGTCAAACTGTCGCCCTCTCCGACATCCCCCTTCACGCCCCATTCCACAGCCTTTTGCCGCCGCCAATCCCACGAGAAAGCGTGTGCCTGGTTGCCTCGCTCTGTCTGCTGTTGGCTCCTCTGCTCGACTCTCCGCGGGGCGCGCGGCGTCGCCGCTTCCACCCTTTGTACACACGTCATCCTAGTGTGGCATAATGCAGCTTATGCCATCTACATCGCGCCTGACCGCGACCACGACGCTGGTCGCCTCGGCCCTCTTCGTCGCGCCATACCTCTCGTCCACCTCGTCGCCGTACGCCTATGCCGCCGAGATCGACTCGCCCAGCTCTGCCGACCACAACCACCACCGGTTAGGCCAGGGCGCGCTGCCGCACACGGAGCTGTTTGGGGGGGAGGAAGGTGAAGAGGAGGGAGATCTAGCCAGGCGCGGCGACGAGGGCTACGTTAGCTACGAGCCCGAGTTCTGGGGCCTGGGCAGGGACCTTATCGGCAGGGCGACGACGGATGCCTTGGTCGAGTTGGGCAATAACCGGCCGGCGTATGATACTATCAGCGCGAACTCGTCGCTGTTCTTCCACTTCAAAAATTCATCGCTCTGGGGCAACTATTCGGCGGCGACGCCGGGCTTGCCCTCGATCGTGGATAAGCGGAGCCTTGCAGACCAGGACGAGGGCTATAAGACTGAGCTGAAGAAGCGCGCATTGGATGCGCGAAAGGACAAGGATGATGGCGACGAGGACCAGAAAGGTAGTAGCAAAGAGGATGATGACAAAGATGGGGAGGGCGATGAAGAAGGGAAAAAGGGTAACGGTAACGACCAAACGGGGGACGGTGATGACGATGGCGAACAAGAGTCCCTTGGGTCGAGGCTGGTCTACATCACCGTAAATGTCTGCAGACAGCCCACCTCTAATAATACTGCCGCGGCCGACCTGCCGCAGCTTACGATGTACATTTCCACGTCCTCCAAGAACAAGAACCCAGGCCCCGATTCGAACGCAGGAGAACAGGCGACGGCGACTTTGACCGGAGGCTTTGCGAGCTATACGACGCGGGCCAACTCGGACGTCTACGTCGGTCTGTCGACGCCGGAGCTGCCGCAAAATTATTCGGGGCATTGGACTTACGAGCTGGCCGCTTCGATTGACCAGTCGTTCCACCGGTTCAATGAGCGGGACCCAACGAACGCGTTTGTGTACCTGGTAGACAGCGACACGACCTCTGCCTTGTTCACGACGGATAATCTCACTCAAGCCAATGCCGATGATCCGGTGTATCAGGAGTGGATGAAGACGGGAACGCCCTTCCAGGTGTATGCCTACAACACGAACAGCACGGTCATCAAGGGCCTTGAGCGGTCTTTCTGCGGGTTGCAGCGGGCGTGGGCAGACCAACCGACGTCGTTGTCCAACGGCATGACAACCAGGGGCTCGGGCAACAAGCCCAAAGAGCAGTTCTACCTCATGGGCTTGAACGGCAGTACCGAATACTTCGGCTATCCAGTCATGTACGGAAACTCGACCGCGACCGGGCCTGGTGTAGTCGGCGGCGGCGGCCAAGTATGGTCCCCGGTGACATTCCGCACCAAGCGCGGTAAGTTCAACCTCCCCAGCGCCACAGCGTGATACAAGTAGCAGGCGTCTCTGACAGTAACCAACAGACCACAACTGCCAGGTCATCTTCGACCTTGACTTCTGTTCTGAAGTCGCCTACGCGGTGCCCAGCAACCCAAGCCGCTACAACATGAACTCGCTCCGCACGCTCTACGACGACAACGCCGCGGAGCTGTACCAAAACTTCAACTACTCGCTGCAGCAAATCCCATGCAACACAACGACAACAGCGCAATACTCACTGGCACGCACGTGCGACGACTGCGCCCGCGACTACAAAAACTGGCTCTGCGCAGTAACGATCCCACGCTGCGACGACTTCAGCTCGCCGCACACGTGGCTGCAGCCGCGCAACGTCGGCGCGCCCTTCCTCGACGGGCACACGCTCGACGACGCCGACTGGAGCCGCGACCGCGACCCAGACACCAACGCCACGCTGACGGACCGCCTGTACGCCAACAGCAGTCGCAATTCGCTCATCGACGACAAGGTCCAGCCCGGCCCGTACAAGGAGGTCCTGCCGTGCGAGGACTTGTGTTACTCGCTCGTGCAGAGCTGTCCCGCCCAGTTTGGCTTTGCGTGCCCGAGTCGGGGCCGCGGCTTGGAGCATAGTTATGGCAATCGCGATGGCATTGGCAGCAGCAATATCACGTGCAGCTATTTGGGCGCGTTTTACTATGTTAATGCTGCTGGGGCGGTGGCGGCGCGCAGGGCGCTGGTGCTGGGTGTTGCGCTTGTGGTGGGGGTAGTGTTGGGTGCGGCGTAGGTTTGGGAAGATGGCGTATGTATGTATGTATTTAGATCCTTTATCAGATTTCGGCAGGACGAAGCAAAGCGAGCAAAACGAAGAAGAAAGAAAGACAAGGTTGAGTTTCATAGAGAGCGAGCGAGTGGGCGAGCGAGCGCGAGAAGACAATATGAGAAAGAGAGAGAAAGAAAGCAAGAGGAGAAGAAAATGGCGTTTTTTTGCGTTTTTTTGCGTTTCTTTGCGTTTTACTATATGCCAGCGTATTTCCTACTTACATGCGTATATGTGTGCGGGTGTGCGGGTGTGCGGGTATAATAAATATAAACGAATAAGGGATGAGTGGATGGGTGGGATGGGATGGGTGGGTAGATAGGTTAGGCGTTGGAATGGTGTGTGCGTTTTAGGGTTTGCGCTGTGTATGTTGATATTGATATTGCTATTGCTATACCGTGTTTGTATTTATTGGTCTAAGCGATGGTTTCGAGGTTTGTGCTGTTCATCAGCGAGGCGGGTGGGGTGTAAGTAGGTAGTAGACGGCCGGGCGAAGAGATAGGAGCAGACTACCAGCCAGCCAGCCAGCCAGCCAGTCAGTAGGTACTGTAACTAAGTAAGTACGCATGCATGCAACAACCCCAGTCTCCTCTCAACTCTCTCCCTCTCAACCCTCTCCTTCCCCACCCCGCAAAAGCCGCAGCCGCCACACCCGCGCATGCATACGCGCGTGCACGCGCGTACATCAGTATTTCTGAGCAGGCTAGTCAAGTCAATTCAACGGGCGACAACAAGCGACACAGCCGCACAGCGCTGCGGTAGGTAGGTACGTGCCATGTCAAGTCATGTGAAGCGGTACCTATGGCGCAACAGCGGCGCAACGCGGCCCTGACGCGCGGAAGCTGACGACCTACCTACCAAGCTAGGTAAGCTCCTCTGCCCTACCAACGGTCGGGCCGGGCCACGGGCGGCTGTGGCGGGCCCACCTACTTACCAGTACCACGTACACACTGACTACTACCTACGCTGATACGTTTTTGGGCAGGTGCGCGCTATTATTCGATATCTGTTGTACCGGTTTCGCAGCGCTGCCCGGTGTCTCGGATGTCGTCATTTCCTAATCGGGACAGCTACGGCGCTCACCGCATCATGGGCAGAGAGGCCGCGGTGCTAACGTCACTCGTTCGTTCGTTCACTAGGTAACTCATCCACTCTTTCACTCACGCTCACAGCTCTCAGCGTCTTAGCCGTCTGTCTACCTGCGTAACTACGTAGTACCTAGGCAGGCAGGGAGGCAAGCAGTCGCCCACCTACCCACCCTACCTACGTATCTCCTATCACCCACATACGTAACCTCCTATTTACCCCCACCTGTTCATTCCAGCAATGCACTATATCCTCCCAAAACCCCAGCCATTAGCGCCCACTCCAGCAACCCCATCTCCATCTACCACCAACCCCCCTCACCCATCGAGTAAACCCCCCACAGAAAGCGCCAGCAAGCACGCAGCAAAGGAGCGAAGAAACGGGGGTATCAGTATCTATACGATCGGTGCGAGAGCGAGAAATCCATGCACAGAGAGAGCGGGGGAGCAGTGCAGCGACGCTTGCGAGCATGCGGCACGTGGGCTTGTGAGGCGCGCGGAGCTGGGGCACGGCGCACGCGAGCGGTTGTGGATGATGAGCTGGTGAGGAGCGCATGGAGGTGTGCAGCGGGCGAGGCGCGGTGGCGGCTGCGTCGTGTATCGATGACTCTGTGAATAGATGGACGGATGGCGCCAGGTGTCTTTCCCCTCGTGGGTATGTCGTGTCGTGTCATGCACGCCACGCTGATAGCTAACTAGCTCGCTGCAAGGATGAGGTACTTCGTCGCCAGCGAAGGCGAGCGGGGGCCGTGGCCATGGATGGTGGCTAGTTGTTGCGCTTTTGAAACTCGAGAGTGAGGCGCGGTAGCAACCGGCGGCTGCAGAGCCACTGCCTGATTTTTTTCAGCCTGCTTGACCCTTGGTGCGTGAGGAGACTCTTGCTCTCCAATTAGGGCCCATAGGCTTGCTCGAAGATCTTATCTAGCCTGCTCTTTCTCCCTCTCCCTCTTTCATCTGCGACCTCAGTGGCTTCAAGCTCATGCATGACAGGCCCGCCCATCTTTAGGATTTGGGCACAGCCCAAACACAGCCGCAGGCTACAGCTTCAGCTGCAGCTCATACTCGACACCCTCCTTAGTGATCCACTCACGTACGAACGCAGCGCCCATGCGCAGCGCTTGCACGGGCGTCATGTCAACAGCCACCGGCAAGATATACGCGCCATCGAGCGTTCCGGGCGCCAACGCTTCCCACGGCCCCGCCGCCATCACGTCGCGCAGCTCGTCGCCCTTGGCGCGGCCCGACCACGTCGCCGGGTATCCCGCGATCAGGTCCTCGACGGGCAGCTTAAGGCGCGCGTCCGCGACGAAGCGCACCATGTCGGTCTGGCACTCGCCCATGGTCCGACTTGACGTTTCAAGGCTGTGCAGTGTGTTACTCTGCTTGGTGTCGCTGCCGCTGGATTCCTTGTCCTTTTCACGCTCTTTTTCGGGCGCGTTACTGACGGGCCCGTGGTGCGCAATGATGGCCGTGATGCGCGTGCAGATCACCGCGCCAAGCTGCAGCCGCAGGGCGTCCAGATGCGGGAACTCGGCGCAGATGCGGCTCATGTACCGGTGCAGAGGCAGGATTGTGCGCCAATTGCCATCGATGTCGCCCGGCATACCTCGCAAGTGATACATGTAATCTTGGCACGTATATGCGGCAATGTATGTACTTTGAGCAGTCAGTATACCGAATTTCTTCGAAAAGATGGGAGTTTACTTACAGGAGACAGTCCATGCCCATAGCTGCCGCTCGCTTGCGTTCTTTTAGTGAAGGTTTGCTTCCCATCAGGGCTTGCAACCCATGCTTCAACTTTCGGCCCAGAGGATTCCACTTGCGGGATGCCTCTTGCCAGATGGCAATGCTGCTACCCTTGCCATTTGATGGCGTGGAGGCTGCGATGCTAGAAGTGTCAAAAGAACCAGAGACTACAGGCGTGCCTGCTGACTGGCCTGGAGTGACTGTAATGCCATTGCTCTCATTCGAAACGGACCGGATCATGCTTGATGATTTTAAGTTCCTGCTTGGGGTGAGATATTGTTGTTTTTGAGAGCTTGATTTGGTGGATAAAGCTGGCGACTGAAGTTCTCGTTGAGTAGGTGTTCGGGGTTTCTTCTCGGCGTCGACAGTGGATGGAGCTCTAGGGCGTTTGGTGGGCGGTGTTTCATTATGTTGATCTTCAGCGGCTCGCGGGCGCTTTTCAGCCACGTGCTTTGATTTATCTTTTCCGTCAATGATGGCTGGCGGCGCCAGTTTACGAGGAGCTTCTTTTCCTGCAGTGTCTTTTGCCTTTGATGGATTCTCGGCCTTCTTCGGTCGCTCAGTGTCTTTTGAGCTCTCCGTCGTAACATCGTGCTCTTTTGAAAGAACTTTTCGACTAGGAGGTAACCGCAAAAGCCGCTCAACCTCTTGTCTCCGCTTCCTACCATATCTGAGCTTGATAATGAGTTTCCTGTGTTTGTCTGATGCTGCTTTGGTCTTGGCAACAGGGCTTTCCGCTGCCGTCTTAACAGATTTGGATGCCGTATCTGGCGGACGTTTGCCCGATTTGGTCTCGTGTTCCGGTGGTTTCTGGGGCGCGGGTCTCTTTCCCGCAACTTGGGGCATGCCTTTTGTAGCTGTTTCAGCCTGGTGTGTTTTTGTGTGTGGTGGTGTGGTGGCTGAAGCTTTCTGATCAGAGGATGAAGAGGCATTGGAGCCGGCTCTGTTGTGTTTCTGTTCTTCTTCGCGCTTTTTCAATTCAACTTCAACGACATCCGGAAGAGTGGGTGAAAGAAGTGGAGGTAAAGTGAGACCCGTAGGTGAAGATATTGGTGAGACCAATGGCGGCAATCCATGAGGAGTCGAGGTTGAGGTATTGACCATTGGCCTCTCCGTCGACGAATCCGACATTCGCGGCTTTTTAGTATGTTGATCGGGACGGTCGCGCGCTTTGGGCGCCGAGTGCTTCTCTTCGGCTTCCTCGTGAGCGCTATGCACAGCATTAGCAGCCTTCAATGAAACGCTACCATGATACCTACCGCTTATGCGACTGCGGCTCCGGGGACTTCCCCAGTACAGGTGGCTTGGCTGGTAATTTATGTGTCTCTTTGGCAGGGGTATCCTCCTTCTTCCCTGCCTCCCGTGCCGGTGCCTGCTTCGAGGGAGTTCCCAGTCCCGCCTGTTTGTCCCTGTACGCAGCGAGACTAATCTTCTTTTTCGGCACATCATTGCGCACCGGCGTGCTCACTCCACTTGGAATTCCTTTGGCCTTCATAGCGGCTCTCCTATCTCTCTCCTCATCCACCTCCGTTCGGCAAACAAAGCAACTGTCGGCGTGGTCGCGGTAGACAAAGCTCATGTACTGGAGGCGCTCCTCGTTTGGGTCAAAGGTGGTTCCACGACACCAGCTTTCTGCCGATTCGCGCGACCAATGGTGGTATCGGGGCTCGGCGCATGGGACAGCGAGAATGTACGGCGCATCCGGTACGTTCTTGCGAACGCGCTCCCAGGCGTTGTCGAGCGCGCGCAAATCCTCCACATCCTCAGCCGACGTAGGTATCCAGGCAGTCGTCGTCTTGGCGGGCGCGGTTGCTGGTGGCGCCGAATTGTCGGAGATGGACATGGTACAGGGAGGGGATCGCGGGGTAGAGAGGGTCGCTTTGTTCGCGACGGCGTAGCAGTCAAGGCGCCGGCGGGGCCGAGTCGACACCAGAGATAGGCTAGGGAACGTCTGCATGGCAGCCGTTAGCTGACGGCGGGCGGCGGCGCGCTACGCGTGGGATACCTCTGATGACTTTAGTGCGACGGCTCCTCCGCTGACTCGGTGGAGCTGACCATGGTTCGGCCGGGCGCGGGGGGGTTCGCGATGGACGGCGGAGGCGGCGGGCGGAGAGAGAGCGGAAGAGGGATTGACTGTCAGGCGCGGGTTTGGAGCGAATGCATGCAGCGGTGACGATGGATAGGGTTCGCGTGCTTGGCCGTCGCGCAGATCAGGGCAGTCGCGCTGTTCGCTGCACCCTCGACAGCTAGCGCCGGCCGCTACTACACACGTCGCGCGGGGAAAGCCCATCTCCCGCTCGACGACGACGACCATGGCAAACAAAACCACTGCGTTTGCATTGCTGTCGTCCCATGTGCTGTGCGCGCGTGGCCGTATCCATCGAGACTCGCGGGGCCCTTGCATATGAGTGAGATAAGATTCGGCACGCTTGGACTGATTCACACTGGACAAAGAAAGTAACATGTCATCTGTTTGTCTGCATGCAACTATATTTGGTGCATGTTTCTTCTTCTTCCTGCTTCTTCCTCTGTTCTGTGCACGTCCAGCTAGTACTTCCACGTTCCTTTTGGCCTCTCTCCAACGGGAATCTGACACACCGCGGAACACAAACACCCCTCCTGGCGAACAACCATCAAACAGATGGCTGTTCCAATACCAGCTGCAGAGCATTCAGTGACGTGGCTGCAGGCAGGATGCCGCATTGTAGGTATGCCTACAGCTCGTCGTCGGTCGTTTCGTCGTCATCGTCGTCGACCTGCGCCTTCGGTGCGGGCTCTGGCTTTTTAGTGGTCGCGGGTGCGTTTGCCTCCCGGACGAAGGGCAGCTCCCGCCGAGGGGGAAGGTCGTCCAGGCTCTGTTGACTGGGAGACGTCTTCTTCTGCGTCGTCACACTCTCGACAGCCTTGCCCTTTGACCCAACACCGGCTTTGGTTGGACGGGAAGTGGGGACAGCGTCGAGGCCTTCATCGTCATCATCGTCGTCTTCTGTCTCATCTAGATCAGAATGATCAGGTGTTGTACGGTATTCCTCTCGCCCCTCGGTTCCGTCGTCGATCTGCATTTCATTGTCGACGCTCTCACCCGAGTCTGATACGGGTGGCGTAGCGCTGTCCGCCTTGCGTTTCGACGTCCGGGAAGTCCCTGCTTTACGAGGTTGACAGACTTTCTTCGAGCCTCTGGCGCTATCGACGGCGGCAGCTTCATTCACGCTTAGCGTCGTCAGGGGTACATGATTTGAGAGAGCCTCACCCGCATCAGGGTCCACCTTAGCCCCGGACAACAGCCTTTGCTGGTCTCGTATTTTAAGTTTTTTGCTGTTCAGGAGCTCCTGGAACTTGGCGAGCAGGGACGTTTCGTGGTCCTGTTTGGCCTGGACGAGGTCTTGAAGCTGGGCATTGAGGCGATCTATGGTTGCTTGCTGCGCGTCATACTTGAGCTGCAGACTGTCGAAGTCGGCTTGGACTGACGTAGCGGCGCGGACGGCGACGGAAGTCCAGTGAAAGATGTCAATTTCCTCGTCGGGGACATGCTTAAGCGTAATTACGCCCAGGCGTTGCTTCTCTGAGAATCAGCTGTTGTGCGGCGTGACGTCAAGCAGGGCTACTTGCCGTGATACCGCCAATGCTGTTGCGCAGTGTGATTGTTAATTGGCGATCGCTGCCGTCGCGGCCCTCGGCGGCCACGGCTTCGAGACCCAGGAAATTAGCATTGGCGTCATGGGACTTGTGTTGCAGCAGCACGCGCGACAGAGCGGCCTCCCACTCGGGCTGGGTGCCGTGTGAAGCCTTCAGCCGGGCGCAGCGGCGATGTTCGACTGCGGTTTGCGGTTGTCAGTGTGAAACAGGCGCAGACGTCAAGCCGGGGGAGCTACTGACTGGAGCCGACGAAGGGTTCAACGCCGTCGGTGCCGATCAGCTTGAGGTCGAGCGGTTGGGGCCCATTGCTGGTCACAGACAGCAGGACTGGCCCGGCGCCGACGTCAGCGCGCGGAATGCGGAGGATTCGCTGCTCGGTCATTGATATTTGGAGCGGCGGGATGTGCGAAAGGATGCTGAGTCGCGAAGGGTCCAGATTTATGAAACTGCAGGCAAGCTGCGAGTGAACGCCGATCCTGGTGGTTGTTTAGTTATTTAGTTATTTTGGTACGGGTAGAGAGGCTGAGCGCGGGCCCACCCTCGCGCTTTCACACTGCCTCGTTCGCCCAGGCACACACTGCACAGACAGGCACAGGCGCGCATGCAATCAAGGGCGGGCGCGTCGCCGTCGTGTTGCCCGCAAACCAGGGTCCGCCAAGCTCTGTCTCTCTCTCATTGATGCGCGAAGCGGGCTGGCTGCAAGTGACGCCCAACCAACCTCCTCTCCCACACCTAACTAAGTAGCTCGTCGACGGCCACCACGCTCGCTCCATCTCTTCCCTCTCCCGGCCGTCGCACGCATGGCCTCCCACGCCAGAGGCAGCTTCGCCCAGCGCGCTGCCCAAGCTATGCATGCCCAAGCCCCAGCCGTCGAGAACTGGGACGACGACGCCGACTTCCACGGTGACCTGTTCGCCCACTCGGTCGCGTCATCCGCCACCGGCCACACGGCCTTTTCCTTTTCTTCGCGCGCCAACTCTGCCCGTTCCGAGTCGCTGACCGGCGACGACGACTGGCACGTCCTTATCGCGCCCAACGACGAATCCTCGACCAAACATGCCATCTCTTCCGCCAAACAGGCCGGCATCCCCATCCCAGGCGACGTCCCATCTTCGGCTCTTCTCGGTGGTACCATCAAGCGCCTGGGAAAGAAGCCATCCCGGCAGAAGGTCGCTGCCGACGACGACTGGGGCGACGACCTCGAGTTTCCCGGGCCTAGCTCGGGCGGCTTGAAATTAAAGAATCTTCAGCCTCCTATGACCCCGGTGCAGGATGTCGACGACGACGACTTTGACTGGGCCGAAGGCAGCCTAGGTATCCGTTTCGGCGGCACGCGACGGGACACGCGCCATCGAGGCTCCTCGGTTTCCGCCACCATGAGTCCTAGCTTGGGCAGCTGCATGACTCTCGAAAGCGAAGACGACGACTTTGGAGGGCTAGTCCTGCCCAAGGAATCCCTCGACTTTAACGCTATTCTGCGCAAGCGCAGGGAAGCTGAGGACGAAAAGCCGCCAGAGTCCGAGCGTCCGCCCACAGAGGAGGAACCTGCACCCCCAACCAAAGACGACCAATGGCAAGAGGATCCTACCGAGATCCCAAACGATACTCCAGCGCCGCCTGCCGAATCCATCGCTGAAGACTACCCCCAACACCAGCTGCAACAGCAGCCCGGCCCAAAGTCTGATCAGTCTGAGCCGCAAGTGGAAGTAGCGCCGGCGCCGACCCCGGACCCACAACCCGGACAACCACCTCAAGAACAAGTTGTACGCCCCGATCAACACCAACCACCGCCAGCGAATCTGAAGCCCACCGCCGAAGACGATGATTTCTTCGCCGACATTGACTTCGGTTCAGGAGACATACTTGATACTAACAGACATTCGCTCAATCGTCACCTCAAAGTCCAGAGAAGCAGGCCACCCACCACTGCCGTCCGGGCAGCGACGACTTTGACCTTCACCGACAAACCTACCACCCCCGCCCCCGCCGCCTCGCGGATACCGAGGCCATTGGTCTCGCACTCCTCCCGCTCCAAGCTTGCTCCCGTCTACGAAACAGGCACTCCTCCACCGCCTCGCCACGGACGCGCGGCACCAACCACAACAAACTCGCAGTTGCTTAGGGCGAAGCGATCCGCACCCGTCCTCCGTAGCGACTACAGGTCCTCGAAACCCTTCGTGCCGTTCCTGCCTGCGGGCGCCTCGTCGACCCAATCCCACAACATCATCGCAAGGACATCAGAGAGCCAACTTCGCCGCGGCTCCGATCCGAATCGCGCACAATCCCCTGCTCCTCGTGCATACTCGCGTACCGGTCGCAACCCGGATACGCCCAGTCGCTCTAGCAATCGAAAGGACATTGCCCCTGCGTCGTTAGCTCGTGAGGCGGCTACCAAGCGTTTGTTCACTAAACCTGCTCGCAAACGCAACTTTGGCGACGGTACCGAACTCGAGCTTTTCGACGACTTGCCGACATCAGTCCAAAAGGAAAGCAAATATATCAAACAACCATCAAACCGACCCTCTTCGAAACTCCTGCGCCAGGCGAGTCAGTCCAAAATCCCCACAGCCGATCGACCGCAAACCCACACACCTGCACCTGCACCTGTACCTGCATCCTCGACGACGCTTCGCAGTCCTTCGAAGCGAGACATCACCCCTAGTTTTGCACGGGATACTGCGGCTAGCCGTATGGCAAGAGAACAACGCTTGGCAGGAATGAGATCACGCGGAGATGGCCCGTTGGTGCCAGTCACCAATTGGAAAGCGCGGGTGGCAGCGCAAAGTCCACAAGCGCAAAAGAAGAGGAACTCGGGACAGAAGCCGTATCTGATCAAGCAGATGAACGCACCGAGCGTCAGAAGTACGTCTAGATTCCGATGCCGCTCTGCTCTGGCGTCTCAGCTGCTAACACTGCTTTAGATGAGAACGGCATGACATACAATCCGGCACTCCAGTGCTGGGAGGGCAACGAGTCTGCACTCGCGCAGTTCTCCTCGGCCGTTCAAGAAGCCACCCAGGCAACCTACGCTGCTCGCATGCAAAACATGGGCCATTCGCATTCCCAGTCGCAGCCTCAGCTCCCGAGCCACAATCACAGTAACTCTATGCTATCGATCCCGTCTCTCCCGACTCCGACTGGGACTGCTCCTGCTTCCACGTCCCCGCCACGCGCTCCAGCCCTCATCTCGAACATTTCCACTGCCAGAGGCGTCCAAGTCGAACGCGGCATGGTCTTTGATCCGCGCCGAATGTGCTGGCTGAAGCTCGACCCACACAACACCGGCCCACTCTCTCCCACGGCATCCATTGGCGATGAGTCCGACCCATTCGCCGATATCGAAGATCTCAAGGAGGATGATGACAAGGTCGGCGTCGGCGCTGGCGGATATTTCGGCGTTACCAGTACGACAGGTGCTGTCGCATCCACACCTAGTTTTGATGAGGTCGGATTCGTGGGCGAGGAATTTGATCTCGGGCCCGAATTCATCCGAAGACAACGCGAAGAGGAAAACGTGTGGAAAATGAGAGTTGCCGGCTGGGTTGGTGAAGGAAGAGACGGTCTGGGCGACAACTGGAAATGGTTGGTCAGAGACATCTCGGTCGAGATGGCCGCGGTCGTTGAGGGGAGGAGAGGAAGTGTTGGTTGAGCAGGTGATGTTTACCGTCCAGGACCCTTGGTGTCGCCCGAACACCCTCACTGGACCGCCCCATCGTGCTGCATCGCACCATTCCACGATGACGACCTCATTCACAGCCAGTCTATGGGCATAGCGCTGATTCCAGATCCGGGTAACCTGTTTCTCCTTCTACCCGGACTGGCGGGCATTTTCTCTGTCTTTCCCCACCTTTTTTCTCCTTTCCTCTCCACCCGTCACGAGTCCCCTTGTCTTTTCCTCTCTGGGTCTTTTTTCCTCGGGAAAACTTAAAGGGTAAAGGGCGCCGGAACCCTGGGGAGTTGTATCTCTTTTTCCTCCTTTCTCGCCACGCCTGACATGACTTCAACTGATAACGACCACCAAACACGTCGGATGCGATTTCGCAGACAAGAACCGACACACTGAAACGAGGTTACGACTACTATAAACTACGGGGCAAGACTTGCACGTCGCTACGGAAGCGGCGGCAGCTCCCCTTTATCACGATGCTTATGAAGAAATCTCTCTACAGAACGACTGGGGGTAATAAAAGAGTAGGGTAGGACCTGTTTATCGCGTCATGGTTTTGTCTGCTTTGGCATCTTTAAATCTCGCGGTCTTCTTTTGTCTCCGGACAAGCTCTTTTTTGGAACTTTTGGACTTTTTTTATCTGCTTCTTGGCGCAGCTTCGACCCACTCGGCGACGGGCGGGAAGGGCGTTATGTAAGGAAGCCTCAGCCGCTGAGAGCCGCGTAGCGTAGGAGTCAACAGAGATAGAAAAGTTTGAGGCGTTTGGATGCATGTACACACATACACACACGCTTGTACCGTAGAATGCGCTGCGCTGGCTTGGCTGGGGGTAATTGTATATCAAATATCGATGATATTTCAATGACGTGGTGCGTCGTGCAGTGTTTGAGTATATACATGTATTTTGTGATTACATGCCTCGTAGACTTTTGTTCATCAGAGCATCTACAAAATGACTTTTCTCTGGATAATCAAACATCTAGAGCGGGTGGAAGCAAAAGATGCTTCTACTTCTACAACAACATAGCAGCCAACAGCGCTTGCTCGATCACGCCTTGGGGAACTTGGGGAAGACGGGCCTCTTGCCGAAGGCGAGGGCCGCCCAGCCGCCAATCAAGCAGAGGCCGCCGAGCGGGGTGAGCGGGCCCAGCGGCCGGAAGCGCTGCGGGTCCAGCACGAGCAGGTAGATGCTTCCGCTGAAGAGCGTCATGCCGGCTGTGAAGAGGCCCATGGCGAGCTTGTTCTGCGGCACGGCGACGGCGGTGAGGAGGACGAGGGAGGAGTGGATGAGCTGTGCCGGGTGGGGGGTGTTAGTGTCAGTTGTTTGGGTGAATTATGGGGGGATAGGAAAAGGAATTGGTGGTCGGTGATTGGGGCTAGGGATTGGAGGTGTTCAATTGAAAAGTGTTTGTTTGAGAGTGTTCAATTGAGAATGTGTCCCGCACCTGGTAATGCGCCGCGGTGCCCCAGCTGGCGATCTTGGCGGGGTCCGAGACGTGCTTCTTGAGGCCGTGGGCGCCGAAGGCGCCGAGCATGACGCTGGAAGCGCCGTAGAGAGAGCCAATGGTCCAGAAGAGTCCGGGCATTTTGCTTGTGTTGTGTTTGGGGTGGCTGTGGTGGTGTTTGCAGGCGTGGTGTGATGGGTGGACGTCGTGGTTGTTATAGAGTTAAGTCTTCGGATGGCGGAGTTGTCCGAGGCTCCGAGACGGCCGACTCGGGGGTCTGTCGGCGCCGCGCGCTAAATTGTTCGTCCCCGCATTTCAAACACGACACCTACACGTTCCTCGATTCGCTCCATCTCTATGTCAGCTTCTCTTGTAAGAGGGAAGTGAGTCTCCGCGCCTGCTCCACAATCTTGGTGAGCTGCGCACTCGGCTTTGTTGCGCGCGTACGACGGGTCGGTTTATGCATCATTGAGGCGTGAGGTCGAACTACCTCGTACCGCGCCCCTGCGACGGCTGATTGCTTGCTATTCCATGATTGTTCGCTCGACTTTTCCATCGCTCCAACTCGTGTCTCGTCGCCTCATCGTCGAAAGAGTCAAGGCTGCTCAGAAGCCTGGGTGAGCGGGTTCCCACCAGTTTACTGGTGTGGGGTTTACATTGTTTAATTAAGTTTTGCGATTCTCCATCAATTGTTTACTGTACTACTTACGCACGCACTAATCATGCCAGCTGCTGACAGCCATGAAGCGCACATGCCATGTGGTCTATTGGGTCGACAAATGAAGCTTGCAGCAGGCTGTATTGATTGATGAAGTCATCCAGCTAATCCAGACTAGTTGGGGATGCCCGCATCGCTGCAGGCTAGGCATCAGCTTATATATCCCAGCCTGAGCTGCGTCCCACGAAGGGGAGCTTTGGATCTTCAGCCTCGACGATTTTTCTGTCTCTATCAACAAAAAAAAAGTTGTGCTAGATTAAAAGTCCAGAACAACTACTGATTGGCACCATGCAAAACAATTATATTGGTGGAGGACTATGCCAATCTTGTGTGAAGGTTGGGCTTGCAGCACACATTAAAACGCTACTCATGAGAAAACACACTTTATCTCACTGGAAACTTTCGGTAATGAGATCACCTTCCTGGAACTCGCTGGTAATGGGCTCTGTGAGATCCATTAAAACTGGAGGCGAGTGCTCATTTTGCGACCTTATCCGCCATCTCCTGAGCCCAGATGTGGATAGATACTCTGGAAACGAATCGACTATCCAGGTCCTTTTTCAGATGGATGAAGCGAACAAAGAAGTTAGCTTATTAAAAGCCAAGACGAAGGCTCCCGTTTTGTTCCTCGGTACAATCACACGATGTGACGGGAGCATTGCAGCACTTGGAAATGGGCGCGCTGACCAAAGTCCCGAATATGATAGCGAAGAATTGGAATACGATGCGTCCTTGCGAATCCAGAAGATACGAGACGTTCTCGTTACATGCGAGGCGGAACACAACCATGGCACAGCCGAACAGGATCAGGGGCGCCGCGTACCTGTCGACATGTTGTTTATCGATGTGAAGCAGGAGAATCTGGTCCGAGTCTCATCCAAACAGCGATACTTTGCTTTGAGCTATGTCTGGGGGACCACTTCGATGTTTCAGACAAAAATGGCCAACATTCACATCCTCCAGGAGCCAGGATCTCTTCGTCGTCATTGGCAGCAGTTGTCTCAAGTAATCAAAGATGCCATATTACTTGTGCAAATGCTCGGGGGGCAATACTTGTGGGTTGATTCGCTATGCATAGAGCAAGACAACCCAGTGCAAAAGCAGGGCCAAATCGCACAAATGGACCTCATATATAGCCATGCCCTGTTGACCTTGGTCGCATGGTCGGCTGAGGACGCCACATCATCACTGCCAGGCGTAAGACTGAATACTTCTCGTAGCCCTCTCTTGATAAGATCAATATTCGGGCCTCTTTACAAGGCCACGCCGTTTGACCTTATGCTGGACAGATATTCTAACAGGTGGCCCGTTATTGTGCCAAAGTACAATACCCGAGCTTGGACTTTTCAGGAGCGCCTTCTGTCTCCCAGGTGTCTTTTTTTCACTTACTACGACGCTATCTTTGTTTGCGACTCGGAATTTTCCATTGGTATCAACAGCAACATAAAGACAAAGGATCCTGACTTTGTGTCTTTCCGATCCCCACATCTGGCCAATCAACTAGCTTTGCGGGAGATGAAACCAGAGAGGGCACTGTTCATCTACGAACATTTGGTCTCCCATTATACGAAGTTACAAGCCTCTCGTGACACCGACACGTTGAACGCTTTTTCGGGGATCCTTACGACATTGCGGCCCATAATGGGGAACTTCCTACAGGGTACACCTCTACGATGTTTTGGCTCGGCACTACTTTGGAAACCTTCATCCATTGAGCATAATCTTGAAAGAAATAAGAATTTCTCCAGCTGGTCTTGGGCTGGGTGGCTGGGCCAGACATGTTATGACAGTCGAAAATGCATAATCAATCTGCTACAAGAAGTCAATGTCTCTTACCAAACGCCAGAGAGATCTTTGGTTCTTAATGAATACGAGAAGTTTCCTGGGGACAGCGCGAACCTTGGCCCGCAATCCGACTTATCAGAGTTGCAGATGGGCGTCGACATAATTTCATTCTTCGCTGATTCCGTTCCCAGCAATACCTTTTGTGTCAACTCGTTCGCTGGGACTAATTTCGTTCGGGTTGTGGACCGTCGGGGTTTTTGGTGCGGTGCCCTCTTTTTCAATCAGCTTTGTCAATTCGATGACGGCTCAGAACTCTCTCTTGTCCAGGGAAATTGTCAACTTGTCTTGCTTTCTAGGCAGTTGGCGCATAATGACCGCAGTTTATACGATCCGAAGTTGGTTCCAAAACCCTGGTGGTTCCTAAACATCATTCTAGTCTGCTGGAAAGGTGCACATGCCGAGAGACTGGCAGTAGGCACTATTCATTAGATGCCTGGATAGAAGCTGGACCGAAAAAGAGTCGCGTCATACCCGGTTAATCTGTTCCATTACGAATACTCTTACTCAAGCTATACAAAGTTTCTTCATCATCCCCTCCAGCTCGCACACCACCTGTCCGTACACGGCGTTCTGCAAATCCGGCTTGCTTAAATCATTTCCGAATCCAAAATCACACTCCAAACATCTCCGGATAATCTCTTTGTACCTGGCACCAAGCCCATTCGTCGTATGTGCCAACTTCCGCACTGTAACAACCTGATCTTCGCCATCGCGGAAGTGCACCGCGCCCTCTCTTCCAATTTCCATCAGGGCGACGCCGAGACTAAACAGAGACATGTTGCGGATGCCGTATTGCAGCTCCAGCACCGACAGATCGGGGGAAAAGTCCATCGGCCTTGGTCCGAAGGCGCCGTTACAGTCTCGGTCTGGGAAGTCCGCCTTCAAGTGTAGCGTCTGCAGGGCCGCGTCGGAGAAATCGGGCTGGCTTCCGAGCAGAAAGATGTTTTGCGTGTACCATGCATCGTCCAGCCAGGGCGTCGAACTGTACTGCAGTGTGGCTTTGGCGAGGCGGAGCGCGAGGTTAAGCTTGTTATCGGCCTCGAACTGATCGTGCGGTGTCTGTGTGAGCAGGTCTGCTACTGATCTGTTGGGAGGCAGTGGCTCGGCAAGTGGCTGTCCGGCTACTGTCTTCAGGCCTGGGCAATAGAACAGGTGCTGTGCCTTCAAGGGCGTTTCTAGGAAACCGAGACAATGTACGCAGTGCTCTGAACCATCTCTTGGAACACATATGCTCTTTTTCAAATGTTGGCATATGTCGTGTTCTTTACGCAAGTCTTTGAGCTGTCTTGCTGAACTGTCGACATGGATCGAGTCAGTATTTGTAGGGGCACCAAGAGGCTGCACTGGTCCATCAGATGCTCCATCAGCAAACCTCACGGCCTTTTTCCGTTTCTTCGGTTCTTCCACGTCACTCGTGGCCTCTGTTTTTGAACGCTTGGAAGAAAGATTCAGGGTCGAACTTTCATTCTGCAGAGCGTCCGTCAACTTCTGGAGATGTTTACGACCCTGAATAGGAGCTGCTGTCGGCACATTAATAATGCTTGATTGTATCTGTAACCACAGAAGTGGCTCAACCGCATTGGAACTGCAGAATTTTAGCTTTCGTTTGTTAAGACATATTCTCAATAGCGGTTACCTGGAGCATGCAACTGCGCTCTGCTCGAAAGAAATAGCCATATCCAATGACACTCTATTGTTATGCGATGGCTGAGCTTGGAGGCATAGAATCGCACCATGCTTGCTATGCATTGGATTGTCACAACGCCAACTTGTCATTAACGCTTCATGCAGTGTTCGAGCTGCATTCTGGACGGCGCCATATTGCTTGGGCAATTTTTCTTGTTGGATCAAAGCACTGCTTCGAAACTCGCGCCTCTGCTGACGGAAGCGTCTGATGTAAGAGTGCAGGACAGCGAAGTCCTCGTTCAAGCTTTTGAGTGTGTTTATTTCCTTTTCAAGCTCGGGCTTTCGGAATGGGATCAAAATTCTCTTTCTGAGGCGTTTGATGGTGCTTTTAAAGGACTCTCCCTACATCCTGTCAGCCTGGATGGAGAAAGTGGTTATTTGGATCAGGGATGTGCACATACCTGTTCCTTTTCAGACAACAAAACTTCGAAAGGTTTCAGTTCTTCAGCCACCTCTTCCAAAGCCTCTTTAACAGCCATCATGATCCGGACACAGTTGTCATAGTTATTCTCCAGTCTCTTCTTAATTCTTTCGGCGAGATCTCTATCTTTCCATCGATCGTGGCTGCAGTCTTCCAGCATGTCCTCCACATCATCCCCTACAAGATCCTGCAGGAGTAGTTGGCATTCGTTGAGGTAATTGTCTCGCTGGATACCGAAATGGTCGTAGAGCCTTCGGACTTCGTTTGAGTATGCGCGATATGTCTTTAGTTGCTTGCGGGTCGTCGAATATCCTTTCACAGCTTCAACGACTAGTGGAAGTAGTATTCCAACCCCTAGGCCTGCTACTTCGAGACCTGACATGTTTTCGATTGTGCTATTTTGTTTGTGAGCGGGGTGGGCTGGAAAGTTCGTTGTATTGCAAGGCTGGAATCACTCAGCCACTTGAGGCGCAGTGCATGCATGCATCATGCAGCCGAGGCATCATCAGCTTCGTAATCCGCTTGTTCCCCGAACTTCTCTCTTCATCCTGCACTCGACGGATATGCAACGCCACGAAGAACCACCGTTCCCGTCGGCCTCATCCTCTTCGTCAAACAACATGGCTTCGGGAGTTGGAGGGCAACCCCTCGCAATTAAGGCACGCCAAAGTCTAGCGGCCCAACAATCATCAGGCTTTGGCTTAGCCGGAAAGTTATATCGGTGCTGCCTTGGGCTGTTTCGAACTTTGCAGCAAGCCGAAAACTCAGACCTGACAGATATGTATCTTTCTGAGAACCAGCAAAACACAATCCTCCGGGAACACAAAGCTTTCATATTATGGGGGGATGGATTTGGTATCGATGAGGGCGAACTTGAAACGGTGTTTCGACAATCTAGACGCCTGCGGCATAGAACGTTGCAGCTCTTGTCCACTACAGGCAAGCTACTTTACAGTAAGTGAGCTGTATTTGTGTTTGCGAAAAGGTGTTTGTTTAGGCTGACTTGTACTCCAGAACTTGCCGCACCTCTACTTGCTTTGACAGAAGCCCCAACCCACTCTGAATTACCCAGCCTTCTTGAAGAAGTCAAAATATCTATCCCACACCAGTATGATGACTCGGATGACTCGGATGACTCGGATGACCCCAAAAACTTAGAGATTATTTCTCTATTTAGCGAAAAGGAGATCTCTGAAACACTCGAAGACCTCAAGAACTACGTACAATGCCTTATAGAGCTAAGCCCTTCTCTCGAAAATCCGGCGAAAGATCCCGGCTGGAACGAAGCAGTCCGTGCCGTCGAGCAGAAAACAACGTCTTCAATATCCCAAATGCCTGGTTGCGATGTATATTCGCGACTGATCCAAGATCGGTTTCCCAAAGCGCCTACTGAGTTAATCGAGATGCTTGGAACGCTCAATTGGAACAGGTTCCTTCGGCTCCAATCATTGCGTGACCTCCATGCATCTAAGCTCAGTGGCATGTCTGATGACGAGTCAGGGCTAGAGTCTGAAGAAGAATTTCAAGAGCTAGGTTCACGCAAGTCTGGCCTGGCCAAAACTTTCCATGACTCTGGGTTGGGCACATCTGTCCCTGCAAAGAGTGCTTATGCTCCTTCCACGACCACTAGCGTACTCGAGGGAGCTGCTGTCCGCGTTCCACCTTTACCTGAAAAGGGTAAAATGGGTCTGCCCTTCACATGTGACGCTTGTGGCAAGACGGTCATAATACGAGAGAGGCGCATATGGAAGTAAGTACATAATTTGTTTCTAAAGATCATTCTAGTTCAAACAATAAATAAAATACTAACCAATGTACGATAGAAAACACATATACCGGGATCTTCAACCGTACACATGCGTTCATGCGGATTGTAAATCTCAAACGGCCGTATTCAAGGATCGTCAAGCTCTGAGAAACCACTTCTTAGCTGTTCACAACGCTGACTCCGGATGCAATCCACAACAATGTTCTCTATGTGACGAATCTTTTCCATTGGAGCCTGTTGCTTTTTCAACTCACCTCGCACGACACTTGGAAGAAATTGCCTTAGCGGCACTTCCACGAGCACTCGAACCCGACTCTGATATCGAAGGAAGCGCAGATTCCGATGATGAATCAGACATGATAAAACCCAACGAGCCAGTCACTGTTGAAGTGTCAACGGAGGTTGATGATTTAATACCTACCCATGAAGGCTTTGAGAGGGCAATCAGTCTCCGAAACCCACACATTCAATCATATCTTCTGGACAGAGCCGTTCAAGAACAGATCCGTCGCTATGACAGACTTTTGGAAATGAGAAGCAAGCATGAAGCTGCAATCAAAGATTGCAGTTGCCCATCCAAACAATATTGTTTGGCTTTGGGAGGAAACGCAAAAGATCTAGGATTTGGTCTAGAGCACACATCGGACGAAGACGCAGCAACAGAAACTGCTCAATACCCGGCCAATGTTCCACCACCTCCTGTGAATCTACCAGCTGAGTTTGAATGCCGGTTTTGCTTCAAGGTCAAAAAGATCCACAAAGCATCCGATTGGACGAAACACGTGTACGAAGATATACAGCCATTCACTTGCACGTTTGCCTATTGCGCTGTACCGAAAAGCTTCAAACGGAGAGCCGATTGGGTAAGGCATGAAAATGAGCGGCACAGGAAACTTGAATCCTGGGAATGCAATCTTGAAGACTGCAAGCACACATGTTATCGCAAAGACAACTTTATCCAACATCTTGTCCGCGAGCATAAGATTCCAGAGCCAAGAGCAAGAGCAAGGAAGTTAAATGAGACTTCTGTGATGAGTGGGGATAGCTCCGATATTTGGGACATTGTTGAGCAATGTCGTCGTGACACTACCAGACCCGCGGCAGAAGAGCCCTGTAAATTTTGCGGTAGGGTCTTTTCTACATGGAAAACTCTTATAGCTCATCTTGCAAAGCATATGGAACAAATCAGCCTGCCTACCCTGATGCTTCTGGCGAAGAATCCGAGCCTGCAGCAGTCCGCCTACCAACGCCCGCTGGCCATGTGGTCCAACGACCCTTCCGAGGACCAGACGAAGCGCCTGGCTGCCTACTACTCATTGCCCGTCGTGCCGCATCCCAGAGACGGCCGAGGCGACGACGAATACCCTCATGACGATACGGCATTAGAACTAGTACCGGGCTACACGTTGTTAGAGGAAGACACAGATGCCGTACAACACGCGCCCATGTTCACGACGATCGGCCCCGAGACGCGCTTCCTCCCCGCCTACGAGTGTAGTTTCGACTTCTTGCACTGTCGCCGCTTCTTCAGCGCGATAAATGTACCGGACGGCGACCCAGAACAGGCATGGCGCACCCACGTCCTCTCGCACTTTAATGGACATCCACCTCCACGCTCAGTATGCTGCCCGTTATGCGACGACTTTGAATACACGGATGCAACGCCTGGGCTCGCCTGGGATAAACGCATGGAACATGTCGCCGAGCACCATCGTGCGGGGCACACGTTGGCTAAGGCGCGCCCAGACGTCCACCTCTACCAGTATCTCTGGCAGAAAAGGATTATTGACGATGCAGAATTGAAGGAGCTTAAAAGTGGCAGCGCAGTGGCAAGTGGTAATAGTGGTGAGACACTCCAACATACTCAGGGCAGCCGTATTGATGAGCAGACACGCCGGCGTTTGTTGCATCCGCGCCAGTAACCGTGAGACCATGCCGTTCATTTGTCTAAAACAAGAGGGGTGTCGGCTGAGGGAAATTGGACTGTTTTTCACGTATTCTCTTTCCCCAAGACGGGGGAGAAACTATCTTACCACCCTGTGAGTACTCCTTTACTTACCTATTTCCACGGTCAGCATACGACCAGATAGTGACATGATATTAAACTGTGAAGTGTCTCCACCAGCATCGCTCCAATCAGAGTTCCTTGGTATTTCAAAAAGGAGAAGCCGGTAATTTATTTGTGGCCATGTATCAATTGAAGGAAAGTGAAGATTTTAGAAAACTGGGAAGTGTGCAGGAGATCCAAATGTGCCGACGAGACAGACAGTGAAGGAGGTAAAAGATGAGAAAACAAATAAGGAAACAGGATATCGAAGGCTGCTATGACAGAGAAAGCCTAATGAAGATGAGTACCAAATACAACCATCCGAAATATGACTATGAGTTATCCAATCGTGCAAATCACAATACAATGCAGTATACAGAGAGACAAGGTATTCAACTACAAAACCGTAGACATCAAGAAGGACGCATAGACAGCATGGCATGCGTGTACCAAGCTGTCCAAATGTGCAATATTATATACAGTGAATTTTAATTCAGTGGCAGATTTGACTAAAAAGATAGAAGTCAGTGCTTTATCAAGTTTTCAAAAAGCAAAAGATCCATTCGTTAATCGGATGTTCTTAATTCAAATGCAGTAATACTCTAGAATGAGCAAGAAAATAGTACGTAAACTGCTTTCTAATTCTTCACAGTGCACTTCTCCTTTCCGAGCGCACTTCGCCCTAGATACGACAAATATCAACCCCTGGACCGTCCACTCCAAATAACCAAAACACTCAGTGACCCTTCAATCCATTCTCAGTAGCAGCACTCACTATACTATCACCGAAAGGGGAGAACATACAGTATCAGAAACACTTCAGTGTTCACTACGTCACAACTCACAACATAGCATCACTCTCAAAACCAGCATTTAGACAGCTGCTATAGGGAAAATGCAATATTATTAATTAGTTAGGAAGCTCGAATCGAACCCGTAACATTTTCCCCGCCCAAACAGTAGAAAGCTAGTATTCTCAGTGACATGAGCATGCTAATCATGAGACGAATGGAAGATACTGAACAGGCAATGGTAAGACTTGAGCGCACCTGCCTTATCAGGTAAACCGGGCTGAACCATCCAAGTCCTTTATTCGAGTAAAAGGAGTCCTCTGATACTCTTTTTGCAGTAAAAATACTCCTGTGTGAGCAGCTACCTACAGTAATGGTTCTTCCTTGACCGGGTTCCAGTTGATCATGTAGCTCTTGTCATCTCACACACTCAGCCAGAACGGCAGGCATAATCGCATGTGCTCAAACACTGCATTCTCACGATATCAATCAAGATCCTGGACGCGATCTAAACTAGCATTTGCTATGTACCAGAAGAAGTGAGTGGCCAAGAGTCTAAAATCCAGGTTGCACTAACTTTTGTTGTGGGACTGGCAGCTGGCCATCCATAGAGCATTCATTAAGGTAATGCTCTCCGCCAACCCATCAAAACTGCCAGCGCCAAGTCAGCCTGAAAACTAAACCAACACCTCCTGAAAATGTGTTGGAATTTGCCGCACCCTCAATATTCTGTCTGAATGAACCAGATGCTTCCGCGTTGGTACGTTGATCCGCGGTCGTCAATGGTTCGGTTTGCCTGAATTACTCGGACCATCATTCTCGTCTTCACTGTCCGCGTTGAAGCGCGGCAAGATGCCTCATTCTCCCGCGATGATAAATGATTGGCGTGCGTCATCGTCACTAACTGGACCAAACAGTGCCATCATCTCCTGCAAAGTGAGCCCCTTCCTCTCGCTTCTAGTCGATCCAGGCACGTGGCCATTTCCAGGCTGCTCGCAGTCCTGCATATCGGTCATATCAGCATCGATAGTTTGTTCGATCACTAAGCGAGCTGAAGTGTCATCGGGTTCCCTGTCGAGATTGGAAGTGTTAGGGTCATAATCGTTCCTGTCGGAATGGCTGGAGTAACCGTCACTATGCCAGGGCTTGGCATTTTTGTTGTTGTTAGGGGTGAAGAGCTGAGTGTCAATAGGCACTGTGACTTCCTGCGAGTAAGCTGGTTGGCGTGGTACGGAGACTGCATCCTTCGTAAAACTCTTCATTGCGGCGGTTGCTACATCTGTATCAGTCGAGGAACGTGTGGGCTGACTGGACGTAGTTTCTGGATGCAATTGAGACGTAGGAGAAACTGAAGGGCCTGTTGATTGAGAAAGGATGGTTGTCAGAGCGTTGTTCTGGGCGGTTATTTGTGCTGAGATTTGTTTGAAAACATCTATCATTTGACGGGCCCATTCTGGGGTGACATCTGACAGTGGTAGTTCAGATGCCTGAGGTTCTTGTCGGGACCCATCTAGGGCATTCATGTCTATCATAAAGTTTCGGATTTCGTCCTCGTCGATGCTGTTCACAAACGGTATGTTTTTAGAGGCAGCTAGCTGACCCAGTAGCTCACGGACAGCCCTACTGTGTCGAGTAAGGTTCATGTGAAGTGACGAGTTTGCGTCAGCAGGCGTCCAGTACTTGAAGTCTGGATCAAAAAACTGAATGAATTCCCAAAGACGCAGAGTCTCCTTCCGAAGGGAGGCCTCGCCCTCATGTTTACGGAGAAAGTAAGTGTGAAGTAGCTGATAGGTTAGGCGTAGCTGTCGAACAAGCTCAGCATCGTGGTCGTTGTCATCAGGCATTGTGAACAGGGTGCGATATCGTCCAGTCCGGCCCGGACGGTGGGCGGGACGGATAGCCCGCCGTCCCCACGGCCCACTCGTTCATTCGGACGGTGAAGTGGGTCGTCCGGTTCAGTCGGACTGCTATCACGAGTCTTGGCGTAGTGTTGAGCGAAATAACTCGCCAACCCGCACCCCCGCGTCCCCCGCAACTCATCCGCCAGCCCTAGAGGGTCGATTTCAGGTAGGAAACAGGCCTCTCGCGGCTCAGCGAGGAGCTCGCGAAGACCAGCCAGCGATCGTTCACCCGTTCGCTCGTTGGCGCGCGCCCGAAGCCCTAGAGCTAAGCCAAGTTAGGCAACGCGGGGTGGCGTTTGCCCCTCAACACCATCAAATATTTGGTACGCGAGCAAAAATCAACGCCAATTCTACAACTACCGTCTGCCCGGCGTCCCCCTGAACCAAGCCCCGTCAGGACGAGACTATTCTTGGCGTAACGCTACGGAGACGGTCATGACGGTCCGCTAGCTAACCGCCCGCTTGTCCGGACCGACGGTGATGAGGCTGGACGATGCCGACCCCTGATTGTGAAGGGGTGCGCGATGTTGGACTTCGCTTTTTCGATGGAGTTGATGAATTGTTGTCTCCCTAACCGCCCGAAGGAGTTGAAAGAGGAGAGCGCGCTCGCTGCTAGAAGACATCCACTAACAGCCCGCTAGCTGGGAGGCGAGGCATGGAAGCCGGCTTCTGAAGAAGTTTGATGAGTACGGTTCGCTGGTTGAAGTGAGAATCGCGAATTAAGCTCGTGGCCGGTTTTGTACGTCGCTGATGCAGAGACTTGTTCCGTGAGCGTCACAGGCCAAACGCTTCGTGAAGTTGGTGGAGGAACAGGGCCTGAGTTGAAGGTGAGATGGAGTAGGAAGGTGCTCAACACTGCTTCGCACCTTCCGCACCAGCAGCAGCTGACTAACCCCCTCCATCCAGCCGCAAGCTCAACAGCATGCAAACCCCACCACCTAGACACATGTATCCAAGAGTTATATAGGTATTGCTCTAACGTGACGTAACATGGCGAAGTACATCCAACCGTCCACAAGAACCACTCACCCACCGACCCAACAAACCAACCCAACTCAACCCACTCAACCCAACCAAATCAAACAAACAACCCCATCCATTTTACCGCACCACTACCTACCTGCCTACAGCACCCGCCTAATTTCTCCCTATAAAGCAATCTCTCCCTCGTTCCATCCACAAACCGATCGACCTTTTTCCCTCCCTGCCTTCCACTCACTCATTCACATTCACGTTCACAATCTCGATCCCACCCACCACAAAGCCCACTCCATCCATATCCCCAAAAGAGTGACAACGACAACAAAGAAGATTAGCGCCCCAAACCCCGCATCAAAACCCAGCCAACAAGAAAGCGAGCGAATGAGAAAAAAGAGAGAAAGAAATAGAAAGAGCGAAGATAAAAGACCAAGAACTCCCAAAACGATCCTATCACATCAATCAATCAACCAATCAATCAATCATTGCCCTACCTCACACTACCTACACCGTGACGCCACCCCAAAACCCCATAAAAAAGCACGGCAAACACATCAAAAAAGCAAGCAAGCAAGTAAGAATCCATGACATTTTGCACAAGGTCGTTACATAGCGGCAGCAGCAGCAGCAGTAGCAGCAACAGCCTAGAAGAAGCCGCGCGGGCCCAACATTCGACGCCCGCCCCGCCCAAGGAAGAAGAAGATAACGAAGAAGAAAAATCGTAGAAGTAGCGGCAAAAACAACAGCAACGATAAAAGACACAGACAGGAGAGATGGAGTATAAGACCCGACCCGACCCATACCCGACCCAGAGCCAGACATAATAGGAAAACGAAGACAACAACAACCCCAAGCGTGAATATATATCCCCCGCTGCGCGTAGAAAAAGCCCCCTTCCCCCCATCGACAAAAACAACAACGACGACAGACAGACAGACAGCCAAACAGCCCAGGATTAAAAATACTACTTATGTATCATGTATGTCTCGCGAGACACAGATCCCGTGCCAACAGCGAACAAGAAAATATAACGGAGCTTCCAAAACCAAGAGAGAGACGACAGCAGGTTGCTTATGCGACCTCGACTACGCGGCCGGAGTCAGCAACGCGGTCCTGGACCGCGCCCACAAAAGCCGACACGGTCTGGAACAGCTGCGGCAGGCGGCTGCGCAGCATCGCGCCGAGGATGATGAGCAGGAGTGGGATCTGTGACGAAGTTGTTAGGACTTACATCCCCAATGGAATCAGTGCTGTGCATTGTGGTGGTGTTGACTTACCCAGATGAAGAACAGGTTCCGATCGCTCCGGATGCGCTTCAGCTTCTGCGCATGCGCGCGGCGCACCTGCTCCTGCTGCTCCCTCGTCACGACGGCGCCCTTGCCGATCTTGACGTCCAAGCTCTTTTTGCTGCCCGTCTCGCTCGACTCGCCCTCGGCCTCCGCTTCGTCAAACTCTTCTGTGCATCGCTGGTCGAGCAGAGCCTCAGCTGCCGCGGTTGCCGCTGATGTCTTCTTCACATCCATGTCCTTGTCTGCGTTTTCGGGGTAGATCTCCTCGTACGCCGGCGGCATTGACGGCGTGCTGAACAGATCTTTCCACCTGTAGTCGCTGCCAGATGTGGGGCGTTGCGTCTCCGTCTCATCGCTTGCAGGCGTGCCGCCAGGTGTTCTTGGCGGGCTGCGGTGCGGCACCAGGTTGCTGATGCGGCGCATCATCGGGTTGCCCTGGTAGCCGGGCAGGTTTGGAAGTGGCGGTAACGCTGGCAGCTGGATGTTTGGCAGGTTCCAGTGATTTGACATATTCTGCTGGAATTGCTGGATCTGAGCCTGTATGTTTTCTCGCCAGGCGTTCATGGAGGCAGCAACAGCGGGGGAAATCATGCCAGACTGGTCCTGCGGTTCTGCGGCTGGTGGCGCAAGTCCACGCGTGGCGTTGGCGTGAATACTGCTCCGACGGGATGTCGTCCATGCAGGGGAGGGGGGAGTAGGTTCCACCTCTTCAGAAGTTTCGCCTTCATCCTCATAGTCCGCCTCAGCAGAAGACTGACTAGGGCTCGATTCCCATAGGGAGTGAGTAGAAGCGATACTGCTGGCTCTGCTGCGCATAGAGTTGGATCCAGCACTGCGAGTTCTACGGTGCGACTTGACGCGCTGGAGAGCGTCCAGAACTTCCTCTGACCTGGCAAAGTCGGATGGCAGATAACCTTGCAGACTGCGCATCATCGGATCCGCACCCTTCAGTATCAGGCGACGGACGATCTGCGGGTGACTGTGCATGGCCGCCATCATCAGTGGAGTGTAGCCGCCGCGATCGCGGGAGTCAGGGTTCGCTCCTCTGGCGAGAAGACCGGCGACCACGCGGGAGTAACCGAGACTGCACGCCAACGAAAGGAACGTCGATCCGTTCTTGTTCCTGAGGTTGAATTTTGGCGCGTGGGGACTGTCATCCAAATCAACCAAGTCGAGGCACTTGAGCAACATCTCCTCGGTGCTCTGTGCGTTCAGGCTTACCATGTTGAGACCAGAGGCGGACCGTTGTTGCATGCCTCCTCCGCCACCGCCTCCGGACATAGCGGCTCCCCATCCCGATGCCATGTTGACAATCTGGCGAGCAAAACCACGGTAGTCGTCTGTCTTTGAATTCCCCGTCTGCTTCTGGCACAATATCCTCAATGCCAATTCGCAAATTCGCTGATCTTCATCGTCGACATAGATAAAGGTCGCGGTTTGAGCAGGGATTGGCGTCGTGGCATTGAATCCAGTTTGGCTTGTCGGGCGTACGGTAACAGGGACCGGTCCTGCATGTGCAGCTGGCGGCAAGAGGCAAACGAGAAGCTGGCTGTTCCAGAACGTTGTCGTCGTAGCGACTGTGTCTCCGAAGAGAATCTCCATATTCCGCGTGAAATTTGATCCTAGACAGGACACCTCGATGCCGCCCGATTTGGAGTACTCGCCAGGCGTGACCTTGTAAATCGAAGGGGCTGGGCCTTGCCGTTGCGCTTCAATCTGTGGCTGCATCATTGTCAATGGGTTGCCCAAGACATTGGGGACGCTGGCGGTAGGCGCGTGTTGGAAGGCGTTCATCCCGGATCTCTGAGCAAGGGTCGGACTAGGAGCCCGGCTGTGATGGGCCGAATTGGGCACCGAGTAGAAGTTGTAGCCAATGTTTTCCAGGCTGCCAGAGCGTTGATTGGGAGTGACGAGTCCGTTGTTGCTGCCAGGGGTGGGTGGTCCAGACGTGTACGGAGGCATGGCAATCGGCTGCATCAGGAAGGAGGTATCGTTTGCCGGCATAAACGAGCTAGTTGCAGGGACTGTCGTAGCCGGAATCGCAGAGGACAAACCGGCCGACTCCGGACCCGCCACAGGGCTAGATTGTGAGGTGCTGACTCGGGTCATTGTGAGTTCCCTTGGAAGTTTATGGTGGTGAGTAGAGCTGGATTTCCTCTTCTTGTTGGGCATGTTCTGGGTCGCCACAGGCGATGCCTGTCGCGAAAGATTTCTCGGCGTCATTGAAGTGGAAGTGGAGTGAGAGTGCCCGCCGGCCTGTCTGGGCGATGGTTTCGGGTTCATCCAAGTGTTCTGTAGCCCCTGTAGGTCATTTGTTGAATGGTATGGCCTGCGTTGGAATGCGGACTGCATATCAGGTTGCTCCGTAGGGGTAAGCAACGGGTTGGTAAACGGTTGCGACGGATCCATTGGCGGCATTCCGGCGGTTGTAGGTGGCGCGCCTTGTGTTTTGTGGTCGTCCGTGATCAGAATGGGCTGCGTCATTTCCTGAGCGACAACACGGCCCTGGTAGTCCTTGATGGTGAAAATCACACTGTGTGGAAAGCTGTCAGTAGCTTGTCCTTCGGTGCGAGCATATGGACTTACCGGAAACCGATCTTTTCGCTTTGGTGGCGACAGTAGCAAGCAATGCGCATCGGGACATCGATTTGCATCGCTCCAGGCGGGAAGGTGAAGCTGTTTGCGCCTTCAATGTTCTTCGTCGCCGTCGGCGGCTGCCACTCCTTGTACTCCTTGTCATTGAATACAATAACACGCTCGTACTCATATTCCGCCCATGCCTCTTCATCCTCTTGCTTCTTGACCCTCTTGCGCGCGGCGCGCTTGCGCTCGCGTTGAACGCAATTCTGACATATCCGTACTTCGCCGCCATTGGCTGGTTTGTCGGGATCGTCAGGGTCGTCATCAGGCTGATCTCCGGTCGATTGTCTCCGGGGCCCACTCTTGCGGGTGTTCGACTCATAGCTTGCTGCTCTGTGTAAAGCGCATAGCCTGAGATGATCCTTCTCCATAGCGCTGGCGCAAACTAGCGACGTATGCAATTCCAAGGTGTCGGGGTCCTTGATGATTTGCTTTGCGAGAAGCTTGGGTTTCGAGACCGTATGAGTTGGGAGATGGAGCTTAGAGACACCCGAAGGCAGCGGGTCTAGAGTGAGCTTGATGGTGATTTGTGTCTCGACTCTCGACTTGGACCCGTCTTGATGAATGTAGAGCCTGGCCGGTCGTTGCGACGCGTTCATGTTCGCCGGGAAAGCGATCGCTTCCGTACCCGGATACTGCATATTCGCCGTGGGCGAAAGCTCGGTCTGCCAAGGGTTGCCCTGGAAGGCGGTGCTCATCGCGGCGCTATTCCAAACCGGCATTCCTTGGAACATGTCATTGTTGGTATAGTTCGGCGACTGGCTGTCGAACATGGCGGCAGGAGAAGGCTCGGCGCTGCCAGTCATACCAGACATTGGCGATGGATCGCGCGAACCAATGAAGAAGCCAGTGCTTTTTGGGGCGGTGGAAGCCTGTTAAATGTTAACAACTATGGCTTTTTCATTTTCTGTCATCCCTTACCTGGCTCATATGGTGTGAATCCGTCTGATGCTCCAATTTGGCGGGAGTGACAGTCTGCTCGGGAGAACCAAAGCTGAATATGCCGGGGCTGCTCGCATTGCTGCCGAAGTCAAAGTGCGACGCCATGCTCTTGTTGATCGAGTCAACGTCCGGCTCCAGCTGCAGACCTTCCTGCGGTTCGCGCTTGACGAACATTGAGTCTCGCGCAGTCGATGACACGCCGTGCATAGAATCTTCCTTGTGCCAAGAGTTGCCAGCTTGTCCTTCGGAGCCGTCGAAGAGCACGGAAGGCGAGCTGTTGGACGACGTCATCTTCCGCTTGCGCCTTCCAGATGACTCTGAAGCGGAGTCCTGGCTCGAACTTTCGGGCGAGGAAGACGACATGGTGGATCGCGGTTGCAGAGTCGTGTGCTGCGCCAGGCCAGGAGTCTGCTCGCGGCGATTATGCAGGGTCTTTGCGGGGGAGGCGTAGCTGGTCAGGACGGCGTTGCCGGCGGCAGGCGAGGATATGAAGGCATCGGTGTTGAGAAATTGGTTGAAGTCGAGAGGCGTGTCTTGTGCGAGGGCCGAGTCGAACATGTGTTGGTCGTTGCCCCAAGATTCGGCCATGTCGGAGTCCATTATGTGCGGAACGTAGGAATCGTCGGTGGCCATGGCGATGAGTCGCACTCAGCGAAACGCGGGCGATTGTGCGAAAGCAGAATCGGCGGCGTTGATGGGGAGCGGCGATGTCTAGGCAGCTGAGGGGCGCACGGGTAGAAGAGCGAGGAAACGCAGATTGGTGGGAACTAGGATGACGACTACTGCAGCAGCATCGTCAGGGCCGGGAGGAGGAGAGAAGAAACAGGAGAAAGGCGACAGTTTCGACGAGGCGGTGTGGGGTATTTGGCGGGTTGTTGAGAGAGATAGAGACGTGGGATGTCGGCGGGCGGGTGTTGGTGGTGGTGGTGGTGGTGGTGAGGGTCGCGGCGGCAGGCCCAGCCAAGTCAGTTGCCTTCCCTCTCGACCCCAAGTTCGCAAGTTCGCAGTTCGCGCGCTTGACTAAGTCCCCGATCGGGTCACCGCCTTGCGTAGGATTTTGGATTTGGCCGAAGGCGGACGGAGATTTTCAGACCGGATGGACTCGCTCTCTCTCGCATTGGTGCCGCGCGCGCCTCTAAATAAAATCGAGGGATCGTCGAGTCGAGTGTCGCGCGGAGTAATACCCCCTCGCGCGCCGCTAACGACAAGCAGCAACCAGCCCTTTTGCAGCAGGGCGGCACAGCCCGCCTCTGTATGTAAGTATTGATACACCCGCCTTGCAACGCCCATTCCGCCCGCTGCCCGCTGCCCGCTGCCCGCTGCTGCCCGCGCCTAGGTAGCTGGCCCTGCCCGCACGCGCCGCATGTCCGCCCTCCGCTTGCACGCCTCCAGGTACAGTAGTTACTTCGTACAGTATCAAATACCTAAACTGCGACGTCTGCTCGGCGGCAGGGCTCTGGGCAAGTCCGCTGCATTAACCACACCACACCACGCATGATCCGAGCAGGGAACAGCCAATTGCCACTCCCACTTCTTCCCTCCAAATGCGTCCCAACTAGGCAGGGCTGACGTATCCTTGCAGTGGTGCAAACTTCAACGCCCTCTCCTCCACCTCCGGAAAGAGTGGATGGTGGCTGATATCTCTGCCGTGTCCTTGGCTCCCGTCTTGTTCTCGCGCCATCCCCCACCTGGCGTCCTGAACATCCCGCATGTGCGTCTGCGGCTGTCGATAACAGCGCAACCCAAACGCAATTCATAACATAAAAGCTCCCGCGCGCCCACAGTATCTGTTTGTAACCCATTGTCGCCGTCCAGAGCTAGCCGCCTCAACAAACGTCGAAATCCCGCCGCCATGGTAAGCCAAATTTCGCTCATCTAAAAGTCCAATCAGACTTGCGGGCGCCCCTCCGATGGGCTCTTGCACCACTCAGATCAAGTCTTCCGCTCCGCCGCCAGCGGGCCGGCAGCCTGGCTTGCGGCTTACCTTCCATGACAGCCAGGCAGCCTACAGCCAATGGCACCATCCGAGGGGTCGGCCTTCCGCATTGGACGACGACGACAGCAACATGCGTTCCTGCGCGCCTCGCACCCTCAGGTAAATTGAAAGATAAGAAAGCTTGTCCGCGTCGAAACTTCCATCCAACGCTGTTCATTCCTCGACTGATAAGCACTCTCTCGACGTCGTGCGCGTCGCCGCTTCCGGGCATGGCCATTTCCCGACCCCTCGTTTGCGAGCCGCACCTCGACCCCGCAGGGAACGAGCATCGAGCAGCAGCATGACGACGTCCGATCCTTCTCCGCAACCAGCGGCGCAGCTCCGAACCGTCTCCACCACCGCAGCGCGAAACGTGGCCAACAGAAGAGGTCGTCGTCCTCATGCGCGTCGTCCTCTTCCTTCGCCCAAGAAACCGGACGAAAATCGGACAGGGTCCCTTCGCTCTGACGCATGGCCTCTTCCTCGTTTCGCTCTCTCGCGCATGACCCACTCGCCTCGTCGGCCGCGTGATACACTGGCGCTAGAGAGATGGGCTACGCGTGGCAGTGCTGGCTGTCTGGGTGCGGTGTCGTGCCGCCACGTCTCTTAGAGGCCGTCGTCTGTCGAGAGCAGATGTCGGCATCGGCCCGACTGCCAGATTCCTTTCGATCTGTCGCCGTGTGGAGCAAGCAGCGTCTGCAGCCAGCGGAATCCGACCACATGATAAAAAAGAAACATATTTACTGACAATGCAGCGTAAGAAAGCATGGTAAGTGGTACTTTGGCTCGTGGTTTTCCTTCTCTCGTCTCCGTCTGCCATTCCTGCGGTTTCTAGCACGTCGGCCCACGCTGCACCACGACACCACACCACACCACGCGCATATAAACCCAATGACCACCTCTACCAAGCACATACGACCATAGGTCATAGAATGCAAGGCATCCCGTCCGCTCTGCCAAATTTAAGCTATGAACCGGCTGATTAGTAGTTAGGTGGGTGACCACTAGCGAATCCCAGCTGTTGTATGTTTTTATTTATTATTTTTATTTATTTTTGGCATCCACGAAGAGCACATACATACCTAAATTATCTCCTGCCGCAGGGCCCATATTTTTTTGCGCAAAAAAGCAAACATTCATGCACCATGCATGCCATCCCAAACCCCTCCCCTCCCCTTGCCGTGCTCGCCCTCGAAATCCAATGCCAATCCCCAATCCCCCTCCTCCGCAAACACTGGGGCAACTCGGCAAAAAAACCAGAAAGCGCGCCAGCGAGCCGCACCGCGTCGCACCAGCCCCTAGTCACGCGTAGTCTACCGCTGCCACACTGCACGCACACACACACTGCACACACACACGCAACACGCACACGCTCCCACATCCCCGCACCAGAAAGGAGCCGCGCTGCAGCAGGAGGAAGAGGCGGCGGCGAACTCCTTTCCTACAGCGCTCTAGTGCGCACTGCCACCGTGCTCTAAGTATGTACCTGCTACGTAAGTGTGTACATACAAACGCTACGCCCATGACGCCTCGCTGCAAGAAGTGGTCTTGCAGTCTTGGTGCCATGCAGCTTGCAGCGGGTTACGAAGTGTAAGAGAGACAGAGTCAGCGAGTGCGTGGCCGCGTTTCGCTCGCGTCCGAGCTCCGTGCGTAGGTGCTGGTGCGCGGACGCGGCCGATCTCCCGCACGATCGGCGGTGCGCGGACCCCGCGCGCGAGTTGCGAGGGCAGAACAGGGCAGGGGGCCTCTGCGTCGAGCGAGCAGTTGGCAGTAACTACCTAACACAGTACAGATATAGCTACATAAACTAGCCGCGATGGCGACAAGCGACTGAAAACGCTGCCGCCTGTTGGATTGCGTGCCCTGAGACTGAGTGGGGGTTCGTTGCTCGTTGTTCGTTCGTTCAGACACAGACATGCAGCGTCGAGCGGGCGAGGAGGGGAAGACGACGACGGGAGGAAGAACACGGGACGGGGCAGACGATGCGGAGGCGTGGCGGGGCGAGCATTGGTGCTATAGGTACCTATGGATACAGGGGATTTGATATAGGTGGGGCGCGGTTTCGCTTGTAGAGGCTGGCGGGAGGGGAGAGGGAGGCTAGAGGCTAGATCGGAGCGGAGAGCCGCGTGTGTGGTGTGCGCGGCGGGGGGAAGGTCGGGTGGTGGGTGCTTGCAGGGTGGGTTGTGGGTTGCTGTGGGGGCGGACTGGACTGCTCCATGCTTGTCGAGTCGAGTCGAGAACGCGAACGCTTGATCCCCGCGCTGCTGCTGGTGCTGGCAGTGGCGGTCGCGGACGCCGGTGCTGATGTCAATTTTCAATGCCTTGGTGCCTACCAGGTAGCTACTCCTAGCTTAGGGAAGGAGGAGGAGGCTGTATGTTGCTGTCTTGTTCGGCGCCTGCGCTGTCTCTCTACCTACCTATGCACCTAGGAGTACACTATCTCCCCGCCATCCCACTAACCCCCCCATCTGCTCATCACTCCACGCCCCTCCCTCCCTCCATCCATCCCTAACCCCTCACCTCTCCCCGCGCCGCACCGCGCAGCGCACCGGTGATCTCCTCGGCTGCTACGCAGGCCAGATCGCGCAGCGCCGCGTCCGATGCCCGCGTTTGGCCGTCGTCCTCCGTCCGCCCGGCCGGCTGCGAAGCCGATCACGCGATTCCGGCCCCCATGTGCTGAAGTCGGTTGCGACGGCTTGCCCGGGGTACGGGACGAGCCGGGTTGGGCGTGTGTGCTGCTGCTTCTGCTGCTGCTTCTGCTGTCGTTGCGTTTTTGTTTTTGTGATTTTTCTTGTCATGGGGGAGAGAGTTGTGCTTTGTGTGCGTGTGAATTCAGTATAGGGACAGTAAGATGGGAAGCTGTGTGGTTTGGTGATGGGCAGTGATGGCGCCTGCAGCATTGTGCTGCTTGGCTTCGTGCGTGATGCCCTGCCCTGCTTCTGCTCTCTGGTAGATGGAGGCAGTAGAGCACTTCGCCATCGTGATTCAACGCACTCGGCGCTACCTCCAGGACCACTGTTGCCCCGTCCTATCTACCCTCTTTCTCTGTATATACCACACTATTCTCATCCAACCATAACTTACGCCCCACTGAACGACAACAACCAAACCCCTCACCGCGGACGCTGAGCGGCAGACAACGAAAAAGCAGGAGAGTCCGGCCGCGCCATCGACTCCGTGGGCGACAACTGCGCGATCGAATGCAGCTCCAAAGAGCCCTGCATCGGGGATACAGGCGGCGAGGGCGAGGCCGAAAGAGAGCGTGTTTGACGTATCGGGGAATACGAACGCGCCCACGAGGGGCTAGGGCTGGGGGCTCCGTTACCATTGCTGCTACTGCTGCTGCTGCTGCTCTCGTCCCCGTTGCCATTGCCGTGTAGCGAGGACGCCAGGACAGTGTGTCCTTCACTGCTTGCGAGAACGGGTTTTCCGGTGCCAAGATGTAGAGGGTCTTCATCCTCGTACGGAGCGTGGTTCCAGTCCTGCTGCACCATCTCCTTCCCGACATCGATGCCCCACCGCCAACCGCGCTGCTGGGCGGACTCTTGGCCTTGCTCGTCTGCGGCAGCGTTCTGCACCCGCCACCAGCCGAGGCCGGCGCGCTCGCTCCTCCAGATATTCGAGTCTGCCACGCGTGTGGCGTGCTCCTCGCGTAGCCGCTGCACCATGGAGCTGTTAGCCAGGAACGAGATCCGCGCCGCGATGCTGTCTGGGTCCTTTGGCAGGATGGAGCGGCTGGGGAAGCGGAAGCAGATCCAAAGGATGCAGCAGAGGACGGCAGCAAGGAGTGCTTCCAGCACCACGGTCGTGTGCAGGTCCTGCTGGACGTATTCGCGGCGTTTGAGGATTGTTCCGTTTACATAATCTAAGGATCCCCAGCGCTTGATAGTAAGGCCCAAGAGAGGCCGCAACTCCGTGAGCATTTGCGTCGAGTATGCTGTGTACATGGCTTCTGCTGCAGTGGCTAGCTGGTCGGGGTCTAGGAGACTGCTAATGTTTTTGTTGGTGTATTCGGCGTATACAGCCAGGAGCTGGAAAAAGTTTAAACTGCTTCCGGGGGATGGCCATAATGAGTTGCTATGGAGCCCAGGTGTTTGTTGAGTAGTTATGGCTTTCCCATAGTTGAATATATCCGGAATCGAGGTTTGAGATCTGAAATCGAGCTCCAACGGGGTTTCGTCGAGGGTATATTGGTATCCATATTTAATGGAAGCATGGTTGAATTGTGACGGTCTCCATGAGTACACGGATGATCCGTTGATTTCGGAGTTGGTAACTTGGGTGAAGGTTGCGTTGACATCAACCTGGGTTAGGTTCCTGTGGCATGCCACTGCCCTCAAACTTGGCGAGGATACGTTGAGTGTTCTGGGGTCGACTGCTCCACTAGTCTCATTGCACTCCTGTGGAAATTCTGAGATCATCAGCCCTTTTACGTTCGAAAAGTCGCTTAAAAATACGTAAAGGTCGGTGTCGTTGACGAATATTTCTCCTTCATATGCGAATGGAGTCATTTTACCACGGAGTGTGGGAATATACCAGTTCATATCCCACGAGAAATCCAGAGTCTGGTTGCAATGGTTATTCGAGCAGCGGAATGCGAATGTGTAACTGTCTTCGTAATAGGTGCCAAAGCAGGCTAGGGCATCAAAGTCGGAAGGAGCCACGCTTGTGCATTTGACATCCGCGGCTATCGCAGGAGCTATGAGATCGATTTCGTCGCCAGGTTTCGTATCCCTAGCCGCATCAGAGTTCACAAGCTTATGGATATCGCCAAAAACGAGGTTTTCGAGAATACCCGGTCGCTGTGCAAGACCTAATGAGGGTGTGTTGATCCATTCTGTGAACTGTGCCGCCCGTTCTTGGAGGCTATCCAGATCGGTGGCCCTGTATATGTCGCTCCAGTCATTCAAAAGGCCTTTGTCTAAGTTTATTCTGATATCTGCTGACGTGGTGTCATACGCTGTTGTATAAAGCCCAGCTGCCACAATTTTAATGACCGGTAAGCAGATAAGCGCCAAGGATGAAACCGCGACTGCGGGGCCAGCTTTGCTGGTGATAGCCTTGAATGGGACCCACAAGGCTGGAATATCTCTGAAATTGAACAGAAGTGGCTGTCGCTTGGACCCTCTTCGGAGACTCATGTATGGTGTTGCCGACCTGACAGCGCCATCCAATCCCGAGGAAGTCCAACCAAGGAAGACCAATATCAAGGTAACAATGTAAGAGACTACTGTCAACGAAGTGACATCGTTCCTACATATTCCGTGGTTCTTACTTGACAAGCCTTGCAGAACAGCCAATACTGCCATGGCTATGAAAAAAGCGATGATAATTCCAGCTTTAGCAGGGGCTCGGAGAGCAATTGGATACCAACCAGCATGGTCCTGTGGTGAAGATGCGTCTTCTAAACCAGATTCCGTTTTCGAGCAAACAGCTTGTGAGGCTGGCAGTGGCGCAGTGCTCAGTCCAATTACAGGAACGTGGTCAACTCGCTCTGTTTCGAGTTTGCATCGTGTTATAGCTAACCGTTTCTGCATGGATTTATTATCCGATACAGAAAGGGGTATGAATTCCCGTTCTAAAGGGGCACCCGAAGCAGCCAGTGTAAGCGCCGTTGCAGCAATAGGCCCGGGGTCTTCTTTAAGAATTGTCCGTGGCCTGAGGAGAGTGGCCTGAAGGATACTTGAAATGCCAATTATGGCAAGAAATGCCTGGAGGATGCGGAGTGAAACATGTTGTACTTTGATCCGAGGCTGGATTGTGGTGACCGATCCTTTTAGAGGCTGGGTTTCGTTGACTCTGGTAAATGCGCTTATAACTTGCGCCATTGTTCGGCTTGCAAGCCATTCCACTTCAGTCTGGAAAACAGTTGAGTTTCGCAAGTACCCTTTCATCATTTCGTCAACTATGCCGTTCGCCAACACTGTGAAGAATGAATCATCGTTATAGTTGAGTAATCTACCCAATTCCGTTTTAATAGTGTCCATGGTAATGGGTGGGTTTGCTGTCCAGGGGTCCACGTCGAGTACTGCTGCTTGGAAACGTGCTGAGGTAGGATTGTTGAGGTAAACCCAGATAGCTTCCATAGGAGTTTGGATGTCAAAATCTTCTGCACTTGACAGATCAGTCATGTAATTTACGACTTTTCCCGAGATTTCATTCGCTTGGACCACGGCGTTTTGAATGGTGAATTTAGGGGAACAAATCAGTCCAGCCATCGAGATATTGTTTCCTGATATTGTACTCTCTGGAAACACGGGTGGCTCATGTGTAACGCCGTCTATGGTATCTGTGTCGTATGCAATTGTTGCAAGGAGTCGAAGGTCTCCATGGTCTTTGGAACAAGCGGTCAGATTAAGCCAAGCTTTCGAATCATGCCAAAAATCCGTAACGTTTTGGACCACTGGGAGTGAGCAACCTGACTTATCCACACTCCCTGGATTTGCTCGAAACTCAAAATCGTCCCAACCAGAATTCTTTCTTTTCGAGGAGTATTGCAATTGATGACATTCCCAGGTGGTGGCCAAAGATGAAACCTTAGCCTCGATGATTTTATTTCCAGTTGAAGAGCCGGGTCCACGATTGAAAGATTCAAAGGCGTAATTATCGCTGGTCCAGGGTGAATACTGCTCTCCGGTAAGTTTCTCTACAGCCACCGCAGCATACGGCCGGCTGTAATGACCCAGCTGAACAAATGGCAATGGTAACGTCCCATTTGTGTCGAGAAGGGTGCCGTTGAACTCGAAGCGAGATGATTTCTCCAGATCTGCTTTTTCTGACACCGTGGCTGAGAGGTCTGTGTAAGTCAGAGAGTTGGCTGCGGTGACCAGGACGCCGGAAAGGAACCCGACAACAAGCCCCATGAATATAGCCCAGTGCCTTCTTTTTGCCGATGTAAAGACCGATATAAGTTCGAGGTTACCGATGTAGTTCAGCAGTATGGAGTCCGAGGCAGTTGCCCACTTTTCGCTCATCCTCGACCAAGGCACTATTTTCTTAAGATCTCCGACCAGATATTTCCATAGGAAACCTATTGAAACGGCCAAAATTGTTGGTATGTATCTTATAAGTCGAACCAGGTTTAAATTTTGGGTAGAGATTCCTTGGTTCTCCTCAATTTTTTGATCGACGGCCTCAAGAGCCGCAATAAAAATAAAACATAAAAAGGTGAAAGGGATCGCGCGAGTCTTCCTCAATGCCTCCGGAACCCACTCGGCATGAGAACGAGATATCGAAAGTCGGTCATGGTGCGGAGACGGCATTTGCTCGCTGGTGAACTGTAAACTTTCTTCTTCTCCTGAGATGGCATCAGCATTGAACTGAAATACTTGTATTGGCATAACCAAACCTACACTGAAAGCTCATCTAGTAGGTATGAAGTGTATGAAGGCACAATGTCTGGGTGAACGGTAAGCGGTGCGGGTACTTGTAGCTGAATTTCTTCAGCCTCGTCGGTCAAGTAGTACTATTCTAGGCGCAGGCAACAGTGCTGCAGCATACAGTATGTAAATCGCTACCTGTTTTGAGCACAGGCAACAGCACTACAACAAACACTCGTAGTCAACGGTTAGCGTAAATATGCATCCGTAACATGGGGGATACTTTGTTTTTAGAAGGCTCTCTGATTGGTGAAGGTATCGGAGAATGCATTCATCCAGTAGGAACAAGGTGATATCAAAGTGATTACAGAGCCCTTGGTGGTTGTAAAGCGTACCTATGCACCCTCGAGGGTGCATGGAAGTGCGTAGACTGACGTGAGAACTCTGCCTTGCAGCAGTCAGCAAAAGTCCACACGAGGGTGCACCGCCATTATTCTCCGGAACAGCTACCGAAAGAAATGTTCCGTTCCTTGTCCTGCTCTTCAAAGTAAACAGGGATAACGCAGGGGGGTCCACAAGAATACCACCTTGACCGCCTCTTCTTCCTTTCTATCACCACGCTGTGTCCCGATACCTACTCAATAGACTCGCCATTTCTGGTGATGGTTTGTTGTTTTACCTCATGGTTTTACTCTCAAATCTGTAAAGTTGTAAGAGAAAAGTTGATATATTCACTCACGCCATTCGGAGAAAGTAACCGGTAGTTATCTGACAGTTAGTAAAAGAGCAACAGTAAAAGCAACTGGACATTTCTTTTGTCAGCTGTCTCCAGAAAGTGCTCTCATGACTTCAAAGCGTAGATAGCAAGCATAAGCTGACGAAGAAATGCACGGCCTCACACCCACACCACGTGATCACCAAAAACGGAAACTCACCACCCTGAACCCTACCCAACTCCACCTTTTCCTCGCAGCCAAGAGGCGCAGAAGCCGGCTTTGCGCATTCCGTTTTAGTCTCCGAATCGAACATGTGACACGCCGTTTCAGGCACAAAACAACTCTCACCCGGTCGCTGGCTGTTGTTTCAGCGACCAATGCAAAGCACCAAGTGCTACAGCTCCGGCTTCAAGCTCGAACATGGTGTGATCTGTCCGCAGACCTTCCGTCTCTATTCCCGGACCATTCGCAGGGACGAAACGTTTTCGAAGCTCGCTGCCAGTCCCAGTTCTCACGCCATGGCTCTCACGCTATCCGCAAGACCTCTCCCTTTGCTTCACCGCAGCACTATTGTTGTCGGAACAGAAGTTTAACGTCGAAGGTCAGGAAACCGTTGCAGCATTACTGCTCTGGTTGCCAGTGGTCCAGAACGTGGATGCTTCTCCTTGCCCGTTGAGGGCGGTTTATCCGAGACGAAGCAAAGACCAAAGGTTGGGTCCTTTCGACACAAATCTGCCGACAATCTGCTCCTACCTTCCACGCAACTCGGACACCATGAGGTCGAAGACCGTAATCTTATACTCCGATCGTTTGATAAGCCTGCACATAGTGCCTGGTCTCAAAATCAACGACATACCAGCTGTAGGCACGTCGGAGTGGAACGAGGCCGTTGTGGAGTAAGCCCAGGCACGGACTCCGAGTTCCGCTCCGAGTTCCGCCTACACCCTGCTTATGGGAAACCTAGTAATTCTTCGACGGGCCGGTCCTCTTCTCCATTTTGTCTCGGCTGCTGCAATGGCCCTTTGCTTATTAAGTTTTGGTTGAGATATAGACTCTTCTATTTCTCCGATAGTCTTCCAGGTATATTTGGCCTCGGAATTGCAGCCGCCAGATACGAAAGAGTGGTGCTCTTGGCAATAGTTGGTTCATTCGGCCTACACGAACTCGTATCGTGGGGGCTGGTTCATGGCAATTCGACTTAACCATGCTTTGAGAGGCTATGGGTACTTGTTGTCACCAAAGCTGCCGCACATGGTGACCGGAAACATTCTTTGCTGATGCATGTAGTGTGGGAGAAGTGGGAATATGAATGGAAAACCGCTCGATTGTCATCGGCCAGTAACCAAGCGTAAAATTGTGGCAAAGCAAGCCAACGAAACGAAGGAATGAAACATCTTTGGTAGCGACAGCGTCTGCTGTTGCTTCCAGTGGTTGATGCGTGAGGTGAAGTTCTTTCATTCGCAGTTTCCACTTGCGAGGAATCCAGATGTCAAACTGTTCGAAGAGAAGAACTGGAACCTACTACTGTACAACTCCTAGCCATCGGTGCAAGTTCGGCAACGTGGACTGCTCAGGAGGTCATCAGCTCGACCAGCAATCCTGTCCTTTCGTTGTCTTTCTTTCGGACTCTACGTAGTAGTCTCCAACAAGTTGCCTTCGGATCTCGGCTCTCTCCGGCCGTATCCACTGTTCCATCCTTTCCACGGATAGAAATACAATGGGGGCCAGGGCGGCACGGCGGAGCAGTCGATAGGCTTCTGGAATCTCCTTAGCAACAAGTGCAGACTGCAGACGGACATTGCAGTGCAAAATGCCGCAGGGCGGAACAAGACAAACTCGCAGAGGCACAGCTGAAAGTCCGTAGACGCCGAGGCGCTTCCCCACATGGCTTAATGAGAGCCTAAGCGAAGGTAAGCCAACTCACCCCTCACGGTAACGGCATAAGCCGTAGTTACGTGCCGTAGCAACGGCAAATGACCGCTGTGGCGTAGGCCACGGACGGCGGGCCTCATGCAGCGAGGGCGGATGGATCACGGCGCCAAACGGCAGGATCTATATTGGAGCGTCGCTATGATAGCGACGATGCCGCATACGGCCTGACCGACGGCAGCAGGAAGCGAGTGGACAAATCGGAGGCTGGCCAGGGCGTCAGGGGGGCGCAGCTAAGCCTTGAGCATGGACAGGGGCCGATCCGGACGATTGGTGGGTTTTCTTTCTAGGCTCCAGGCTGGCGGCTCCAAGGCTCGTCGCCGCAGGGCAAGTTGGTGAAAGCTTGTCGCGCGGTTCGGCATGCTGAGATTAACTGCAGAGGCCACACGTGGGAGCACGCACAGCGAGAGAGGCCGATGCCGAAGATCCGGACCTGGCAGTTCGGGCTCGGCCGTAGGGGGAGTGAAACAGATACGGCCATATGAGCTTTGGATATAGTGCTTCGGCGGGGAGGTAGGTGTTCGCGACGTTTCAGCAGGAAGGAGGCTAGGCGAGTTCGGGTGTTGGCGGCAGGGGTTAAGCGAGCCTGCCTCATTTGGGGCCGATTGGGGCTGCGGCTCCATTCTGCTCATGCCCCACCCGAGTCCACTGTCCACCTTCGCCATCGACGGGCGGATCACAACGATAATCACCACCAGGGGCGAAAGAGCTTGGCATGCCGATGACGGGTCGCCTGTCAAAACGCCTAGAGCCTCGACACGCTCCCTCCCTTTCATCTCGTCAATGCACGCCATTGTGTTCTGGGCGGCCATGCCTGCGCACATCACCGATAACTTGTCCCTCAAGCGGTCAACCTCCGAGACCGCCGTAGCCCTGCCCCATCCCGCTCACCAGAGCTGCCCCGAGCCATCCATGAATCCATTCCTCTGCGCTTGCATGCTCATTTCCGCCACGCCCAAGCGCCGGGCGATATGGCGCCTCGAAGCCTATACTGCCTGCTGAGAGTTGAGTATATAGCCGCCCGCTTTCCTTATCCATTTTCTTCTTCACCAAGACACACTTTCTCTTGCAATCCAGTCCATTCTTTCCGGTCTCCGACCCCCCACATTCATTCCTACAGATCAATTCTTCACTGCGTGAAGCTGGGATCTTATCTGCTTTGACAGCATCAACTCTTCCATTCAGCCAAAAACCAACCCTTCAAGTCTTTTCCGACAAGCAAACAAAATGCCTTCCATGATGAAGTCCGCTGCTCTCTTCGGCGCTTTCGCCGCCTCCGCCATGGCCCACGGTACCGTCTCCGGTATCGTTGCCGACGGCACCTACAGCCAGGGCTACAACCCCTCCATGCAGTACCAGAGCCCTGCTCCCAAGGTCGTCGGCTGGTCCATCCCCCAGGACCAGGACAACGGCTTCGTCGCTCCTGACGCTTACGCCGATGCCGACATCATCTGCCACAAGGGCGCCACCAACGGCCAGGCCGTTGCCGACGTCAAGGCCGGCGGCACCGTCGACTTCCAGTGGACCACCTGGCCCGAGTCCCACCACGGCCCCGTCATCACCTACATGGCCAACTGCGGTGGTGACTGCACCACTGCCGACAAGAAGACCCTCAAGTGGAACAAGATTGACGCCAAGGGTCTGATTGACGGCTCCAGCGCCCCCGGCACCTGGGCCACCGACAACATGATTTCCAACAACAACACCTGGACCACCACCATCCCCGACAGCATTGCCGCGGGCCAGTACGTCCTCCGTCACGAGATCATCGCCCTCCACAGCGCTGGCCAGGAGAACGGCGCCCAGAACTACCCCCAGTGCGTCAACGTCAAGGTCACTGGCTCCGGCACTGAGGACCTCAGCAGCACCGGTACCCTCGGTACCGCGCTGTACAAGGCCGACGACGCCGGCATCAAGATCAGCATCTACTCTTCGCTGTCCGACTACGAGATCCCCGGCCCCGCCATGTGGACTGGTGCCTCTTCCGGATCCTCCACCGCCGCCACCACCAAGGCCGCCGTCGCTGCCTCCTCCACCCAGGCCGCCACCAGCACCGCCGTCGTCGCCGCTGAGGCCACCACCGCCGCCGCCACCACCGCTGTCGCCTCCGCCTCCGCCGTCTCCAGCATCGTCGCTGCCCTCCCCTCGTCGGTCCTGAACCAGGCCGTCACCGCCGTCCCCACCGCCACCTCCGTCGTCACCCCCTCCAAGGAGCTGCCCGCCAACTTCACCGTCAAGGACCTCCTCCAGTGGTTCACCTACACCATGGAGAGCCTGCTTGCCTCTGACCGCAAGCACGCCCGTGACCTGTCCTCCAACTAAGCGGCTGGCTAATGGGTGCGAGAGGAGAGGCTAGGTTTTCGCCCTAGACAAGACTTTTCTCCCTGCAAACGAATGATAAGTTTTCTCGGCTGTTATGAAAAAAAACAAAAAAGAGTCGCGATTGCTCGTCTTCTTTTCTTCTTCTGCTTCTTTATTCTTGTATTAAAGGATTTGCAACTTTTTGTGTGTTCTAGCTAGTTCGTGGTCAGGCAATTGTACTACACTGTTGTCTTCATTTTGCTGCTCCCCTCTTTGGACTGTGATGATGGTGATGATTTTGCTCTTGCTCGTGCTTGCGCTGCTGCGATGAGATGAGATGGGATGGGATGAGCGGTGCCAGGGGAGCGATGACGACATAGGCTGCTTCCCTGCTCTACTATGTAGCCTCTCTGCGCGTGGTGGGGCTTCTAGCCCTCGCCCTCGCCCCTCCTGTCTGCTGGGGCATAAAGCGCGCAACGGGAGTGGGGGACTACCAGGTGGCGAAATTTAACGGCCCGTGCGCCGCGGCCTTTGTCTGGTAGTAAGACATTCATCTGCCTTGTCTTGTCGGAGTGGGGTAGGTACGTAGTGTACTATAAGCGATCGCTGCTGCTGTAAAGTCTAAACAAGATGTCTTGCTTTGCATGAGGGGCCCGCTTTTTGCTTTTGGTGGGCTTGCTTGCTTGCTTATGTGCGTGGGTTGTTGTCTGTATGTTGTTTGTATGTATGTTGTGTGTATGTGCTTGCAGGTTTTTCGCTGTGCGGTGGTATGGGTGTGGGCTTGCTGGGGTGGTGGGGGAGGGGTGTTGACGTCGTCTGGATGCGTGCGCGTTTCGCGTGTTTGAGCTATCTACCTAGATACCTACCTATTTAGGTAGGTGGGTGGGTGAGGTGCATACGTACTCCTACGCCTACGTTCGGAGACTTCGTTTCGTCGTTTCGCCGTCGCACTCACGCTCCGTCAGGGCTATGGTGCTGGCTGTGCTGTCTTCTCAGCTCTTTGCTCAGCACTTCCATGCCATTTCCACTTAGTTTAGGAACGCGCTGGCTGACCTCGTCTGCAGGTTCTTACTGGCTTTAAATGTGCCTACGGCTTCATGTTAATACGGCTTCATATTAGTATTCGCCTCTCCTTCCGCTGAAGACACGTGGATGCGCTACTAGCGCCCCTGAGGGGGAAGAAAGCTTTGTGTGTTTTTTATCTTCTCCCTACCATGGGAGGGTATGTTGCCAATAGGACACATAAGCGGAGGGCTATAAGGGGGAACACGGCAAATACTCACTAACCCACCTACGTACCTGCGGACGAGGCGGGACCGAGCCGGCCCGGACTGGCCCAGACACGTACGTCTTGACGACATAACACGCAGCCTTACCTAGGTAGGTCTTCAACGTCAATTACCTACCTACCAACGGCTCAGCGTCGAGGTTCCTCTGGCCCGCAGTCGCAACCACGAGCCCACAGCATGGACGGCACAGTATTTCCAGATGCGAGCAGGCGTCAGCTTGTGCACATGGAAGAGCTGGAGATACCAGAAAGACTCCTACGCGAGCTCAACGACAGTAACAACGACAACGACAAAGGCTCGAGCTCTCGGCCTCGCTGCGTGAGACGAGCGTCTACGTCTATGGTATACACGAGTGTATTTATACACGCACCTATAACGCCAAGCCTAGGTAACCACATGTTGGACCAGTTGCGGCAATTTGCGCGTCGAGAGTGGTACTGCCGCCCCCATTCGAGGGCTGTAATGATGTTACTGTGCTACCAGAGTTGGCGCTGAGAGACCTATGCGGCTTGGCGGCGGGACGAAAGGAGCACGGAGGGGAAGAGGCTGAAAAAGAGACGGAAAAGGAGATGGAGGCTAGCTTTGCCTCGTCGGCCAAGGCCATCTATCTCTGAAGCCGGCGAATATGCGTACCGGCGACCACGACGCGATGCCGCGCCGAAGATTGGAAGTGTCGTCTGTACACGAAGCATGCAGCACGGCTGGAACGATCTATTCCGCGCAAAAGAAATCTCGCACCGACGACGCTCGCCAGCCAACGACTCCTCGCTCGTCGACGCAGGGAAATGGCGCAGAACGACGTGTCAAGACCCGCGTGCATGGCTCTTGGGCGAGACAGAGAGCACCATCCGCAGCCAGCTCCTTTAGCCGCGGCGACGACGACGACGACGACGACGACGACAGCCGAACCGACGGACAGACGGACGAGCGGTAAGAGGCCGAAAGCAAACTCATGCGACGTCGCAGGTCCGACGGATGAGAAAAACAAGTAGGTAACGCATTACCTGATTGTAAACAAGGCCTCTCCGCCTGCCACCTCGATCTCTTGGCGGTCGGACAGCCTACTCCTGCCAAGCGTCCGCCCTCGGCCAAGACTTGGAGAAGCCGCCGCGGTGTCGCACAGAAAGCAGGTCCGACGGCGTCCCTTGCCTTAGTGAGTGCTCAGCAGTAGCTTGGCGGGCCTGAAGTTTCCGCTGCGAGCGGGGCTTGGCAAAGGGGCCCCTGGCTTTGCGCGACGGAGGGGTGGATGCGTCGTAGATGAGTGCCAAGAGGAGGGGGGCTTGCGTTGTACCGTGGATGGGGGAGGAAGGAGACAGATATGCCAAGCCCTTTGCGGCAGCCAAGGCGGGAAATTGGGAATTGAAATATAGCGCTCGCTGGCGGTCGTGCATCGAACAGCGAACAGCGAACAGCGATTGTCTCTGTCGACGAGGCAGGCAGACAGATCTACGCAATTGGCGGTGCATCGCCGACGCTGCGTGCTCGGAAGTCCCCGCAAGCCGCGCTCGTCACTGCCCGTTGGGCGCACGTTGAAGGCGTGCGATTGGATTGACGCTATCGGGTCGAGCGAGGGATTGCGCGGTGATCCATGCTTCTCTAGCGTCACTGCTGCCGGGCAAGGGCGCTTTAGCTTTGCCTCGGACTCGACAGCGACGACGTCGACTACGACTACGATGGTGATGATGATGATGATGACGAGAAGAAAGTGTGACTATTCTCGCATCATGAGACTACCTAGAAACACGCGCACAAGCTGGGAGAACAAGGATAGACATGGAAGAGGCGGGCGGTCGAGGGCCGAGCTTGGGGATATGCAGCGATCCCCCGCATCAGGCTCTAGCGCTACGCGGGATCTGGAAAAAAGCCCACAATTCCCGCGCGTTAGTTACCGTTTGTTACCCGCACCCTAGCGCAACATCATGAGACCTTTGAAGAGTGAAGAGGGCCGGAAGCCGGAGTTGGGCTGCAGTGCAGGCGTGATCTCGCATGGCAGCTGCCGTGGTTTCCCAGGAATGCCGTCTGGCGCAGGAACGGAGAATGCGCTGCCCACGAGCTTCGTGAGCAAGCGAGACAGGAAAAGCCTAAAGCGCATGCAGTGTATTATGAATGATACGCCGTTCCGGGGGTGGGTTGAAGATGAGGGGAGGCGAGATAGAGCAGCCCCAATTCGCTAGCGCAATGCCACGGTGCCGTTTAAAAGGAAGCTGCTCTCCCCGCCCGTGTGCTGCTGCTGCTGTTGCTGCTGCAGAGCGATCGGTCATCGTCGTCGGTTCCCTCTCCACTCTTCGCCGATCGTTCTCCTCTTCCCCGCCCGCGCGCCAAAGGTGAGAGAAGCTGTGTGTTTGTGGTTGCACACGGGTCGTGCTCCCGACGACCACGGGCCTCCTCTATTTTCCGCCCAGCCTTTTTGCTTTTGGTTGTTCATAAACTCACCTCTTTGCCCGCCTCCTGCAGCTCTCACTTCCCTCGCTAGCTTTTACCACCTATCGCCTTTGCCTTTGCCGCCCATCTTAGCAGCTGCACAGCAATGGCCGACACCGCCACGGGTGACAGCAGCGATGCTTCACCTCACAACCACCATGGCACCAATGTGCCCTCCGGCCACTATGACGAGAAGAGGCAATACGAGTCCGAAAAGGCCCAAGACATTCCTCGCGCAAAACCCGGCGACGACGAGGATGAGGAAGACGAGGACATGGACGCTCTGATTGCCGAGCTCGAGTCGCAAGACGCCAACATTGACCCTGAAGACGAGGATGTGCAGCAACCCGGCGGCGCGCGTCCGGTCGCTGAAGAGCTCCTGCAAACTAGCACTGTTACCGGCCTTACCACCGAAGAAGTCACCTCTCGCCGCAAGAAGTTTGGTCTCAACCAGATGAAGGAAGAGAAAGAAAACATGGTGCTCAAGTTCTTGGGTTACTTCATTGGTCCTATCCAGTTCGTCATGGAGGTGCGTAAACAAAGATTTTGCATTGCTTGGCGCTTCAATGCGCTCAAATACCATCGGCTAGACTTTTGGTTTTGTTGATGTCTCACTGACCGTTTGTTTACTCTAGGCGGCTGCCGTTCTCGCTGCTGGTCTTCAAGATTGGGTCGATTTTGGTGTCATTTGCGCCCTTCTCTTGCTTAACGCTACGGTCGGCTTTGTCCAAGAATTCCAGGCTGGATCCATCGTCGAGGAACTCAAGAAAACTCTTGCGCTCAAAGCTACAGTTCTCCGCAATGGCACTCTCACTGAGATTGAAGCGCCTGAGGTCGTTCCCGGTGATATTCTTCAAATCGAGGAGGTAAGATTCGGTTTTCTGTCGTTCGTACGCGCATTTCTGATGACGCTTTCTGTAGGGCACAATTATCCCAGCCGACGGTCGTGTTGTCACCGACGATGCCTTCCTTCAGGTTGACCAGTCCGCCATCACCGGAGAGTCTCTTGCTGTCGACAAGCACAAAGGCGACACGTGTTTTGCCTCGTCTGCTATTAAGCGTGGAGAAGCTTTTATGGTCGTGACTGCTACTGGTGACAGCACTTTCGTTGGTCGTGCCGCCTCTTTGGTTGCTTCTGCCTCCGCTGGTAGTGGTCACTTCACCGAAGTCCTCAACGGTATAGGGACGGTCCTTTTGATTCTGGTCATTCTCACCCTGCTTGTCGTCTGGGTCTCTTCCTTCTATCGCTCCAATCCCATTGTCAAGATCCTGGAGTTTACTCTCGCCATCACGATCATTGGTGTGCCTGTCGGTCTTCCGGCAGTCGTCACCACAACAATGGCTGTGGGTGCTGCGTATCTCGCCAAGAAGCAGGCTATCGTCCAGAAACTTTCCGCCATTGAGTCTCTTGCTGGTGTCGAAATTCTTTGTTCCGACAAGACCGGTACCTTGACTAAGAACAAGCTCTCCCTTGCAGAGCCCTACTGCGTTGCCGGCGTTGAGCCTGAAGATCTCATGCTCACCGCCTGCCTCGCTGCCTCTCGCAAGAAGAAGGGTATCGATGCCATTGACAAGGCTTTCCTCAAGTCGCTGAAGTTCTATCCTCGGGCAAAGTCTGTTCTTTCCAGGTACAAGGTCCTTGATTTCCACCCGTTCGACCCCGTCTCGAAGAAGGTGCAAGCCGTCGTCGAGTCCCCTCAAGGAGAACGCATAGTCTGTGTAAAGGGCGCGCCTCTCTTTGTCTTGAGGACTGTGGAAGATGACCATCCCATTCCCGAGGCTATCGACGAGGCATACAAGAACAAGGTCGCAGAATTCGCCACTCGTGGTTTCCGTTCTCTGGGTGTTGCACGCAAGCGTGGAGACAGCTCCTGGGAGATTCTGGGCATTATGCCTTGCTCCGACCCCCCTCGTCATGACACGGCCCGCACCATTAACGAGGCCAAGACTCTCGGCCTTTCTATCAAGATGCTGACTGGTGACGCCGTGGGTATCGCCCGTGAGACGTCACGTCAGCTCGGTCTTGGTACAAACGTCTACAACGCCGAGCGTCTTGGTCTCGGTGGCGGCGGAGAAATGCCTGGCTCTGAAGTTTACGATTTCGTCGAGGCTGCTGATGGGTTCGCCGAGGTCTTCCCCCAGCACAAGTACAATGTCGTCGAGATTCTTCAGCAACGTGGTTATCTCGTGGCCATGACTGGTGATGGTGTTAACGATGCTCCGTCTCTCAAGAAGGCTGACACGGGTATTGCTGTCGAGGGAGCTTCCGATGCTGCTCGCTCCGCTGCCGATATCGTCTTCCTTGCTCCTGGTTTGTCGGCCATCATCGACGCGCTGAAGACCTCTCGCCAGATTTTCCACCGTATGTATGCCTACGTTGTTTACCGTATCGCGTTGTCTCTTCACTTGGAGATCTTCTTGGGTCTTTGGATCGCCATCCTGAACACTTCGCTCAACCTGGAGTTGGTCGTCTTCATTGCCATCTTTGCCGACATCGCTACCCTAGCCATTGCATACGACAATGCACCCTTCTCGAAGACTCCAGTCAAGTGGAACTTGCCCAAGCTCTGGGGCATGTCTGTCCTCCTCGGCGTCGTTTTGGCCATTGGTACCTGGATTACCCTCACGACGATGTTCCCATACCAAGACAGCTCCAACCGTCATCCTGGCCAAGGCGTTAGTGGTGGTATTGTCCAGAACTTTGGTGTCCGTGATGAAGTTCTCTTCCTGCAGATTTCGCTCTCTGAGAATTGGTTGATCTTCATCACGCGTGCCAACGGTCCTTTCTGGAGCTCTATTCCGTCTTGGCAGCTCACCGGTGCCATCTTAGTTGTCGACATCATCGCCACCTTTTTCTGTCTGTTCGGCTGGTTCATTGGCGGGCAGACGTCGATCGTGGCAGTTGTCCGTGTCTGGATCTTCTCGTTTGGCGTCTTCTGCGTCATGGGTGGCCTCTACTACCTGCTCCAGGACAGCGTCGGATTCGACAACCTCATGCACGGCAAGTCGCCGAAGAAGAAGGAGAAGCAGAGGTCGCTCGAAGACTTTGGTAAGTCACTCGCATTCCTATCTTTCCCCACCCTGAAATCGGTCACTAACGCACCTTTGCAGTCGTTTCCCTCCAGCGCGTCTCCACGCAACACGAGAAGAGCGCTTAAGCAGCTCTTCTCTGCCTCGACCAGCAATGTCGCTAGGTCCTCTTAACTACGATACCACTACCATCCGATTGCATCTACCGCTCCGCGCCGACAAGCCCGGCCGCGGGCAAGCAAGGTTGGTATTTTTCTCTTTTTTTCAGGCGGAACGTATTTCACCTTCTCTTGTGATTCTTTCTTTCTTTCTCTAACCACCGAGTCGAAGAAGAAGTAAGAGGAGAGGGAAGATAGGGGAGAAATGGGGAGGGGGGCGCGAGATCAGGCCATACCATACCATGTGGATACGAAAGGGGGAAAAAAGAACGCAACAATGCGGGTGTAATAACAAGCTCGAAGAGCGAGCTGGCGAGAGGAGCCGTCTAGGTCCCTGAGTATCCCCCAACACACACCACACACAAACACACACACACAGAGAGAACACACACTCATCTTCACTACGATCCTTTGTCTTTGAAGTAGCGTTAGCCGTCCACAGCACAGCACAGCACAATCCCAATCCCAATCCCAATCCCATCCGCCACCATCACCACCACCAATACTACCATCACCACCTTCACCAGCTGTTACGTAGGCTTGGCTAGTCTGGCAGACTCTCTAATATGATAAGTCCTCCCCGATTTGGCGGCTGTGCTTCTTTGCGTTGCTCTGCGTTGCTCTGCGTTGCTCTGCGTTGGTTCTCGCCAGTCCTGCGCTTTTGGTCCATTTTCTCGTGCACGCGTGCGCGTGTGTGGGCTGCTTCACCCATTCACCCATTGACTGACATACCTTATCTGGTAGGGTAAGGGAGGGAGGGAGGCGGGGGAGGTGAGTGCGGATGTAGGTAGGTAGGTAGGTACTCGCTGGTCGCGCTGTGGGCCTTCTACGCTTGGGTACTTGCCTGGACGCGCGTCGCGCTGCTTGCGAGTGGTGTGCATGGGGGATGGCTGACTGCTGTGCTGTGCTGCTGTGCTGTCTTGTGCGCTCTTGCTCTTGCTCTTACTCTTGTTCTTACTCTTGTTCTTACGTGCGTGTGTGTGTGTGTTTGTGGGTGGTGGTCAGCTGCTTGCCGATGGCGGGCAGGGGTTGCTAGGTTATATTGCGGGGTTTGGGGTGTGTGTGGCTGGCTGGGTGTGAGTGCTGTGCGTGGTGGCGAGAGGGTTGCGGGATGTGGGATGTGGTGCGAGAGGGAAGAGTCATTGAGAGGGCGACACGGGCGAGTGCAAGGTTGTCGGAGAGAAGGACCGAGCGAGCGCGCATCTCGCGCGTTTCACTTCCTCCATTCCGTTGCCGATGGAGTTGCAACGGGCTGGCAGGCCAGACAAAAAACACGACAGCTGTTATGCCACGCAACGCAGACAACGCCAATGCCCCCACCTATCCATCCCTTCCCCCAAGTTTCTAGGTAGATTATTTGATAGCAAACGCCGTACCCACGACGCAATGGCGAGCCCGACAAAAAACGCAAAAATAAATGAGGATGGAGCGATTTGAACGCTCAGCCTTCAGGACATTCCAAGTTCTGGAATCTGACGCGCTACCGTTGCGCCACACCCCCAATTGTTGATGCTAAAACTGTTGTATAAACCTTATGTCCTCTGTGCATTGGTGGCTGCTTTTGTATGGTGTTGCGTTGCTGGGGGTTGGAGGGCGGGTTGTTCGTTGGGTTGGTTTGGGCGCCGCTTGGGCGTCGTGCGGTGCGGGGTTTTTTGTTGTTGCCTCGGCCGAGCGTGGCTGGGATGGCGCGATTGCGGGGCGAGTTGTTCGACCTGGACTTGGGGGTGGGCGTGATTCGGCCTACCTATGAGCGTTAAGCTGCCCTAGCTACTGTACGTGCATGTGCATCTATGCGGAGCTTCTGGTAGAGTGGGAGATCTGTAATCCTGTGTGTTGGATGGGTGATTTGTGCATGGATTTGGTCGCGTTCGTTGCTCTCATTGCTTGCCTGGTTCTTTGCTGCCGTTATCGTCTCGTTTAGCCAAGTACATTTTAGCTGTATCCTTGTTGACTATATACCAGGTCAATGGATTGGATTTTCTGGTAAAGGCAAACGTAAACGTATAAACAGATAAAAATGCCAGTATGTGGTGCTGAAGCTTGTTGATTGAGCCATAGCTATCAGCTTTCGGCGTGTTGTTATAGAGGCGGGACGAGCCTGCAGGAAGCGCATTTCAGCCGTATAAACCTTCTCGAGGCAGTGATGAAGTGTGTTTATCTTATGTGTAACTAGCATATATTTGGATCCTTGCTACTCTACGCGTATGAAGCTTTCCATTGCTGTTGTGAAGTTGCTCCCCAGCCGGGCCTTCTGCCTTCTGCACTTGACTGATGAGCCATTGGCGTTCTCGACGCGCTCAGTCCGAGCTCTCAACAGCCCCGACGCGAGCTTGGCCCGTGAACTGGGCCCATTCAAAGAACTGATTGAGGTGGTTAAAGGAGGCAAAAATTTGCGCAAAAAACAAAAGAATGAGGATGGGGCGATTTGAACGCCCAGCCTTCAGGAAACTCCAATATCTGGAATCTGACGCGCTACCATTGCGCCACACCCCCATTTCTGTGGTTAATTTTCGCAATTGGTGCATATAAATTATAGGCTGATTTGCACCTTTCCAATCGACGACGTCATCTGCACAACAACTTGCGCGCCCTGGAAGTCGTGTACCCCTCATCAGAGACTACGTCTTAGCCTACGGATAACTGTGCCGTGGAGCCTAGATCTATTCGCAGTGTTCAGGTTTTCATGAAGGTCGTCCTTACCTCTTCATTCGCAGCGACATTGAGAGCTCACAGCATCCGTACTTCGTCCTACTCCTACTGTCGTGGATTGATCACCCCCCTTGTTAGAAGCAAAAACACCTACTCCACAATGGCCAACATTCACACCCCCATCCCATCGCTCAAGCTGAACGATGGCACCTCGATCCCCATGGTATGCTTGTTTACTCTAAGACGAAGGCTCCTGGAAGATGCTGATGGCACTCGCAGCTCGGATATGGGAGCGGCACCGCATGGTACAAGACCGGAGATGAGAGCAAGGTGGACGAAGAGCTGGTGAAGAGCATAAAGAAGGCAATCGAGCTAGGATACCATCACCTTGATGGAGCTGAAGGTAAGTGAGATTTTTGAGTTGCTGGTTGGTGACTAAGATGCTAAACGATTGGTTGGTGGATCGCAGTCTACAGGACTGAGCCGGAGCTGGGTATGGCGATCAAGCAAAGTGGCGTAGAACGCGAGAAGTTGTACGTTACGACCAAGGTCAACAACAACATCGCCGATATCAAGGGCGCTATCCAGACCAGCTTGCGCAAGCTGCAGCTCGACTATGTGGACCTGTACGTTCCCTTGTCCTCATTCTGAGAACACGCAACAGTTGCTCACATCGTGTTCCACTAGCTACTTGATCCACTCTCCATTCTTCGCCAAGTCTGACGAGGACTTGCAAGCCAAATGGGCAGAGATGGAAGAAGTGCAAGCCCTTGGGCTCGCCAAGACCATCGGCGTGTCCAACTACCTGCCACAGCATCTTGAGGCGACGCTGAGGACGGCCAAGGTCAAGCCCGCCGTCAACCAGATCGAATTCCACCCGTACTTGCAGCACCCGCAGTTGCTTGAGTACCACAAGAAGAACGGCATCGCAACGGTCGCATATTCGCCTCTGGCTGCTATCGTCAAGGCGAGCCCTGGCCCGGTTGATGACTACATGGCCGCTCTGGCGAAGAAGTATGCCGTTTCCGAAGGCGAGATCAGCTTGCGCTGGTGCATTGACCAGGACATCGTGGCCCTGACGACGAGTGGAAAGGAACAGCGTCTATCGGATTACCTCCGGTGCGCGACGTTCAAGTTGTCGCCTAAGGAGATCCAAGAGGTTAAGGCGCTGGGCGAGAAGAAGCACTACCGTGGATTCTGGGCCAAACACTTTGCCGAGGATGATAGATCGTAGATTGAAGATGACTCCGTAGAACTAAAGGAGTGACTGGAATTCAAGAAACATAAATTGAGGATCATCTTTCCGTGATAACCTTGTAACGAATGGACTTGGCTGGCCGGAACCCCGCGTGCAAGGGTCCAGCGGGCGCCCACCATTCTACGCGTTTTCCGGAGAACAGCCGATTGCTCATCTATCTAATCGCCGCTGCTCCAGTCAGAAAATCGCAAACTTCATCCGCGGGGCAACTTTTACTGCGCAACCACCGCGACCATGCCGCCCAAAGCGAAGAAGGACGGCGAGGAAGCGCCGGCACAAGTAAGTTTACCATCCCGACCTTTCACGCGAAATCCAACACGCCCCAAGGCAACTGCGAAAGCTCCAAGGAAGCCACGCGCCGGCATCCAGCGAACGAAGAAACCCGCCGACACGACCGCACCGACCGCACCGACCGCACAAGAGACGGAGGAGCAGCCAGCTGCAGAAACTGTCTTGCCAAACGGTGCTGTGCCCACAGAGAATCACGATGGCGAGAGCAGACCGACGCCGCGGAGGAAAGCGCCCGCAAGGCGCGACGACGGCATGGACTCGATACTACAGCCCTTCTACTCTGGCAAATCCTTGACGGACCCCATCAACACGGCCGAGGATAAGTGGAACCTGCTCCCTGCTTTTCTCAAGGTCAAGGGCTTGGTCAAGCAGCATATCGACTCCTTCAACTACTTCGTGGACGTCCAGCTCAAGGAAATTCTCAGGGCTAACCAATATGTGTATAGCGATGTGGACGACAAATTCTTCTGGAGGTATACCGACATCCGGGTACTCTTGCCATGCAGGACGAACGAAGAGGGAATCGTGAACCACCCATCTACTATCACTCCGAATGAGTGCCGTCTGCGGGACATGACATATGCTGCGCCAATTGTTGTGGATGTAGAATACAAGCGAGGAGCTTCCAAGGTTAAGAGGAAAGGGATTCACATCGGCAGGATGCCCATCATGTTGCGCAGCAACAAGTGTGTGTTGAATGGCAAGGCGGAGAGGGACATGGGTCGACTTGGCGAATGCTCTATTGACCCTGGTGGATACTTCATCACCAGAGGCCAGGAGAAAGTCATTCTTGTCCAGGAGCAGCTGAGCAAGAACCGTGTCATTGTAGAGTCTATGAAGGGCATCATTCAAGCCTCCGTCATCAGGTACTGTATACCGTTCTATCGTAGTAGTTCGAGCTATGCTGACTGGGGCAGTTTTACGGTTGATCGTAAATCGAAAGGATATGTGCTGCTGAAGAAAGGCCTCCTCTACTTGAAGCACAACACCTTCACTGAAGACATCCCCATCGTTATTGCGTTCAAGGCCATGGGTGTTCAGTCGGAACACGAAATCCTCCTCCTAGTAGCCGGAGACGATAGCGCGTACCAGGACGAGTTTGCAGTCAACTTCGAAGCTTCCGTAAACGAAAAGGGCGAACGCATTACCACACAGAACCAAGCGCTGGAGTACATTGGCATACGCACCCGCCAGATGAGGAAGCCCGTTGGTAACAGGCAACCACGCAACTTGCAGCAAGAAGCCATAGACGCACTCTCCGGGATGATGATGAGTCACGTTCCGGTTTATGGCATGAACTTCCGTCCCAAGGCTTTGTATGTCGCATACATGACTCGGAGGGTCCTGCAGGCTATCCATGATCCGAAGATGGTGGACGATAGGGATTACGTCGGTAACAAGCGTCTGGAGTTGGCTGGTCAGATGATGGCGCTGCTGTTCGAAGACAGTTTTAAGACCTTCAACGCCCAATTTAAGGCCAACATTGACAAGATTCTCAAGAAGCCGAACCGGGCGGCCGAATTCGACGCTTTCGATCACATCCAAACTCACGGCTGGAGTATCACGGCTGGCATGGAACGCGCCATCGCCACCGGCAACTGGACCTTGAAACGTTTCAGGATGGAACGGGCTGGTATCACGCACGTCCTGAGTCGTTTGTCCTACATCAGTGCCCTGGGTATGATGACTCGTATTACCAGTCAGTTTGAGAAGACGAGAAAGGTTTCCGGTCCTCGTGCGCTTCAGCCTTCTCAGTTTGGTATGCTTTGCACTTCGGATACTCCAGAAGGTGAAGCCTGTGGTCTGGTCAAGAACTTGGCACTTATGACACACATTACCACCGAGGTGCCAGAAGATCCCGTCAAGAGAATGGTGTTTATTCTTGGAGCCGAAGACGTTCAGTCGGCTAGTGGAAACGAGTTGTATGCTGATGGAGCCTACATTATCTTCGTCAACGGTTCGCCTTTGGCCCTGACGAGAGAACCTAAGCAATTCTTGAATGGCTTCCGGAAGTTCCGACGCATGGGACGCATCTCGGAGTTCGTCAGTATCCATATCAACCACCACCACCGCGCAGTCCAGATTGCCACGGACGAAGGTCGTATCTGTAGGCCTCTCATCGTCGTTGAGAGGGGCAAATCCAGGGTCTCAGCGCGGTACCTGCGGGCTCTCCAGAAAGGTACTATGGAGTTCGATGATTTTATTTCTCGCGGACTTGTGGAATACCTCGATGTCAACGAAGAGAACGATTCCAACATCTGCATCTACGAGAAAGACTTGAAAGAGTTCCACACGCATCTCGAGATCGAGCCTTTCACCATCCTGGGCGCCGTCGCTGGTCTTATCCCCTACCCTCATCACAACCAGTCTCCTCGTAACACTTACCAGTGCGCTATGGGTAAGCAAGCTATCGGAGCAATTGCTTACAACCAGTTTACCCGTATCGACACGCTGCTGTATCTTATGGTGTATCCACAACAACCTATGGTCAAGACACGGACTATCGAACTCATCAAGTACGACAAGCTTCCTGCAGGCCAGAATGCTACCGTGGCGGTCATGTCATACTCGGGTTACGATATCGAAGATGCTCTCGTGATCAATAAGGCATCCTGCGACCGAGGCTTTGGACGTTGCCAGGTCTTCAAGAAGGCCACCACGACGCTGAAGTCCTACGCCAACGGAACCATGGACAAGTTTCTTGAACCAGACCCGAACCAGCCTCGGCACAAAAAGCTGGGTAGGTTGGATGGTATCGCGGAGGTTGGTGTGCTCCTTGAGAAGGACGACGTGTATCTCAACAAGCATGTTCCTCTCCAAACCAACCCGGTCGGCCCACTCGAGACTGGTCGGGGAAGGACCGAGTACCGCAACACGCCGATGTCATACAAGCTCCCAGACCCGGCGTATGTCGACAAGGTTATGCTTGCGCAGAACGAGAGCGAGACGCCCCTCATCAAGATCCAAACTCGGCAAACTCGGCGACCGGAACTTGGAGACAAGTTCTCCTCGCGTCACGGACAGAAAGGTGTTGTGGGTATCATCGCGGAGCAGGTGGACATGCCGTTCAACGACCAGGGTATCTGCCCAGACATCATCATGAACCCTCACGGTTTCCCGTCCCGTATGACGGTCGGCAAGATGCTGGAATTGTTGTCAGGAAAGGCAGGCGTGCTTTCCGGAGCGCTGCAATATGGCACCGCCTTCGGCGGCTCCAAGGCAGAAGTGATGTCGCAGATCCTGCTGGAGAAGGGCTTCTCCTACTCTGGCAAAGACATGCTCACATCAGGCATCACGGGTGAATCGTTGCCAGCCTACGTCTTCTTCGGGCCCATCTACTACCAGAAGCTGAAGCACATGGTGCAAGACAAGATGCACAGTCGTGCGCGGGGACCCCGCGCGATCCTGACCCGTCAACCAACAGAAGGTCGTTCCCGCGACGGCGGTCTCCGTCTGGGCGAAATGGAGCGCGACTGCCTGATCGCGTACGGTGCAAGCCAGCTGCTGCTAGAGCGTCTGATGCTGAGCTCCGACGCGCACGAGTGCGACGTCTGCGAGCGCTGCGGCATGATGGGCTACCAGGGCTGGTGCCAGAGCTGCCGCAGCAGCAAGGGCGTCGTGCGCATGACTATTCCGTACGCGGCTAAGCTGCTTATTCAGGAATTGCTGAGTATGAACGTCAAGGCGAGCTTGCGCCTTGGTGACGAGTTCCCTGCTGAGGAGGATTGAGCGCTTGGGTGCATGCGGTGGTTGGGGGGTGAAGTTGCTTCCTTGCTGACTGTCTTTGGTGGGAGTCTGCGTTGAGTTTCGTTTTGCATAGCGTGGAGCATTTGCGGGGGATGGGAGTTTTCTGGTGGCTTGTTTGATTGTCATTCTTCTTTAGATTCGAATACCTGAGCATCAGTTTGCTGGCTGATGGAATGGAGGTACGGAGCGAGGTCTGGACGATTTAGTCTAGTAGGTAGAAAACCTTAAAAAGCAATTTTTACTATACTGCTTGAAAAACACTATGTCAGATCACACACACACACACACACACACACACACATCAATGCCGCCTCACGTCAAGAACCCATTAATTACATTTTTTCCCCAGCATATCATATCGTACACGTCTCGCTCGCACTAGACCAGACCAGGTCAGGGCAAGCGAAGCAGAAACGGAGAAAGAAGAAAGGAAAGAAGGAGAGAGAAAAAGAAAAAGGAAAGTCATCAATTGTAACTCACCTCACCTCCTCAGATAGTCACCCATTAGCAGGAAAAACCAAGCCCCTCCCACCAGGAGGTCGTTACTCATCCTTCCATCCCCACCACCACAAAAGGAAAGAAGGAAAAAGGGAAAAGGAAAATCGGAGAAAACTAAAAGAAAAAAAAAAAAGGAAAAGAGCAAATAAACTCCCTGCACCCCAACAGAGAAGAAATGAACGAACGCCATGTCCCACGACACGAGAACCCGAAATTGACCAGACCGGACCAAATAAATCAGCGCAAAGAAAGGAAAGAAGGAAAGAAGTAAGTAAAAGGCAGAATCGCATTCATTAAGGTTTCGACGTCATGCTTTCGTTTGGGTTGTGAAGAGAGAGTTTTGTTGAGAGAAAAAAGAGTTTGTTGGTGATGTGCTGTGCTGTGGTTGGTTGGGTAGGTGGTGGTGCCAGGGTGTGTTTGAGAGAGGGATGGAGAGTGCGAGTGTGTGTCGTGGCGTCGCAGAGAACAATTGATGGCCTGCCTAGCCCTAGCAAGCAAGCAAGCGGCTGCGCCCGCTATGGCTATGGCAGCACGTATATGCGCCGGACATGCGTGCGTCGTTTCAAGCTTCGGATCAATCGTCCTGTCCTTCGTCCGCTATTCGCTCCTCAAATCATAATGGCCGTCATCAACATCCCCTCGCTCGCTCATCTCCATGTGCCCCCCAACTCCACTAGCAAACACCAACCATCGCTCGCTCGTTCGCCTAGAACGCCGCGCCGCCAATCTCGCCCTCCCCGTTCAAAGCTCTCAAATGCTCATCCGCCAACTGCGCCCTCAGCCCTGCCGTCTCGCTCTCGCTCTCCAGCCGATCCCACTCGCGCCGGCTCCGACGCGCCACTGCCTCCTTCTCGGCAATGAGGTCGCGCAGGCGGCGCGACTCGTCCTCCAGCTTCTGCAAGCGGCTCGAGTCGACCAGATCCTTGGCCTTCTGTCCTCCGGGCACGATAGGCGGCAGATCCGCGAGATGATTCGGGCCGCTGGGCCCAGCGCCCGGGCCGGCAGCCGTGTTGAAGCGCTGCGTGCGTGGGTACGTCGTCGATGTGCTGTTGCTGCTGCCACGGAAGGCTGGCGGTCCGCCGCCTCCACGTGGTCCGGACGGCGGGCCACCGGCGAAGCCTCCGCGCGCGGCCCAAGGTCCTGATGCACGACGGGGTCCGACGGGAGCTGCGGGGTCGTATGGCGGGTAAGGGTCCCGTCCGAAGCCACCACGACCACCGCCGCGAGGGCGTGAGGGTGCCGAGAGAATGGGGTTGCCGGCGCGACTATGAGCCGACATGGGCATGGAAGGGCCCGCAGGTGGAGACATGGACGGCCCAACAGGATAGCGGTTGCTTGCAGGGCCGGTAGGTGGCGCGCGCTGGAAGTCGCCGCGAGGCCCAGAAGGAGGCGGTACACTGCCATTCGTGTATTCGCGTACTACTGGGCGCGGAGGTGAGCGTCGACGTGGAGGTGAACGTTCTCTCTCTCGCTCCCGCTCCCGCTCCCTTTCCCGTTCGCGTTCGCGTTCACGTTCGCGTTCACGTTCGCGCTCGCGTTCACGTTCACGTTCACGCTCACGCTCAATGGAACGACTCCGGAAGGATGCCGGTGACCGCGGGCGCGGGGAGTACGATTCCATTGGAGGACGCTCTTCGGGAACAAGTGCCAGTCTGCTGGGGTGCACGGGTGGCGACGAGCGACGGGAAGATGCGACGGATTCTCTGCCTGACCGCGGTTCAATTGGAGGAATGTATGTAGTTGCGGCTCTCGGCGGTGACGGTGAACGACGTCTCCAGGTGTTTACGGTGTAAGGATCGACTCGATCGTCGCGATGAGGAGATCTGGATCGAGGACGGTAACTCCTTTCACGAGGTGGTGAGTAAACGCGACGAGGAGGACTATGCGTCACGTCAGTATACTAGGTAGTTTCGCGAGTCAATGATTCCCTCAACGTACCTATAGCCTCTGGACCTGGGCTCATCGTATCTGCTGATCCTCGGCGGCGGTGACACGAGCCGCTCCCTCTTTGCAGGCGGAGGTGAGCGTCCGCGGCTGCCGGCAGGTGAGACATCACGGCTGCGCTTCAACGGTGGTGGAGAGCGGTCTCTAGGACGTGGAGAACGCCGGTCATACGCGCTGTCGTAGTCGCGTATAGGCGACCTAGGCCGAGTATCTCTCCTGTAATCACCCCGACGCGGCGAAAAGTCACGGCGAGGAGGAGATCTCGGCCGTGAAGCCCTCCAAGTGTCACTCTCAGGTCTAATGTATGGCCGAGGGCTGCGCGACCTGCGACGGTACCCAGGAGAGCGGCTGCGGGGCCGTGAGACTCTGCTCGAAGAGGGGATGTATGTGTCTGCAGGCAGAGGACGACGAGGCGGGGGTGAGCGCGTGGAACGGTAGCTGTCGCGTGGGTGCGGCGAGCGAGCGGGACGGTAGGTCGAGGTAGAGCTAGGCGCGTAGCGGTCGCCGGGCCTGCAAGACTTGTTGTCAGTCATCAGTTGCACTTTGCGATGCAAGCGGGACAGCGATAGGCGTGAGTTGAGACACGTCTGGCGCGCTCGAGAAGACGCAACGAAGACTTAGGTAGTGGGTCGAAGGTGAGATGGAAGTACGGACCTTCTGTCCCTGTCGCGATCACGATCCATTGTAGGCCGGGTGAAAGCAAGGGCTCGGGCGGCAAAAGCAGTCGTTGCGTGGAGGTGCAGTGGTGGACTTTGAGGTGCTGGTCGGTTGTCGAGCTTGTGAACTTTTCTGGGCGCGGGAGCGAGCGAGAAAGGAGCTGGCCGTGCACGTGATCAGGCGCGTCATCGCGTTTTCAGCCGCAATGAGTGGAGGCCAGCTAAGAGGCACCAACGTTAGCCTTCAGACCGCCATCCGTTTACTCACCTGCCACGTCCCCGGCGTCGAGACGCGTTGCGCCTGCAGCCCGACCCTTCACACGGCTTGCTGTGCCACCCGGCGCTTGGCATGGTCCCTGTGCGTTAGCTGGCATTTCCGCTATCTTGATTCTTCACTTCTTGTCTTCCCAGCAAACGTGTTTTGCAAGCATGATTCTTTACTGTTGTACTCCTTTGCTCCCGTGCCCGTCCCGGACTACCCCGCCCATCCAGAAACGCCAGCTGGCCATGGAAGCTTGTGCTCGATGCATTTTTCCTGATGTGCAAGCCTGATCTGTGCAATTGGTATCTTGTCTCTCGCGCGCTCCCGCGCCAGCTTTTCTTCATCCACTGCCCTCCCCCTGTATTGGTACAAGTGTTCATGTTCTCTTAGCGTCTGTTACGGCGCTCTTCGTCCTTCTTCAGCCGCTTGCGGCTCTCATCGGCAATCATCTGGCTCAAGTCATCTTGATCAACCCTACCGGCCCACTGGCCCTGTCCTTCGGCCTGCCGCTGAGCTTCGTAGCGCTTCTGGAGCTCCTCCTTGCTCAGCTTGTCATCTCTTTCCAAAGCATCCACGTCCACGCTAACATCAACATCGCCAGCCTTCCTCTTCCGGCGATTGTCCTCCTGTCCAAGTACCGGGAGGTTTTGCTGAGCGGCCTTGAGATCATATCCACGTTCGCTGCCGAAGAAGCCCGAGGCACGGGTCGTGTGCTCAGGCAAAACCGTGTAAGCCGAGCGCGGCTGCGTGACCTCTTCCGTCTCAGTGCCACGCTTCTGCTTGCGCAGCGTGAAGTCACCCGCGACGCTCTCTGTGCCACCATACTCTGAGGGCATAGCAGAGGCTGTGCCGCTCGGTGTCTCAATACCACCCATGGACGCACCCACATCCTCCTCCGCCATTTCTTCGTCCTCCTCACCTTCCTCTTCGTCTTCATCCTCTTCCTCCTCCGATTCCTCCTCGGGCTCTTGAAGCTCGCCCCACAGGGTCTTTTCGACCGGCTCACCGACTGGTTGTTCTTGATTCGGCTGAAGTACACCAAACACATCACCTCCGTAGAGTGGCCTGTTGTACTCATCCACAGGCGGCTTGCCGTATCCACCTGGATGGAAGCCCCATTGGCTGCCAGGAGGGGGTGGGGCATTCAAGCCCGGAATCTTGAGCGCAGGATATGAAGGCGGAGGCCCGAAGCGCTGCTGGTTGATCAGCCATGGCGGAGGCGCACCAGGCGGAATGTTCAAAGCTTCTTTCAGCTCTTCACTTAGCTCACCAGGTCGAAGATGTCTCAAGTTTGTCTCGTACTCCTTGCCCTCGTAGTAGACCTCGCCATACCGCGTTAGCTCAGGCTTGGTTTGAAATCTGAAGAATGCTTCGTAGAGCTTCTGGTAGTCGATATCGAGCTTGCCAAGCTTTCCCTGAACGCGCTCTCTCTGCTTTTGCCTCAGCGACTGTTGGTCTTGCTTTTCCAGCACCGCGTCTCTCATCTCCGCAATACCGGTATCTTGAATAAACTTGGGGAGGGCGAATGGGGGCTTTTCAATACCGCGCTTCGACGAGAGATACTCGCGTTTAAGCGACCAGTGTCCGGGGACGGGCACGACATTGCGATGAGATTTAATGGACACGAGCATTCGCGGATCTGGTGCCGACGTATCAGTCCATTCAACAAGCTCGGGTTTTCTGACCAGAGCTTTGAGCTCTGCGATCGACAGCTTGTTCTGCTGCTTTCGCTTCTTTTTTGACATCTTCTGCCCTTCATCATCCTCGTCGGGAATGTCGTCATTGTCGTCATAGAAGACCTCCGGCTTCTCTGGTTTCAGAGCCTCGGAGGCATCCGTCTGTTGGAACCTCTGAATAACGCCCTGGAACTGGGCAAATAGCGGATCGTTCTCGTCGATGTGGGCATCAAAAGTAACGGGTTCAGCGGCATCTCCATCGGTCGCAGCATTGGTCTCTCGCTCGACGGGCTTCTCTGCCGGTGGCGGCGACGCAGGTCTTGATTCGGGGGCTGGCGTCTACAATGACAAGTCAGCACTTGCGTGTGGGACGTCGGGTGATGGAGGGTGAAGTTACCTCTTCTTTTTTGGCCTTCCGCATGGCGCGGCGCCGCGCGTTCTTGGTCTGGGCCGAAACCGCCATCGTGCGCGGTTGCGAGCAGCTCGTGGCAAGCGGCAGGCAACGTTCTGATGCGGGAGGTGGTGGGAGGTGTCAAGGTTGGAGGCGGGTGCCGTGGGTGGAGTAGCCTGTGCAGATAGGGTGCGTGAGTGCTTGGTGAGGACGGCCCCGATGGAAGTTTCCTCCGTGCCGCCAAGCCTCTTTGGGCATGGCGCGGAACGCCCGCAAAGACACACTCGTGCGCACAACCTTTGACTACACGCGCAGCGCGGCAACGCGAGCATTCCTCGGAGGCTCGAGTCAAGTTCGACATCTGAAGTCTCGGCTCCTCATTACCAGCGAAGACACGAGACAAGGTGCTTTGGCAATCGCGGCCTGTCTCTAATCGGTTTCTCCGGCCGGCGTAACTGATCCTGATTTCTCCTTCCCACAAGGCTTGCACGGCGACACTCGCCATCGATCGAAAGAGCGCTGAACCTCCGTCTACAAACTTTGAGTGATTTTGCCGATCTTCCTATGGCACTCTTAGCTAAGATTGATAGGCGCGCAATGCCATTACCAATTCTGCTGTGCTGCGTCTAGATTTGTGGGCGTAGAGACTGATTCGGCGCTTGACGAAGGCGAGTTTCACAGGGAACTTTGTTGTGTTGAATAAAGCCTGTCCGCGGAGAGGCAGATCATCATTGGATTGCACGAAGATGTTCGGCGCTTTCACAAGAATAGATGCACACGTCACTGTCCACTAGCCGCATGCTATTCCCAATGGGTGTTGCGCTGTCAAGATTCAGCCTTACCAATGAGCTACTGTTCTTTTGGCCTGCGGGAGGGCTATGGCGAGGGACTAAGCACACAGAAGGATTGAGGCTCAGACAAGAGGCGACAAGCGGTGATGTCTTAAGCAACGTCGAGTGGTCCTTTGGGACTGGTCCAACCACCCTTTTCTGCCTCGTCCTCAGGCAGGCTGCCCCGCGATCTCAAACGAGTCAAGAGCTCGGGAGCTCTCCAAGGAAGCTAACGTAATCTACCCACTCTTGCCCCCCTCATTCGGCACTTTTCGAGATCATCCCGAGCGCCAAACCGCAATCTGGCCCCTTCGCGCTCGAGGCCGGTAGGGCTGGCGCAGCGCGCAGCGACAGCGGCAGGCGGGAGGAAGGACGGCGTGGACGGAGGCGGGCGCGCAGGCACCGGCAGGGCGTGGGGGTGCCAAACGAGGGCCATGCCGTCACGCTCCGGCACTGGGCAGCGAAAAAGGGCGCGAGGCCGCTCCCAGCGATGGCGCGCAGCAGGCCGCAAGCACGGACTTTGCGCACCGCCCAACCTCGCGGGGCATTATCGATACCAGCGCTCTAGGCTGCATCCAGTCTAGCCAGGCACTATCATGTTGACAGGCGGTGTGTAGAGTAGTTGAGTAGGCAGGCAGTCGCACAGATGGATGATGGTTGAGCTGTTTCTCACCATGCCCCGCAGTGGACAGACGAGTCAAGCTTCCCCTTTGAGCGGGCAGCGCAACGGGCAGTGATCCGAGGCGTGATCAGAGGCACGGTACCGCCCGTCGATCGCAGCCAGTGACGTGAGGCCGCAGAGGCGCGGGTGGGGAGCGGTGCTTGTGGCATGACGAGTCGTCTCTCGCGCGCACCGCATTCGCTGCGCGCCCTGGGAGGCTGCGAATGAGAGCGGCTCTGTCCAAGGGAGAGCCGGGAGCGGTAGCTAGCAGGTGTCCATCAATCACAGGGCCGCCGCGGCCCTAGCGGATGAGTTGGGGATGGGCGGTGCCATGGGTGGCTTGCAGCTTCTCAGGGTCCGGTCCGCTCTCTCGCCCGCCTGAAACCCGCTTCGACTCTCCCGCTCTCTCTCTCACACCTCCCCTCCTCATTGTCTTGTATTTGTACGGGCCCGCGCTCCCCTCCGCCTCTTGTGCCTCGCTCCGCTCGCGCGTTGGGCCGCCTCTCGAGCTGTGATTAGAGCGCTCCGACCGCGCTCTGATCCCGAGCCAAGCCAAGGACTAGGGCTCTCACTGTACAACGTAACGGTAGTTCTTCAGGCGAACTCGCAATCTCCCGTGCGCCCTCCTCTTTGTTTTCGATTCCCGCCTCCACCACCTTTGCGAGGGCCGACGCCCTGTGTACGATTTGTGTGTGAGTCCGATCCAACAGGCCCCTTATCCTGCCCCAGCCTGGCGAATTGCCCGCCGCGAGCACCCTACTCCGCCCGCCGCGACCCCACACGCGCTTGCGACCTCGAGGCCTTGGCTGATGTGCCGTCTTGCTGCAGGTAGAAGACCATGGCCTTCGTCAGCGGCCTGGGGGATCGCCCCGACGATAGGCGCTTTCGCAATCCCCAGTCCCCGCGCGAAGAGTCGACGACGTTCTCCGGCCTGACCTCCCCCATACGCAGCCTGGCCAGCCAGATGCATGCGCACGCATCCCCCTCGAGCGACCCCCGCGGCAGTCTGTCGAGACGTTTTACCACCAACACTGTACCAACATTGCCTACACTATCTCCTTTGTCGCCAATTGGTCTGCAGCGCAGACAAGCGGCGGAGAACGTCGAGTTTACGACCGCGGTAAGTGCTCCTGTGTGTGTGTGTGTGTGTGTGTGTGTGTGTGTGTGTGTGCAAAGCGCTGCTTGAATTCCCCAAGTTTCCCTGCTCTTTCTTGTTGCGCGCCTTCACCGCGGCGTGCGCTTACGGCAAGCCGCCATGGTTGCTGCGGGCGCCGCTTCAGCTGTTTCTTTTGATATAGCCGGCAACATTTGAACGAATGCGTAGCTAACGATCGCCTCTCAGACCTATCATAAAGTGCAACTGGTAAGAGAAAGTCCCTTACTTGTTTCTGCACTTCACTCTTCGCTCTGCCCGGAGTCGGTGGTCCGTGCGCCGCCCGCCGCCTGCTGCTCATGATATCCCAACTTTCTACAACCAACCTACCTTCTTCCTCCCCACCTCCTCCTCCCTCCGCAAACTCGTCACCCTTCTCAATCACTGTGTGATCTTCTATCTATACCCTGCCCTCTTACATCTTGTGGCGCTTGTCTCAAGTTCAACTTCGACCCGTCCTTGCCAAATCGTTCGGTGTTACACCGCACCGCTCAAGTTGAACCCTTGCCCAAGATCTGAGACCAAGACCAAGCCTCGAACCAAGGCTTGAGATTCTCAACTTCACTTCTATTCCTAGTCCAACATGTCCAACAACGGTCAAGACCTTGTTGGCCCTGTGGGCTCACCCGCTCCGGCGGCCAACCCTCATTTATCTCCTTCTACTTCACGCCATGCTCTGGACGATGAGGAATTTGCCATCATCCAGCAGAAGCATGCTAACTGTGTCGATCAGCTCGAGAAGAAGCGCCTCGAGTACGAATTCCTCAAGGAGCAACGTCGTCGGTTTGAGGCCGAGATGGAGCTCTTCGATATCCACTGCGATAGCGCCAAGCAAGACTGGGAGCGCTTGTCACACGAAACCAAGGGTGCTGCCGGCCACCAGAGCGAGCCTACAACCCCTCCCGAATACCGCGAGAACGGCTTTCCGTCTGCCTTCTCTCGTCCTCAGCGCTACTCGATGCAGAACTTGACGTCACCTCAGCAGCCCGGCCTGTTGAACCGTCCCGGTCGTTCGGGCTCACAGATCACTTCTCCTCCCCAGACCCAGATCTTCAACAACCAGTCGGTTTCTCACGTGCCTTCCAAATCCATGCCCGGTTCCCGGCGTGGTTCGGATGAAGACGAAGACAACTTTGAGTTCGATATCTCGACCATGAACCCTCGCACCGGTAGAACCAGGTGAGTAGCGTCGCTTTCCCCTACACTTTGTGTTACTGCTTGTTTGCGGAACGACACGTTGAGCCCACTTGGGTAATTTCCCATTCTTGGCTTCGCGTTTCCTTCCTTGTCCCATTGACAAACCCGACCCGCTGGGTCTTTGACGAGCCCTTGCATAACCACGGTTCCGGACGTCAGATGGCATCCATTCCTGCGCATTTCACGCAACAAAATCTAACACAAGCTGACCGTCTTGTAGTCTCAACAGGAACTCAATGCCCATCACCAGTGGTCGTGCCAACGCTGACCTTCCCGACCTCACCTCCGTTTTGGGTCACATTGACACCACCAACTTCCTCTTCGGAGACGACGACGAGAAGCCTCGCAACAAGGGCTACAATCCTGCTGCTTCACCTGATGTCAAGAACTACCTGCAGATGAACACCACCGACGATAAGTTCCCGATTCTGGTCCGCCGTGACGGTGACGGCCCGATGCAGCTTTCCGCGTCTTCCGCCGCATTGGATCTCGCGCTTTCGCAGTCCCCCGGCCCCGAGGCTGAGTCAAACGGCTGGTCTTCGTTTGCTCCTCGTCATCGTCAGGCTCAACACAGCCTTCCGGCAAACAACTTGCGCAAGGCCGATGAGTTCGAAGGCGCTGGAAGCAACGGCGTCGAGACGCCCAGGCGTTCGACTGTTGGCAACCGTCACTCTATGGAAGTGAGATTCAGTCCCTTTGGTGACTCGAAGCGCCCGGGTTTGATCAACACACCGCCGAACGGAGCGACGAACGGCTTTCCGAAGCTTCAATCATCCTACTCGACCAACGACCTGCCCACCATTTCGTCCGTCAAGGCTACCAATGGCATCAACGGCAACAACGCGGCTCCCACCATTGGTGTTAACTCTCACGCTGAACAGCATCTCCATAATCACAATGCTAGTCTCGGTCGTATTCCGCCCACCGCGGTTAACCGTCACAGCCGTGAGCTTTCTGGTACTGAGAACCGGACTGAGGAGTCCAAGAACACTTTCCGTTCAATCCAGTCGGCTTTGCAGGCTAGCGCTGCGCCTTTCGGCCCCAGCCTTCCTGCACCCAACTCCTCTGCCATGGCGTCATCTTCGTCGTCGACAATCACCGCTTCCTCTGGCACCAATGCGACTGCTGTTACCTCGGCTGCCATGGCGCAGTACAACAACAACAACAACAACCCATACTACGGCGGGTACGGCATGCAGATGCTCAACATGGGCATGAACCAACTGCAAGTCAATGGGCAGCCGCCCTACAACCAGATGCCTATGTACGGTCCCTCCTACGGTCAGTTCCCGCAGCAGCCGTATCAGCAGTACGCTCCGCCGCCGCAGGTTCAGCAGCCACCTCGCTTCCCTGACAGCCAGGCTCGGGTCATTCAACAGCGTCGCATGCAAAACCACGAGGACCAGGTCCGCGCCCAGCAGTACGACTTCAGCTCTCTGCTGCCTCATGATATTGTCGAGTTGTGCAAGGATCAACACGGTTGCCGCTATTTGCAGAAGCAGATCGAGGGTCGCAACCAGGAGGTGATGGCTAAGATCTTCGAAGCCATCCGCGAGCACGTAGTTGAGCTCATGCAGGATCCTTTCGCCAACTACCTCTGCCAGAAGCTTCTTGAATTCAGCGATGACGAGCAGCGCACACTCCTCATCCACAACGCCGCTCCTAGAATGGTCAACATTGCTCTCAACCAGCACGGCACTAGGGCCCTCCAGAAGATGATCGAGTACATTACCACGCCCGAACAAATCAACACCATCATCGAAGCTCTGCGCCAGAACGTTGTCCTCCTCATTCAGGACCTGAACGGCAACCACGTCATTCAGAAGTGCTTGAATCATCTTGCTTCCGAGAATGCCGAGTTCATTTTCCAAGCTGTCGCCAACAGCTGCGTCGCTGTCGGTACTCATCGCCACGGTTGCTGCGTTCTGCAGCGCTGCATCGACCACGCCACCGGCACTCAACGTGACGAACTCATTGGTGCCATTACACGCAGTGCCTTTGCTCTGGTTCAGGATCCGTTCGGCAATTACGTGGTTCAGTACATTTTGGATCTTCAGGACGAGGCCTACTCGAAGCCGCTGTGCTTCAGCTTCCGTGGAAGTGTTCCTGCCTTGTCCAAGCAGAAGTTCAGCTCCAATGTTGTCGAAAAGTGCATCCGTGTCTCTGATGAAGAGACCAAGCGTATGCTTATTGAGGAGCTCCTTCAACCTAACGAGATTGAGAAGTTGATCCGCGACTCATATGCCAACTATGTCATTCAGACTGCTGTAAGTTCCTCCACTTCTCTTCCTAAACCGGTAGTCTTTTCCAGTAGCTAACATGATTGACCTCTCAGCTTGATTATGCCGACGCTCCCACCAAGATTCGTCTCGTGGAGGCTATCCGTCCTATGTTGCCCTCGATTCGTCAGACTCCTTATGGTCGCCGCATCTTGAGCAAAGTCCAAGAGTTCGACAATCGCATGAGCAACCACTCAAGTGGCCAGATTGCTCCTCTGACCGGCGGAGGCCAGGCCCAGCTCACCTACCCTGGTCCGATGAACTCTCAGGCTCCTGCTGTGCAGAGCCCTCCTCCGCCGGCCTACAGCAGCATGGCCAACGGCTACGGCGCCAACCTCGCTTCTCCTCAGCCGCACCGCATGTCGAACACGTCGCTTCCCAACCACCTTCAGTCCAATGTACAACAGAACTTCGGTTACCGTGGTGGTCAGCCTAACGGCATCTACTACTAAGCGACCGCTCACGACATCATGAATCACGATTGACGTAGAAGCGTCTTGCTTGCATCAGCGGCGATTCACGTTTCATATGCTGGTCCCTTTTGGCCCGGAGCGTTCATTGCAGGCGTACAGCGACTTTGTCCGAGTGTTGACTCGCTTTGGACCAGAGTTTCTTTCATGGAGTTTCTTCAGTTGCCCACTTCTCCTGCTTGCATTCGAAAACGTCACGAACCGTCACGGCCTTTCTCTTCGACGCGTAGATCAGGACGGCTGGCTGCCTTCATTCAAAAAAAGGTCTTTGATCCATGGCGGCAACAGTCTCCGAACTCATGTACAACTATTCGAGACGACTGCTCAGCAACACAAAAACAAAAACTTCAAAAAACCTTTCGGCCTGACATTCTTGATAACGGCGCCTTTTATCCCCAGTTTCGACTCTTTGCGATTCTGGTACACAGCTTTCTCACGACTGGTATCAGAAGCATTAATGACAACGCCTACACAAAGCTCACATCATGGTCGGCAACGTCAAGGAATCTGCGAGGACCGAATGGCGCTTCTCCTACAAAGTTGTTATTTGCAAATGCTGGCAACAGCCCGCTGAAGCTAGAGTTTTTACACTTTTGCACCTTCTTCATTCACCTGGTCGTCTCTCAGCGAGGACACCAGTGCACCAACTTTTGACTTTTTTGATATTCTGTCCTTCCCAAATTCCCCCTTTATGCCACCACCGACATCAGCACAAAAACCAAAAAATCTCTGCTTTTTGGACTTTTTTTTTTTTTTTTTTTCTTTTCTTAGTTTGGATCGATGCACAGCGGTTTTTTCTTTTTCTCTTCCTTACTACTTCCCCCCAACACCACATTTGGCTTTTTTTCTGATTCTTCTTCAGCACCTTTCTTCCCTTTCCCCAAAATTCCCTTGATTCCCCTCACCATGACACTGAGCACTCTTCACCACCACGATTCATGGATTTTTTGCAAAGGCTCTTTCTTCCCTTGCTTGCGCGCTTTCTGTCCCGGTGGTCCTCGCGGCACTGCTCAACACTCTGACGACAAACACGGCTTCTTCTCTCTTCGCCGGATTGGGGCTGCACTGCGGTGGACAACTGCGCGGAACCTTCTTCTTCTCGAGCAAGCAAGCAAGCAGGGAGCGAGTCAGTAGTTTGTTAGTTAGGTCTTCTGGGCCGCTGCTGGCAGAGCGGAGCGCCAGTGGACGGAATGCGGGTGCTTTTACAAGCAATGGGCCTGCCTGCCTAACTTGCGTTGGGGTCGCCGTCTTGCAAGTGGCTTTGGCTGGCTGGCTGCTAGCTAGCTACTTGCTTAGTTAGTTAGGTAGTTATTTGGTCCGTCGAGATGGCCTGGTATACCCATACCCACCCAATTCAATAGCTTTATGACCTAGTTTTTTAGTGTGCGTGTGTATGTGTGTTTTTGTGAGGGTTGTGCGGTTGTGCGTTGTGTGTGAGTTGCGAGGACGTGTTGGATGTGTGGTCTCTCTCCCTCTCTACAAATAGCCTAGTACCAAAGCCCGCACCGAACAACCAAACCCCTCGTCCACTCACGCCCTCCTCCCCCAACAGACAGATAAAACACCCACCTCACCTACTCCCCCACCCCATATACCCGCCCCAACACACACACATAACACAAGCACAAGCATAAGCATAAGCACAAGCCACGCCCAAATCACCAATAAAGACGCACGTCCATACATGCTTCTCATCTCATCACTTTTATTCCTCTGCTCTATCTTGATATGATTTAATTTATCATATCTTATTTTGTTTTGTTTTGTCTTATTTTTATCTTATCTTCGCTTGGTATGGTGTGCTGCATTGCGCCTGCCTGCCTGTCTGTGTCTGTGCGTGTCTGTGTCTTTATGTGGTAGGGTAGGTAGATGGGTAGGTATGTGATTCCCCATTGGTTCTTTTTCTACTCTACTGTATGTCGGTCTTCCATTGTTGTGTCTCGTTGTTGTTTGTTCTGTTCTGTTCTGTTCTGTTCTGTTCCGATTCGAGGTTTTGCGAGGAGAGCCAGTGAGCAAGCAAGCAAGTGCGCAAGCAAGCAAAGCAGAGCAAGCATCCTAACGCAAGCAAGCAGCACGCAGCTCGTAGCGAGCACCAGAACGCAAGAACACAAGCTCAAGCAGCGCCCTTCGCCTTCGCATCCCTCACCGCCGCTTCATACTCCTCCTCCCTCCTAAGCGCCAACTCCGCCGCCCTCCTCCTTTCAGGACTAACGCCATCGCTCTCGCCCCTATCCCACTCCCCCTTCCAACGACCCACCACAAACCCATTGCCGGCATGAATCCAAGCCGAGACATCCTTTTGCCACTTCGCCTCCTCCAAGAACCCCTTCACCTCAGCCAGCACATCGACGAGCATCTGGTGCGGCTTGGCCTCAAACTCCTCGACTTGGACCAGGTTGAACGGCTCGCTCGCGGCCTTGAGCGCGCTGTCGTCGAGCAGCAGCGTGTTATGCTGCGCGTAGCGCTCGCCGGCGGCGTGGTTGTCATGCCAGGCAAACTGCGCCGCCGCGCCCCACACCTGCTCCAGCCGCTTGTACACCTGCACTTTTTCGTTGTACTGCGCCGGCGTCAGGCCCAGCCGGTCGCGGCCCCATTCGGCTGCGAGCTGCGAGCGCTGCTCGCGCGTGAACAGCTGCGCGCACATCTTGGCTACGTTCTCCGGCCGCGCCGACGACCACGCCATCACTCGGTGGTTGGCGAGCAGGTAGCGCAGGAACGCTTTCGCGTACGGTCGGCACACCACTTTCGACGAGTCCTTGCGGTTTGGCCGGTGCACCAGCGTGCCGTTCAGGTCGATGACAACCAGCAGCCGCTCCGGCGTCGTGCGCAGCGACGGCGCGCTCGCCACTTGCTCGAGGTACTGCGGCGACGGGTCGGGCTTGGGCGGCGGGGGGAACTTGGCGAATGACCCTTTGGGCGGGAAGTCGCGCATGGGCGACTTCGCCTTTGCCTTTGCCCTTCTACTTCCTCGTCCCATCCAGTGATTGAACCGGACCCCCCCCTCTTCGCTCTCGCTTGTCGTCGTCGCGATGTGGTCGGGTGTCGGGAGACCGGCCCCCCGTCCTGCGGCTCTCGTTGCGGCTCTCGTAGCGTATCCTCGGATCGGGGCCCTGTTTTGCTTGTCAACGCGCCAATTACGACCCTGCTGGAAGGGCTGAACCGACATTGTGGAAGAAGTGACCGGCGCGAATGCCTGCGTGTTGCCAATCGCTGACCATGCGTTTCCGATTCCATAGCCCAGACCGTAAGGCGCAGTCTGCTGCTGATACTGACCCCAAGCACCGTCTTGAACCTGCCCAAACTGCTGATTGTAAAACCCGCCTTGCTGCGCATTAGCATCCATGCCACCGCCAAACATCTGCGGCCAGGCCGCCGCGCTAGCAGCCGCCATCCACGTATTCGCGGCATTGAAATCGAACCCATATCCATATCCATTATGCGCAGGCGCAGCGGGCATCTGCTCGGGGAACTGCTGCTGCATCGCCGGTGTCGCGTACTGGGGCTGCGTCGTTTCGGCTTTCTCAGGCACAGGCGCAGGCGTGGCCTCGCGCGCAAGCTCTTGCGCTGGCGTCGCTGCGCCCGACGTGCTGCGGTCGGCATCAATGCCCTCCAGCGCGTCCAGTAGTGCCTGCCCGACAAAGCTGCCTGAGCGCGCCTGTTCGTTCTCACGCGGCGGCGCATTCGCTGCACGTTGTCGCTGTGGTTGTTGTGGTTGTTGCTGTTGTTGTGATTGTTGCGATTGTTGCGATTGTTGCTGTTGTGTAGAAGGAGCGTTTGAGCCCGTCACTCCAGGCGCGCGCGTGCGGCCGGTATTACTGGCGTTGGCATTGTTGGTATTGTTGGTATTCCGCTTCTTGTGGCGCGCCATCTTGACGTTGGCGGGGTTCGCGTTAGCAAAAGATGTGACTTGGCTGGAAAAGTGGTTACCGTGGATTCGAGGCGTAACGCAGTCGCGCAGCCATGTGCGGCAGCGACAGCGACGGGGGCGCGGAGGAGAGAGAGCGTGTGCGGACGAAGGCGCTGCATCGGACAGAAGCCTAGGCAGGTACCTAGCGGGGAAGGAAGGTTAGACTCGCAGGTGCGCAGCTTGGAAGCAAACGCAGCAAACGCAGCAAACGCGACAAACAGCCTAAGCTTTAGTCCACGGGTAAACAAAACTGGAGATCGACCGTCGCAACCTCGGTGCCGCGGAGCCGCCCAACAAGGCAGGTGCTCCTAGGCGGGCCTCTGCCTCGGCGCGACAAATAGTAATAGCGATCGAGACACGAGCGCGCTTTTCCATGGCGTCGTCGTGTGTCTGCGCGCGTGGCATCCCTGCCACTCTTATTATTACTTGCTGCCCGCGTTCAGGCCTCCCATTATTCAATATGCGGGTGATGGAGCTATTGGATGCATCCATTTAGTTGAGGCTTGATCAATCAATCCGGTGGCACTCTCTGAACTGCTGAAGCTCGCAACGCATGATGGGTTACCGTAGGCCCAACCTAGGCAGTTACTCGTACAAGACCCAGCCCAACCCGCAGCGCATTACATACAACGCAGTGCAGTGCATACAGAGCATGACCGAACTGAACCCTCCACCCAACGCCAATCCACAGCAGCCAAGTCACCGTCTGTTTCAGAAAGCCCATCCAACACACGAGACCCAACCCAACCACCTCACTCACTACCTAGCCACGCACGCACACAGACCGCCCCCCAAGACGAAACAAAACAAAACAAAACGAATGCGCTGGCCACGCTGGTCGCTGGTCGCTGCCTCTCCTGGGTAGGTACGGTAGTTGAAGCAGGCAGGCACTGGCAACGAGGACTAGGACCGTCCCTGCTGTCCTCTACGCGTGCTCGCTTCCCTCGACCTGCGGCCTGCGGCTTTCCTGACACAGCACCCAGCACACAGCACACAGCAGCAGCTGTAGGCAGTGGCACTATGCACGCAAAGCAGCGCAAAGCAAAGCAAAGCAAAGCAAAGCAAAGCAAAGCAAAGCAAGCGACTTTGCTCGCACACACACAAAACTGCCATACGCACGCAACCCACAGACACAGACACAACCACAACCACAGCCGGCATACGCACGCAAGCAACAAGCCATTCCCACCCCTCTCCGACCCCTCCGACCGTTTCATCGCCCTAGCCCTACCCAGCCTTAACCCGTCCTTTAGTCACGTCAGCACTCCCACACACCCACCGCACAGACGCCGCGACAACGGTCATCCATGTGGGGAGTGGGGTTGCGTCGTATACGGCACGCTACGCTACGTACCGCCTAGGTAGCATTGATGCGCACCACCGCCCAGCAAGAAAATTTTTAGCTTTAGAGTTTTTCTCTTCGTTAATCTATCTGACGCTTTTTGCCTTTGCCAACCAACGGTGAGGGTGAGCGGTGAGCAGTTTACCTAAACACGGACGGCCCAAGGCCTCCGCCGCCTCGGTAGTGCGGCTGCGCGGCTCAACTGCTGCTTTGCTTACCTAGTCGAGTCGAGTCCGCACCGAGATCTATCTGCCTTGTTACTCGAATCTGCTACGGCTCCGATGACGATTGCTGACTGATTGACTGATTGATTGATTGATATGTGTGCTCGTGACCATGACCATAACCACGGATGGATGGATGACTACGACGAATGAGCCCTTGGCCGTGATAAGTCTGACTGAGACTGACTGATGAACGATTATGATAGTAAGGATGATGACAACGATAATAATGATGATGATGATTGATAGATTGCCTCCCTCGACATGCGCCACCGCCCTTTCCTCTCGCATCTCTTCCCGACTCGAGCAAAAATACTAGTTGTAGAGAGAGCCCTTTCCCTTTTCCTTTTCAAGAAGCCCCATTTCCCAAAAAGTGAGAAAACCAAGAGGAAAAGAAAATATAAAAAAGGGAAAACCCAACTGATGAGACGTTTGTGGTCGCGCAAATAATGCCCCCAAAGAAACCCATAAAGCTCTGCATCTCTTTATGAACAAGACGAGCAACCAAACAACAGCAGCAGCAACAGCAGCAACAACAACAACAACAACAACAACAACAACAACAACAACAACAACAACAACAACAACAACATGACCCAACCCACCACTCAAATCGAGCTAGTGAAATACGCGCGCGCGACCCTAGACCTCCCGTAGGCGGTTCCTTGCAAATATCCG